GGCTGCGTGTGTGTTTGAGAGCGAGTATGGCCATCGTGGTTTATTTTTATTTCCCGGAGTGGTGGACGCCTCATGCTCTTTAGTGCCTCTCATGGTGGTCAATGTTAGCAAGGAAGCGGTAGAAATACCTGCGGATTTGCTAATCGGTTTACTATGCCCAAGAGAAAACCTGACTGTCTCTTCTCTGGAACAAGTGGTGCCTGGTGATGTCATGGACACCAGGGAACTACCTGAACATTTGAAGAAGCTCGTCGACGATCCAGAAGATTTAACGGTTGAACAACGTCAAAGTGTTCATGATTTGCTCATCGAATTTCAGGATATTTTTGCTGGTCCTGATGGCAAACTGGGACGAACTTCTGTAGTCAAACATAAGATTAAAACGTCAACATCTGAACCAATCAAAGTTCCACCGCGACGTATGGGATGGGCGAAGAGAGAAATCGCAGAGAAACAAGTACAGAGCATGCTTGATCAAGGTGTAATAGAACCGAGTGAAAGTCCCTATAATTCGCCTATTGTTCTCGTTCCTAAGAAAGACGGAAGTTGTCGTTTTTGTATCGATTTTCGGAAAATTAATCTGGTAACCATCAAAGATGCCTACAGTTTGCCAAGAATTGATGATATTTTGGATGCATTGGATAAAGCAAAGTGGTTTTCATCGTTGGACTTGGCGAGTGGGTACTGGCAAGTAGAACTCGACCCAGAAGATCGGGAAAAAACAGCATTCAGCTTGCCAGGAAATAACCATTTTCAATTCCGTGTTCTTGCCTTCGGTCTGGCCAATGCGCCATCTTGCTTCCAGCGTTTAATAGACAAAGTTTTGGCTGGAATTTTATGGAAAATATGTCTCGCATTTTTAGATGATATTTTGGCTTATGGCGAAAACTTTGATCTGGCCATGAGCAGCTTACGTGAAGTTTTTGTAAGAATTCGTGCTGCTGGACTTAAATTCAAGCCGGAGAAGTGTAAACTTTTTCGTCGTAAAGTGGAATATTTGGGACATGTAATATCTGAATATGGTGTAAGCTGTAGCGATAGAAAAATTGCTGCTGTTCGTGATTGGCCCAAGCCTGCTAATGTCAAAGAATTGCAGTCATTTCTTGGATTTTGTAATTATTACAGACAATTTGTTGAAGATTTCTCTACCATTGCACATCCTCTTGTTCATCTGACAAAGAAGAAAGTAGAATTTGCTTGGACAAAGCAGTGTGATGTCGCTTTTCTTCGCTTGAAAGAACTTTTAGTTCGTGCTCCTGTTTTATCATTTCCACAGGAAGATGGAGACGAATTCATTTTAGATACTGATTGTTCTGGTTTTGGAGCTGGCGCAGTTTCAAGTCAAATTCAGAATGGCAAGGAAAAAGTCATTGCATATGCCAGCGTTACCCTTAACAAGGCACAGAAGAGATATTGTGCAACGTATCGAGAACTTTTTGCGTTGCAGTGGGGGGTCAAACATTTTCGTCACTTCCTGTGGGGTCGACATTTCAAACTGAGAACTGACCATGCTTCACTACGTTGGCTTCTGAATTTTAAAGATCCTGAAGGCATTGTAGCTCGTTGGATATCAGTTCTGGACACTTACGATTTTACAGTTGAACATCGTGCTGGTTCCAAGCATGGCAATGCTGATGGTTTGAGTCGTATTCGTCGCCGATGTAAGCGTGATTCCTGCACTAGTTGTGGGAAAGGTGATCAGCCGTGTGAATTGGAAACTGTCAAAGTTGCTGCTTTGCAACCGAGTCATGGTAATTCTATGGAATGGCTCGCTTCGTATTCATCGACCGATATGCGTGAGATGCAGATGAAGGACGATAACATCTCTAAAGTACTGACAATGAAGGAAACGTTGGATCAACCACCCCCAGCTGCAGAACTTTTGTTTTTCTCCAGAGAAGTTCGGATCCTGTGCAGCCAGTGGAAATTATTGAGGGTCATCGATGGAGTGCTTCATCGAGAGTTTTTGCCATCCGCGCCTGTAGGGAAATCCATTTTTCAAATTGTGTTGCCTTTAGTTTTGCGTCGCGAAATGTACCGACAACTCCATGAGTTGCGTACTGGTGGACATTTGGGTAAAGAACGAACTTATAAAAAATTGAGGGAACGATTTTATTGGCCTAGAATGCACAGTCAAGTATCTTCTTGGTGTCGTTATTGTAAAGCTTGCACTGCTACCAAAACCCCTCATGGGAAACGACGTGCAGAAATGTGTAAAATGATTTGTACTGAGCCACTTCTCAGAATTAGTCTTGATTTTGTGGGTCCTTTACCTAAAACTGAACGGGGCAATGAACATCTTTTAGTAGTCACAGACTATTTTACTAAATGGGTTGAGGCTTATCCTTTGCCTAATCAAAAGGCCAGTACTACAGCCGATGTACTTGTGACAGAATTTTTTAGTAGATTTGGTACTCCTAGAATTATTCATTGTGACCAAGGGGTTAATTTTGAATCTCATTTGTTTAAGCATATGTGTTCCTTATTTGAAATTGATAAAACCCGTACGACTCCTTATCATCCTAGGTCGGATGGTCTATGTGAAAGAATGAATAAGACCTTGCAGCAAATGCTTAAAGCATTTGTAGATTCTAGCCGCACAGACTGGGATGAACACATTCCTTATCTTTTAATGGCTTATAGATCTACTGTACATGAAAGTACAGGTTTTACTCCGAATCGTTTAATGTTGGGACGTGAAATTTCATTGCCGACTGATTTACTTTTTGGTAAACCTCCTGATCATAATGTCCCTAAGTGTTATGATGAATTTGTTGAATGGTTTGATAATGCTACATCTGAAGCTTTTGAATTTGCTCGAGAACAGTTAGGTAAATCTGCTGTTCGACAGAAACGTAATTTTAATGCAACTGTTAAGCCTTTATCCTTTAATGTTGGTGATCTTGTGTGGTATTTTTATCCTCCTACGAGTAGAAAACTTTCGACTGGTTGGATAGGTCCTTTTGAAGTGTTAGATTGTTTTTCACATTTTGTTTATCGTATCAAGAATGTTAACACTGGTAATTGTAGAATAGCTCATGTTGATCATCTTCGTTTATATTTGATGGAAGATTGTGACAATTTACCTAATATTAATGCCGATTTCCCAGACAATATTGCTATTTCCAATGATGATGTACAGGATGTTGTTATTGAACCAGAAGTTAATCCTGATTTGCCTGTTAGGGATTCTGATCATCAGACTGTTACTCGTTCTGGTAGGACAAGGCGTAGACCTGCCTACTTGGATGATTTTCATACTTGATTTATGCGCTGTAACATTTTGTTTTGAATTACATTGGGAATTGTGCTATAATGTATATGGTTAGGTAGGAATAGTTAGTGTTTTTAGATAGGGTTTATTGGATTTTGTAGTTGGGAATTTTTTGTATTTTGTAAATAGTATGCTTTATATTTGTTATACTTTCAGGAATGCTTTCTACTGTTTGATATTTCGTTCCACTGTGTTTCACATTTTGCTAATACCTGCCGATGGACATACACATTGTGTTTTTTACGAGTTTTGTATTCTTACTGTGTTAGTACCTTTTTTAGGGGATGTTTTTATTTTTTTTAAGAGTAAATTTTTTGTTAATTTTCTCTAATGAAAAGGGGGGTATTGTGGCGGGACTGGAATTGTCCTATTTTTTATTGTTTTGTATTTTATTTATATTTAGTGTCCAGTTATTGCATATGCATTAGTGTGTGGAGTCTGAGCCCTAATTCGCCCGATAGTTTGATCCAGTAACTCGACTCCAACCACCACTGCATATGTGAACTGTGCTGCGTACGCAGTGTTCGTTCTTCTTGCTTCTGCTGTCGCTGGGTAAGGACCGTATTTTTGTCACTCTATTTTATCTGCTTTAAGCGTGGATTTTACATTATTTTAATAAAGTCTCTTCGTTTGCATCGTGAACTTCGAACCTACTTGTGTGTCTTTGCAGCACATTGGATCTTCTGAACTAATTATTACAGTATTACTAGACTGTATTAGTGGCGAGCACCTACCGGTATTCCGGTTAAGTCGTACCGTTGCACCTATCCACATTTCCATCAGTACAATGAAAGAATACAATATAAGTATAGACATCATCAGATTAAGATCAGCAGTCAATATGACAATTTTATAGGTCAACTTAGAACATTTTTTTTATGTGTTTGTATATTATCATAATTATAAGGCTACCTAGTTATTGAAAATCAATACCAATCACAACTCAAGCGGTCCACGTATACCACGTAATGGTAGGAAAAGTCGTGAAATGTGGCAGAAAATTTATAGTCCGAGACGTCAGTCATTTGTTTGTTTATTGATCTCAACATGCAATGATAAACGTAATATTTTTGTATTACTGAAATAAATCAAACATTCTCAACGATCCAGAATAACCGATAATCATGTGACCTCTTTAACTAGAGTTGGTACTGTAAAATCATTTCAGCCTGATATTAGTAAGCTGGTGGCACAAAAGAGATGCCAAACGTCAGGACATATGTAATAAAAAAACAGTTTATTCTATAGTATTTTTGTAAGTTTTAGGCTTATATATTTAGATTAAGTATTTTTTAGTGTATGTATTACTCTTTTCTTATCAAAACTTTGTTCAAAAATGTTTTGGATAGTTGTACATAAAAATTTATGATTTTTTGTAATAAATACAGTAAATTGCAATAATATTGAAATGAAAAATTAATATGTAAATGGCATTTGAAATTCGAGAAAATACCAAAACTTTATTCGGCTGTTTAATTGCATCACAATACATAAACTATACCTATCTAAAAATTCAAGTATCAATAGGCCTCAAGTATATATTGTCAAAATATATCAAAAACTATTTGCGGCCCTTTGCACAATTCCCAAATGCAATGCGGCCCTCGGAAACCCACGAGTTTGACACCCCTGTGCTAGAGTATTTCTACTGTTGGACCACTGTGCATATCTTGGAAGTATCACCAAAACTGAAATTAAAACCTGTCAAAACCCGGCTCAAAGACGATTTAAGAGATGGAAAATGCTTTTAAATATTCAATAACAACATTTAAACTGTTAGCAGAAACTGACCAGAGCAGAATATCAATAACAAAAAGGATCATAATTCATAAACACAATTATACCACATGAAACAGAAGATAACAAATGAACTTAAGATAAAATACACCAGTAGAAAAATTTGTTTCATCAAAACAAATCACATTCCAGGCATATGCCATAAATTATTTCACAATAACAATAATAAACCTTAGCAATACATTATGATTTGCAAGCTCAAAACATTGTTATTTTAGTTGAGTTGAAATCGAACAAGAAATCTACATTAGTTTTTGACTGACATAACTCCAATGATTTTTTGAAATTGTAAACACAGTGAGAGGAATCAGAATCAAGAGCAGGAACATTCGAGGAATATATGTAATGTTGAGAATGCCAGTTCCAAATCTATTTGCGATCACATTGTTTAAGGATCTTGTTTATTGTGATATTAACAAATTTTTTCAAAATATAACAAATAAGTCATCAGCTTCAATATTCAATCTTGTGAGGTCTCCATCACAAATCAACTCTTACCCACATCACAAAACCTCGAAAAAAATTTACCCAAGAGTTTACACAACATAGCTTAATAAACCAGTTAATATACATATATTCTGAATAGAAAAAATAATTAAATTACTACATTATGACGGGAATGCAATTCTGTCGCAAGAATATAAAGTAAATGGCACAACAAGGAACCTTCAGAGACAAACATTTTGAAGTTAAACTGCATTGGCTTATGTCAAATTTTTTTTTGAACGACGTATCTGTTACTTTGATTCCTACACTCTCGTTTGGAATAAAACAAGACTCCATAATAGTAATAGTGACATTTTTAACATTGGAGAAAAATTTAATCAAAAATCTATAATGATGTATTTTACTTCACTTACTGACGTGTTTGATACTTATGTAAAAAAGCTGTATTGATTCTTTCTATAAATTAGGTTAGGATTTTCATATTCTCTAGCTGTACGGATTTCGAATTAGCGCATAGCAATTGTGAATTCATTTATTTAAATCATATATATAAACAACTATACAAAATAAATTTTTGACTTTGATAATATGTTTGTAGGGTGCTTGAACATTTCTAAAATATTTTGTGAAAACTGGACTCCAATCTTGAGTTTTACTTACACACAAAAATAGATTCAAATATGCAACAAACCATCATAAATTAAGCAATAAAAAGTAAATAAAAAACTTAAATAAAATTCTTCCCTGATTATGCAAAAAATTGTAAGCTTCAAGTATATTTTCACCTAGTTTTAACGATTTTCCAGCTAATTTTATGGCAAAACTTAATACATCCCAATTAATGCTTCCAGGTGGAGAAAAAGCACAATACCAAACAGATAATGCTTGGAACTGGTCCCGGTATAGTATAAAATAGAAACAGAAGCGAAAATGTAGCGATTTCACAAAAATATTATCAGCAAAGTGTCTGGACAGACTGAAGTTTTCTTTGTAATGTTAGTGATCATATTCTAAATAACCTTTTAACCTTTAATTATTCCTAATTAGCAAAAATGATAGAACATAGATCTCGGTAAAAAACAGGTCGATACATTCAACCAACTTGACAAAACACCCCATTTATTCATTCAATGCATGAGTTGGATTTAATTAAATTAATAGCTGATAACAAAATCATTAAATTGATTTATCTAAATTCACTTCTTCCATGTCTTCTATCACTTGAATCAATTTTTGTTCTCCCTTTTTGGACATTCCGTGCTGTGAATAGTAAAGTATTATTAAAAATGATCGAAAACATAAAATCTATGCAAGTTAAATTAAGTCACTTGACCAAACATCCAACAAATTGGTATAGTCAAACACACTTTAAGAATAGCGTTATTTATTCAACTATGTAAAGAACAACCATGGGCTCCCAGTGTAAGGCAAATGCACGCAAATCTGGTAAACACAAACAGGTTTTGATTGAATTGAGTTTTTAGACCATAGAATACATTCTGATGATGTTGGGTCATCAACAAGTTCATCAGACATGACTCTAACAAAAATGAATAAAGAAGAGAGAGAATTTATTGAGCTGGATACCCAGAATTTCAATCGTCCTGGCCTTCAAATGAAGTATGACATGATACTCAATAATAAACCTCAAAATTACAATAATACTACTAATAAGTTAAATATAAAAACTACTAATAAGCATACATTCAAAAATAATATTTCCAAATATGAATACTGAATATATTCGAAACTGGGTCACAATCAACAGAAAAATTTACAGAAATCACTGTAGATTAAGAGAAATTAAGTTTATAATGCCGAATGGTTTTGACAAACAGTTTTGCTTGATTTTTTTACAGTGTCAGAAATAGAATGTGGTCTATTTTATGTCTAACCATAAGATGACAAATGCATAATATTTTGAATGAAACTATCCTAAATTTTTCCAAAATTCATTTGTTTACTTTATTGAATATCATAAATTTTGAATATATTCAAACTATTAGTTTTGTATTATCTTTGGACATCGTTGGTTCAACCTTGGGATGGCATCAAATATTCTTAAAACTAAATCCGTTCAAAACCATGATGCGTATACAACAATATAGATTGAACTTACCGTTAAATACATAAAAGACAGGAATTTTTTCAACATTTTAATCATAGATGATATATCTCCATTATCTGGAAGTCTGGATCTGATTGCCGTAGCATTCATTCGACTTCCGTGAATGAGACATCCGAGCACAAGGGCAGTATAAGATGCAATTATTGAAGCTTCCATATGATCGTTTGCTTTTTCAAGTGCTAAACATGAAATGAGTGGAATGAAACTTTTAGCCAAAATATGCTGAATAAAAATAAAAACAAACTTGATATTCAAAATTTGGAATTGGGATCTTGCAACCCATAAAAATAATCAAATCAAACCAGATTTTTTGTTATTGAAGTTATTATTCAACTAAATATTACTTCATGGCTCATGATATATAAAGTCTGATCTCATTGCTTAAATTTTGCAGCTTTTCATAAAGGATAAGAAGGCGGTGAATCAACTTCAGGTTACAGACTAGAATAAGAAAATGAGCTAGTCAAAATGTGGAAAATTTATCACAAATTCGATAAATTTTGAACCAACTTGAGCATAAAAGAAATCAGATCCAGAGACTGTCTATTAGTCTGCCTATGAATCAAACTGAGATGAATGATAAAAAATGTTTAACATTAAAATGTTTAACTTCTGTCATTGGCATTGACATTAATCAGTTGGTTAGTTGCAGAGAAGAGCATTCGTCCAAAAAAACAATTACAAAATTTTAGCATAGCAAGTGCCCATCATCATCTGAAAATAACAGAATCATTTTCCATACCAACCTTGTCTCATTTCGTCTTTTTCTTCGGCAGTTAGTTTGGCTTCAATATTATTAGGATTTGTGATCGACCTGTGGGATCCCTGACTACTGGGTAAATCATTGTCATCTCGTTTCGATTGTACAGAAACCCATTCCATACCTTCTTCACTTTCAACCCAATATCCTTCATCATCTGCATCACCCAATCCAACGGCATGCTGTGATGATTTGCTGTCGTAAAATATAAATATATTTGTATTATGTATAATAGAAACTTGATTTAAATAAAAATTTTATGTAAATTTTTTATAAAATGCTTTTTCACGATAAGCAGCTACTGCTATCTAGCAGCTACTACTTACTAATACCAGTCTTTCTGGTTCTGCATTGCTAACCCAAATTTATTACACTCTGTGTCAGATGAGGGGTATGGGATTTGAACCAGAGATGTGCAACCTGGCATGGCATTTGGCAACACAGTTAATATTGCACTTTAAACACCAGGCCATCGCAAATACTGCAAATTTAGAGATAGGAAGAAGGTCAAATCGAAAAACATTTTAAAAATGGCGTTGTGTACAACACTGTAATTTTCACCAATGCATGTAAAACAATGAACAGAAAAAAAATTCCAAAATTAAAATATATATATAATGTATTCACATTATAATATAGCTATTTTCAAGGTGATTCAATGCATATTTTTCCTTGTTTATAATTTCATATGAGCGATTATGAGCTCTAACTTCAGATACATACTTCAAACCTTCGGCACTTCCAGCTTTCTGCATTCGTTTTGCTTCAGCTGCTCTTTTGACCCCGTCTTCTCCTAATATTTCATTATCTCTTGCAGCGACTTCACGATCGATGAAAAGCTGAAATAAAAAAGAAAGTGTTTATTTTTAATTATTGCCAAAAACATGTTATCAGCAGCGCTGGGAATAGTAAAACGGTTAATCGGTTTACAGCTGATACATGGTCAACGATTACAATTAATTTTAACCGTTAACTACCATCCAAGATAATATTCCATTTTTCAATTGCAGTACAACAATTTTAAGAACTGACGTTGAATGACATTTGAAACATGCAAATTCTGCCAAAACAAAGAACAACAGCAAATAAATTTTTTCGGGAAGTAGCGCTAAAAGCTATGAATTTACGATGTTCTGGAAATAAAAAGCTTCCAGATATTCGAAATATATTGCATCTCTTTTGTGAGAGTGACCAAGCAAAGCAACTTGTTACTAGAAGGACAATTTCGATCAGTAAACAGTTTCCAGCAAACTTAAAGGAAAGCAAACTACTTTAGAATCGTACCGGGTAAGAGGCCGTGGTTTGCCATGCGATTGAGCCGTCTTATTACCTTTCCTCTTCCCAAGATAAATATGCAATCCTATCCTAATATAAATATATTTGTCTCACCTGAACTAAAGCATCAACAATTGAAATTTCTTCATCATCTTGGTTAACAGAAGGAGTTTTCATTTGCATAAGTGTTATTCGATTTTTAGCACTGCTCTCCACGAGATTTACCATAAGACCCAAACTCTGGAAAAATGGGCACATCTCAGTCAGAAAATATTGATATACTATACCAAAGTTGGGCAATTTTAAATATTGGATGAGATTGTATAATATCAAAAAAAAAATTCTTACGCCATTCTATAGAACAATGTGATTTACCTCAAAAAAGAATTGTTCACAAAATTTGATAACAATATCTATCAAGTTAGTGATTAAATTCAATTTATTTTGAATAATCCTTTTTCAGATACTTTTTGTATACCATCAATTCGAAAACAAATGTGCGACATAGTCTCGTAAAATCTCAATCAATTTTTTTGAAAAATTCAAAGATATTGCATGATATATTAATATAATTTTCCAATTTAATTATCATAATAATGAATTAATTTTAAAAAAATCAGGAAAAAAAACATAATCCCATACACTTAAATATTGACATAAAACAATTGGTCATATATACTTTCACAAATTTATATTCGAGATTGGAGACCGAAAGTACATAAAATTTGAAAACGATATAATAAAGGGTAACGCAAAAGGGTAAGAATAGGAAAATCAGCATGTTCTAGCCCAGAGATGGGCAACTTTTTTGAATCAGGGGCCAAAAATTTTGCCCACCTCCACCTGGACTGGCGGGCCATGTAAGTATGGCGTGAAGAGATACATTTTATGAACAATGTTTACAGTGTGACAAAAGCAACAGTTGAAAACAATAAGACTTTTGCCAAAACTAAATTTAAGCGCAATCTCAACAAATTCCTTGAGCTACTTTTAACTAAAACATCAAAATTTGGTTTCAGTTTGGTTGTGGTAGCATCAGGCGGGCCAGATTGAATTACCTAGCAGGCCGCATTTGGCGCGTGGGTCGTACTTTGCCCATGGTTGGTCTAGCCATAAGTTTAACGTACTTACCAACAGCCTAATTTCATATCTATGTTCCTCATCAACATGTTCAGGAATATGTAAAATGCATGACAATATGTTATCTAACATTCCTTCTTGATCACCAATACGTGTACTTGACCATTCTAAATATAGAATACCCGTATATTATACAAATTATGTGTAAACCTGTGTACAAATACTTGAGGCTACGAGAGACTAGCTACCTATCCTTCTTATATGCACTATATAAAGGCCATTCAGTGTAATTCAATGAACTCGCTGCACAATACACACTAGGACAACTTTTTTATTATTATGCTTTGAATTTGGATGAATTTTCCTTTTTTACTTCCTACTTCGAATCCCTAATATGGCCTTTGACACAAGGATGCTTGAACAAAAGGGTATCAATGAAAACTGATTAATATTTATCACTTTAATGTTTTACCAATAAAATTTGAATGGATACGCAAAAAATGAAGTTGTCAAGTATTATGTGCAAACTACTTACCATTGTCATTGCTAATATTAACAAGTAATTTGATAATTTGTGCTATCACATTCTTAATAAGCAATGAAGCTTTTGCTTTGGAAGATGAAGGTGGTGTATCAGGTTCACGAACATCTTCTGTCTGTGCCAACCATTTCTTACATCGAGTCATTAATCTGAAATGAAGTTAGGAATTCAACAATTGCAATTCAAAACGCAAAAGTAAAGTAGTAGCATAATTGGTTTTTATATGATGCATTGAGATGCTGATCAATCTGACCAAGGCTCTGTAAGATAATGAGCTATTATAGTTTGAATTACCAGGATCTTTCTGGCATTGCCTAAAAACACTGGGTGAGATGGTGGGTATGGGGTTTGAACGCAAGATTTTAACTGCAATGACATCATAGTAAAGTCCAACGCTTTGCAATATTCCGTATACTATACAACTTCTCATTACTTATGATATGAAATGAGTATAATCAACTGAAAAGCTTGATCATTTCAAACTTTTGTTACACAGAGCACAAGAGAAGCTAATATGAACAAGTTGCATTGCAGAGTAAACATATCATATTGCACAATAGTTCATACTCAAACTTCCCCAGTTAACTTTATAAATGTGGAACATCTCTACTCTCCAAAATGCTAATAAATCACTATCATATTAATGGTAAGATTTAAGTAATGGATTTTTTCAATGTTAGATAGCCAAATGTTCTACCTAGGTAGTTGGGACGGAGAAAAATCAGCTCTGCCTTCAGGTTGAAAAATTTCAATTTGTACACCAAATTGTAAAAATTTTGATTCTTAGTAAAATTAATTTCATTTTCAAGCTGTATAAGGTTTGACTTATTTCATCCTATTGAAAGTCTGCAATTTCGAACTCTGGACCTGGTAATTCAGAATTTCAAATCAGACTTCCAACTGAGAGAAGTTAGAAAATACGACCCTGGCTATGACTCCAGTTCTATCTAGCCTTGATACTTACAGAGATATTTTCTTCAGTAGCAATGCTCTTTGGTGTGTAACAAGGTACATAGCATTCCGAGCAGAATTAATGATTCCATTTTCTAAAACTTGAAGTAATCTTTCCAATGTGCATAGGGGTCGCTCGATACGTAAAGGTTGACATGAACAGTCAAGATTTGCAGGAAGATTTTCAATAATATCCACTTGCGCTTTCACTGGAATAAAATGAAAATCTACAAAATGTAGGCATACCTATATACAACATTAGTATATTATGTAATTAAATGAAAAATTCCATAAAATTGCACTAAAAAGGCAATCCATGGTGAGAAAAAACAGAAAAAAAGATTGGGTTACTGTGTAAAACCTTAAAATTGAATTCGGTAATAATTTTATTTTAAAGATTTTAAGCAATCAAAAGCTAAAAGTATACCAAGCCAGAAAGGTCTTCAATTGTTTCTGAGAACCATATAAAATAGAATCAATCAATTCAAATCAATTTCAAAAACGTCATTTATCTGAATATTCCTATACTTTGATATTCAGATATTTTTTTGCTGGAAATGACCCAATGTATTTGGAACTGGGTCATATAGAATCAGAAATATCATTAAACAAGGACGGCCAAACCAAAAAATATTCAACCATTTAGTATACTGAATACATCCTGAAATAGGTTGGCAATCTTTTACAATATGAGATGTTGAATATATTCTGAAATGGGCCTATTCGCTATTCCACAACAGAAATTCTTCAAAACAATTGTAAACTTGGAGAAATTAAATTTGGTTATGCAGAATAATTGAGATAAACATTGATCACAAATAAGTATTCTCTTTATTATTCTGTTAGACGTCTATCATAAAATAATAAATGCTTAAAAAAAACATTTTTAAATGAAAATAATCTAAATTCTTCCTAAAATCAAGAGTTTACTCAATCGAATATAACCAATTTCTTTCGAATGTATTCGAATATTCGATTCATTTGGGACATCCCTGACGTTAATATCAAAAACTTACCCAAGCTGATGACATGATCCAGTCCACCTTTTAATCTGATTTCTTCTCGGAACCACTCACTAGTTTTTCGTGCAGTATATCGTAACAATGCTTCACTGGCTAAAACTTTAGTCTAAATGCAAAATAAGATAGTTCAAAGTTCAAACAGATCCCAATTCCCAACTTTTCTTGACTAGAACTTTAGTCAGAGAGGAAATTTAACTAAAAATAGGGACAAAAAACCACATCAAGGGCTGGGCATTTTTGAATACCTGATGATTTCAGAATCAAATCGAATATTTTTTTAATCGAATCTCGAATATATTGAAGATATTTAAATTGATACGACGACTTTATTTGTGTGTATTTTTTTTTCATTGTGATGGGTTCTCCATTCACCTAACTTTCTAAAACATAGAATCCATCACTCAGTCAGTTTGCTGAGTTGTCATATACAATAAGAAACATGTTTCATCAATGACTGACTACAAAGAAAAAGTGATACGTCGGAGTTGCATTTTAAAAATTTGACAGATTCATCTCGACCTATGGCGGACAAAAAAGAAAAGATGGTGGCGATTCAAAATAATTGTCTGAATAATTCGAATAATTTACTATTCGATTCGTAATGACCAGTCCTAACCACATCTCTACGATTACAAAACATATAAAAAATCGATAGAGAGAGACTTAGTTTTAGAAAACATACCGATAAATCCTGTGAAGTAACGAGCGGATCTCCACATCGATCTATCAGATCTTTTATTTTGTTTTTGACGGCTTCTAATTCTTGATCTGAATTCGTTGTCTGCGCTTCTTGCTTACGTTTGTAAAGCTTAGAAAATTTGGATTTTGGTGGTGTTGCTATTTTTGCTAAAAAATGAGAGAGATGGTAACCAAAACTATGTAAAACCCAATTTATTACACCTTGGGTAAGGGGAGATGACTACAGGACTACAGGAGGCTTGATGCGCTGGCCCCTAGGCCATCAAGCCCAGTCTCTATTACGCACTGGGTGATCTTATGTTGTTCTCAAACATTACGTCCTGCCAAGAGTACCCATAAACTGAAAATTGGGTTTCTCAGCTGGGGGTTAAATTCGACCCAAATTAGGGGTCAAATAATAATTAGCACTAAAAATATTCAAAATAAAAAACGAAGACGTACGTTTATTTGAGGAACCGCCATTTTTATTTTTTTCTAATGGATCAACCAGCTTCAGTAGAATTCTTAACGTAGCTTTATTTATATCAATTTGTCTATCTCTACTTAACATGTATAATAACGATGAGGTAGCCAGTGATAGTGCCTGAAAAAAAAAAACATTGAAGTTCAAAATGATTATCTAAACTTGTCTCTGATGAGTAGCTATGAAGATGGAGAGCAATATTCACAAGAAATAATTTTACACAGGGATGGACAAAATCGAATATTTCACTATTCCGAATACATTCCGAAAAATATTTTCTAATACAAAAATTCCAATACATACATTCTTAATTAGGTGCAAGTTAATTATGGAAAATTACATAAATCACTATATCCTCATGTTGACCATATCTAAAACGATACAAATATAAGGGTTATTGGTTTCTATGTGCTGTTCGTAATCAATTGAAATATTGCATGTTTTGATCTGCTTGTCTGGCAGCATAAAATTCCTAAATTTTGAATAAAAATGTTCTAAATTATTCCTAAATTCAAAAATTTACTATATCGAATACAATGAATTTTGAATGAATTCGAATAGGCTATTCGATTCGTTTTGGACATCCCTGATTATAAATTTTTGTTAATGAAATCGTCCAAATGACATTAAAAAATATAATAGTGACAAATAGACTTTCCATTGCGTAATGATTTATAGTTGAAGCTGATGGTTGTCAAAGCTTTGAAAAAACTTTAAAGAATTAACCAAATGAAACTGAAAGTTCCAAAATATTGAAATACCTGTAGTTTTGGCAATGTAGATAACCATATTTTGAAGAAATGGTGTCCGACCTACGGCCCACGAGGAGAAATTGTGCGCCAATTTTGAATGGTGTGCGGCCCGCGAAACAAGTTTTTACTTTAGTTTAGTCTGGCCCACACAAGTAATCCTAATCCCTCTGAGTTGCAAAACCAATACCTGAGTCCAGTTTATGCATTTGACGTTACAATGCCCGAATCTAGCTTGTGCAAAGTGAACAACACATGCGATCAATAATTAACACAGGAATGCCAATGTGCGGCCCGCGGTTTCACCCAGTTACTTGTTTTTGGCCCTCCTGTGTTAAAGGCTGCACAGTGCACACCCCTGTTTTAATGAATCTGTTTTCATAGCAGAAGAACCAGTATAAATCTGGTGCAAAATACTCAAAAAATAAAGATCTGGTACATTTTCTGAAATAATATCCCCAAATAAATTTATTTGTTTTGTATATAAATACATACCGGTACTTTATTTTCATCAGCATCTTGTAAGTCGTCAAACACTTTGGACAAAACATTATGAGCTCGTAGATAAAGTCTGAAATTTTGTTGTTCGCATTTACAAGCAAGACTGGTTACAGAGAAACATCTAAAATACAGAATAATATAGAGTTGAATATTACTGTGATATATATTATAAGATAGACCAGCTTTTTTTGCCCCGGACCACCTACGCTCTTCATCTCGCCTCGCGGAACACCAATAAATTAGAAGTTATAATTAAAGGGTGGATTCCAAAAAATTCCGACAAATTGAGTCTCTATCCCTGTTTTGTGGAGCGTTCCGAAGAAGCTTGCAGAACAGTGTTCCACGGAACACAGTTAGACCTTTAGTCGAGGTGCAATGCCATTGTTTCTTGTTTTATCACATCATAATTAAGCTAAGTCTGAGTATTTGTTTGAAGTTTTAGAATTTTGTTCCCAAGTTCTAAATTTTATTAAACTCCACTTTACATCCAGGTTTCGAGACCTGGCTCAATTCCCCTGCCTAAGACAAAGTGTAATACACCAGAAATAGTGTCTTTTCAAAAAATGTTCAATGCCTGGTTAGGAGCCTAAACATGGAAGAATTCACTGAAAAAATATTTAATGATGTACATAAATTACTGAGCGAATATTCTATAAAAAAGTGTTAGTTTTTTTTGAAAAATCTTGCGATATTACCTGACAGAGATGGGTTGATGAGATGGAAGGCCTTCTTGCAAATATAAAACTTCATCTTCATATTCTTGTATTTCACCTTCTTCCAAGCAATTCTGATAATTTTTCACATGTCGTACCACGGTGAAATACTGTAGAATAGAACAGATAATAAAATACCATAAAAAAGGCCTTAAAATTGAATTCTAAATTCATAGGTTTTCAAAATATGTTGGTAACAGACTATTGCATATGGAAACAATCAATCAAGACATATACATTATAAATGTAACGCACTTTAGATCTTATTAAGCGCCATTTGAAAGTTATTCCTATTTAAAACATCAAAATCTTTTCAAAGCAACGTAATGTATAGACAAGTGCATACAGTCTCTTTTAGGATTATGTTAAATAAGATTTTACCTCTTTCAGATCGACTTTTGGAATTGGCATCATTGGTACAGTAACAGTAATTTACAAAATTTAATATTGGATTTCACAGACATATTATAATATTTTCATAAAAATCATTAGCATTTACAGAAACATGAATTCTTCAAACAAGAAAAAAGAAAACATGGATGACTAAATTTAGAAACAATCAGACAAACATCTTGGTGCTTTTTATCACATTTCAGTGATGTCACAATACTTTCGCCAACATTTTTTGACCAAGTTACTGATTTTTTCAAGGCTGGAACACTTGATTTCGAACTGAAATTGTCTGCTGTTTTTTGCGATGACTGAGATGGTTGAGATGAAGATAATGAATCAGAAGAATACAAAGACTGAAAATGAAAAGTATAAATCCCAATTTCGAAGGCAAAAGAAATATTACGGTAATTAATCAATTTTCTATAATGAGATCCTTGAAGTAATCCCTATACAATGACAAGCAATTTTTACTATGCAAGATAGAACTCGGCTAATATCATCACCATTTCTAGCACAAATTTGTTTTGGATATTTCAAATCAAGTAAACTACAGTCCAAACTATTTGGATAATTTATCTCCAATTTATACAATTAGACTAATTAGAGAATAAATATCAAATAATATTCTTTCCTACATAAATCAGCTGGCAAGACAGACTTGAGAACCACTGCTTCTTTATACAAATTTACTCAAAGAAAGCTGCTGCGGTCTCTCAAAAAATTGAGAAATATAGTGATAGACGAGTTGGAGGTAATCAGTGAGGCACTAATAGGTTTATTCCTGAGAGAGAGAAGCAGTAGATTATGGTTAACCCAAGAAACAACATATCATCGTACAATTGTACCTCCTGCGTTTTCGCTAGCATGGACATGATGGGGGAAGCCTAATCGACCCGATGTAAAGTATTTTTTGGAGATGCCAATTTAGTACAAGAACAAATATTAAACAAAACTATCATACTACACTATAATTCCAAATTAATTCAGCATTTCACACTCTTGCGCTGACTGCCATATACTCTTGTGCATTCCAATGTTTTATGACCTGACATAACTTATACTAGCATTTTAGCAATCTCTCATAACTTTAAGTGACAGTCCATCACCCAAATTCATCATTTTTTTGTGCAATAGTTTGATACAAATTGAATAGAAAACATCATTACCCTTTTTCCTGAAGATCCCAATAATTTTTTAGTCGGCAGACTTGAAATTCGGACAGATTTTGGAAGTTCTTCTTTGGTTACCTACACAAATTGAATAAACAAATACTAGCCTTGAAACTGATTAAGTTCATCTATCAAATAAAATTGTGTGATACAAGTACATATCAGTGTGTGGTGGAGTACGTATGAGTTAATAATTGGAACTAAAATTGAGCATAATGATTTTTATTTAAAAGACTTCAATACAATAAATTATCTGGAATGTTTCATCACTGTGCAGTGTCTACTCATACTCACTATTAATTTGATTGGAGTACAAGTTTCAATAGAGATTTACGGAAGCCAAATCGATATGATATATGCCATTGTCCTACTTTAAGGACATAAGGCACACTGGGTGATAAGGCGCATGATCAATAAATTGCTTAGATTGGGTTTTTATTCATGTATAAGGAGCATTAACATGTAACATGCAACAGATACTGGTATGGGTTTTGACTGTAAGCCATAAAGCATACAGCTCAGCTCTACCTATTCTCGCAAATTATGTTGTATTGGTCGGCCACATTCTGTATAACTTCTCCTGCTGAAGACACACAGCAGTATTTCGCCAAAAATTTTAAACTATGTGGTTAGATTTTATATAATTGGTTGTTATAAACAATGCGTCATGATTCGAACAATATGTGTCCACAATATCAACAACAGTGCTGTCATCCGAACAATTTCTATTAAAATACATGTGATCAAGCAGAGACCCATAATCTGTGGTCGCGCGATTGGTAGGAATATATTGTCAGAAACCAAGCTCATTCATTTTTATCGTGTCATCATTGCGAATTGCGAGTACTCACAAGACACTGTGACAGAGACCATTCCGAAACAGCACTACCACGCTCCTTGTCGTTAAAAGATGTGATGCGATTGCTGTCTTTCCAAGCTTGTTCGGCCTTCTTTTTTGCTCTTCTCTCCCTCTTTTTGACCTCTAAACTTTTTCTTTTCATCTTGGGCATCGCGTTATATCAAAATATAGGAAACAATAGCCAACTCCCCACGTTGTCGTCGAGATACTATTTGAAGAAACACTTTTATGAAGAATTCTGCAAATCCGAACTGGATTGTTTTCAGCCAATAGCCTTGTATTTACCATCAAAAATGGCCAACGCCGACTACTATATTTTGTGTCAAATACAACAGTGCTAACCGGGGTTGCGGCGGCTATTCAATCACAGCCTAGCGACATTTTGGTGAAGAATTCTGCAACCCCGAACCTGATTGTTTCAATTTGGTATCAGCCAATAGCCTATTTGCCACCGAAAATGGCGAATGTCGACTAACCTATAGTTTGTGTCAAATACAAAGATAGTATACGAAGGATGGTTCCAATTGCATCCTAATTGGCTTAATACAATGATTCCAGAACAGTCATGTGGCAAGGGACAATACACCGGTCCTCACCAGTCCCACAAAGTCGAAGCGGCATGTAACCAAAATACCTAAATGCTCCACATCGGAGATAGGGCATTGTTTTTTTTTAATCAGCAGTAAACGGATGTTTAAAGTTGAGCATTTTTTTTTTCTTTTAAAAAATAAAACAAAACAATTACACAATTCACAAGGTCCAATTCATAATGTGATTAAATGGAATTGACATTGAGTTGATTTCCAGCACACCATGTTTGATTATTAACATACAGTAGTACAAATTATACAGTCAACAGAATTCATAATCCATGATGTATGTATGAAGGTTTAATTCCAATATTTGAATAATTCCAATGATTGATTGGTATTCCACCATAACAACATCGTCAGCATGATACAGGAATCCAATTTATACATAGAGGTTATATATTACCATATCACATATTTTAAGTAAATGAAAGAAAGGCAATGTTAGACATGGAATAATATGACCATAATCTTTCCTGTAAGTAATATTTTAATATAATACAATAAATATAAAAATTAAATATTACTATAAAAAAATTAATACATAATACATTTGAACCTAGTTCAGAGTTAGGATTGATAGGTTTCCAATTCTTATTTTTTGCATGAAAATGCAAGCCAAAAAAATAAAAAAATTAGACAGAAAAATAGAAAAACACGTAGATATTCTATTGGCGTTTTCCCATTCGCCACCTATGTTCACATAACTCTTTTTCTTCTTTGAAAAAATAAATAAATATTTGAGATAATGGATATGAAAACTTCACAGAATCACAGATTTCAATCTCTTCATGATCTCATCTCTTAATATTCCTTTTTTTATAAACTCATTCATAACTATTATAGATCCTATCACCACTGTTCAAAGTATGGACTGATAAGTTTCCAATTCTTCAAATATTATGTCATTTCTAAAATTCCAAATTGTTGCTTTGCCACAAGAGATAATTAAATTCAGTGATTTAGTTTCAACACATTGAGTAAACATACCATCTTCTGTATAATTTGATAAATTTAGCCACTTCCAAAAAGATTTTATATAATCACAATGAAAAAATAAATGCATAAAATCTTTTATCACTCTATTACAAAATACACAATTGCCATTTGTTTCATCTGACCAATGTCCTATTCGCTCTCCAGTTGGAAGCCCATTTTGTAAAATCTTCCAACTTAATACCTGATATTTTCTGGGAATATAATTTGCCCACACTTTATTCCAACTAAAATTAGGTCTTAAATTAGAAATAGAGTTAAAACGATTCAGTTTCCATTGGTCAATGATAAACTTTTTTAATAACTTTTTTGTGGTGAGGTTTTTAAGGAAAATCGAATTTAAAAGACATCAGTACAAGATTATGATCACTAGTTTTTTCTCTCAATATATCTTTCCATTCTTGAGGAATTGATCTTGAAATTTTCTGAACACACAAAATCACATTCCTAATTTTATTTTTTGCTCTATTTTCAGCCAGGTTTCTTATTTTATCTTCTCCGTATTTTTTTTCGGTAATAAGTTTACATGATAATTTAACAATATGCTCTATTTTTGTTTAATTTGTCTTAATCCAATTGCTTACATCATCTGAATGATTTCTCAAATTAATCAATGAATTAAACCAAATATACTCTTGGTAAATTCCGCATGTTAGTTTTAAAGGATTTCTTTGTATATTTAAAGCCCTGAAATAGTTGACAATATTTGTATAAAACTGAGGTATAGATTTTTACATATTCTTGATTTTCCCCCCAAATAAATTTCCAAATTAGTTTTTCTAAAATTTAACATTTAATAACATTTCGAATTCTTTTTGTAACTGGTTTCCAATTTTTATTTTATCATTTCCTATCCAGCAACCTAATACCGGTACTGTAATACTAACACATGTAATATAAGGTCCCTGGAAACATTAATGCCACGAACCTGAATAATTGGAAAGTTCACCAAATTACCACATATCTGGTACCGGTACCAGTATTTTTGATTTAATTTTATCCATGTACGGTACCGGTACGGTACCGGTACCGTAGGTCCCTATTTCTGTATTTCTTTTTCAAAATGTTCAACGACATTCATAGATGCATATAAAGAATAGTAATCTCTTAAAGTCAGCAATGCATCATCTGCAAACCCCTTATATATTTGTTCCTCAATCGCCGCATTAATAAAACCTCTTCTTCTGCCTCTGACTTCTGCCAGACTGCCGTCTGGGTCGGACGTGTTTTTGTTGCTCTGTTAGATGAAAGATCGATCAATGCTGTTGGACTGAGAATGCTACGCGCTGTGTGTTTCGGTATTTACTATTAGATTTGTATCTCGTGATATCAACATAATCAAGGCCCATCCACCGGAATTAAAGAAGTTTATGGATAAAAGATTGGATTTAAAGTTTGTGTTTGGCAGTCGTCGGGTGCGGTCGCATTTTTGAACGGCGCAGAAAGATTAGATTGACAACAATGAACCAGCACTTAAGGAATATCAACAAGTAAAGGCCGAAATATGAAATTGCATGGCAGCATAAAGGCAACATACGGACATCATAACAGAATCGAAAGATGAATACAACAGGGATTGATTCAGATATTTTATTTTGTGACAAAGAGTATGATATACTGCTATTTCTAGAAATTCCGCTTGAATACTGAGTATTCAACTATATATGTGTAAATAGTTTGCAGTGTAACTTACAGTGTAACATTTTTAAACATTCATTTAGTGGCATATTTTTGATTTGTTCTCTCTGTGTGTATACCGGTACTGTTTTAACAATGTTGGCCACGTCAATGTATCAATTAGGCTACAGACCTGCTCACGTGTGATTAGTGTTTTTCCTAATAATTGCTTTTATGAGTGTCCGCACACCGAATTTGCCGCCATGGTTTTGCGTTTGTTTGTATATTAAACCACTTATCACCTTTTCCGCAATGCCCAATCAAGCAATCAGTGTAGTTTTTCATGGCTTGGTTTTTCTTAAAGCTTTCATGGCTTCATGAGTATGACTATCGTCGCAAATTTATTACATTCCACTCCCCACATTATCTTTGCATGAGGTTGTAGGTATTGGTCATCATCAACGTAATTGTTGAAAGAGAGTACAACAGCCCGAAAGTTATTACTATCGTGTATTTTGTTTTTTAAGTTTGGCCCAAGCCTCATTTAATTGGGCTTGTGTTTTTGTGTGCGTGCTGGTGGGCAGGCACATGAGATACTTCATGTTTTAAACTTTTTTGTAGGTTTTGCTTGCCCTCCAGAATTCTCCATTTTTAATTTCGGTTTGTTATGGAGTTTTCGAAATAAACTATCTATCTATCTATCTCTAATCCGTGGTTTATTTCTAATGGACCTTTCCCCGAGCATCGACTTCCTTGTTTACTTCGTGACATTGGCCAATCAGCAAGATGAAAAAATTGACGTAACAATGCCCCCTTTTTGCATCCGCTCAGACACTTTTCTCACTCAGACAGATTTTCAAGCGTGGTTGTAAACATTACCTCGTTTTCGCGTTTTTGAACTCTATTCGTTAGTTTTCAGTTGTGTTTCGGAAACTTAAATAAAAATCAGATAATCCAATGATCACTCTGTCTTCCTAAGAGTTTTAATTTAATTGCAGTAATAAAAATTTGTGTAGAAATAGCTGTGATAGACTAGCCTGAAATTCTTTACCGGTACTTTGAAAAAACCGATTGTTGTGTGCAATGAATCATAATGATGGTTTGAAACACATACCTCATTTTACAGGCGCCAACTCGCAAAAGCACTCCTAAAATAGCACTGAAAATTTTGCAATGGCAAAGTATAGAAAGAATTTTCCGGGGGTCAAAGGTCGGGGAAAGGTCCATAGGCTACTACATGCAAATACTTCAGCAATGGAAGTATAAATAAAGTATCAATATATCGGAGACGGTGGAAAACAAACGATCCTTACAAAACTTATTGAGCACCCATTAGGTGTCACCAGAGACTCCCTAATTTTCGATGGTTATTTTTGCGCAGCGAGTTTTCATGCTGCCGCGACACTCAACAAACGATCGAGAGAATACCGGAACGGAATTGAAACAGATTTTTTTAAATTGTGCGACCTCCCATGGATCAAGACTAGTCCCGTCATAATTGACAAACTATAATTCCAGGCACATGGATTCAGTTGTGGAATGAATCTGCAGTCATTCAGCTGGGATACAAGCATTCATTTACCCAACTACTCTGCAACCAAGGAAAAATATATACCAGAATTCAAATTTCTCATGACATGATTCACCAAAATTTGGACCAAGACGCTGGCTTAAGGAAATCTCAACTCACATTCCAGCTCATAACACCGGGACTACCGAATTTTGACGACAAAAACTTTGGCATGAAAGCCTTCAATTGTCTGTTGAGAATGCTTTGTCAACCCCATACTTTTGTAGTTTCTGCTAGAATGCTAGATTTTGATTTCGATTACCATTATTAGGAGTATGAAACTTCCATAAAAACATGCTGAAGTCTCTGCAAAACTGAAATTACAACCTGTCAAAACCAGACTCAAAGACAAATTAAGAGATGTAAAATGCTTTTGAATATTTAATATCAACATTTAAACTGTTAGCAGAATCACACCCCGTAACCAGAGCTGAATATCAATAACAAAAAAGATCATAATTCATAAACACAATTATACCACATGAAACAGAAAATAACAAATGAACTTAAGATAAAATACACCAGTCGAAAAAGTTGTTTCATTAAAACACATCACATTCCTGGCATATGCCACAAATTATTTAACAATAACAATAATAAACTTTTCGTAATGCATTATGATTTGCAAGCTCAAAACATTGTTATTTTAGTTGAGTTGAAATCGAACAAGAACTCTATATTAGTTTTTGACTGATGTAACTCCAATAATTTTTCGAAATTGTAAACACAGTGAGAGAAATCAGAATCAAGAGCGGGAACATTTAGGAATATATGTAATGTTGAGAATGCCAGATCCAAATCTATTTGCGATCACATTGTTTATTAAGAATCTTGTTTATTGTGATATAAACAAATATTTTTCAGAATATAACAAATAAGTCATTAGATTCAATATTCAATCTTGAGAGGTCTCCATCACAAATTATACTCTTATTCATATCACAAAACTTTGAAAAAAATTTATACCCAGGAGTTGACACAACATAGGTTAATAAACCAGTGGGTATATACAGATATTCTGAATAGAAATAATTTAATTACTACATTATGACGGGAATGCAATTCTGTCGCAAGAATATAAAGTAAATGACACAACAAGGAACCTTCAGAGACAAACATTTTGAAGTTAAACTGCATTGGCTTATGTCAATTTTTTTTTGAAAGATTAAATTCCATGTATCTGTTACTTTGATACCTACACTCTTGTTTGGGAATAATACAAGACTCCATAATAGTAATAGTGACATTTAATCAAAAATCTAAAATGATGTATTTTACTTCACTTACTAACATGTTTAATACTTACTTAAAGCTGTATTGATTCTTTCTATATATTAGGATGGGATTTTTATCCCGGGATGTACGGCTTTCAAATTAGCGCATCCATTTATTTAAATTCATTCATTTAAATCCTATATACATATACAGCTATACAAAAAAACTTTTGGCTTTGCTAATATGCTTGTAGAGTACATGAACATTTCTAAAATAATTTGTGAAAATTTGACTGGAACTGAACTCCAATATTGAGTTGTACATGCCACTACCACAAAAATAGATTTAAATTCACAACAAACCATCTAAAATTAAGCAATAAAAAGTAAATAAAAAACTTAAATAAAACTCCTCCCTGATTATGCAAAAATTGTAAGCTTCAAGTACATTTTCACCTAGTTTCCACGATTTTCCAGCTAATTTTATGGCAAAACTCAATACATCCCAATTATTGCTTTCGGGTAGAGAAAAAGCACAATACCAAACAGATAATGCTTGGAACTGGTCCCGATATAGTATATAATGGAAACAAAAGCGAAAATGTAGCGATTTCACAAAAATATTATCAGCAAAATGTCTGAAAAGATTGAAGTACTTCTTTGTTATGTCTGTGATCGTATTCTAAATAATCTTTTAACTTTAAATTATAACTAGCAAATATGAGAGCACATGGATACCGCTGTGAACAGCAGAAAAGTATACATTCAACCAGCTTGACACAACACCCCATTTAATCAATGCATCAGTTGGATTTGAACGAATTCATGGCTGATAACAAAATCATTAAATTGATTTATCTAAATTGACTTCTTCCATGTCTTCTATCACTTGAATCAATTTTTGTTCTCCCTTTTTGGACATTCCGTGCTGTGAATAGTAAACCAATATTAAAAATGATCGAAAACATAAAATCTATGCATATCTATCTATTTCCAAACTTAAATTAAGTCACTTGACCAAGTATCCAACAAATATTAAAAGAATGATGCGTATACAACAATATACATCAAACTTACCGTTAAGTACATAAAAGACAGGAATTTTTTCAACATTTTAATCATAGATGACAGATCTCCATTATCTGGAAGTCTGGATCTGATTGCCGTAGCATTCATTCGACTTCCGTGAATAAGACATCCGAGTACAAGGGCAGTATAAGATGCAATTATTGAAGCTTCCATATGATCGTTTGCTTTTTCAAGTGCTAAACATGAAATAAGGAATGAAAAATTGATGCAAAGTGTGAATTTAAAAAAAAGTTACCAAACTAAGGGGTTGGCCAATTCACACATAACTCTGATAACACTAAAAATTTGGCTTATGCGCGCATATCTTTGATTGCGCTCAAACGAAATGACATCATACTAACTTAATTCCAACAGCTACAACCTGAACCAAGTTTCCATGATAAGAGTGTGTACACAAACACTCGAAGCAGCACTTGGTAAGCTACGATAGCAATAACAGTCTGTTATTGGTTGTCATACACATGATCGCTTGCGCCTTTATGCTATGACAGCAATAACGATTTGTAGGGTACGCTTAGATGAGAATTTTTATAAATTCACTGTTTTAGGGTCGTTTTTTGAGGGGTCGGCTTACGGTATATGCGAGGATACGCAAGTCATCTTTTCAGAAACTTTCCCATCATCAAACATTGAAAATTTGACATTGATCAGTCCGATATTTGCAGAGAAAGTGTTTTTAACAACAATTACAAGAATTTAGCAAAGCAAGGGTCGATCATGTCTAAAAATAAGAGAATCACTTTCCATACATACCTTGTCTCATTTCGTCTTTTTCTTCAGCAGTTAATTTGGCTTCAATATTATTAGGATTTGTGATCGACCTGTGGGATCCTTGACTACTGGGTAAATCATCGTCATCTCGTTTCGATTGTACGGAAACCCATTCCATACCTTCTTCACTTTCAACCCAATATCCTTCATCATCTGCATCACCCAATCCAACAGCATGCTGTGATGATTTGCTGTCGTAAAAATAAATATATTTGTATTATGTACAATAGAAATTTGATTTAAATAATATTTTATGCCAATTTTTTATAATATGCTTATTCAAACCATTCGTTCTGAACAATGCTGTGTATTAGCAGCAACTACTTACTAATACCAGTCTTTCTGGTTCTGCATTGCTAACCCAAATTTATTACAATCTGTGTCAGATGAGGGGTAAGAGATTGAACCAGAAATGCGCAACCTACGATGGCATTTGGCAACATAGTTAATCTTGCACTGCAAATACCAGGCCATCGCACAGCCATAGCTATTTTGCATATTTTTTCCGTTTTTCAAATTTTATATAAGCATTCAAATTCAGATTCATACTTTAAACCTCCGGCACTTCCAGCTTTCTGCATTCGTTTTGCTTCAGCTGCTCTTTTGACCCCGTCTTCTCCTAATATTTCATTATCTCTTGCAGCAACTTCACGATCAATGAAAAGCTAAAATAAAAGAGAAAAAAAAAAAATGTAATCAGTAGCGCTGGGAATAGTAAAGCGGTTGACCAGTTTACCGCCATTGCATGGTTAACAATTACAATTAATTTTGATCGTTGAATATCATCCAAGATAATACTTCATTTTTCAATTGCAGTTCCGCAATTTTAAGAACGGACTTTGAATGGCATTCGAAACATGCAAATTCTGCCAAAAAAAAAACAAAGCAAAATAATTTTTTTGGGAGGTAGCGCTAAATGCTTCGAATTCACAATGTTCTGGCATCAAAATGCCTAGAGATATTCAAAATAGTTTACATCTCTTTTGTGAGAATGACCAAACAGAGCGACGTGTTACTAGAAGGAAAATTCCGATCCAGAAACAATTTCCAGCAAATTGAAGGAAAGCGAACTACTTTAGAATCGTATCGTAATATGGTGTAATTTCCCCCAGTATCACACGTCTAATGAGACAACATTGATTCAAGCTGTTATTTTGATGCCAACAGAGGGGAGCCAGTCAACCAGTAAATCCTATCTTATATATTTCAATATATACTTGTCTCACATGAACTAAAGCATCAACAATTGAAATTTCATCATCATCTTGGTCAGCAGAACGAGTTTTCATTTGCATAAGTGACATTCGATTTTTAGCACTGCTCTCCACGAGATTTACCATAAGACCCAAACTCTGGAAAAATGAGCACATCTCAGTCAGAAAATATTAAATTGGTAAACTAAAGTTGGGCATTTTTGAAATATTGGATGAGATTGTACAATTATCGTACAAAATCTAATCAATTTGGTGATTAAAATCAATTTATTTTGGATAATCATTATCCATATACTATTTGTATACTATCAATTCTTCGAAGACAAATGTGCTACACAATCTCTCAATTCATTTTGAAGATATAAAAAAATTGCAAGATACATTATTATAAATTTTTATTTAATTATTATAATGATGAATTAATTTTGAAATTGAAAAAAATAACACATAACCCCATAAATTTAAATATCAATATAAAAAAATCATCATATATACTACCGGTAAGTAAATTTACATTTGAGATTCAAGCCTGCAAGTATATAAAATTTGAAAACGATAAAATAAACCCGTTGCAAGAGTAAGAATAGAAGATTCAACTTGTACATACCAGCAACATAATTTCATATCTATGTTCTTCATCAACATGTTCAGGAATATGTAAAATGCATGACAATATGTTATCCAGCATTCCTTCTTGATCCCCAATACGTGTACTTGACCATTCTAAATACACAATATATAATAAAAATTATATAATAAACTATGTACAAATACCCGAGGCTACGAGAGACTAGCTCAGGTGTGGGCAAGCTTTTAGGACTAAGAGGCAAAAATTTTGCCCATCTAGACCAGTGGGCCATGTAAGTATCATGTGAAAAGTTACGCTTTATGAACGATATTTACAGTGTTACAAAAGCAACAGTGAAAAACAATAGGCTTCATGCCAAAACTAAATTTAACTACAACTCAATAAATTCCTTAAGCTATTCTTAGCTAAAACATGAAAATTTAGTTTCAGTTAAGTTGTGGCAGCATCAGGTGGGCCAGAGTGAATCACCCAATGGGCCAGATTTGGCCTGCGGGTCGTATTTTGCCCATGTCTGGACTAGCTCCTTATGCTTCCTATCTGCCCTATATAAGGGCTCTTCAGTGTAATTCAATAAACTTTCTGCACAGTGCACACTAAGACAACTGTTTTATTGTTATGCTTTGTCTGACCAAGGTCCGACTTCTTTAAACACATATATTTTGATTATGTTCATGCGCAATTAAATTGGTTTCTGTGGGACAAACTACTTATACTTTTTGAGTACTCTTGCGCTGCTGGATTTGAATATATACCTAAAAATACAACAATGCTGTAGCAAATACAAAGACTCTCGCTGGAATCTTCTAGACTGACTTTGCTCTGCCTGTCATGTTAGATTAGATTTTTAACTTGATTGCATTCCACGGGTACTAGTATATTGAAGATAAATTCGTTAACTTCCTACTTCGAATCTATAATACGGCCTTTTACACGAGGATGCTTAAACAAAAGAGTACTTAAAAGTGATTAAAATTTCACTTCAATGCTTTACCAATAAAATTTAAATAGATGAGGAAAAATTACTTACCATTGTCATTGCTAATATTAACAAGTAATTTGATAATTTGTGCTATCACATTTTTAATAAGCAATGAAGCCTTTGCTTTGGAAGATGAAGGCGGTGTATCAGGTTCACGAACATCTTCTGTCTGTGCCAACCATTTCTTGCATCGAGTCATTAATCTGAAATGAATATTTTATAAGTTAGCAACAATGTAACAATTGCAATTCAAAAAAAGCAAAAGTAAAACTAAAGTATTAGCATAAATGGTTTTATATGAAAGCTGATTTTTCTGAACAAGGCTCTATGTAAGGTAAGAAGCTTCTATAGTTTGAAAGGACGGGAATCGCTCCAGTTCGGCATTGCCTAAAAACTCTATTACACACTGGATGAGATGATGCGCATGGAATTTGAACAGGAAATTTTAAATATGTTAATCCTATCCTATCATAGTTAGGTCCAACGCTTAACAATTTTCCTGGACAACGTATTATTTCTTATGGTATGAAATAGGTGTAATCAACTTAAAAGCTATAAAAAACAAACAATACTCTTGAGAATATAAGGAGTAACAAAAAAAAACATTGATCATTTCAAACTTTTGTTACACAGAGCACAAGAGAAGCAAATATGAACAAGTTGCATTACATCGAAAAAATATATATATATATCGCATAATCGCAATACTAAGTAAAAATTAATTGCATTTTGGTTTTAAAAAAAAGGTTTGGCTTATGAAAGTCTGCAATTTCGACCTCGGGTAATTCAGAATTTCAAATCAGACTTTCAACTTAATCATGATATTGAAAATACGACTCTGGCTCTGACTACAGTGAAAACAAGCTGAAGAACAACTCTTGATTCTTGGCTTAAAATCCACAGTGTTCTAGCCTTGATACTTACAGAGATATTTTCTTTAGTAGCAATGCTCTTTGGTGTGTAACAAGGTACATGGCATTACGAGCAGAATTAATGATTCCATTTTCTAAAACTCGAAGTAATCTTTCCAATGTGCATAGGGGTCGCTCGATACGTAAAGGTTGACATGAACAGTCAAGATTCGCAGGAAGATTTTCAATAATATCCACTTGTGCTTTCACTGGAATAAAATGGGAATTAATTTTGCTGCATCCACAAAATGAAGGCATCCCTATACTTAACATTAATATATTATGCAATGAAATGAAAAATTCAATAAAATTCGACAAATAACATAGACTATCAGTGAGCAAAAACAAAAAAAGTTATTGGGTTACTGTGTAAAACAATTAAATTCATTTTTCAGGATGGCAAAGAAAAAAGTAACCTGTTTTCAAAATATTTTTGATATTATGGTTCTTTCATACTTTATACTGCGATAATAAGCTATCAATAGATCATACTCGATCATACTTGTTGAAAAAGAAAAATATTTTCAGAATTTCAAAATCAGGGATGTCTAAAACTAATCAAATATTCAAACTTTAAAATTCTCGATATTAAGAATAAGTTTTTTTGAAAAATTTTGAGCAATCAAGAGATAAATGTATACCAAGTCAGAAGGGTCTTCAGTTGTTTCTGAGAACCATAAAAAATAGAAAACCAATCAATTCCAAAATCATCATTCAACTGAAAATTCCTAAATTTTGACACTCTGACAGGTATTATTTTGCTGGAAATTTCCCAATGTATTGGGAACTTGGTCATGTCAAATTAGAAATATCGTTATACAGGGATGACTAAAAACAAATAATTTATTATTCCGAATACATTCTGAAATAATCTTTTCGAATATATTCTGAAATGGGTCTGTTCCACAAGAGAAATTCTTCAAGGCAATTGTAAACTTGTAGAAACTAAATTTGATTATGCAGAATAATTGAGATAAAAATTGTTTTAATTAGTATTCTATATTTTAAATAGTATTCTATAAGTTAATTAAATAATTTTTTGTCTGTCATAATATAATAAATGCTTGAAAAGAAATTTTCAAATAAAAATATTCTCAATTATTTTCCAAAATCAATGGTTTACTAAATCGAATATAACCAATTTCGAATGTATTCGAATATTCGATTCATTTGGGACATCCCTGACGTTAATATCAAAAACTTACCCGAGCTGATGACATGATCCAGTCCACCTTTTAATCTGATTTCTTCTCGGAACCACTCACTAGTTTTTCGTGCAGTATAACGTAACAATGCTTCACTGGCTAAAACTTTAGTCTAAAAGCAAAATAAGATGGTTCTAATAGATCCAAACTTTTTTTGACTATGACTTTACCACTCAAAAAGGAAATTTGACCAAAAATAGATAAATTTTTATCCTTGCCTATATAATCCTTTGTAAAGCAGTAAAAATCCAGTTTTTAAAAATTCAAAGAAGTGATTTAATTTTTTGGTGAAATTAAAAACAAATGTTTTTGATTAAAGTCTCTAATCAGGATAAATATTATGGAGATGTAGTAATAGATGCAGTCACTGACTTTGTGAAACGATACTATTTTTGGAACGACCGGAATATTTCTGTTACAATATCTATGCCTATGATGGCCATTAGGTTTGAACTTGAGAAATAACCTCTGACGCCACCACAGTTAGGATTGAAGACTCAACCAAATGTTGGGCTGGGAATTTTCGAATACCTGATGATTTTGAATCAAATCGAATTTTTTTAATTGAATCGCAAATACTTAGAGGGCATTCAAATTGATACATCGACGTTATTTGTGTGTGTGTGTGTTTTTTACTGTAACGGGTCCTTCGGACACCTAAATTATTGGAAAAATAGAATCCATCACTCAGTCAGCTGACTTGTCACAACTAATGAGAAACATGTTTCATCAATAACTGATTATAAGGAAAAAGTCATGCAAGAATTGCATTCTAAAAAACTGGCTTCAACAGAAAAAATTCGCACTGACCTATAGGGGACAAAAAAAATGGGGGGCCATTCGAACTATCCGTCTGAAACTATCCAAATAATTTCCTATTAGAAATGCCCAGTCCTAACCACATCTATAATTTACAAAACATATAATAAAGAGACTTAATTTTAGAAAACATACCGATAAATCCTGTGAGGTAACGAGTGGATCTCCACAACGATCTATCAGATCTTTTATTTTGCTTTTGACGGCTTCTATTTCTTGATCTGAATTTGTTGTCTGCGCTTCTTGCTTTCGTTTGTAAAGCTTAGAAAATTTGGATTTTGGTGGTGTCGCTACTTTTGCTAAAGAATGAGGGAGATGGTTAACAAAAAATATCTGAATCCGTTCGACATTGCCTACCCAATTTATTATACCTCGGGTAAGATAGTGGGATGACGATATGAGCCTAAGCCTAAGAGTTAGCCAACTGAACATACCCCTTGCCCATTGAGGACTGTCTGTGTTAGCCAAGTGAATATACCCCTGCCTATAGGTTTCAGTCCCTTTACACAACTTTATGTAAAGTAGGCGAACAGAATTAGTAACCTCCATATTGGTACACACACTTCTGGATCGTCGAACTTTGAACATAAAAACAGAAGAATTTTCAATTTATTTTCTAGTACCGGTACTTGTGGCGAAATGTGGTCAGTAAATAATTAGCACTAAAAATATTCAAAATTCAAAATAAGAAACGAAGACGTACGTTTATTTGAGGAACCACCATCTTTATTTTTTTCTAATGGATCGACCAGCTTCAGTAGAATTCTTAACGTAGCTTTATTTATGTCAATTTGTCTATCTCTACTTAACATGTATAATAATGATGAGGTAGCCAGTGATAGTGCCTGAATAGAAAAAAGGGTAAACAGCATCTAGGAATGTAGATTAATCAATTCACAATATAGTAGCTACAAGGATGGGTAATCTCTAAGTATGTGAATCGAGATGGCAGACACCGGAACTTCACAAGGCATAATAATTTTACACAGGGATGGACAAAATCGAATATTTCACTATTCCGAATACATTCTGAAAAATATTTTCAAATTTGGAATTTCGTATACATTCTAAATTGTGTGCAAGTTAATTATGGAAAATGGTTATTGGTTTCTCTGTGTTGTTTGTTACCAGTTGAGATATTGGATGTTTTGATCTGTTTGTCTGACAGCACAATATTCCTAATTTTTGAATAAAAAATGTTCTAAATTATTCCTAAACTCAAAAATTTACTATATCAAATATGATGAATTTAGAATGTATTCGGATACTCAATTCGTTTTGCAAATAAATTTTGTTTTGTATAAAAATACATACTCTGTTTTCATCAGCATCTTGTAAATCGTCAAACACTTTGGTCAAAACATTATGAGCTCGTAGATAAAGTCTAAAATTTTGCTGTTCGCATTTGCAAGCAAGACTGGTTACGGAGAGACATCTAAAACATGGAAGATTTTCAAATTGATATATATTATGATATAATGAAACAAGAAACAGTGGCTTTGTTTTTAGTGATCGGCAACCTGCAGCTCCAGAGCAACATACGGCTCTTTGTTCTCCATGTTCTAGCTTCAGTGAATCAAAGTGCTTACCGCAGTTGATTGTTGAAAGCAGTGGGAATTAAATGGCATAAGCATAAAGCTAAATACTTCTCACTAATTACGCATCACAATGGTTTCAAACGGTTGCGGGTGATAAAAATGGGTGTCATTAAGACGATTCAAGTCTGTCAAAAAAAACTTTTTATTTTTATTTTACAACTTCTTTTCATTTCGTCATTAGCTGAACTAATGCATCATTCGCAATTTCATTTGACTTGACTAGATTATTGCATTATGAGTGGGTTTCTGAGAGTTTTATTAATAGCCACTGTTATTAAAGTAGATGTTGCGACTCCGAGTTGGAGTCTGATGGAAAGAATACCAAATGGCTCTTTCAATGCTAAAGGTTGCTCATCCCTGGTTTAGGTGCAAGGCCACAGACTACACACCCCTGTTTATTAGAATCCCGGTTTTGAGATTCACTGGCTCAATTCACATGCCAGTGTGAAGAGTGTACTACACCAGAAATAGTATTTTTCCAAAAACATATTCAATGCCTGGTTGAGAGCCTTAATATGGAAAAATTCACTGAAAAAACCTTCAATGATGGCGTAATTTACAAAGTATTCTATAAAAAGGTTTTGCTTTTTGGGGGGAAATCTTGTGATAGTACCTGACAGAGATGGGTTGATGAGATGGAAGGCCCTCTTGCAAATATAAAACTTCATCTTCATATTCTTGTATTTCACCTTCTTCCAAGCAATTCTGATAATTTTTTACATGTCGTACTACAGTGAAATACTGTAGAAAAAAACAGATAATAAAAAATACCTTAAAAAAGGACTAAAAATTGGATTCTAAATTCAACTGCTTTCAATATATAAGAGTAACAGACTAATTCAAATGTAAACAACCAGTCATGTACAGTATAAATATAATGCACACTAGATCTCAAATGCCATTTGAAAGTTATTTTTATTTAAAACATAAAAATCTTTTTTTTAAATCAGAGCGCGTAAAGGCATGTACATAAATCACTTTTAGCATAAGATTTTACTAATTTCAGATCCAATATACTTTCAATATATATATATACATGCAATATACTTTCAGAATTGAAATCATTTCTATAATCAAGAGCAAGTAAAGGTATTAAAAATCACTTTTACACGGTGTTATTTATTAATTTACCTTCGGTATTTAGTCAAATTGAAAAATTTACAAAATTTAATAATGTATTTCTTCGACATAAATACCGGTAATCATTACAAATCAATAGCATTTGCAGAAATAGAAATTTTTCAAACAAGAAAAAAGAAAACATGGATGACTGAAAAAAATATATCTAAATACAATCGGACAAACCTCTTGGTGCTTTTTATCACATTTCAGTGATGTCACAATACTTTCGCCAACATTTTTTGGCCAAGTTACTGATTTTTTCAAGGCTGGAACACTTGATTTTGAACTGAAATTGTCTGCTGATTTCTGTGATGACTGAGATGGTTGAGATGAAGATAATGAATCAGAAGAATATGAAGACTGAAAATGAAAAAACTTAGTAACGTTGATGAACAATTTCTTACAAAAAGATCTTTGAAGCCATCCCTATACAATAATAAGCAAATTTTCACGATGCAAATTAGAACTAAGACTCTTGAATTGAATGCTGTAGTTATTTTCACTCTTGCTATAGCATCCTTGCATTATACGCATACGGATCCATCAGCGCAAAGGAATAGAGCAAGGAAAAGTAGTTAGTTTCATGTAACCCCAACTGTTAGTTAGAACTAATATCATTACCATTTTCTAGAACACATCAGTTTTGGATATTTCAAATTAAGTTAACTATATTCCAAACTATTCGGATAAGATATCCCCAATTCATGCATCAGCTAATTTGCAGATAAATATCGAATAATATCCTTTATTATTAATAAATAAATCAGTTGGCAAGAAAGACTTGAGTACCGCTACTTCTTTATACATCTTTACTCAAAGCAAAAGTCTCTCAGAAGAGTGGGAAGAGTAATGATAGACGAGTTGAAAGTAATCAGTGACATGATAATAGGTTTATTCCTGTGGGAGAGATGCCAGTAGATCTGACATAGGCAAAATATGGCCCGCCGGCTTAATACGACCCATTGGGTAAATCAATCTGGCCTGCCTGATGCTGCCACAACCAAACTAAAGCCAAATTTTGATCTTGTAGCTAATAAATAGCACAAGGAATTTGTTGAAATTGCAAATAAATTTAGTTTTGTTAATTGTTTTCAACTTTTGCTTTTGTAACACTGTGGGCCCCCACTCTAGATGGGCAAAATTGTTGGCCCCTGGTCTAAAACCTTTCCCACCCCTGCAGTAGATAATGGTTAACCCAAGAAACAACAAGCCATCGCTAACTGGTAAACAACCATTAGTGATGATTCCATACCATCATATTTATACCAACCTATATTTGTGAATAACAATCCGTTTTTATTTTTTCAGCCAACTTCAAATGTTGGCTCAGATCTTTTCACGATGCCATAGTTCAAATTGATTCATTTAACATTAATATAGGATAAGTTCATAACCTACTGCAATAATGCTTGCATCATATAAGCGGTGGGTAGCAAGACGTAAATGAAAGAAGAAAAATTTGTAAACACAATACAAAAAAAAAGAATCGTAAAATTGTACCTCCTGTGAGAACGACTGTAAATCTTTAGAATTTGCTGCCCATGGTCTTGGATTATAAGACACATTTGGTTTTGACGACTGAAACAATAAAGTTGGTGTTATTAAATGTAAAGTACATTTCAGAGATGCCAATTTAATATGACAAGGACAACAAATATTAAACAAAACTATCAAATAAACTATAATCATCATTACCTTTTTTCTTGAAGATCCCAGTAATTTTTTAGTTGGCAGACTTGAAATTCGGACGGATTTTGGAATTTCATCTTTGGTTTCCTACACAAATTCAATAAATAAACATTAGTACAAGCTGCAATAGAGAATGAGCAAAGATGCCAACTGGGTTATAAGGCATATGGTCGATAAATTGCATAGATTTGGTTTTTATTCATGCATACATAGCATCAGGATGCAACAGATACTGGCACTGGTATTGGTTTTGATTGTAGGCAATAAAGCATAAAGCACTACCTGATCTATACATTACGCACACCGACTTGAGAATAAGCCGCACCATCAATTTTTGAGAAGTAAAAAGTGTTTTGAATGGTATGAAAATAGGGTAATACAAAAACTAGGAGGATATAAATATTATGAAACACATGATGGATTGAATGATAATTAGCTAGATGGAGATAAGATCTAAATCAGTTCTTTAATAAAAGGTGAGAAATTATCCTTGAAATCGCCGATTGTTTTTGTCAGCATGACATTTTTCTGAGCCTAAACACCTTTACGCGAGTGTTTAATCCCCCTAAATCACAAATTTTCCTCAATATATATATGTCTTAAGGTTGAGAACAATGGTAATTACTTTCTTTGCATGGAACAGTGAAACCAGTAAGAAAGACAAGTTATTATATAATCATCGGCGATGTGATGCTAAATATAATTAAAGTAGTGAGTTCGAAAACCAAATTTTCTTGATTGAGAAGCGGGCAAGCGGCATTATAAAATACTGAAAATTTTACTCCGCGAAATTTTAACACAGACTATGAGATATATCTATCGGTAATATCGTTGAAATAGACGGAAGCTATTGCTGCAAGGACAGACAGTTCAGTTTTATCGAGGTCACGAAATCGCAAAACACATCAGACACTTTACCACACAATTTTATGTCCGCAGATTGCCATAGTATTCCAGAGTAATAATGCTTTTATTTTGTCAAAGCAAACGCAGGCAGTGTTTCTCAACTTTTCATTTCCGCAAATTGCCGTGTTTTTTTAGAATATCAATGCTTTTATTTTTGGTGAATCAACGCAACCATGACTTACGTTGAACACAATTAAATTTATATAGAATGCCATTTCAAATTCTCGTAAATGTCAAGAATTGTATATTTTTCGTGACAGAAAAATCCTTATGCTGAAAAAGTAGTCTCTTAATTTTTGAAAAGACAATCGTTGTAAATGTGAGATAAGCAGTGCAAGACAAGCATTAATGAGCACGTAATGGCGGCGACTGTTTAAAAGCCGTATTATGGGAAATTCGGACATTGAACCCCTCCCCCCCTTTTGAAAATCTTTGCTGCGCAACTGGTTGGGTAATGGATATGTTAGTTCCGAGTCCTATACCCACTAAATCAACCTGTGGTTTGTAAGAGAAGCTGATCGAATATAAATCGGTGGATATTTGGTGCCTCTCACTATAAAGAGTACTTACTTGTTTATATAAGCCCTTGAAAACCGGACGAGACTGCAATTGCTTGTGTACTTCCAAACTTTTCTCTTCGAAGTTGTATTCGGATTTTGTATTTCTGTCACTGCTTAATGGTATACTATCTGACTTTTTAATCGGGGAACTCTCGGGTTTTGTTGATGTTACAAATTCTGGTTTGGCAGTTTTGTCTCCAGGACTGACCAGCATAATTCCCCGTTTATCCGATAATGAGTTAGTATTTCCTCCACGTTGAATATTTAAAACTAATCTTCCTCCTACTTTTACCATACTAGCATGTGTTATGCTAGGCAATTTTGTGGGCGATTTTTGAGGGCTTGTATTTTTTGACGTAGAATTTGAAGATTCTGAAACGGAATCATCTTCCCAGCTATTGAAGGAATACAAGTTATCAAGAACCTTTGATTGGTCTTTGGTTTTATTTTTAACCCATGATTTATGTTGTTTCGGTTTCGAGATATATTCACTCTCGCTAAATATTGCATCAAATTTATCAGAAGCTAGTTTTTCATTTCGTTTGAATAATTTTTCATATTTTGTCTGCTCCTTTTTATTGGCGTCTATTTCTTCATCATCAGATGTAAAAAGATCTCGACTCCTCGTCATTTCCGCACTTTGATCTTCTTCGTCGCTGTTTGAAAAAGTATTTGACAATGTATGTTTTGATGGTGAAGTTGTAGAACCCCCATTACTCTTTCCGAATATTGCATCAAACTTTTCTTCAGCAGATTCTTTAGATTTTTTGTCAGCATGTTTGACTCGTGAAATTGACTTGATTGGAGACAACTCATTGTCTTGCTTACTAATACGACGTCTTTTTATTTCAGTTTCTTCTACTCTTTTTGATGGTGAAACAATTGCAGTGGGTGCAATTTTCGGTTTCGCTCCAAATATTGCATCATATTTTTCTTCCGCGGTTTCCTTTCTCTTTCGAACGTAAGTCCGAATACCTGGTTTACTTGATGCCATTGAGTATATACTCAAAAAATTACTACATATAGCAGGATATAGCAAAATATTTGGCAAAATAATAACTCTGTAATTTTAAAAATGTTTAATTTAAACAAAGTTCAATGATAAATCATCTCATAATTTAAAATGCATGGCTAAGCTTAGCCTGAATGGTGACGTTTTAGATTGCGCTTTCTTTAGCATAGTGTAGGTTTGTGCCCAAAGCAGGGGTTTGAATTCACTGTTATAATTTTGTCTTTTAAATTAAAGTGAGGGATAATTATTGATTTGGAGAACTCTTTTGAACAACTTGGATAGAATTTTCATATTTCCAGGATTTATTGGGGGGAGAGGAAAGTCAATAAGACGGCATAATCATATGGCGTATCGCCGCCCTCTAATACACCAGTCCATATACAGTATGGGATTATCAGATTATAGGATTAGTAAACGTTGTACAGCAGTACCGGTACCGGTACAGTGTACATAGGTGTAAGGATAATACTACAGAATTATTTTAAAATCAGAATTCCTCATATACGGTACATAATTTCGAATCCATTTAGCAATTTGAATATTTAATTCATTTTGAATCTATTGTAGTATTGTCAAATTGAAGAAGGAATTTCAGAATTCAGTTTACTGTATTACGAAAGTCTGAAAGTGCAAACTAAAAACAAAGTCTGAAAGTGCACTTCCAAGTTCCAATGCCTTGAGGTTTTGATGCTAATTATAAGCAGACTTCGCCGCACCTCACAAGTTACAATATCACATTAGAAATTATATGAGCAATAACAAATGCGAACAATTCTTGTTTACTATCACGCCAAACTTGCAAACTTTAAACCGTAAAACATTTGGCAAGTCAATATTTTTTCCGTTGCGTCGAGAACAAAACGTTCGCAAATGTGTTGTGTGGAGTCACCAAAGTAACTATAATCGCTTTGCAGTCAACATGCGTCGAGATCCAAATGCATTGAATAGTTGGTTGAAAATTAAGACCAGAATTCAAAATTTTGGACTTGAGATATAGCAAAAATCCTGAGATTTTTCGGCATAAAAATTTTTTTTTTTACCAAAAACTGAAATTTGAAAAAACGACGTCATTTACAGTACTTCCTACAATATTGACGCGTAAGACGCAGGGCATCCGGTCATGGACCTTTCCCCGAGCATCGACTTGCTTGTTTATTTACTTCATGACATTGGTCAATCAGCAAGATGCAAAAAGGGACGTAACAATGCTCCTTTTTCGCATCCGCTCAGACACCTTCCTCACTCGGAAAGATTTTCAGGCGTGGTTGTAAACCTTGTTACTTCGTTTTAGCGTTTTTAAACTCTATTCGTTAGTTTTCAGTTGTGTTCCGGAAATTGAAACTCCTAAGAAGACAGAGTGATTATTGAATTATCTGATTTATATTTGCAAAGTAGTCACAAGAGCTGAAAAAGCATACCCGCTACTCGGTAGGCTTGGTAGCTTCAAGTGATTCATGCAATTTTTTCATGATGTTTGATTCAGATATTTTATTTCGTCGTGCTTAAAATATTGTAAAGACACAAGCAAACAAATATATTAATAAACTATCATTTTGAATAAACAAAGATACAATATTTTCGCAGTTGACGGGGGGCCGCGAAAGACTATCAAAGTCATCCTATCAGCGATATATTGTGAAATTTCGCAGATTTTGTCCATATCGAATTGCAGACACTATCTGGAAAAAAGAATTTGAAGCGAAATGTCACTGGTGGGTCTTGACGCATTCTTCATCACAGGGAATCCCAGCGTGACTATTCAGGTAAATTTGTATTGAGAAAATTACTCAATTTGACCCCAATTTTTTTACAGCTGAATTGTATAGGTATGAGTTTATTTCGACTCCATAATCAGCAAAATAGACGATAAAATAATTGAAAAAAAACAAAATAAATAAAACTGATTATAGAATCGGAAAAGCAAACAAACTTCAAGTAAGGTTCAAACTTTAAAGCATACATATTTTAGGTGAGAAGGTATTGATAAAAGAAGTAGTGCGTGTTCGCTCACCCAAAGGTATAAAAACTAATTAAGGCACTCACGCACGCACGTCGCACACACAAACATACAAATGAATACGCAATGAAGCGTTGGTTTTTGTAACTAGTTGAATCCCGCCTTATTTGCTATTTATTTCATTTGCTGCATCGTCAAAGTTTTTTTTTATTGTAGCAACTGTTCGTTCTTGAATAAATCTATAAAATCTTCCGTACAATTCCCTGCCTCACATTTGCCAGGTGGAAAAAAAGAGTTTTCGAGGTTACAAGATACGAAGAAACCAATATTCAAAAATTCTTTCGAAGATACCCTGTCTGATATATATACTGCTGTTTGAATTCGTGATAAAAAATTATTTTTTGTTTGCGCGGAATATCAGATAATTATCTTTCATGTGATTTACGTTAAAAGTGCAAACATAACTCACAATTCCCACAATGAATTTTCTATTCAATGTAATTTTTAGGGTCATTTTTTTGGAGAAAAGGTATATATTTATGAAATATTCACAATGTCAATGTTTGAAGAAATGATAACAATGCACTTCATTTAAGAAACAAAATTTGTTTTAACGAATCGTGTAGAGTAGACTGTTGGATTCTGCTGTCAGACTACAAATTTGCTGCAAAGTAATCTTCCAACGATACAACAGATCCTCCAGTTCCGAAGTAATCGATCAACCAAACCATGTCAATATCCAACTTGGTAACATAGAAATCATGAGAAGATGGCCACGACTTCATAACTGGGTGCCTTTCAAATAAAGATGCTAAAGCAAACTTTCTTTCTTCGCTACTGGTAACATTGACCTGTAAACGGAAAATTTTGATAAACGGCAAACATTCATTGTATATAATATATACAGCCATTTCCTCACAAGAAAAACTATTCCTGAATTATACCAACTTTTTAGAGGCGGATATGAAAGGTGACGCACATACAATCAAAATACTGACATGTGTTAACATATTAAAATCTATTACATGTGTAGCTTCACCTAAAACCAACCCCGCAGCCAAATATACCCTTTATGGGGGAGGCAACCAAACTAACGAGGTATGAATGTACAACGATGGAGTGCCTTCAGCACCGATTCCAAACAATATAGTCGTATTTACCATTCTCCCCGATAAGGTCAGTTTGGCGCATCTCGGGTCTTCAGGATCGAAGTCCTGAGTTCCGCAATATGTGGTCTCCATCTCTGATAAAGCGAATGAAATGATTGGATTTTTCAAAACATCTTGAATGCTGACGTCAAAAAGGGTGACGTAAAAATACGGTATTCCTGTACCGAACAAAAATATGTGTGATAGTAAGATAGGTTGTGGGGTTTGGGCGCGGGATTCAAATATGTCGGCATTACAGGATAGAAATCTTGTTTCAAATCCCTTCCTCACCATCTCACCCAGCGAAGACAATAACCCCAGAACAAAATGACATACATAATTCAACACTAGTTTAACTAATAGTCGGATAGTGTATTGGTGATATGAATTGGCCACAAGAAGCATTTTTATTAAGCTGACCTGTGCCATTTTCGATAGGTCCGTCACAGAAAGATAATATATTCGAAAATGGTCTTCCAGCTATTTCTTTCAAAGTCGACGTTGTCGAAACGACTGCCCACGACGTTGCATGTACCAGGTATCTTAAAACAAGAACAAAACCATTATATGTGCGTTGATCGATATAAACCAACTAACATAAAACATTCGTAAATTATCACTAAAACTAGATCCATTATCATTAGGGCTGGGAATGGTTAACCGGTTAACCGATTTCAGATGGTTAACGGTTACGATTTATTTTAACCGTTAACTGACATCTCAGGTACAAATCATATTTATACCGTACAATTTCTTCAATATGATTACTTCATCGCAAATTTATCTCTTGTGGCATTTAATTCAAAAGAATATTACTAACTGTGTGGGTAAGGACTCAATAAATGTGAAAAATAATGGAAGTACCAAGATTGCTGATTATGGAAATTTGACAATGATGAATTCAGAATCAGTTTTCGGTCGATTTCGAATTATGTTGATCACGATTTCATTGCAAAATCGGATATTCAATGTCATACAACAAGTGCGCAGTTGATGCCGTTTTTCTTTATGATATATATCTCGAAGTAAAATTTGCACATCGAACACTGATAATTTGTCACATAAATGACGTTTAACAACGGAATCAGTTTTTTTAAAATACTTCAACACACCCGAACCACGCTGCCTATCTCTTGAAGCAGAGCAATCATGAAACTATCTCGATTCGAGAATAATTTTAATACGCGATACCGGGATAAGAACACGCGAAATTGCTTTATAAGCATTGTGACGTAACAAGCTGAAATTATAAATTATTACGTCAAACGTCATGCGGCGGTTAACCGGTTTACCGGTTAAAGTGTTTTCCATGAAATTCCCAGCCCTAATTATCATATTTGATAGGGCGTAAACAACGTCAGCATTTACGTTCAAGGTTGCCCAAAAAATAAATGTCTACATCGCAGAGATAGAACGTGAACAACGTCAGAATTTACGTTCAACGTTGCCTAAGACATGAGTTCCTACATCGCATATCTCGCACACTAATTCCCACACAAATCTAACATTATCAAAGACACCAAATCAATCGCAAAACCGTTATTTTACATACAAGACCATAAGAACGCAAAGTCAGCTTTCTTGAAATTGGACGCAGGAAACAATACGTCACACACTGCGTTTCGAGTACTTCCTGTCAAAGTAATTCTAAATGAACCTCAGATACTCGCCTTGCAGTCTTGGCCTTTTCTTGGTGTGGTGGAGGCGAATCTTCAAGACCCCATTTTCCTTTGTATACCATCTGCGCTGGAATACCACATATTGTCACAAACAACAAACATAATTTACCAATAAATATAAAACTATTCATATTAACTTATAATATATTTATTTATCTTGAACAAGGATTTGCTTTTTTGTTTAATATATATAAGTAAATCAAATATACATATTTATCGCCTCAAAATCTCCGTGGAGCGACTCTTTTGACGGATAATAATGATTTTTCGTTGTGCAAAGTAATCAACCATTTTAGTAATTTAATCCATTTAAAATATCTTGCTTTATTATAATTTACTTGTATTCGATTTAACCTGCGGTTGCATCGACAATATAAACGAAAAATATATTAGAAAACTCCCTAAGTCTGCTATAAAATCTCACGGAGTAAAATTTATTTTAGTACAATAAAAATTGATTGAATATACTTTATAATTATCTTATACTATCACCAAGACTCGAGAAAAGGTCGCGTTTCCAACCTTATAGTATAAATCGTATAACATTAACACGAAAATTTCCGACGGCAATTTAAAGTATTGGGTAAAAAGGCAAAACCCGCGCATAATTAACTGTGTGTTCGATTCTAGTGACGTTATGATTCTCAACGCCGCTCAAACTTATGCGAAATTTTGCAATTTACAATGCCTAAAGAAGCGTTTTCAATCTGTCGTGGCACTCGCGGGCCTCCTACAACAAAGTGTTTACGGTTTTATTTTTAGTATTTTATATTGCCGCTTTTCAATGAAAAAATTTGCGTCGCCGATTCAGTCGTTTATTTGACTTAAGCAACCTACTCACCGCCGATTATTGTATAATACCACTCAGCAAATTCACAATTCTGGGCGAGTAAAAAAAAAAAGTAAGTATTATCGTTGTCGTGAAATAATTGTTGTGATTCAGGGAGAATAAACACCAACTTAAAAGTGTTTACGTCACGCTGACAAAAACAATCGTTTATTTTAGCAAAAAGCTGTACGAATTTCCCAAAAGTATAAATTGATAAAATAATATTCAATATTTCACGAATTTTAAAAAAGTAACCCGTCAGTAGTTTAAAAAGTCGCTAGTAGTTGAACGATTAGTTTAAAGTATCAAAGCGTTTCTGAAATTAGCCAAACCTGGTAATGCTGCACCGCACATGCTTATCTACACTGATTTCCCGTACAGATTTCGGTCTCTGATTGATTGTTTTTCTGAAAGTAGTGAAATGGGGCAACACTGCAACGCACGCGCTTATCCATGATTTCGTGTACAGATTTCGGCCTCTCGTCGATTGCAGTTGAATATTGCATGTTTTTACAATGAATTTGTCGAATTGTTATTTTTGTCTAAATATAGTTTGTTTGTCGGACTACTAAAATAAATGTCTGAATCTGCCTCAAATCACTTGGCGTGCCATGAGAAATCCTCTCGCGTGCCAGAACTGGCACGCGTGCCAGGGGTTGCCGACCACTGCTGTAATCATTGGCCTGCTGTAATCATTGCATTGCATTTCCGAATATTATGTATAAATCAAATAACTCAATGATTGTTTTAGTATTTGGTATACCCCTGCGTTCACATCAGCGACAGCTGTTGAATACATTAAGGGCTGATTTCCAAACCAAATTAATTTTATTTTGAGTTTTATCCTCTGCCTTGGATTTGATCTTCCTTATCACCGCTTGTAAATTAACCGTGCCTGTTTAAAGTGAACGGTAACCGAGATGCAGATATTTATTAAAATGATAATTGAGTTTCTCATGCTTTTCTATGGTGTTCATGTTATTTTAGTATTAGATCAATGCTCTTCAAAAAGGGTTCCGATGAACCCTAGGGTCCCGCAATACATGCAGTGGGGTTCCGTGAGTTTATAGGGTTCCTTAGAGCATAGGTTCTCAAAGTGCTCCGTACGGAGCCCCAGGGCTCCGCGAGAGAAACCCAGGGGCTCCGCGAGCTATTCGATTACTTTTCAAAATACTGACCAATTTTGTAATTGTTCAAAGAAGCAATAACAGCTTTGATAAAATCTAACAACAATATAGCCTCGAAATATGGCAAAGAGACGGAGTTAAAAAATGACATTATCTGTAAGCAGGATCGCAGCCAGGATTCTTAAGAGGGAGGTGGTTCAATTTCCGCGCAACATTCGCGATTAAAAAACGGATGACGAGATTTCTGTTGCGTAAAATATTCAATCCATGACCGATGCGAGCATTTAAAGTGTCTCGTCGTTATAATGTACTTGTGCTCATCTTTACTCACCTTTGATTCGAGATTACTATTAGGATTACTAAAATGAAAGAATACTATTCTAATAACATAAAATATGTGATAAACTGCCAACTGTAAATAAATTGGAGTCGTATATTTGCGATCTTGGGATTTGTCAAACTTGATTTGTTCTTCCGCACTAAAGATTATTATTAAGCAAGATATCGCCGTTTAAAAAATCATAATGTCTGGATAAAATACGAACAATTGAAATTTATTTTATTGCATTCGGCTCCGTCGGTAGTTTCAGAATGGGTAAAAAAGGTACATCGTACGCACAATTGACGATTTCGCAGTTACTACGATGAAAATTTAACATAACAGCAAATTTTGTGATTTACTATGTCTATAAAAGCGTTTTCAATCTGAGGTGAGTCTGCTGAAACCAAACATGTGATCTTCCATTTTAAGTTTTAATATTTTGGAATGCCGCTTTTCAATCAAGAAATTTGAGTTGCGGATCTACCTCTTCATTAATTATTATTTTCAGCAGTTCGTTGCCGATGACTATAAAATGGTAACATATTTTTCACATTGAACTCATAATTCCCCACGAGAACAAAAAAGCAATTAACGTCGTCCGTCATTGTGTAACAATACATGTATATATATGCCGAGGGAAATTTTTTTTTAGGGAGAATAAACACCGGCGTAAAGATTGTAGGTTCAAATACACGCCGCCATGCTGAGGAAAAAATCGGCGATTGTAACAAAATGCAATCGCGCACATTATTAGCGGCCTTTTAAGTCTTCCAAAAATGTCAAAAGATTCGAACCCGAATTTATTAGTATGTTTGTCAAGTGTCAAATTTACAGCTTTAGTATATATAATTTATGTTTGAAATTTAGATATATTTATGACTTGTATTAACTCTATTAAAAAAGGTTCAGCATTTAAATTGAGTAAAGTAGTTTTAACTTGCTCAAGAATATTAATCTGAAAGTAACAATTTCAACATTTATTTTGGGGCTCCGTGAATAATAGTCCACAATTTCAAGGGCTCCGCGACACCAAAAGTTTGAGAACCCCTGCCTTAGAGGTTCCGCGTTTTTTTTTTTTTTTTTTTCAGGGGAAATCATTTCTTGCTTCAGCATGTTGACGCGTCATTATAAATATTCTTAGACCACCGTGTTTCATTCAAACTCCGAGTAGGCCAGTTCGTCAAACAGGAGGTTTAGGCACAGTGCAGTTAATAGACAAAACAGAAATATTTTCGGTTGTTGCATCACTTTGGTCATTGTTCAACTAACAAGAACACTATTGTTGCACCATAGTTACGTATGTTCAAAGTATGTAGATATTGCTTGAGACTAGAGAGAGTATATGCTACAAACTAGAGATGTTGTTCAGCTTTTGTTGGAATATAGTAAAAATAGTGTGAAACCCAACTTCTTAATATTTAGTCAATACAGATGAAGCATCTTATGTGAGGCGAAATAATAACAACGGTGAAGGTCAGGACAGCAATGAGCAAAGTAGTTCAAATGCAAAAGAGGCACCTGCTCCTCCTCCAAAGCGAACCAAATGTAATTCAATTGCCAAATATGAAACATTATTTATTTTGTTAATCGGGGTTCCATAAAAAACGAAAAATTATATCAGTGGTTTCACAATAACAAAATTAGATAGCTAAAACCTAGCAAATTTACGATTGCGTGAATGCTGAATGTTGATTTATAATAGCGATTAAATAAATTTGCAATAAGACATTTATAGGCCTTTGTGCCTAACAGAAGGCCAGACGCTAATTATAACTAATTCCTTCAAGTTTTAACGTTTTTTTTTCAACAAAACAACACCCCGATTGGAAACGAAATTCACGATTGCTTTTACGTTCTACTCTTGGCTCAACGGCCATGCATGAAACATTACTCGCCAAGGATGGAAGGGATCACTAAAGAGCTGATACAAAGTGATTTAAACTTAAAGGGAGTAGGACATGGCATTTCTCATATGGTTACAACTTAAATGAGTGTTTTTCATACAAGTAGCTCATACCAGCTTTTGGAAAAACTTTTGGTCATTTTTAAATCCATGCTCATTGTATAACTAGAGTTTTCTAACGACCTAAAATCGCCTTTTCCACAATGAAACGCCGAAAAGTCATTTTAACATTTAATTTTAATCAACTTTATGTTCGGTAATGCAAGAAATGGCTTGGTGACATGTCACCAAGCATGCGGAGTTTGAAATCTGGGAAATTTCAAATTGACAATTGAATTGAAGACGCGCGAGTTCGGTGTCCAAGCAGAGCGGCGCAGAACACGTGGTACCGGATATTCGAATAGTGGAATGCCATTCGAATATTTTATTATTTGAATATTTTGCCCAGCCCTAGTTGTTACGTGTGTTGTTGTGACTTGGTATTTTAAATACGCGCTTAAGGTTTGTTGCTATTTTACCTTGCGTTGTTTGTGTGCGGCTCTTCATAACTCTGAGGTTTGAAATGCGGCTCTGGGACTGAAAAAGTATGAGAACCACTGCGCTAAGCGATCAAAACGTCGAAGAATCATCTACGACGGTCTCTATGTAGCTAAAATAGCTCAGCCTTTGATAATATGATATGTGTGCTATGATGATCACAAGTTTTCTCTTCTGTCGCCAGTCCGGCGTATATCTTGCTGAGCATTAGGAATACGATTGCCATCGCACTCAGGTCCGAATCTCGTGAGGGAATTATCTGCGAGAAGATTACTAGACTCCTCGCCGCCGTAGAGTGGTTCATGCAATCGCTGGTGAGTTACGGCTTCCTCTGCCATCAATTCCATGCATCTGAAAAAAACTGGCTATGACTAATCGCAACCCGACATGAGCTGGTGTCGCGGACCAAAGTGTCCACGTTTATATTGTGTGTGTATATATATTTTTATGTTCATAAACAGTTATGTTGACCCCTGTTTAATGCTGTTTTGTCGGATTTGGACTCCGACCACTCACTACACGTGAGAGAAAAATTGTGTCTTCCGATCTCTCTTCTCCGATCGCTGAGCTGGCGGGCGGACTCGTTTATGTCGTTGAAAGTTTGCTATTGGAGATATTGCCGTACAATAAACAACCAATCCGGAATCCTTGAGTTTCTGATTCATCTACAACCACGGTAGCAACATCCTTCGACCGTGACATTGGTAACCGGACAAGAGGCCGTGGTCGACATATATCAGCTTTCCTCTACTCCTGAATAAATATGTAAATCCTATCCTGTCGGAGCTCTTCTTTTATGGTTCTGAGTTTCTCACGTTTCTTTTCAAATATCTGTCCATCATAAACAAGTCAATTAGGTACAAGATTTTTGCTGGGTGATTGGATCAAAGACGATATCGAAATGACTGCACAACCTATCCCACTCACGACTTTGCAAATATCTGGCTCAATATGCATGTCACAGCCAAGACACGTCCAAACAATGACGTAGGCAAATTTAGTTATTGATCAAAACTTATCAGGACATTTAATTGTTTCAGTAAATAATTATTTATATATTTTATGAAATATAAACAATATCAGCAATTAAAGAATAAATAATGCACTTAATTTTAGAAACAGACTTTCAGTGTCTCAAATCGACTGTTAGATTCTGCTGCCAGACTACAAATTTGCTGCAAAGTAATCCTTCAGCGGTACAACTGATCCTCCTCCGAAGTAGTCGAGCAACCAAATCATGTCAATTTCCAACTTGGTAACATGGAAATCATGAGAAGTTGGCCAAGACTTCATAACTGGGTGTCTTTTGAATAAAGATGCTAAAGCAAAATCTCTTTCTTCATTGTTGGTAACATTTACCTGCGAAGCAAGTTACAGCAACTTTAGAAGACGAATTTAGAAGCAGACTAGCGTAACATACGAACAACTCGAATTGTATAGCGAAATTCATCAACTCTTACGGCATTAAAGGTATTCATAAAGGTTTGTATGTACAACTGTCAACTATGAAGTATCATAACATTGATTGCAAACTACCGGTATATTGCCGAATTTACCATTTTTCCTGACAAGGTTAGCCTGGCGCATCTTGGGTCTTCGGGATCGAAATCCTGATTTCCACAATATTCGATCTCCGCCTCCGACAAAGTAAACGAAACAATTGGATTCTTCATAACATCTTGCATGCTGACGTCAAAATCAGTGACGTAAAAATATGGTATTCCTGTACCGAGTAAAAGGATGTTATGTGGCGGTCGAATATGTTGGGATACATTCATATATGTATATAATTGTTAAAGCGTGGGACTTAAATACATTAGCATTGCAGCCATCTCAACAAGGATTTAATGAATTGAGTAGACACTGCCGGACAAAGGTCGCGTAGGGCTATCAACCGTTTGGCAAATTGGCCTCCTAGGAGATACAGTCATCTTTAATACCAATAATGTTGAATATATTCGTATATAATTCACAGATAAAAGCGACTTTCCTGACAACAATGATGCGAATGCAAAATGATTAGAAACTGATGTACATGTAAATTTCGTGTCCAACAATTGATCTGATATATATTCGACCATGTATAATACGGTCATAAGTGGCAATAATAGAATCTAATGGCTCAATTGTGTTACAACTATTTCAACTTTAGTCACCTCTAAAGTGTGTTTTATGATGTAGTCCGAAACAAAGCGCAAACGCTATTTGCCAACGGTTGCAATTTCAATTCTGTTTCGTCATATAGATACTTTGATATATCGATAATAAATTCACCTAAACAGACCATTGTCATTGAAATGGTTTAATTTGTAACTCAATACAACCACAAACCCAAATTGAGTACACTGGTGGTAAACGGTAATTATCGCGATGAGGTTTCTTTTGAGATTGCGAAATATTCAGAGTTGTTGATCAAACGCTGGCGATAACGAAAGTATTGGCCAAAGGTGAAAATTATTTCGACTTGTAAGCAAAGTTTGGACGCAATGTCATATTGACATGACGTACTCGTTTACTCTTCTGCGTATTACTAAAAATTTCTTTGGCGACTTCATTTGTTTGATCAAAATACTGCCATGACCTTGACTGAGAATACATTAACGAGAATTTCGAGTGATTTCTTGTCAAGCCATGTTAAAATAAACAATTAGAGATTCCAGGTTCAAGTCGTGATTTGGTGGCGCAACAAAATGGGGAAATACGCTAAAACATTATTATTAGAGTCATCCAAAATTGGATGCTTGTCTGGGCTATTATAAGAAAAATATGACATAAATAATTAAACAAGATTTTTATAGTCCCACAGTGTATTGATTAGTCCTCAGGAACATTTTTATCGGTCTGACCTGTGCCATTTTCAATAGGTCCGTCGCAGAAAGAAAATACATTCGAAAACGGTCTTCCAGCTATTTCTTTTAATGTCGACGTTGTTGCAACGACTGCCCACGACGTTGCATGTACCAGATATCTTAACAAAAGAACAAGATACTTATATGGCAGTTGGTCGATTTGACCATCTGCCATAACATATTCTTAAATTATCACTCAAACTGGAGCCATTATCATGTTCAGTAGAAAGTGAACAACGTTAGCTTTCAAGATTGCCAAGACATGAATGCTTATTTCGCACGCATTTCGTCATTAAAGTCAAACGTAACTAATACGGAAAGGAGTAACATCGATGGAACAACGCTGTTGATTATTTTCTACACTAACCGCTAAATTCTTCGAAAAAAGCAGAGATTGCTATTTTCCACTCAACGATGAATAATGTTGAAAAGAATTTCGTTAAAATAGACGATTCCCATTATTAATTATACCATATAATTTAGAGAAATCTCACACGAAATATAAAAATTCACGAATAGTATATACCTTTAAACATGCGTTTTCAATGACATCTGATTGCATTCAAAATCGTAAATATTCATTTGAGACGTTCAACTTTCAAGGGACAATAACATAACAATATTCAGACTGCTTTCTTAAAATTGGACACGGAAAACCGTACGTTTCGAGTAAAATGCAGGGAGTAAATTTCTGTTATAGAGCACCGCTTTAGATACTTGCCTTGCAGTCTTGGCCTTTTCTTGGTGTGGCGGGGGCGAGTCTTTAAGGTCCCATCTTCCTTCGTATATCTTTTGCGCTGGAATAGCACATATAACCAAGCAAAACAGACAAAATTTGCCAACAAATGTAAAACTATTCATACTAATTTAGGTCGACTGAAAGTGCCCTGCTCTATGGTTTCGCTGAAATTGACAGAGCAAAATTATATGCAAGTTGATTGTAATTATATAGTAGAATATTTAAGCGATGTAATATGGTCATATACTGCAAAGTTTGTAACAAATGGAAACTAAGCAGCTCAGAGACGACAATTTACGCTTTCCGCGCAGAAAGAAGTATATATATATAAATTTCTGATGGAGAGTTTATAGGCACCAGCAGCACTGACTGATTCTCTCAAAACTTTATTCTTGCGAAAGTATATTTTCGTAAAACTACATAGACGCTTATTAATGAGTAAACTAACACAGACGAATGTCGCAATATTTACAATAAAGATTATTTAAAGTCGAGCCACATTTCGTTAATGTAAAAACATGTGGTTGGTCCGCTGTCGCCTACGTACAAATATCTGTTCATTCTCATCCCCGACCACTTTGTTTTCACCTCCGATGCGCTGAGATTTACGGTATTAATAGACTATCGTATCGCTTCTAATATGCAGGAGTACTGTCATTCAAAGATGAAACTAGTCTGACATGCGGCCAGCCTCTTACATAGTTTGGTTTTGCTACATCCCGATGTATGCGATCTCTTCACTATTCGAATGTCACCTCCATAGTCAAAAACGCTCACTGCTAAGTTTATTACATTATGAAACTGAGGAAGTTCTACAGGCGGTGGGTTTATTGTATGCGTCACTAGTAAACAACTCGATTGAAAACACCGTGTTAGGACCAAAGATGAATGAATACCGGAATGACGACGCACCGATCCCACACAAGACTTCGTAAATAGCTGACTCAATATGAACATCATAGCCAAGCCATGCTCAAACAAAGTTGTAACCTGCTTTAATTATATGTCAAAATTTATTTGTCGCCAAGCAATAATCACTTTGATACCGAACCTCCTTTTATGAAACGCTTGGGATAGTATAAATAATTTTCAGATCTGGCATAACGAGTGCGAGGTAATATGCTTTGAATCTGGCCACTCGACGAAACATTTAATAATGTATTGGCGGATATTTTACTTCGGAAAGTGCCTGTATAAACAAAACAGCCTTGTACGAGCACCTCGTAAAATATTTACCATATTAGGACGTTGGTTGGCTTGTTGGATAGACAAGACTGGTTTTGTAAATGTAATTCATTTGGATTACACATTTTATCGAAAAAAGTAAACAACCAAAACAGACTTTCGGCCAGGTATGAGCTCAAATACCGTTCATTGCATTGGAAACTCCCGATCCTGTCGCATAAATATCTGATTTCCCAGTCTGTTGCTTCCAAAACTATGGATGTCTACGGAAACCTTTTTTACGTTCCAACTGAGCACGGCTTTTACTATGAATTACTTCTAGTCGGTATTTTCAAACAATGCATGAAAGGTCAGCCACATAACGGGTGAATATGGCAACTGTGAGCCAAATAGCTGCCAGGTGATCCTACACGTGCTTGTTGAGAAATAATGGTCATTATGACGTTTGAAGCACAAAGACATCAATCGAATAATATGATTTCTTCGGGAAAGCAAGGTAAATTGAAGGGTATACACGTGGATAACCTTGGCCTCTCGAACCTTGGCCTCAGTACAAAGTCTGCATAACCTATCGATGCAATGGTTCTCAACCTTTTCTCTTCCGTGGCCCATTTAAGTTGCTTAAAAATTTTGTGGCCCATCAACTTTTCCATGCAAGGGAAAAACTACAAGAAATTCCATCCGCAAATATATACACTTTCACTTGAATTATTAGAATGAAGAACAAGATCATCATTTATTGCTACTACAATCAAAATTTGACTATAGTGACACCATTGAAACAAAATATTTCAATAATTCCAGCAATTTTTATTAGATATGTGACCAACCTGAAAATGTTTCTGTGGCCCAAAGGTTCAGAACTGGTGAATCAGAGGATAGGGCGATGCATGGGGGCGAATAAATAGTCTATGTCAAGTGGGTGCGAGAAGGAAAAAAGTTTAGGAAGCATTGTTCCAGAAGGTCCGATAACAACATGGATGATATCCAAAGATTTGATTGGCAGAATCAATAGAACTTCTGATACTCTTTTCAAATACCATAGCCTGTAGAATGTCTGCATGAGAAGTTTTCAATTGTTCGACTGAAGAAACGAGTTTTTATTTTGAAGTAATGCAACTATGTGAAATCAGAGCTGTTATTGAACACGTTTAGTGGACATAACGATCGTTTTGTTGTTATCTTGTTCTTGTTGTTCTTTGACACTTTTTGGACACCTAGTGGAAATATTAAAAAACCGCTTTCCTCTTTGATCACTGGACCAATTGCTTTGAAATATTTAGTGGTTAAAGATGAATTTTTTTTTCTCCAGAAGGCTATGACGTCACTGAACGTTCTGCGGACGCATATGCAGGCACTCTTCTTTTTGATCACGTGCCATCGAACGTTGGCGTGACGGCGGATTCTGTAAGTCGCAAGTTTTTCGAGGTTACCGGTGAACGGCGGTGATGCTAAAGGTACGGGAGACCGTACTGTACTGCTTCGCTCGGTGTGAATATATTTGTAGACTGTGGTCTAAAGGTACGGTAAACCGTACCTGTACCGGTACTTTACTGCTTCGCTTGGTATGAATATATTTGTAGACTGTGGTCGAAATGCTTCGCTTGGTGTGAATATATTTGTAGACTGTGGTATCTGCTGTTATAATACCGTGATAAATCGAATAAGTTGGTTTTGCAAAGAAGAAGCGTCTGGCATTACAGGTAGGAGGGGGAATAGGGGGGTGCGCATTTCCAATACGACGATAATATCTTTGTCAACCAATTTGCGACCACCGTGTTTTTGTCTGTTTGATTGCTGTGATGTGGTGCTTTGTTTATAATTTGACGAGTTTTGTTCGAAATAACCGTGTTCTTAAAATATATGACGGTCAGAAATGCAATTGGAAGCCCAATGTTTTTAAAGATAGAGAAGTTCTGGTACCGTAACACAGCGCGGTGACACTGAACTAACTCGTAGCTGTCAAAAGCTTGAAAATCCATACAAATATAAGAGATAAAAAGATGAAACTTGGCAGGTGAGTAGAGTTGTGTTTCTTTTACCCATCTTTGGAAGTTTCGCGTTTCTACATTTAGAGGAGGGGGAATAGGGGGGTGCGCATTTCCAATACGTCGATAATATCTTTCTCAACCAATTTGCGAGCCACCACCGTGTTTTTGTCTGTTTGATTGCTGTGATGTGGTACTTTGTTTATAAGGTACTGGTAAATCACCGCATATGATTTTTGGGGAATTGTTCTGCGTGTCCATATATTTGACCATTACTCTCTTGTAATTCTTTATAGTCTCAGCAGCTATTGGCACCTAACTGGTCATCGGCAACCGTACTAAAAAATCAATATCCTTTATTACGGAGTGATTGCACGTAACCTTGTTTGAGCAAATTTCCCTTAAAAACAAAGATGGGAGAAATTGCTAGGCAAATATTAAATATTTAAAATATGAACAAAATTTAATCGGTCGGTGGGTCCGTGACTAATTCTAAGCCTACAGAGGTGAATGAAACGGTCTCGACATTTGCCACTAAAACATGTGTATATTTATATATACGAAGGACTCGATGACGGTTGCAAAAATCAAAATCTTACTGCTCAAAATTTTTTTTTTTTTCAATTTTGTACTGTTGGTTTGTTTGATGTGACACAAATTTTTTCTTCTTACTTCAGCAACAGGGAAGCCGTTAGGGAAAGAATCAGTTTGACCATATGAAAATTTCCTGACGCCTTTCAACTTTTAAGGAAAATATAACTAATCACATTTTCATTCGCTTATTCATTTTTCAACTTATAAATAAAGATAAAATTTCACAACTTCCATTACTTCAACATTGAAGCAAATCCTCATTCAATTGGTAATTACAATAAACGGAAAAATAATAATCAAAAATAGGAAATAGCGCCATGAAAAATCCACTGTTTACGCCATAGAACATGCGCACCATCACATTTGGTCCAAATTTGGGTTCGCTGGATGAATATAAAAACTGACAAAACAGCCAATGTTTCATATATACTTATACCTAACACTATGCGAAACAAATAAAATAAATAAGCAAAGTGAACAAAAAGTGTAGTAAGTAATTGCACAAATATCTCTAACTTTTCAATGTTATATGGAAAATGTCAACTATACATTATTGTAAATAGTATTTGAAGCCAAATTTTCTGTTAGGAAGAATAAAATTGACTTGTATTTAAATAACATAACAAATAAAAACTCTGGAGGGGGTTTGGGAAATATTCATACTACCTTGAAGCATGACAAAGTGCAGTTGGAATTTTGAATTTGATGTCAATTTAGAGTGGAGTAATTCAGCAATATAGTAAAAAAAGAGATATCGTACCCGTATCAAATATCTTATCTTCAATTATGAATAAACAAAAAACAGTTACGTAAGAGAAACAAAATCGATCAATATGTATGTGAACTATCACTATATCAGTTCAAACTTGGTTTATATAACAGTGTGACTAGCATCGTACCCTGGCTGAATATTATATACAGTCGAAAAACAATATATATACGTGATAAAAACGCACGGTAAAACGGTTCTTCAGAGCCCATTGTCAATACGGTACGTTCATTACATGAAACGTCATCGCTTGATCTTCCCGTGCTTATGCATTCCTGTTTGGAATATCAACAGCGGTGCACAGCAGAGGGAACGCGTGCCCGATGTTACACGACACCAGCTCGAACGTGGCACGCGTACGGTTTGGTAAAAATTAATTTTACTCTCGCTTCGAAGGATCCAGTTTTGTTGAGAAAATGCAAAATATGGATAACAGATTTTAGATTCAGCGATGCGCACCGCCATGTTTCCTTTGAAGCCCAACATTTTAAATTTGGTCCATCAAATTCTTCTCCAAAGCTGTAGATTTCCAGGACATTCAATTGTTTCAGTAAATATTTATTCGTTTTTATGTGTTTTTTAAATGTTCGTTGTTATGGGTTTTACAATACCAACAATTATTCCAACGCGGCGTGGCGCGCGACAAGATTTTATGTAAAATAGAAAGCGTTAAAAATTTTGATGAACTATGTAGCATGAAATTCACCAAAAAATATTTTCCGTGATAACCCGGACGTTTAAGAGTACAAAAACATATATCTCACAACTTGCATAACATGTGAATTTTCCATGAAGTAAATTTTTTAACGTCACATTTTGACGACAAAAAATATTTCACAAAATATAAACAATATTAGCAATTGAAGAATAAATAATGCACTTCATTTTAGAAACAGAGTTTCAGTGTCTCAAATCGACTGTTGGATTCTGCTGTCAGACTATAAATTTGCTGCAAAGTAATCCTTCAGCGGTACAATTGATGATCCTCTGATGTAGTCGAGCAACCAAATCATGTCAATTTCCAACTTGGTAACATGGAAACCATGAAAAGTTGGCCAGGACTTCATAACTGGGTGTCTTTTGAATAAAGATGCTAAAGCAAAATCTCTTTCTTCAGTGTTGGTAACATTTACCTGCGAAGCGGAAAAATGTTAAAAAGCGACAAACATTTATTTTTATTGTATATACATCCGTTACGTTACGCTCATAAGAAAACAAGCCGGTAGGCGCCCAGGATCTCCGCTGATAGTTGAGGCCCCTTACTCAGGCGACCGGTTACCATCTATACCAGGGTGATCCAAGGTTGTCGTCTTCGCGGGCCACAAAATTATTTTTACATTGTGCGCGGGCCACAATAGTGTCAAAAATAGGTAAAAAGGGAAATACAAAACAAACACTTTTATTGTGCAAACAATTGATCATTATTTGTCATTTATCAATCTAAAAAAACACGCAAAATACACCAAAAAAATCACTGAAACATGCAAAAGTTTTTCTATATCTACGCTTAATGTAAGATTTCAAACTCTTCACAACGGAGAAAGTGCTCCCGCAAATGTAAGTGCTCTCGAACATCGATGGGGTTCTCAAAGCAAAATCCCTCAAAATTTGGAAATGTTCTTTGCTCCCATGGTATCAAAATGCCGTTTAGATTATATTTGCCATAATTGCAGATTGATTGATGATCAAATTTTACCAAATGCAAGGTACAGGGAAGTAATTACTAATTTTTCTGACATAATAGTCTAGTATAGAAGCAAATTCTGTAATACTGTTCAGGCTGGTTTCAAAAAGTCACCGGAAGGAATTATATTCTCGGGTTATAACATTAATATTCAGTTATTATACCTGTTGGAATATATTCCCAGCAAAGATAGAAGGCTAGTGAACAATTTGGACTACCCAAGCACACTATTCAACTTCGTTAGTTGCTTCGGCCAGCGTGACACGAGGAAATTTAGTGACATTAGTGAAGTAACAAGATGTCGAACATATTTTCTGATTATTTTTATGACGAAACAACACTAAATGCGATATTTTAATTACCCTTCAGCAAAGGCGAGACGGGCCACAGAAAATGACGTTGCGGGTCACATGTGACCCGCTGGCCTGGGTTTGGACCACCCTGTAATATACTCTATAGAAACTTGCACATGTAAAACGGCAGCGTTGTTACGTGAGCGGGTCACCGAAACTACCAGTTCAATTTGAGTTCTGCTGGTTAAGTGGACGTTCACGCGTGAATGATATACTGAAGCTAATAATCGAAAAAATGTTCACTAAAATCCCTAAGGCTTCCCCAATTTATGGCATACCGAGATGAAGGTAGGCTTGTTCAAAAGAGTAGTTTATTCCGCAGGAGGTAGCGTTCCCGGAATTTTAATTTTCGTCTTGGTTTACGATAAATTGGCGAAAAGTAAGAGTAAATTCGAAGTTTTTCAGAAATCGGCGCATATTTTTGCTGCTGGTATGGAAACGAAACACTAATCCGGATTTTCACTGAAACGCACTAGAATGATAGGATAACCCACTTGAGAAATTTCATTCAGAACTGTCCCGCCGTTTAGACGCTACAGCAAGACATTCAGACAGACAGGCTTGAAGGCCTACTGACAATAAGGGTCTCCTAGACCAGGGCTTTCCAAACTTTTGAGCTCGCGGCCCCTTTTAATATATTAAATTTTTTGCGGCCCTTGTCCACGTTAATAATGCTAAACAGTTCGAAATATGCATTTTTGATGTCTTATTGGCACAGCTAATTCTCAACTATATATCGCTACCAAATAAAAAAAAAACGAGCAAATATTTATTCAGATTACCGTTACTCAATTATTCAGTGTAATGGGTGCGAATGCTTTTGCTGCATAGTCAAGTCAAGTCGTTGTTCAATGATTGTTTATGCAGGCCTGAATGATGAATTATGATGTCTGGCCACCGACGACATGGTCCTCATCTCGAATTGTTCACTCTTATAGATCAAACTTAGCATAAGGCAGCGGTTTGTGCGACGCCAAATTATCCGGGGAAAAACTCATGGCGCACCTACACGAAAAATAAGCTGCCTCAAAACAAAACGCAATTTTGTCATCGTTAATATGTGCTTTATGTCTTTTGATGTTTTCAAATATGTAGGTCTAAGGAATAAAGGCAGAAGGTTAACGTTTCTTTCTTATCCCTGCCAGGTTTAAAATGCTGAAAAAAACTCATGCTCGATAATCTCGGTTCAGCAAATGAATAAACTGCAGCCTATGAAATTGCAGCATGTAGGCCTTGTAGGATTTACCTCTTACCTTACGTAACAAGAGACCTACGTAACAGAAAGTAAACAACATAAAATGGTAAAATGAATTTGCTTTATATACAAATCATTTGCAACAATGAGAAACAATAAAACATAACAATAACAAAGGGTGTTAATATAAGCGCTCGCCTTAAAAAAGACTTACTTAGTCGATAGCGCAACTATTGTTTTTACTTAATCCCGTGGAAGTGCGTTGTTTCAATTTTGCTGAGGCGTCGCAAAATTTCGTGAACGTTTCAACCAAACCATATCTTCTACTTTCACAGAAAATTTCGTTTCGTATTTATATAAAGCAGTCTCTCTACCAGGGGCCATCAAATGCGATTTCGCTGACTGTCTTTAAGTTTTGTTTGTTTATATGATCAATACGTATTTTCACGGGGAGTCGCAACTTGAGCATATTTTTGGAGGGCTTCACAATACAATGAAGTTCGAGAATCACTGAGTCCCAGTCGATAGCAAGAAATCGTTTCTACTTTTTAAATCGTTAAGCCCTAGTGTTATTTTCGAAAGAAAATTGAAGACACTGTCTTATTCTCGGGGAAACACGGTATTATGATGATGTATTCACTCGGAATCGTGAAATGTTTGATTTACATTATTTTTAATAATTGTATTTCGCATCAAGAGTCTGAAAAAGTACAATTGATATGGTACTTTGGTGTAAAATTGGTGTTCTCTTCGCGGCCCCTGAAATTCGTTTCGTGGCCCCTTCCAGGGCCGCGGCCCCTAGTATGGGAAGCCCTGTCCTAGACTTAGAGCGGAGATCCAGAAATATTCTCAAATAACAGCAACTTTAGCAGACGGATTTAGAAGCAGACGAGCGTAACATACGAACAACTCGATTTGTATATTGAAATTTATCAACTCTGAAGGCATGAAAGGTATTCATAAAGGTTTGAATGTACAACTATGAAGTGTCTTTTGAGATTAATTACAAACCATATTGCCGATTTTACCATTTTTCCTGATAAGGCTAGCCTGGCGCATCTTGGGTCTTCGGGATCGAAATCCTGATTTCCACAATATTCGGTCTCCGCCTCCGACACAGTAAACGAAACAATTGGATTCTTCATAACATCTTGCAAGCTGACGTCAAAATCAGTGACGTAAAAATACGGTATTCCTGTACCGAATAAAAAGATGTTATGTGGCAGTCAAATATGTTGGAATATATTTACGGTATATAATGGTTAAAGCGTGGGACTTAAATACATTAGCATCGCATCCACCTCAGCAAGGATGTAATAAATAGAATAGCGAGTAGCCACTGTCGAACCGGACGACGGTTGTTGGACATGTTATTGCGTTTGAGTTCCTGCTGTTGAAATAAAATGATGTCATTGAAAGTCTAGTTTCTAAGTCTTGTAAACTTAGTTATTAGCTTACGTTTTGTCAGGTCATAATTCTTTTTACATTACAGCAGACAAATAATTAGTCCACAGCAGTAACGTGTAATGGATGTTTCGCCGACCTTTGACCCCGTGAATATTCATCCTATAGGCCTACCTTTCTAATAATAACATTTGTATTGAATCACTATGAATATTCTTGTAATTTCAAAAAGACATATTTCAGATGATTTCGTCGTATTTCATTGTTGTTCTTCGGCTCCATTTTAGGACAGACCAAAATTTATGGTAGTGTCCACGTCGTGTTGTATAAATATATATTACATTTACACGAATTCTGTTTGTTACGATTTTTCCAGCTCATCACTGCACAAACCCAAATTAACTAGAGTGGTGGAAGAAGGTAATTGTCGCGATGAGGTGGGTATTTTAAGATTGTGAAATATTCAAAGTTTATTTCGTTTGTACAACATGCTTCATTGTTGGTTAACTCTGGCTGTGACGAAAGTATTGGTCATTGGAAGTTGTGTGACTAAATTTTGGACGCAGTATCATATTGACATAGGCATACCATACGTCCCGCTTTTTAGCATATTGTCCCGCCGTCCCGACAAGTCAGCCAAAAGTCCCGCTTTGGCGTTCAGCCATCCACACGAACATGTTCTCGTTACTGTTGTTGCTGTGTAGCGCAACGCTAGCCTACTTACTGAGGGTGAATGCGTTAATTTGTTTGTTTTCCGTTAACATTGTTAGCAAACGTATCACATGCAAAATCAATTCTAATTGGTCCTGTTCGGATGTTCACGTGAATGTAACATTGAACAACGTCTTTTTGAAGGTGGTATCTACAGAAAAGCTTGCATGGGCGAATGAGTAAATTCTCTATGCTTGAAAACGGCAAACTATTTCATTATTCTTTATTCCTTTTGCTGTACATAAAAAATCTAATTTCGGATCATTTGTATCGTTAGCGTATATATATTCCCTTCTATTTTTCGAACTGAACCCGATATTTAGACAGAGAATATGCGCATGAACTTTCGATGACAATATGGTCAATAAAGACAGCCAGGATGGCTTTAAATGTAGGCCTATGTTGTAAAATCGGAAATTGTAAAGTTACAGGATCACAGCTAGGGGGTCGTGTCTTTGGAGGCGTCTTGCTTTGAAGTAAAAAAAATATGGTAACCCCATATTGACATGACGTAATAGTATACTCTTCTGCGTATTACTAACAATTTCTCTGGCGATTTCATTTGTCTGGTCAAAATGCTGCCACGACCTAGACTGAACATATATTAACGAGAATTTCACAGTGATTTTTAGTCAAACCATGTTAAAATAAACGATTAGAGATTCCAGGTACAAGCCATGGTTTGATGGCGCAACAAATTGGAGGCAAACATAACTATGATATATATCTAGTGTGCAGCAAGACTCTTGGATAAAATAATAAATTGGAGGCATGTGCCAAAACATTACTATTTGAGTTATTCAAAATTTAATGCTTGTCTGGGGTATAGCTCAGCCAAATGGTAACAACAACAATAAAAACAGAACAACAGGCCCTCTTACATGTACAATTCAAAACTAGTTTACAAGTCGCGCGCTGTATATTGATATTAATAGGCCCTTAAAAGCATTTTTATCGGTCTGACCTGTGCCATTTTCAACAGGTCCATCGCAGAAAGAAAATACATTCGAGAATGGGCTTCCAGCTATTTCTTTTAAAGTCGACGTTGTTGCAACGACTGCCCACAACGTTGCATGAACCAGATATCTTAACACAAGAACAACATCTTATATGTGAGTTGGTCGATTTGAATCAGCTGTCATAACATATTCCTAAATTATCACTCAAACTGGAACAATTATCATGTTCAGCAGAAAGTGAACAACGTTAGCTTTGACGGCATTTACGTTCAATATTGCCAAGACATGAATGCCTATTTCGCACGCATTTCGTCATTAAAGTCAAACGTTACTAATACGAAAAGGAGTAACATCGCTGGAACAACGTTATTGATTATTTTCTCCACTAACCGCTGAATTCTTCGAAAAAGGCAAAGGTTGCTATTTTCCATTCAACGATGAATAATGTTGGCTAGAATTTCGTTAAAATAGACGATTTCCATTATTAATCATCATTATTTACCATATAATTTAAGGAAAACTCAAAATATAAAGAGAAACAAATTCACTTTGAACATGCGTTTTCAATAACATCTGATTGCATTCAAAATTGTAAATATTTATTCGAGACGTTAAGGTGGTCATTAATATTTTTCAGACTGCTTTTTTTAAATTGGACACTGAAATCCGTACTTTTCGTGTACAGCGCAAGGAGTAAATTTACGTTAAAGTACCATTAAATACAATCTTTTGGATACTTGCCTCGCAGTCTTGGCCGTTTCTTGGTGTGGAGGAGGCGAGTCTTTAAGACCCCATCTTTTGTTGTATATCCTTTGCGAAGGAATACCACATATTACCAAGAAAAACAGACAAAGTTTACCAACAAATATGAAACTATTCATATCAATTTCAGCTGACTGAAAGTGTCCTGCCTTATGATTTTGCTGAAATTGACAAAATTGATTGTAAACATAAAGTAGAATATTTAAGCAGTGTAATATGGTCATATATTACAAGGTTTGTAATGAATGGAAACCAAGCAACTCAGTGGGCGATTACTATAGAAGATATTTCACGCTTTCCATGTGTGGTGCTTCATTAGAAAAACCCGTTATACGGTAACAACAGTTTGTGACAGACCACGAAAAACTAGATAGCTGACTGTCGTTATAATAAATTTCAATATATACATTATATATATATATATATAAGTTTCAGCATGCCATGGATCACTTGTTCGATGTTAATATTCCAAAAAACAAGAACGCAGACAGAAATATATATAGATTACTGATGAAGAGTTTATAGGCATCAACACGGACTGATCATTCTCTCAAAACTTTATTCTTGCAAAAGTCTATTTTCGTAAAACTACATAGACACTCACCGTGAGGACCAAAGATGAATACCGGAATGACGGCGCAACCGATCCCACACACGACTTCGTAAATAGCTGACTCAATATGCACATCATAGCTAAGCCATGCTCAAACAAAGTTGTAGCCGGCTTTATTTATATGTCAAAACTTATTTGTCGCCAAGCAACAATCACTTGGATACCGAACCTCCTTTTATGAAATGCTTGGGATAGTATTAATAATTTTCAGATCTGGCATAACGAGTGCGGCTCGAAAAGCACTAAATCTGGCCACTCGACGACCAGTTAAAATGTATTGACGAATATTTTACCTCGGAAAGTATTTGTATAAACCAGGAGTGGGCAACAATTTTTGTCGGCGGGTCATATAACCAACTTCTGACATCTAGCCGGGCCATTCAAAATATTCAATTTTTTTCGGGTACACAATGAATTAAAAAATACTCACCACAAAAAGGCTATATAGCTTAGTCTTACAGTAATAAAGGCAAAAGGCCTTAAATTCATGGATTTTAACCCGTGTATGCGCTTTTTTAAACATAAACTGTCAGGTTAAAATTTGATGCTTAGTGGGAAAATATCTTAGTGTTGACAAGGGCCACACTCATTGTCTTGGCGGGCCGGGTTGTGGCCCGCGGGCCGCCTGTTGCACACCCCTGGTATAAACGAAACAGACTTGCATGAGCACCTCGTAAAATAGTTACCATTACCATGCTGGTCGGCTTGTTGAGAGAAATTTGAATTACATATATATATCATCATAAAGAGTAAACAACCAAAACGGAATTTCGATCAGGTACGTGTTTAATAATGTATTGACGAATATTTTCCCTCGGAAAGTATTTGTATAAACGAAACAGACTTGCATGAGCACCTAGTAAAATAGTTACCATTACCATGCTGGTCGGATGTTGAGAGAAATTTGAATTATATATATATATCATCATAAAAGTAAACAACCAAAACGGAATTTCGATCAGGTACGTGTTTAAATATTGCTCATTCATTACGGAATTAGAAATTCCCGATCCTGTCGCATGAATATCTGAATTCCCCAGTCCGTTGCTTCCAAAACTACGGATATATATATACTTATCTATGGTGCAAAAAATCATCATCAATTATCATTCGTCTGGATCGGTACGTTACAGCTGTACGGTATGCCATACGGTATGCAGCATTCTCCAATTCAATTACCTTCTACACGTGAAAACAAATTTCCCGAATTATCGTACTCAATTCTATATTCTCTTATCATTATTAAAAAATATATTACTTCTAGTTGAACTTGTAGCATAGAGAATTAATAGAACATTTTCTTTTTGAATTTATTGAATATTGCTCAAGAAAATCAGTAGTGAGTTAGAAACCCAGGGAACAACGTATGTGCGCGTATGATTATGCATGGCAATGTTGGTCCCTAGCAGAAGCAAATTTTCTGAAAATGAAAACGCGTGAAAACCTTTTTATTTTCTTTTTATTCACCTTTTTTTTTATTTCGTTTTTATTTTATTTTCGTTTTTATTTTTAATTTTTTTTTTGCATTTTACTTTTATTTTAAATTTTTATTTTTTCAATTTTACGCGTGACAACGATAGGCCACCATACTTATCTACTAAAACTTTTTCTATGATCAAACTAACAGAGCACAGCCTACACTATGAATTACTTCTAGTCGGTATTTTCAAACAATTCATGAAGGCCAGCCACATATGTATGTATTTGTAACGGGTGAATATTAGGGTTAGTTTGGATACCTATAATTTTTACTATCCGGATAACGGATATATCCGGGCATTGCGTATTTTCACTATCCGTTTAACTGGGTTAGATACTGCTAATTTTAGAGATCAGATTTCTCAAGTTTTTTTTTTCGGTGAATTGACCAAAAACAACCATACAGTCCTATTGTGAATAGCTCAAGATCGCAAAAATACGAATTAAAACTGGATTTATTCGTGCAGTTTACCACGTATTTTTAAATATGCAGAATGCGGTGGCATTTTAGTGTAGAAGTGCTTTTATTTTAACGTATGTCGACGCAATCGCGAGATACGTTGAACACAGTTATTATGGAAAGACATTTTGAAATGCTCGAATCGGCCACAAATTGAAAATTTTGCGCATTCGTGTACCAAAAATTTTGAAATGCTACACAGGTTACATAGAATCCGAAGTATTGAGAAATAAGTCCTCGAAATTCAAACTGGCTTATTCCATCATGGAATGCGTTCCTTCAATACACGCAAAAACTAAAAGCCACACCCGATCAAAAAGCAACAAAGTCACACCCACCCACCCAATGCTTTTCAACTGAACTAGTTTAAGTTAGTCTTGATTATACTGTACATCACGTCCAGTTTCAATCTAACTTTATAAGGCGTATGAACTCTTCTATAACGAAATTACGCAATATTTACATTTTTTCTGCGTGTTTTCTGATGTAATAGTCAAGTTCACTCCAGCATTTTGCGGATGGCTAAAATATGTGCAGAGTAGTGCGAATAAAACGTGGTATTATACAACGGCCGGCAACCAACTTGTCTAATGTTAAACAAGTTCATGGACGCCATCTTGTGCCATATTTGGGAAACGCGAAACAATGGAGTCTTATGAGAAATTTTCGTCGTGTTGTTGTACCCAATCAAATAAGTCCGCTGTTATAAAGGCTAGAATGAAACTGAAGGGTGGATTTTGAACTTTAAGATATATACTATCTAAATATATAACGCAATTAGGAATAAAAAACTATCTAATGCGTTAAATTTGACCACAAACACAGCGTAGAACCATTTTTGGTTATTTTTTGAAAGATTTTAGAATGATACGCCAATTTGAGGCTGTAAAATGTCTCCGCAACAATCCTACAATGCCATTTGTCCTCTAGCGCAGCTTGGAGCTGAGCAGTAGGGCATCATGGAGCTTGACAGACGAAAAATGTTAACCAGAAAATAGAAACGGCCATTGAAGCAAAGTTGGGTCGGCCGGTAATTTCGACGAATAAATACAACTTTTCATCTGTGACGTCATAAGGAACGCCATTGTCGAGGCGTTGCCTCGCTCATATTATATATACGCTTTGGTATTATATGCTCTGGGAGATGTCAGTCGCCACTCAACAAAAAATAAAAAAATCACTAATGCTCATATGCATTATTTTTACTGCTCTATTATCCGGTTGATCGTCAATAATATCCGGATATCAGATAGCAAAATAACACTCGGTTAATCGCTATCCGGATAATCCAACACTGGGAATATGGCGATGGTAACCCAAAAGCTGCCAGGTGATCCTACATGTGCTTGTTAAGAAATAATGGTCATTATGACGTTTGAAGCACAAAGACATCAACCGAATAGCACGATTTCTTCGGGAAAGCAATCAATCTTTTATTTGTCGTCACAAAAAACAAGCATATAGAAAACTGTTACAACAAGGTAAATTGAAGGATAAAATACACGTGGATAATCTTGGCCTCTCGAAACAGTACAAAGTCTGCATAACCTATCAATGCAGTGGTTTTCGACTTTTTCTCTTCCGTGGCCCATTCTAGTTGACTGAAAATTCTGTGGCCCATCAATTTTCCATGCAAGGGAAAAACTACAAGAAATTCCATCCGCAAAAATATACACTTTCACTTGAATTATTAGAATGAAGCACAAGACCATCATTCATTGCTACTACAATCAAAATTTGACTATAGTGACTCTATTGAAACAAAATATTTCAATAATTCCAGCAATTTTTATTAGTTATGTGACCAACCTGAAAATATTTCTGTGGCCCAAAGGTTCAGAACTAGTGAATCTGAGGATAGGGCAACATTTTTGTAGCAATCTTCGAATGGGGGCGAAGAAATGGTATATGTCCAAGGGGTGCGAGAACAAGAAGGGAAAAAAGTTTGAGAAGCATTGTTCCAGAAGGCCCAGGTAACAACATGGATTGTATCCAAAGATTTGATTGGCAGAATCAACAGTATTTCTGCTACTCGATTTGCAAACGACATCCTGCGACAATGTATGTATGAGTGGGGTTTATTGGTCTGACTGAAGAAAAATGATTCTTCCGAACAATTGCAATCCTCTCACACATAATTAACTCCGCAAACCTGTGGACCCATGCAGGGTAATTGATCAGAGGCACGGTGACGAGTGTATTCCTAACGTTTGGCATGGTGCGCCACACCGCCAGTTCGAGCACATGTCGAACCTGGTTGGGAATGGAGTTTCATAAGATTTCCTCACGCCTTGCTTGCACATATATCATTCCACTTTAAAGCAAAATATAACCAATCACATTTTCATTCTCTTATTCATTTCTCAACTTATAAAGATAATAATTTACAACTTCATTACTTCAACATTAGAGCAAATCCTCATTCAATTGATAATTACAGTAAAAGAAAAAGTAATCAAAAATAGGAAATAACGCCATGAAGAATTCACTGTTCACACGCCATAGAAGTTGCACTCCATTAATTTGGTCAAATTTTGGTTCGCTGAATGAATGTAAAAACTGACGAGACAGCCAATGTTTCACATATACTTATACCTATAGCATTCGACTAAGACTATGCAAAACAAATAAGAAAAATAAGCAAAGTAAACAAAAAAAAAGAGTAGAAATTGCACAAATATCTCGAACTTTTCAATGTTAGGTGACAAATTTTTCACTATACATCACTTGATATTTGTTTCGAAGCCAAATTTTCTGTTAGGAACAATAAACTTGACTTGTATTCAAATAACATTTCAAATAAAAACGCTGGAGGGGGTTTGGGAAATATTCATAGTGCAGTTGAAATTTTGAATTTTATGTCAATTTTGAGTGCAGGTTGCCCAGGGTGGAACGTGCATAAACCTAATTAGTAATATAATAGAGGTTTCATAGTTAACCATCACTATGGTGAGAAAAGAGATATCGTACCCGTATCACATATCTTAACTTCCCTTATGAATAAACAAAAAACAGTTACTTATAAGAAACAAAATTGATCAATATATATGTGAACTGATAAAGAGTGCACTGATCAGATAATTAACATATATAAGAAGATAAGAAAAAAATCTAGCATAGTTTAATTGATCATTAGATAGATGTCATCATTCGCTTCATCATTCCCACAAGTGATTCAGGCAATGTTGAACAGCCTGGAAATGGAATATAAAAAAAATGAAAACTTAACATCATATAGAACAGGAGTTGGCAACATACGGCCCGCGGGCCGAGTCCGGGACGAGATTTTGACCGGCCCGCTGACTGTACATGAGTACATTATGATATTACATTATTACACTTTTGGTACATTATGATAAAATCATTATGTGTTTTTGGTCTCAATTTTTTGTAAGGTTTAAACTTTACTTTAAACGCGGATTATAACTTTCTTTGCATTAATTAGCTTGCATTAGCGAATAAATATGTGATTAGGATATTGAATACTATTCATGTTATAATCCGGCCCACCGAGGACTTCATTTTCCCCTGCCCGCCGACTAGAGAAGTTGCCCACTCCTGATATAGAATATCTTAAAAATTTCATGAACTGGCGATATGAAAACTTGTTCAGGCTTTCCACTCCGAATGAGGATTGGTACAAGTGGCTACTGATATCTAACAATATTTAAAGGGCTACTATTTATTGGAGTCGGGTATGTTATTAGTTAGCTGATGGTGAACCAAGTCATAATTTAAAACAAGGTACATGAGTCACCCTACAGAAGTGAGAAGTCGAAAAATCCTCTCGAATATAACTATCCGCACAAGAACTCAACTCAAGCAGGGCAATATGAGGTGCAATAGTAAGCGTATTCCTAACGCTTGGCACGATGCGCCAACCGACGTGCCGAAATACGCTTTACTTTTAGAAGTGAGTTTACTTTACAATAGAAGCGACTGAACGACAAAATTCGTTTGATTACTACTTACGTTACACTGTTTTGCAGTGTCAAGGTTTATGCACCAATATGATGGTCCATATGTACAAGGATCTGCACCCAGTAGTATCTTTTCAGTTGGGCATAACTTCATTTTCTAAAAAACAAAGTGGAAAATATGAAAAAAATCAGTTTATCCCAAATTGTGATTAGTACATATCAAATATCTTTGCATCAATTAGGAATTATCCAGTAATAAATATGATTATATTGAAACCTATATTCCAAATCTACTCAAATAGTGGCTCAATAATATCATTGTTAAAGAATTTCACATGAACATATTACCTGACATATGAAGCTTGGATCCAAGATGTTATCCATGTACTTGAATATGATAGGAGCATATTGATTGATCAGAGCTTCACACTGTATGAAAAAAATGAAGTACCAAAAGGGTAAATACTATATAAAAGACTGTATAGATTGATTGAAATTGACTATATCGGGGGTGGGAAACTAACGACCCCCGGGTCAAATCCAACCCACCGAAGTGTTTCATCTGGCCCACTTGTGTCTGCTGAAATTATGACTATAGTTTATAAGGATATAAGTTTGTGTTAAAAATATTGATAAAAATAAGGTCATAATTGTTACATTGTGTTTCTTATTAATATGTACACGTTAGCCGAGCTGTTGCGTATATAAACTGTTTTTAATTCATAGTTTCTTTATTGAGTTTTGAGCCTTCGGTCCAGTAACCGAGTCTATTTTTTTGTGAATGGCCCACTCAGAAAAATAATTGCCCGCCCCAGGACTATATGAATATATTATTATTTCAGATGGTGAAAGATTTCTTTAGAATTATTATAGATATATTAAAATGAATATAGGATTCTACAAATATAAAATAAAGATTTTGATTATCGATTATATGAATTCAATTATTATTTTTAATAGCTCTAACCTTGAATTCCAGTGTAACAAAATTTTATAGATATCCCCAAGTTGACAGATTACTTCTTTTTTGTTTATTATAAGCAGGAAAAGTAGCATTTGTGTGATAAAAATTGTGACTTAAGAATGCAACTTTTTGAAAAATATTCAGTAAATTTCTAAAAATCGATATTCTTACCTCATCAGCCATAGATGGCAGCTCAGTGCAAACTTTATCAAGAGCTTTCTCAATTTCTTGTCTCGTAATATTTTGATCGAGTAAATTATCGACTTCTTTGATCACTGTCTTACAAATTGTACATTCCTTGTCTGATCGGAAATGAAGCTGTGAAAGAACAAAAGTTTATCTAATCAATTGTGTATACAAAAATTTTTGCAAAATAAATTCTTTCTCGATGGTTGGCGCCAGTGGCGCAACCCCCGGGGGGTATGGGGAGGGGGGGGGGTTACGGGGGTCGTGTCCCCCGTTTGAATTTCGTTTTTTTTTATTATTGTTCTACGTTAAAACAACGTCGTTCTACGGTCATAACAATCCGGTGAAAACTACTTTTTTCCAGTGCTTTATCACCTCGACGTAATTTAACACCGCCCGACTTCAATCATACCTTTTTGCTGATAGTTACGTAATAATCGCTAACCCCGCGTATATGTTTGTATTCGAAAATGAGATATATTATCTCAAAAAAGTAGAAATCGCGCGCTGTCGATGCGAATTGAAAGCGACAATAGCATAATGCTATCTCTCTCTCTCTTGTGACGAATACTCTCGTGCTTCATCATCTTGACGCAATGTAACGCCGCCCGTCTTCATGTTATAATAATGCAGTAGGAACTCTGAAAATCTGGATACGAAAATTATTTTCGGAAAAATATTGCTTCGAATAACCTAAGATTTTCTACATATGAAAGGCCGAAAACGCCGTAAATATCCTACCGCCCCCGTCCACGTTCTGATTTAAAAACATTCCACAATTATTTCATTTTTTATCGCAATCGAAAGCAGCCATGTGTGGCACGGCAATAACTAACAGTCGTCGTGAAAGGTTTTCAATAAACTCTGACTTGACGTGCTTATAAGACGTCGAGGACGTTTTTGGTTGAAAATTTTTTACATTTGTTATCGTATATTTCAATTTAGTCAAGATATGTTGTGCGTCTCGGCAATAAACTTAAAAGCAAATCCTGTCCTAATTAATTGTTTTCATCTTCAGTTTCGATAGTTATCGAACTTACGGGAAATTTTTTAATTTCTTGCAATCTATAAAATAGCTTCTAAATATTATTTGGTTTCTATCGGAGATTTTATCGTTTTCCCGAGTCCTGACGTCGTTGATAACAATATCGTTCATTTTAAGTTGGAGGTATTGGTTTATAATCAAAAAATTATAACACATAACATGAAAAATTTAAATCAACGCTGACTCAAAAAGTAAAACACGTTTTTCCATCTTCATTCTCCATTATTGGCGGACGGAAATTTGGGAATCGGGTTTAACTAATTTGATTATGATGACGATGGTAAACAAAAGTACACAAACATACCATACCGTTCTTAGTTTTTAGTCGTTATTTCTCTGTCCTTTCTTCTTTCTATGTGCATATTAAGATCATAAAACGTGTTTTATTATTGAATTCTGCGCTGATTTGAATATTTCATGTCGGCTGTTATGTATTTTTGTTTGTAAATGAATACCGCTAACTTTAACTGAACTGATGTTGTTATCAATGCCGGATGCCGACGAAATCCGCGATAGATATTAAATACTATTTAAGAGCTATTTTATACGCGCTAAATTAGAAGAAATGAAAAATTTTTTCTGTTATGTTCGGTCACTATCGAAACTGAGGATGAAAACAACTAATTAAGACACAATTTGCCGAGGACGCCTAAACCATCTCGACTAAGTTAAAATACCCGATAAGAAAATATTTTCAATCAAAAACGTCCTCGAAGTCTTATAAGTTCTTCAAGTCGGCGTTTATCGAAATTCTTTCATGTCAGCTGTAATATATTGCCGAACCACACATGGACGACGACGCCTAGGATATGTGCGCCATATTTGGGATTATTATAAACACGAAAAAACAGTATTTGAAGTTTGCGATATTTGAATTTAAATTCGATTTGGACATCCCTGCATTAAATTAGTCAGTTTTTAGTTGTGTTTCCAAAAATTAGTTGTAAATCAATTATTTTAATTGTCATTATGTCTTCCGGTGAGCTTCAGTTTAGTTTAGAATTTTTCCGGGGTTAGGGTCGGGAAAAGGTCCATTCGCAAGAAGTGCATTTTGTTTCTAGTCTTGACGAATTCACCCAACGAGCAAGGCGCGGCACGAGGGAAACACTGGAATTTATTCAAGCCGTGTTTAACTGTCCACGAGGCGCAAAGCGAGGAAAACGTTGAAAATAATTAACAGCTTTTCGTTAGCAATTCGCTGGAATGTAATGAACGGCGTTTTGCTACCCACGAGGTGCAAGACATAGCGAAGCGCCGTTAATGAACAAGTGCAAGGTAAGCGAAAGGCTGGGATTTAATCGATGGCGTTTCCCTTTTAACCATGAGCAATTCATCGTGGTCAGCGGGGCGACACCTAGTGGCGTTGCGACTTACGTCGTGGTTGCACTGTGTAAATTCCGGTCGGACCCCCCCCCCCCCCCCGTTGAAAACGGCCTGGTTGCGCCACTGGTTGGCGCATCGCGTCAGCATTAAATACTATGTAAAACCTGTCACTGTCAGTATTAGTGTTGTTGCCTGAACAAAGTGGAATAAATAAGATGAAAGGATAACGCTATTCTCCACATTTAACGACGTTAGTTACCTCGATAAGAGCTCTATAGACCGGAAGAATAATTTGAAACCTTGACATTTTGAAATCCTGATAGGATTTTTTGATATTCCAAGAGAGAAAAGACGAAAAGACAGCTCAACTCTAAAACACATCAGGGCCTCTTATCCGGATACTCGTGCAAGTTTAGTAGAGAATATTTATCATGTGAGTTGTTCCCTATTCAAGAACTTGCGAATCCTCGCGGAGTCATTAGTGGTACAGTGGCAAGTATGTTTCTGATTATGTTCATGATCATGAAAACATCAGTCAAGGCATGAGACCAACAGATGATAGGCATACATAAAAGCAAATAATATCAGATACTGTTAATTGATACTAAAATATTACTTCTATAATCCTATACATATGAGTCATAATCCATACCTTCACTGGTGTTTTGTTGATAGTGGAGCATGCATGAAGTTTGGCACAGACTTGGTCAGGTGAAAAATCATCTATAATAATGTTGATTACACCTGGAGCATAATCATTGATATATTGATGACAAACGCTCCTGTATTTTTCTGGAACTATATCACAAACTTTGTTGACTGCATTCAAAATTTCTTGCTGCAAAGAAAGTGAAAACATATAGATTTGTATTCACCACCAGGGTGGGCAAAGTTTTTTTGTAAGGGCTGCTGGACTAAAAAATTATTTTTTTTGCAGGGGCCGCACCACGATATTGACTGTGATGTCACAGATACTATTCCCAATTGCTATGATAGTGCCGAATTTTATGGCGGCTGACATTGTTTAACGGAAAATTTTTTTAACTTTTAATATTTTGTATGTAGTTACAAGAAATTTTCGTGACTTTTTCCTAGACCAGAGGCTCTCACAAAATGCTTTTGCGAACTGCAGGCCATCCCTGTTCTACCCAACACAGATAGATAGGGTATACCAATTACAGCAGATCTGTCTATTCAAGATGATTTCTATCTCTAGCTTGATTGTTAAATGCAAAATTGAAGATTGCTTTATTATCGAATAAAATATTCCTGCTTACCTCAGTTGGTTTTTCACTTAAAATTCTTTTCAATCCATCCATTACAACTTCACAAATTGTACATTCGGACAATTTCTAGAAAGTAGCAGTTAATATTATGTTAGTTGGGAATAACCAGATTTTCTAAATAATTAAAATTAGCACAGAAACACACAATTGTGCGCACTTTAGCTCCACAAAATGTCAACGTCCAAGAAATTCAATTACAAAGCAAGAAAGGTGAACATATACACACCATTTGTTAAACATTGTTCGCTAAAAAATTATTCTCAAAAAGTCACAATATACATTTTTTAAAAGCCAGCATAATTTGAGAAAGCAAATACAAAAAAGTATGTAGAAATAGCCTACTCGGAAATATTTCTGTATCGGAAGTGAATATTAGTCACAACAATAAAAATAATTTATCATTATGAATCTTAGGTCTGTAATCAGACCAGTTTTTAAAAAATTTTGACTTTTAATCGGCAAAAATACAATAGCGACAATTTGTATTCATGCGGTACCATGGGTTCAAAGGCGCTCCAGAAGTGTGTGTACCAATTTGGAGGTAACAAATCTTGTTTGCCTACTTTACATCAAGTTGTATAAAGGGACTGAAGCCTATGGGGCAGGGCTCACTTGGCTAACACAGACAGTCCTCAAACTCTTAAATAAAAATAAAACAGCAAAAATCGGAATATAATTATGCCCCAACCCCAATCTGGTACACACACTACGGGAGTACGAAAAAATGATACCAATTACCAACCTCTTCATTTAACCTCATTTTTTTATCGCTCATAAATTCCATCGACTTATTACAGACTCCGATCATAGGACAGACATCTTTACCAAGGATAGTTAAGAGAAGTTTGTAGAGGGTTGCTCCATAGTTTGTGATCAAGTTTGTACATTCTTCTTTTTGTGCATCAGGTAAAATTGCACAAATCTCCAACATGGCTCCGACTACCTCTTCCTGAAAAGAAATGAAAGTATTCTCAGAAGAGAAAAAAAAATAAGCTTGCTTTGTATAATTCAATTCTAATATGCTCAAAATGGTATTTCAATTTGTATCCAGATTGATCTGATTGATTGATCTATCCAGAAACAGATTGATCAGATCTGCAATGGAACAGCCATGATATGATTCCACATATTTTCTCTTTGAGGTTATTAAAACCACCCATTTTGAAATATCAGCATTTTATTAGGGGATATATTATATGTGTATGATATACTGTATTTTACGAACAATAGGGCGCACCGAGTTATAAGGCGAGCTGTCAATAAATTGCTTAGATTGGGGTTTTGTCCACACATATAAGACGCACCAGGCTTTAAGTCGCATCTGTTTTTAAGGAGTATCGGGTTACCATGCAAAGCTCATTGAACAAACAAAAAACCAAAAATTTTTCATTGTTATTGTATTCAGAAAAAAAAAGTAAAACTCCGCTTTGATTATAAAACAATAGTACCGGTACTGGTTTAGAGTGTAGGTAGGCAATAAAGCATTACCTGATCCATACCATACATTATGTGCACCAGCTTACAAGGCACAGGATAGAATTTAAAAAAAAAAGATTTATTGCCCTTATGGTTCGTAAAATTCGGTAATTGTTCATTCTAGATGTGTATTCTTTCCAGAATATGTTCCGAAAGACACGGGTTACGTTTTCAGGAGTTACCTTGTATAAGACATTTAATTTTTTTTGTCAAAGAACTTTGTTCAAAATTTATTTAATTCATTTTGAGTTTGGAAGGCTTTCAAATAATTATATCAACTCACCTCAGTTTGATTCTTTGTCAAAAGTTGTTCGATTTCAACCACAAGAAATTTACAAACGTCGCAAGTCACTTCAGGTGAAATCTGCGAAATGATAATAAGAAAATTGGGACCAATTTTTACACAGTAGGCAAGATCTGAATAACCTTTACAACACAATAAATACCTTTTCATTCTTGAAGGTCTTTGGACAGATACCGAGATCAGGGCAGATTTTGCCCGGATTCATTTCTTCAACCAAGATAGCATAGACTGAATCTCCGAATTGTTCCACAAAAATATTGCATTGGCTTTTATACTTATCAGGTATGATAGCACATGCTTCACTTAAAGCAGCTTTGATCTCCTCCTGAAATTTTTGAATAAAACAAATTAGAGAACAATTGTAAAATTTCTGCATCAAATGATTACAATAAAATTTCAGTCATGTGAAAGCTCGAGGGTTGCCTTATACTTAGCGTTAGGGACCCACTTGCCATTGCAAACCCTAGTCAGAATATATCTGTCCCTTATGGGTAATTATATGAAATAAACAAAACTTCACTCCTCGCCATAACAGTGAGGAGACCTAGTTGATAACTGATCTGTTACAGCCCACTCCACCAACAAAGTCCATGCCAAACTCAGGGTTTCACAGACTGGCACCTCGCTTCTTTGAGGGCCACAGGAATTAAAGCAGAGATGGGCTACATCAGGGTGTGCAACCTGCGGCCCGTAATGAAATATTGTGCGCGATACGAGTTTTTAATTTAGTTTAATCTGGCACATGAGAGTAATTCTAATCCCTTTGCGTTGCTAAGGCCTATACCCATGTCCAACTTATTAATTATCTATGTTAAACAAAGATGTGGCCCATGGTTTCACCCAGTTATTAGTATCTGGCCCTTCTGTATTAAAGGTTGCACACCCCTGGGGTACATCATCATAATTGCTTTAAGCATTAAGCCACTGCATTATATACTATGATCCATTTATATACATACCATTTATGAGTTTTTAAAACAAAAATAAACCTTTTGAAATGAGAAACACAATACAAAGAAATATCAACATAACTAACCTTGGTTGCATCTTCCTTCAGGACATTGTCAAGTTGTTTGGCGAAAAATTCACAGAAAACGCAAGATGCCTCGTCATCACCAGATTTTGCAATCAATTTCTAGAAAAAGAAAAAACTTAAAAGTCAGCCAATCCATTCTTTATTGAGATCTACTTTCACTGTACGCCAATTAGCAGTTTGAATACAGGAAGGTAAAATGTTTTCAAAACAATGAACAAACATACTCTGAACTATTCGCTATTCACAAGCCAATCAAGCAGCCACCGATATCTAACAACATGTAAGAAGTTACTATGGTTTGAAAGAACCAGAGTCTTTCTGGTGCACTATTGCCTACACCAGTGGTGCACAAGCTCTTATGGCTTGTGGCCTCCCTGTTTATCATTTCAGCGGTATTTATAGTCTATTGTTATCAAACAATTTAAGTCCAACAAAATGAAAACGCCCTGTGAAAAAAACCTTATCAAGCAATGAATGAAAGTTTTCTTGTAAAAAGAAAAATGAAATAAGTTCGCACATTGCATTGTGGCCCCCGCCCCTGGCCTACACTCTTAATTACACTTACCCTGGGAGATATACACCCAATTCTCAGAATAGCTCACCGAATCGCTCAGATTGGGAGCAAAAATTCACAAGGCACAGAGCACAAACCATATGCTCAGCATTGAATTATAAATAATTTATCGAATAATATTTGAGTTCAACCAACTAAACCACATACATCAAGAAGTATAACGGAAATATATTTTCTTAGTGTGCAGCAAATTTTTCCAAGAACTTATATATATATATCCCCCCACATAAAATTTGGCTTACTTGCGCATAACTCTATATATGCGCTAATTTCTCATGATAAGACCATGCATGTACACACTCGAAGCAGCGCTTGGTATGCTATGACAGCAACAACAGTCTGTGATTGATTGTCATACACATGATCGCTTGTGTGTTTAGCTATGACAGCAATAACAGACTGTGATTGGTTGTCATACACATGATCGCTTGCAAGTTCAGCTATGACAGCAATAACAGACTGCGATTGATTGTCATACACATGATCGCTTGCGTGTTTAGCTATGACAGCAACAACAGACTGTGATTGGTTGTCATACACATGATGCTTGCAAGTTCAGCTATGACAGCAATAACAGACTGCGATTGATTGTCATACATGTGATCGCTTGCGTGTTCAGCTACTATGACAGCAATAGCAGTATGTTATTGATTGTCATACATGTGATCGTTTGTGTGTTCAGCTATGACAGCAATAACAGACTGTGATTGGTTGTCAAACGCATGATCGCTCGCGTGTTCAGCTATGACAGCAATAACAGACTGTGATTGGTTGTCAAACGCATGATCGCTTGCGTGTTCAGCTATGACAGCAATAACAGTCTGTGATTGGTTGTCAAACGCATGATCGCTTGCGTGTTCAGCTATGACAGCAATAACAGTCTGTGATTGATTGTCATACACATGATTGCTTGCATGATTGCTTGTGTACCAGGTTATGCGATATCTTGGTGCAGGGGCACCGACCGTTTGTGGATAAAATAAAACATAACAATAATGGTTATCATTTTCATCATATCTATTCTGCCACCAGAGTCCATTCTGCGTACATTGTGTTACAATTTGTATGCGAATGTGTCTTAGGGCTGTTTTTTGTGGGTCGGCTTATATGTGAGGATATATCGTAAGTAATGTGTCATCAGCTCATAGCTGTTTTGACAAGAACTACTTAAGTCTCTTGCCAATCAGTCTTTACTAACATGCCATTCTACACTATGATTCTTCCATAGTCTTAGTGGCTCTCGGCACTATAGTGGTTGTGAGTAACTTCACTCACAGATCAACAGATCAGTGTCATTTGTCTCCGAGTGATTGAGCGTTCCCTCACTTTAAGCCAATTCACTTAGAAAAAGAAAATGCTAGAAAAATTCATCCATATTTCCGCTAATAAATCCATGCACACATTAGGATCTCTCCAATTTAAAAGATATATAACAAAGAAACAACAAAACTATGATAATGTACCTTTTGCACTTCTTTTATACATAATTTCAAATCCGTGCAAAGAACATCAGGATTTAATTCCTTGAGAAGAACTTTCATGAATTGTGGATAGAATGTGGATACAGCATTATCACAAGTTCCTTCAAAATCAGGTCCCAATCTTTTACAAACACTCTTCAATGCATCCTCAATTTCGTCCTAAAAATATACCAAATTATGAAAAAATAGAACCCAGCACCGGCACCTGGTGTAATTACATATTAAAAAAGTTTCAAATGCATCTTCAGTTGAGCAATGCTGACAGTAAAGAATAAAAATATGGTAAGGCTTTGTGAAATTGTGAATAATAAATAAATAAATGCGAGGATAAATAAACGAGAAAATTGGTCCGAGACCGAAGACATATCAATCGAAAGTTAGGGGATCCCCCAAACTCCATAGTGACACCCTGTGTCCCATCACTAATTAATTAATAACTCGCTAATTATACAACATAATTCGCCCAAAATCAATAGGCTTCTGGTCCGGGATAAGATGAATGCACATGCAAAATCTGGAGCAGATTCAATCTCGCTTTCGTGAGATATTGCGTGCATCTAACAGACATACAGACAGACAAATACCTATCAACATACTTACCGATTAAAATCGATAAGTAATAAATAGATAATTAAATGTGGGTCATAACAATCATTATTATTATCTGAATTCTCTCATTGGCTCCCAGACCAGGTCAAGCAGATAAACAGATGACTAGTTCATCCACACCAGAGGCAAAAAATAAAGGTAAGTTGTAAACAACCAACAATAGCATGAACATGCCCTTGTGATGAAGTCTAGTAGAAAAAATCTATACTGCCTAGGGCAGTGGTTCGCAACCTTTTTTCTCCTGTGTGCCATTTTCGTGGCACAGAAATTATGAGGCCCACCAACTTTTTCATGCAAGGGCAAAAGTACAAGAAAAGTGAAAAATTCATATCTCATAAAATAGACACTTTCACTTAAATAATTATTTGTACGATGGTGTCTTGTACTACAGGGTGACATTCTAATTATAATTCATTGATTTATACTACCATTAATTTATTTGAATATATCAACTCAAGTAATTTTTAAAAGGTTTGTGGCCCATCTTGGAGCGTTCCTGTGGTCAAGCAGTTGGCCATGGCCCGCTGTTTGAGAACCGGTGGCATTAGATAAACAACCAGCTTTTGAATTGTTTTCTAAGTTGTTGTTCTTTTATGCGAGAAAGATCGCTTCTCACAGCAACTAATAAACGTAATTAAAGAAAGATGGGATATTTGTTAAAAGACTATTACTTTTATTTTTCGTTACATCAAGACTGATATTTCACCAAAATTTTGCTCGCTTTCATAATTTACGGCAAACCTTCATTTATCATTCGGTATATTTCTCTTAACATTTGTCAGGATTTTGTCTGACACTGCGGTGCGGCTGCCATATTAGTCATTTGACTCTTGTGTTCACATACATATTTGAACATTGCCCGTTAGCTTAAAATACAAATTGTTGAGTCTTATTTCACAGATTTTTACCTGAGTAGAAGTATTTCCCAACATATTTCCAAGTTCTTTAGCAATTAATCTGCACACTTCACAGGTTTCAATAGTAGGTCCCTTGATTGAATAAAAAGAAAACAGATCAGAAAAATCGGCAAGAAATGTCTAAAGCAGTGGTTCTCATATGGTAGAGGCGTGGAGATAATTAAAGATAAAAATATTTGTTGGATTCAATCTTGTCCGCCTGATTTCGGCGAATTCAAAATGGAAATCCTACATCCTTTCCAAATCTTGATGAAGCATTCGAAAACATGCTTAAAACTTTTCATTTATTTCATTATTCATGTTCCATCCATATATTTTCAACATGTTTTTTGAATAAAACATACTTTCGCCATACTATTCACTATCTTTGTAATGCAAGTTAGGAATGATATAGGTAGAGACAATTAGTAGAAACAGATTGTTAGATTTTTAATTCAGATTGTAGAAATCTGACATTTAACTTGTGGAACATTACCTACCTAATGACCATTATCTGTCAAATATGTATCGCAGGATTGTGAGAAGTGACACAAATTTTCTCAAAACCAAAAGAAATTTGGATTAAATCCTCAAGCCATGCACTTCAAAAAATTGGAAAAAACATTAAACCAACACCTTTGAATTTAGAAAACTTGAAGCGATTTGTTTTTTCACTCAAAAATAACAACATGGAACAAACACCACTTACAAAAATTTATCGAAACAATACAAAAAAAAAAAATATTCACAAAAAAATACAAACCTTCTTGAAGCTAGTTGATGACTGACAAAGTTCTAGTTGTACACAGATTACATCTGGTCTGAATTCTTGGAGCAAAAATTTGATAATTTGGTCGAAATTCTGGTTGACAAGTCCAGTGCAAGTATCTTTGAATTCAGATGGAATGAATCCACAAACCTCATTGAGTACTTTTTTGATCTCATCCTGATAATCAAAACAAGAGAGCAACGTTTAAATATATGGATACAAAGACCAAAACGAAGTAGTACGTGTATGCAATCTTTACAGTAGACCGACACCAGATCATAGCGCATTCAAATGCAGAATCAACAAATATAAGCTTTAACCACTTCTATAGATCTAAAAAACAATCTATATGTACACTTTGTGTCCAATGAAACAAGTTGAAAAAATTATCAAGTGAAAATGAGAAATGTACTTGGCATAGCACCTCTGATTACCCTGCTCGGGTTTATGTGCGAGAGGATTGCTGACCTCTTCACCGTCACAGGGTGATTCAAGTAACCGCCAATTGTTTACAGTTTTCTCCACCATCAAGTCCATGCATCTGAAACGAATAACTGGCTATCTAATCCCATACCCAACATAGATTTGTAAACCGATGATTGGCCTTGGTTTGTCATATGATCAAGCCTTCCTAACGTCGTTCCTCTCCTTTCGAATAAATATGAAATCCTATCCTAAAATCCAAGCCGGACTATGAAATAACACATGAGATAACATGAATTACACTTGAACCTAAAATTATTGACTAATTTTATTTAAATGAATTCAAAATTTTCAGGCCCACTACCAAATTGGAAAAAGGCACAGATAATTTCCTAATTTCAAATTTCCTTGCCATTTTAACTTCACTGTCATGCGTTGGAAGGCATAAATCATAAATTCGTTGTCATACCTGTGTAGATGATACATTCAATTGACTATCAATATAATTTGCAATCATATTACAAACATCGCAAACTGTATTGTCTGTAACATCGGTTTTCTGAAAAATAAAATGATTTCAAGGTACACACTTCAACATATAATTCGAACAAGAGCCATTTTCAGAAGTAAAACTCTGCGCCCATGTGGCAGAAACCCAATGAAAATTTTGGTTAAAACAATGGATTTGGGAAGTCTAAATGGAGATATTAAGAAAAGTATAAAGAAAATAAATTCCTACAGAATATTTTTACTACAAAATTACAAGCAATTGATTAATTAGCTAAAGAGAATAAGAGAATGCTAATTTAATCAGGGCTGTCCAAAACAAATCGAATATTCGAATACATTCAAAATCCATTATATGCAATGCAGTAAATTTTCGAATTGCTAAATAATTCAGAATATTTTTGTTTAAAATTAGGAATTATGAGCAGTCAGACAAGAAGCTCGAAAAACATACGATATCTCCTCTGATAACAAACAACATACAATGACCAATGGCCTTTATATTTATGTTGTTTCAGATATGATCAACATGAAAATATAATGATTTATATAATTTTCCACATGAATGTGCCCCCAATTTAGAATGCATTCGATAATTCATATTCGATAATATTTTTCCAGAATGTATCTGGAATTGTGAAATTTTCGGCTTTGGCCATCCTTGCCAAGTAAACAACAATAACGTATATGCATCCTGAACTATACCAGAGTGGCATACTTGCCAGGACTGCGTTTTGAGGAAAATTTACATCTGACTCAGACCTGAGCTTTGAGCCATTTGAAAAATGACCCAGGCCCCAATTCCCGGTGTTCCAAAATTTTGCCCCCAGTGGAGGCCCCAGGTTATCTGCTCGAGATACTATGTTTGTTTGCACGACTTTTTTCGTCATCTAAACCAGTTAAAAGCAAGTATGCACACTCAAACATAGCTTTTGCGACAAAACCATTTTTAGTTTTTATAGGTAATACAAAACCAACGTGTATATAATTTTAAATCCAACCTTTAAGTTTTCTTCCATCGATTTACATAAGTTCAACTGAACACAGATCTTATCAGGTTTGAATTCTTCAACAAGAAGATTGACTATTTCTGTTCCATATTGTGTTACGAGTCCATTACAAGTGTCTTTGACAGAATCAGGTAAAACATCACAAACTTCTTTTAATGCTGCTTCAATTTCATCCTGTTTTTAGAGAAATGTGATAAAGAATTACTGCAAAAACAAAGAAGATCACAAGATTGAAATTTTATATTCATGGGTGGCTTTATTTAAACCAAATTCCTAGGCTAAATAACAATAAATTATCAAATTGATTTAATATTACTTCAAAAATTGAAACATAAAACAAACCTGAGTAGATTTTTCTGATAATACATTGTCTAATTCAGTGGCAATCAATGTACAAACTTCACATTCAGCAGAAGATGTTATGGATTCCACCTGAAATGAGTTTGAGAATTCTGAATTCCACAATTCACATTTACCGTTACTAAAATTAAATAGCTCATAAAAGAAAAACTAAAGGATATGAAGGTGTTATTGCCACTGTAGACTAATGTCATTGGTCAATAACTTGCTTGGGTTATCAATTGTCAGAACTGACATGGTGACACAATTTAAAAAAAAAGTCAAAATTTGGCTAAAATAGAGAAAATATAAAAGCGACAGCCGACCAATGGTTTCAACAACAACAAATTAGTAAATCATTAAACCCAGCATGTCACAGGCAACAAAATAATAAGATTTTTTTGAAAAACTAATACTAAATTTAATAAAGTTTAGAATTCAAAATGTCGTGACCATAATTTCCAATTGTCTTATTGATTACTCAAATCTCAAATACATCGCCAGTTATTCATTAATTTTGCAAGAAAACTTGAAAACAACACTGATTTATTTAATACTATCGAATACCTTAATTTGGTTGTAGCTCTTACTAGAAGAGTGGCTATAAAACAGTGGGGCGTAGACAATTTTTTGAGGGGGCGTGAAGCTAATTAAAAATATAAATATTTGTTAGATTTCATCTGCCAGTCCTACTTTGGATATATAATTTCTTATTTGTTTAAAAAATGTGATTCCATCCATGTATTTTCAAGATGTTTCTTGAATAAAACATATCTTTGTTGCCGGGCGCGGCTTAAGAAGTTTGAGAACCCTTGTACTAAAACAACTGATTGATTTTTTCTGGACACAAAAGAGACTTTTGGAAATTCATTGTTGTCGTTAAAACCAAAATTCTCTTTTTACCAGACGATGTCTATCACAATTAAAAGTCCCCATATTCATATGAGTTAAAATCGATCGTTTTACCAAAATATTTGCGAATTATGGTAATCACTCAACCAAATTTGAATGTACAGTTATTTAAAAACATTTTGTACATATTATTATTAAAAATCTGACCTTTAAAATTTCTTTCGTCGATTGACATAAGTCCAATTGAACACAGATCATATCAGGTTTAAATTCTTCAACAAGAAGATTGACAATTTCTGTTCCATATTGTGTTACGAGTCCATTACAAGTGTCTTTGACAGAATCAGGTAAAACATTGCAAACTTCTTTCAATGCAGCTTCAATTTCCTCCTGTTTAAAGGAATGTGATAATGCATTACTGCAAAAACAAAGAAGATCACAAGATTGCAATGTTATATTCATTCATTCATTCTTTATTTAAACAAAACTTTTAGGCTGAATAACAATAAATTATCGGATTAATTTAATATTACTTCAAAAATTCAAACACAAAACAAACCTGAGTAGATTCTTCTGATAATACTTTGTCTAATTCAGTTGCAATCAATGTACAAACTTCACATTCAGCAGAAGATGTTATGGATTCCACCTAAAATGAATTTGAGAATTCTAAATTCCATAATCCATCTTTACCGGTACTGAGATTAAATAGCCAACAAAAGAAAAGCAAAAATTAAGATATGAAGGTGGTATTGCCACTGTAAAATATCATTGTCCAATAACTTGCTTTGGTAATCAATTGTCAAAACTGACATGGTGACACAATTTAAAAAAAAGTCAAAATTTGGTAAAATGGAGAAAATATAAAAGCAACGGCCGACCAACATATTCAACAACAATAAATTAGTAAATCATTAAATCCAGCATGTCACAGCCAACAAAAAAATAAGATTTTTTTGAAAAACTAATACTAAAATAAAATAAAGTTTAGAATTCAGAATGTCGTGACCATAATTTCCAATTGTCTTACTGATTACTCAAATCTCAAATACATCGCCAGTTATTCATTAATTTTGCAAGAAAACTCAGAAACATTACTGATTTATTTAATACTATCGAATACCTCAATGTGGTTGTAGCTCTTACTAGAAGAGTGGCTATAAAACAGTTGGGCATAGACAATTTTTTGAGGGAGCGTGAAGTTAATTAAAAATATAAATATTTGTTAGATTTCATCGTGCACGTCCTATTTTGGATATATACATCTTTTCATTGTTTAAAAATTGAGATTCCATCCACATATTTTCAAGATGTTTTTCGAATAAAACATACTTTTGTTGCCAGGCGCGGCTCAAGAGGTTGAGAACCACTGTACTAAAACAACTAATTGATTTTTCTGGACAATAAAGAGACTTTTGGAAAATCATTGTCGTTAAAACCATAAATCTTTTTTACCAGACGATGTCTATCACAATTAATAGTCCTCATATTTATATGAGTTAAAATCAATCGTTTTACCAAAATATTTGCTGATTATGGTAATTACTCAACCAAATTTGAATGTACAGTTATTTAAAAACATTTTATACATATTATTATTCAAAATCTAACCTTTAAAATTTCTTTCGTCGATTGACATAAGTCCAATTGAACACAGATCATATCAGGTTTAAATTCTTCAACAAGAAGATTGACAATTTCTGTTCCATATTGTGTTACGAGTCCATTACAAGTGTCTTTGACAGAATCAGGTAAAACATTGCAAACTTCTTTCAATGCAGCTTCAATTTCCTCCTGTTTAAAGGAATGTGATAATGCATTACTGCAAAAACAAAGAAGATCACAAGATTGCAATTTTATATTCATTCATTCATTCTTTATTTGAACAAAATTCCTAGGCTGAATAACAATAAATTATCGGATTAATTTAATATTACTTCAAAAATTCAAACACAAAACAAACCTGAGTAGATTCTTCTGATAATACTTTGTCTAATTCAGTTGCAATCAATGTACAAACTTCACATTCAGCAGAAGATGTTATGGATTCCACCTGAAATGAATTTGAGAATTCTAAATTCCATAATCCATCTTTACCGGTACTGAGATTAAATAGCCAACAAAAGAAAAGCAAAAATTAAGATATGAAGGTGGTATTGCCACTGTAAAATATCATTGTCCAATAACTTGCTTTGGTAATCAATTGTCAAAACTGACATGGTGACACAATTTAAAAAAAAGTCAAAATTTGGTAAAATGGAGAAAATATAAAAGCAACGGCCGACCAACATATTCAACAACAATAAATTAGTAAATCATTAAATCCAGCATGTCACAGCCAACAAAAAAATAAGATTTTTTTGAAAAACTAATACTAAAATAAAATAAAGTTTAGAATTCAGAATGTCGTGACCATAATTTCCAATTGTCTTACTGATTTCTCAAATCTCAAATACATCGCCAGTTATTCATTAATTTTGCAAGAAAACTCAAAAACATCACTGATTTATTTAATACTATCGAATACCTCAATGTGGTTGTAGCTCTTACTAGAAGAGTGGCTATAAAACAGTGGGGCATAGACAATTTTTTGAGGGAGCGTGAAGTTAATTAAAAATATAAATATTTGTTAGATTTCATCGTGCCCGTCCTATTTTGGATATATACATCTTTTCATTGTTTAAAAATTGAGATTCCATCCACATATTTTCAAGATGTTTTTCGAATAAAACATACTTTTGTTGCCAGGCGCGGCTCAAGAGGTTGAGAACCACTGTACTAAAACAACTAATTGATTTTTCTGGACAATAAAGAGACTTTTGGAAAATCATTGTCGTTAAAACCATAAATCTCTTTTTACCAGACGATGTCTATCACAATTAATAGTCTTCATATTTATATGAGTTAAAATCAATCGTTTTACCAAAATATTTGCTGATTATGGTAATTACTCAACCAAATTTGGATGTACAGTTATTTAAAAACATTTTGTACATATTATTATCAAAAATCTAACCTTCAAAATTTTTTTCGTCGATTGACATAAGTCCAATTGAACACAGATCATATCAGGTTTGAATTCTTCAACTAGAAGATTGACAATTTCTGTTCCATATTGTGTTACGAGTCCATTACAAGTGTCTTTGACAGAATCAGGTAAAACATCACAAACTTCTTTTAATGCAGCTTCAATTTCTTCCTGTTTATAAAAAAATGTGATAATGCATTACTGCAAAAACAAAGAAGATCACAAGATTGCAATTTTCAATTCATGGGTGCCTTTAGTTAAACAAAATTCCAAGGCCGAATAACAAGAAAATTATTGGATAAATTTAATATTACTTCAAAAATTCAAACATAAAACAAACCTGAGTAGATTCTTCTGATAATACTTTGTCTAATTCAGTGGCAATCAATGTACAAACTTCACATTCAGCAGAAGATGTTATGGATTCCACCTGAAATGAGTTTGAAAATTCTGAATTCCATAATTCACATTTACCGTTACTAAGATGAAATATCCCAAAAAGAAAAGAGAAACTGAAGGATATGAAGGTGTTATTGCCACTGTAAACTAATGGCATTGGTCAATAACTTGCTTGGGTTATCAAATGTCAAAACTGACATGGTGACACAATTGAAAAAAAAAGTCAAAATTTGGATAAAATAGAGAAATTTTAAAAGCAACAGCCAACCAACGGTTTCAACAACAACAAATTAGTAAATCATAAAATACAGCATGTCACAGCCAACAAAATAATAAGATTTTTTTGAGAAACTAATACTAAAATAAAATTTAGAAATCAGAATGTCGTGACCATAAAGGCGTGAAGCTAATTAAAAGTATGAATATTTGTTAGATTTCATCTGCTCGTCCTATTTTGGATATATACATTTCTTATTTGTTTAAAAAATGTCATTCCATTCACTTATTTTCAACGTGTTTTTTGAATAAAACATATTTTTGCAGCCGGGCGCGACTTAAGAATTTTGAGAACCACTGTACTACAACAACTAATAGATTTTTTCTTGACATAAAAGAGAATTTTGGAAAATAATTGTTGTTGCTAAAACCAAAACTCTCTTTTTACTTGGACATCTTCTGGACACCAAAGAGACTTTTGGAAAATAATTGTTGTTGCTAAAACCAAAATTCTCTTTTTACTTGGACATCTTCTGGACACAAAAGAGACTTTTGGAAAATCATTGTTGTTGCTAAAACCAAAATTCTCTTTTTACTTGGACATCTTCTGGACACAAAAGAGACTTTTGGAAAATCATTGTTGTTGCTAAAACCAAAATTCTCTTTTTACTTGGACATCTTCTGGACACAAAAGAGACTTTTGGAAAATAATTGTTGTTGCTAAAACCAAAATTCTCTTTTTACTTGGACATCTTCTGGACACAAAAGAGACTTTTGGAAAATAATTGTTGTTGCTAAAACCAAAATTCTCTTTTTACTTAGACATCTTCTGGACACAAAAGAGACTTTTGGAAAATAATTGTTGTTGCTAAAACCAAAATTCTCTTTTTACTTGGACATCTTCTGGACACAAAAGAGACTTTTGGAAAATAATTGTTGTTGCTAAAACCAAAATTCTCTTTTTACTTGGACATCTTCTGGACACAAAAGAGACTTTTGGAAAATAATTGTTGTTGCTAAAACCAAAATTCTCTTTTTACTTGGACATCTTCTGGACACAAAAGAGACTTTTGGAAAATAATTGTTGTTGCTAAAACCAAAATTCTCTTTTTACTTGGACATCTTCTGGACACAAAAGAGACTTTTGGAAAATAATTGTTGTTGCTAAAACCAAAATTCTCTTTTTACTTGGACATCTTCTGGACACAAAAGAGACTTTTGGAAAATAATTGTTGTTGCTAAAACCAAAATTCTCTTTTTACTTGGACATCTTCTGGACACAAAAGAGACTTTTGGAAAATAATTGTTGTTGCTAAAACCAAAATTCTCTTTTTACTTGGACATCTTCTGGACACAAAAGAGACTTTTGGAAAATAATTGTTGTTGCTAAAACCAAAATTCTCTTTTTACTTGGACATCTTCTGGACACAAAAGAGACTTTTGGAAAATAATTGTTGTTGCTAAAACCAAAATTCTCTTTTCACCAGACGATGTCTATCACGATTAAAGGTCCTCATATTTATATGAGTTAAAATCGATCGTTTTACCAAAATAATTGCTGATTATGGTAATTACTCAACCAAATTTGGATGTACAGTTATCTTACAACATTTTGTACATATTATTATTAAAAATCTAACTTTCAAAATTTCTTTCGTCGATTGACATAAGTCCAATTGAACACAGATCATATCAGGTTTAAATTCTTCAACAAGAAGATTGACAATTTCTGTTCCATATTGTGTTACGAGTCCATTACAAGTGTCTTTGACAGAATCAGGTAAAACATCACAAACTTCTTTTAATGCAGCTTCAATTTCCTCCTGTTTAAAGAAATGTGATAATGCATTAGTGCAAAAACAAAGAAGATCAAAAGATTGCAATTTTCTATTCACAGGCGCCTTTAGTTAATCAAAATTCCTAGGCTGAATAACAATAAATTATTGGATAAACTCAATATTACTTCAAAAATTCAAACATAAAACAAACCTGAGTAGATTCTTCTGATAATACTTTGTCTAATTCAGTGGCAATCAATGTACAAACTTCACATTCAGCAGAAGATGTTATGGATTCCACCTGAAATGAGTTTGAGAATTCTGAATTCCATAATTCACATTTACCGTTACTAAGATTAAATAGCCCATGAAAGAAAAGAAAAACTAAAGGATATGAAGGTGTTATTGCCACTGTAAACTAATGTCATTAGTTAATAATTGGGTTATCAATTGTCAGAACTCTGACATGGTGACACAATTTAAAAAAAAAATGGTACTAAAATGGAGAAAATATAAAAGTGACAGCCGACCAACGTTTTCAACAACAATAAATTAGTAAATCATTAAATCCAGCATGTCACAGGCAACAAAATGATAAGATTTTTTTGGAGAACTAATACTAAAATAAAATTTAGAATTCAGAATGTCGTGACCATAATTTCCAATTGTCTTACTGATTACTCAAATCTCAAATACCTCCTACTTTGGATATATACATTTCTTATTTGTTTAAAAAATGTGATTCCATCCATGTATTTTCAAGATGTTTCTTGGATAAAACATATCTTTGTTGCTGGGTGCGGCTCAAGAAGTTGACGACCACTGTACTAAAACAACTATTTAATTTTTTCGGACAATAAAGAGACTTTTGGAAAATCATTGTTGTCGTTAAAACCAAAATTCTCTTTTTACCAGACGATGACTATCACAATTAAAAGTCTCCATATTCATATGAGTTAAAATCAATCGTTTTACCAAAATATTTGCGGATTATGGTAATCACTCAACCAAATTTGGATGTACAGTTATCTTACAACATTTTGTACATATTATTATTAAAAATCTAACTTTCAAAATTTCTTTCGTCGATTGACATAAGTCCAATTGAACACAGATCATATCAGGTTTAAATTCTTCAACAAGAAGATTGACAATTTCTGTTCCATATTGTGTTACGAGTCCATTACAAGTGTCTTTGACAGAATCAGGTAAAACATCACAAACTTCTTTTAATGCTGCTTCAATTTGTTCCTGTTTTTAAAGAAATGTGATAAAGAATTACTGCAAAAACAAAGAAGATCACAAGATTGAAATTTTATATTCATGGGTGGCTTTATTTAAACCAAATTCCTAGGCTGAATAACAATAAATTATCGAATTAATTCAATATTACTTCAAAATTTGAAACATAAAACAAACCTGAGTAGATTCTTCTGATAATACATTGTCTAATTCAGTAGCAATCAATGTACAAACTTCACATTCAGCAGAAGATGTTATGGATTCCACCTGAAATGAGTTTGAGAATTCTGAATTCCATAATTCACATTTACCGTTACTAAGATTAAATAGCTCATGAAAGAAAAAAAACTGAAAGGATATGAAGGTTTTATTGCCACTGAAAACTAATGTCATTGGTCAATAACTTGATTGGGTTATCAATTGTCAAAACTCTGACATGGTGACACAATTTTAAAAAAAAAAGGGGGATTAAAATGGAGAAAATATAAAAGCGACAGCCGACCAACCGTTCTCAAAAACAATAAATTAGTATCCTAAGTGATTCAAGAATCTTGCTGCACACTAACACAAATATATTTCTGTAACGTTTCGTCGGACCAAGGTCAGACTTCTTCAGACCTACATAGTTCAACTATCACTCTTGAATCACTTAGGATAGTTATCTTTACTCTTGCTACAGCATCCTTGCACTATACGCATACAGATCCGCCGACACAAAAGCATAGAAGAAGGATAAGTAGTTAGTATCGCAGAAACCAAATCATTACAATAAATTAGTATATCAATAAATCCAGCATGTCACAGCCAACAAAATAATAAGATTTTTTTGAAAAACTAATACTAAATTTAATAAAGTTTAGAATTCAAAATGTCGTGACCATAATTTCCAATTGTCTTACTGAATACTCAAATCTCAAATACATCGCCAGTTATTCATGAATTTTGCAAGAAAACTTGAAAACAACACTGATTTATTTTTTACTATCGAATACCTTAATGTGGTTGTAGCTCTTACTAGAAGAGTGGCTAAAGCAGTGGGGCGTAGGCAATTTTGAGGGGGCGTGAAGCTACCGGTAATTAAAAATAAAAATATTTGTTAGATTTCATCGTGCCCGTCCTATTTTGGATATTTACATTTCTTATTCGTTTAAAAAATGTGATTCCATCCACGTATTTTCAACATGTTTTTTGAATAAAACATACTCTCGCCGCCGGGCGCGACCTAAGAAGTTTTAGAACCACTGTACTAAAACAACTATTTGATTTTTTCGGACAATAAAGAGACTTTTGGAAAATCATTGTTGTCGTTAAAACCAAAATTCTCTTTTTACCAGACGATGTCTATCACAATTAAAAGTCTTCATATTCATATGAGTTAAAATCGATCGTTTTACCAAAATATTTGCGGATTATGGTAATCACTCAACCAAATTTGAATGTACAGTTATTTAAAAACATTTTGTACATATTATTATCAAAAATCTAACTTTCAAAATTTCTTTCGTCGATTGACATAAGTCCAATTGAACACAGATCATATCAGGTTTAAATTCTTCAACAAGAAGATTGACAATTTCTGTTCCATATTGTGTTACGAGTCCATTACAAGTGTCTTTGACAGAATCAGGTAAAACATCACAAACTTCTTTTAATGCTGCTTCAATTTCTTCCTGTTTATAAAGAAATGTGATAATGCATTACTGCAAAAACAAAGAAGATCACAAGATTGCAATTTTATATTCATTCATTCATTCTTTATTTAAACCAAATTCCTAGGCTGAATAACAATAAATTATCGGATTAATTTAATATTACTTCAAAAATTCAACCACAAAACAAACCTGAGTAGATTCTTCTGATAATACTTTGTCTAATTCAGTTGCAATCAATGTACAAACTTCACATTCAGCAGAAGATGTTATGGATTCCACCTGAAATGAATTTGAGAATTCTAAATTCCATAATCCATCTTTACCGGTACTGAGATTAAATAGCTAACAAAAGAAAAGCAAAAATTAAGATATGAAGGTGGTATTGCCACTGTAAAATATCATTGTCCAATAACTTGCTTTGGTAATCAATTGTCAAAACTGACATGGTGACACAATTTTAAAAAAAAGTCAAAATTTGGCTAAAATGGAGAAAATATAAAAGCAACAGCCGACCAACATATTCAACAACAATAAATTAGTAAATCATTAAATCCAGCATGTCACAGCCAACAAAAAAATAAGATTTTTTATTAGAAAAACTAATACTAAAATAAAATAAAGTTTAGAATTCAGAATGTCGTGACCATAATTTCCAATTGTCTTACTGATTTCTCAAATCTCAAATACATCGCCAGTTATTCATTAATTTTGCAAGAAAACTCAAAAACATCACTGATTTATTTAATACTATCGAATACCTCAATGTGGTTGTAGCTCTTACTAGAAGAGTGGCTATAAAACAGTGGGGCATAGACAATTTTTTGAGGGAGCGTGAAGTTAATTAAAAATATAAATATTTGTTAGATTTCATCGTGCCCGTCCTATTTTGGATATATACATCTTTTCATTGTTTAAAAATTGAGATTCCATCCACATATTTTCAAGATGTTTTTCGAATAAAACATACTTTTGTTGCCAGGCGCGGCTCAAGAGGTTGAGAACCACTGTACTAAAACAACTAATTGATTTTTCTGGACAATAAAGAGACTTTTGGAAAATCATTGTCGTTAAAACCATAAATCTCTTTTTACCAGACGATGTCTATCACAATTAATAGTCTTCATATTTATATGAGTTAAAATCAATCGTTTTACCAAAATATTTGCTGATTATGGTAATTACTCAACCAAATTTGGATGTACAGTTATTTAAAAACATTTTGTACATATTATTATCAAAAATCTAACCTTCAAAATTTTTTTCGTCGATTGACATAAGTCCAATTGAACACAGATCATATCAGGTTTGAATTCTTCAACTAGAAGATTGACAATTTCTGTTCCATATTGTGTTACGAGTCCATTACAAGTGTCTTTGACAGAATCAGGTAAAACATCACAAACTTCTTTTAATGCAGCTTCAATTTCTTCCTGTTTATAAAAAAATGTGATAATGCATTACTGCAAAAACAAAGAAGATCACAAGATTGCAATTTTCAATTCATGGGTGCCTTTAGTTAAACAAAATTCCAAGGCCGAATAACAAGAAAATTATTGGATAAATTTAATATTACTTCAAAAATTCAAACATAAAACAAACCTGAGTAGATTCTTCTGATAATACTTTGTCTAATTCAGTGGCAATCAATGTACAAACTTCACATTCAGCAGAAGATGTTATGGATTCCACCTGAAATGAGTTTGAAAATTCTGAATTCCATAATTCACATTTACCGTTACTAAGATGAAATATCCCAAAAAGAAAAGAGAAACTGAAGGATATGAAGGTGTTATTGCCACTGTAAACTAATGGCATTGGTCAATAACTTGCTTGGGTTATCAAATGTCAAAACTGACATGGTGACACAATTGAAAAAAAAAGTCAAAATTTGGATAAAATAGAGAAATTTTAAAAGCAACAGCCAACCAACGGTTTCAACAACAACAAATTAGTAAATCATAAAATACAGCATGTCACAGCCAACAAAATAATAAGATTTTTTTGAGAAACTAATACTAAAATAAAATTTAGAAATCAGAATGTCGTGACCATAAAGGCGTGAAGCTAATTAAAAGTATGAATATTTGTTAGATTTCATCTGCTCGTCCTATTTTGGATATATACATTTCTTATTTGTTTAAAAAATGTCATTCCATTCACTTATTTTCAACGTGTTTTTTGAATAAAACATATTTTTGCAGCCGGGCGCGACTTAAGAATTTTGAGAACCACTGTACTACAACAACTAATAGATTTTTTCTTGACATAAAAGAGAATTTTGGAAAATAATTGTTGTTGCTAAAACCAAAACTCTCTTTTTACTTGGACATCTTCTGGACACCAAAGAGACTTTTGGAAAATAATTGTTGTTGCTAAAACCAAAATTCTCTTTTTACTTGGACATCTTCTGGACACAAAAGAGACTTTTGGAAAATCATTGTTGTTGCTAAAACCAAAATTCTCTTTTTACTTGGACATCTTCTGGACACAAAAGAGACTTTTGGAAAATCATTGTTGTTGCTAAAACCAAAATTCTCTTTTTACTTGGACATCTTCTGGACACAAAAGAGACTTTTGGAAAATAATTGTTGTTGCTAAAACCAAAATTCTCTTTTTACTTGGACATCTTCTGGACACAAAAGAGACTTTTGGAAAATAATTGTTGTTGCTAAAACCAAAATTCTCTTTTTACTTGGACATCTTCTGGACACAAAAGAGACTTTTGGAAAATAATTGTTGTTGCTAAAACCAAAATTCTCTTTTTACTTGGACATCTTCTGGACACAAAAGAGACTTTTGGAAAATAATTGTTGTTGCTAAAACCAAAATTCTCTTTTTACTTGGACATCTTCTGGACACAAAAGAGACTTTTGGAAAATAATTGTTGTTGCTAAAACCAAAATTCTCTTTTTACTTGGACATCTTCTGGACACAAAAGAGACTTTTGGAAAATAATTGTTGTTGCTAAAACCAAAATTCTCTTTTTACTTGGACATCTTCTGGACACAAAAGAGACTTTTGGAAAATAATTGTTGTTGCTAAAACCAAAATTCTCTTTTTACTTGGACATCTTCTGGACACAAAAGAGACTTTTGGAAAATAATTGTTGTTGCTAAAACCAAAATTCTCTTTTTACTTGGACATCTTCTGGACACAAAAGAGACTTTTGGAAAATAATTGTTGTTGCTAAAACCAAAATTCTCTTTTCACCAGACGATGTCTATCACGATTAAAGGTCCTCATATTTATATGAGTTAAAATCGATCGTTTTACCAAAATAATTGCTGATTATGGTAATTACTCAACCAAATTTGGATGTACAGTTATCTTACAACATTTTGTACATATTATTATTAAAAATCTAACTTTCAAAATTTCTTTCGTCGATTGACATAAGTCCAATTGAACACAGATCATATCAGGTTTAAATTCTTCAACAAGAAGATTGACAATTTCTGTTCCATATTGTGTTACGAGTCCATTACAAGTGTCTTTGACAGAATCAGGTAAAACATCACAAACTTCTTTTAATGCAGCTTCAATTTCCTCCTGTTTAAAGAAATGTGATAATGCATTAGTGCAAAAACAAAGAAGATCAAAAGATTGCAATTTTCTATTCACAGGCGCCTTTAGTTAATCAAAATTCCTAGGCTGAATAACAATAAATTATTGGATAAACTCAATATTACTTCAAAAATTCAAACATAAAACAAACCTGAGTAGATTCTTCTGATAATACTTTGTCTAATTCAGTGGCAATCAATGTACAAACTTCACATTCAGCAGAAGATGTTATGGATTCCACCTGAAATGAGTTTGAGAATTCTGAATTCCATAATTCACATTTACCGTTACTAAGATTAAATAGCCCATGAAAGAAAAGAAAAACTAAAGGATATGAAGGTGTTATTGCCACTGTAAACTAATGTCATTAGTTAATAATTGGGTTATCAATTGTCAGAACTCTGACATGGTGACACAATTTAAAAAAAAAATGGTACTAAAATGGAGAAAATATAAAAGTGACAGCCGACCAACGTTTTCAACAACAATAAATTAGTAAATCATTAAATCCAGCATGTCACAGGCAACAAAATGATAAGATTTTTTTGGAGAACTAATACTAAAATAAAATTTAGAATTCAGAATGTCGTGACCATAATTTCCAATTGTCTTACTGATTACTCAAATCTCAAATACCTCCTACTTTGGATATATACATTTCTTATTTGTTTAAAAAATGTGATTCCATCCATGTATTTTCAAGATGTTTCTTGGATAAAACATATCTTTGTTGCCGGGTGCGGCTCAAGAAGTTGACGACCACTGTACTAAAACAACTATTTAATTTTTTCGGACAATAAAGAGACTTTTGGAAAATCATTGTTGTCGTTAAAACCAAAATTCTCTTTTTACCAGACGATGACTATCACAATTAAAAGTCTCCATATTCATATGAGTTAAAATCAATCGTTTTACCAAAATATTTGCGGATGGATTATGGTAATCACTCAACCAAATTTGAATGTACAGTTATTTAAAAACATTTTGTACATATTAATATTAAAAATCTAACTTTCAAAATTTCTTTCGTCGATTGACATAAGTCTAATTGAACACAGATCATATCAGGTTTAAATTCTTCAACAAGAAGATTGACAATTTCTGTTCCATATTGTGTTACGAGTCCATTACAAGTGTCTTTGACAGAATCAGGTAAAACATCACAAACTTCTTTTAATGCAGCTTCAATTTCCTCCTGTTTAAAGAAATGTGATAATGCATTACTGCAAAAACAAAGAAGATCACAAGATTGCAATTTTATTTTCATTCATTCATTCTTTATTTAAACAAAACTTCTAGGCTGAATAACAATAAAATATCGGATTAATTCAATATTACTTCAAAAATTCAAACATAAAACAAACCTGAGTAGATTCTTCTGATAATACTTTGTCTAATTCAGTGGCAATCAATGTACAAACTTCACATTCAGCAGAAGATGTTATGGATTCCACCTGGAATGAGTTTGAGAATTCTGAATTCCATAATTCACATTTACCGTTACTAAGATTAAATAGCTCATAAAAGAAAAACTAAAGGATATGAAGGTGTTATTGCCACTGAAAACGAATGTCATTGGTCAATAACTTGCTTGGGTTATCAATTGTCAGAACTGACATGGTGACACAATTAAAAAAAGTCAAAATTTGGCTACTTTATAGTAAGATAGTAAGGCAAAACTATGTTTTATTCAAAAAACAAGTTGAAAATACGTGGATGGAACGTAAATATACAAAAAAAATATAAATATCCAAAATGAGGCTGGCAGGATCAAATCTAACAAATATTTTTATTTTGGATTAGATTCTCCCCTCTCAAACAACTGTCTACGCCCCCTTGTGGAGTCGCCCTAATCTTGAGAACCACTGTACTGAAGTAATTGATTTTTTGACCACAGAAGAGACTTTTTAAAAATTATTGTTGTTGTTAAAACCAAAATTATCTTTTATAACTTTCAAACTTTCAAATATTCCAGTTGATGTCTGTCACGATCATAGGTCCTCATATTTACCTGATTTCGGATCAACGTTATAACAAAATATTAGCTGATATGGAAAATTGCTCAACCAAATTTGGTTAAAAACAGTTATTTAGAAACATTTTATACATAATAGGCCTATTATTAAAAACCTAACCTTCAAATTTTCTTTCATCGATTGACATAAGTCCAATTGAACACAGATCATATCAGGTTTAAATTCTTCAACAAGAAGATTGACAATTTCTGTGCCATATTGTGTTACGAGTCCATTACAAGTGTCTTTGACAGAATCAGGTAAAACATCACAAACTTCTTTCAATGCTGCTTCAATTTCCGCCTGTTTGAAGATTAACATAAAAATACAATCAAAAATTTGATCTGTAATGGTGTATGTTTTATATAGGACACTTTTACATCACACAACGAAAAAGGCTTTGCTAAAACTTGTAGTCATCTTATCTTCCATAATGGATTTTAATTAGAATAACATTAGCTTGGTGAAATAATCTTATATAAAACAAACCTGAGTAGATTCTTCTGATAATACTTTGTCTAATTCAGTGGCAATCAATGTGCAAACTTCACATTCAGCCGCAGATGTCACCGATACCTTTGGAGGCAAAAAATAAAAAATAAATAAGAATATTTTCACCATTTATAAGAAAAGTCAAATTTAGACAATGAGATGAGGTTTTTGAACAAGACAGTCCCCGACATAAAACATTCTCCAAGTTTTTCTTTTGCTAGTTAAGCCTTATCAATGATATAGGGTGCCCATAAATTTTTAAATTTTTTTTCAAATTGCAAATGAAATTTAGGAATACAATATATTGTTTTGGCCATCACAGATGTATTAAATAAAGTAAAAATATCTAAACAAATACAGGGTGGACCAATTGGGGTGATTGACAGTGAAAAAACACATACCCAGCCCAGATTGTGTATTTCAATATCTCTTTGGCATGAAAAAGTAAAATATCAGTTTGCATACCACTGCCCTATGCAATACATAGCCATTTTGCGTAAATGGTCATCCTGATTTATTCAGTGTTCACTTACCTTAATCGTCTTGGAAACGCATAACTTTACTTCTGTGCATATTTCAGCTGGGCTCAATTCTTTTGCTAACAATTTCAGAAGGGTAGGTCCGTATTCATGCACAATAGTATTACATTCGTCTTCATATTTTTCCAGCATCGGACAAACTTTGCCGATTGCGTCAAGAATTTCTTGCTGTGTTTTTGTAAAAAAAAATAAAAAGGAATTTTAGAATTTCTAGTTGATAACCAAACTAAAGAAATGAATAACACTGTGATTTACACTTATTAATATGCTCTTGAAAGCCTTCATTTCAAACGATGCTTGGTACTAGAAGTCACTGATAAAATAGAAGCTACTAAAACTTGAGAAGAATTAAAATTTGTTTTGTTCGGTCTTGGTTACCAAATTTATTACACCTTGTGTGAGCTGGATGGGGCATAGAGATCAAACCATATCTCTTCAACTTGCGACATGAACACAGCAGCTTAACCGATAGGTCAGTGATAGCGAACCACTGACCCGTGGGTCATGAGGTGGACCACCCAATTTTTTTTCGATGCCCCACCAAAGATGAAATATACCAGCATTTCAGTGATAATAAAACCAGAATGCATACATTGACAATAGGGCTGTAACAATGTTTATGACAGCATAATATAATTTCTCTTCCTTTCGCGCAAAGTATCTTGGTATAGAAGCCCATTCAGAATTGCATTCAACAAAGAGGCCAACAAAATGTTTTGGAGAGCAAGCAAGAACCAGATGCAAGAGATGGGTGACGAGACTATATTACACTACACTATTGTGAATCAGTAATAACGTCATAATGAAAAAAACCTCGGTTGCATCATCTTCAAGAAGTTTCTGAGCTTCAGATATGACGACAGTGCATAATTCACATTCAACTTCACCTTTGACATTCTCTCGCTCAGTCTGTAAATATTTTTTTGATATGTATTGTGCATTTTGATTCAAGTTGAAATTTATGGGTATAACTTATTATTGCGAATAAATTTTTAAAAAATTATTACAGATATGGATTATTGAATACATCCTAAGATATTTTCACAACTAAAACTGATAGATGGCAAAATCTTGGAAAACGGGCTAAAATGTATTGTATTCGAAAAACACGTTGAAAATATGTGGATGGGACGTAAATATCCAAAATAAAAAAATGTAAATATCCGAATTAAGGCAGGCGAAATCAAAACTAACAAATATTTTTATTTTTAATCAGCTTCATGCCCCCTCAAAAAATTGTCCACGTCCCCCTTTCGGGGCGCCGTGCTGATCTATATAATAATCATCTCGACGAGTTTTGGTAAAAATAACATGATACAAAACAAACAGAACTTTCCAAACCTTTTTCATTGAGGCAGCACAAAGTTTAATTTCAGTGCATATAGTTTTAGCATCCAATTTTTGAGCAAGAAGATCAAGTATTTCTTTTGCGTATGCATCAACAAAACTTGCACATTCATCCCTGTCTTTTTCAGGAAGTATTTGACATGCCTTGTTCAATTCGTTTACAATTTCGGCCTGATGAAAAAAATAATCAGTTTGGATTTCTATATGCTAGCGGATGGCCTAGTGCAGAGTGGTCCAAACCCAGGCCCGCGGGCCACATGTGGCCCGCCGCTTCATTATCTGTGGCCCGCGTCACATTCAGAGAGTAATCGAAAAATCGCATTTCGTGTTGTTTCGTCATAAAATTGATCAGAAAAATCTTTTGACATATTGTCATCACTAATGTCACTGAATTAAATTGTGTTACGGCTAGCTGGGGCAACTAGTGAAGTTGAATGATGTGCTTGGCAGTCTAAATTGTTATCTGGCTTTCTAACTTTGTGGTCGGGAATATATGCTAACAATATAGGCATCATAGAAAACTAAAAATCGAATGCTGATTCTATTAGCCTAGAATGGCTATGCCTGATAACTATGTGTTTGTACAATAAAAGTGTTTGTTTTCTATTGCACTGTTTACCTATTCTTGGCACTATTGTGGCCCGCGAACAATGCAAAAATAATTTTGTGGCCCGTGGAGCAGACAACCGTGGACCACCCCGGCTTAGTGGTTAAAGCACTAGACAAGGGGTCGGCAACCTACGGCCCGCGGAGCACTATAATCCGGCCCGCGACGCTTCACTAAATTATAGTAACAAAACATTCGTTTTGACGAATATATTCTTTAGACTAAATTATATTTTAACCTAACAATTATATATTTCACAATTACTCGTTTAATGAGCATATAATTTAATTATAATTAAGCAAATGGGCAACAAAACGCAGAAATATTGATGATAAGTGCAAAGGGTTCAATGGCGCTGAAAATATTCAAATGGAATTTTATGAGATGCAATGAGGAAACAAGAGAGCTATGCCCAAATATATGGACACGTCTGTTCGCAGTACAGTGCGGTTTACCGTACCGTCAGATCACAGTCTACAAATATATTCACACCAAGCGAAGCAGTACAGTAGGATACAAAATGGCGTCAGATGTCCGCAGAACATTTAATGACGTCATAGCAAACAAAAACAAATCTCACAGAGCTAACAGAAATATTTAAAATGAATAAAAGTAATAGCCTTCTGGGGAAAAATTTTAACTTCAACCACTGAAAATTTCGAAGCAATTGTTCCAGTATTCGAATAGAAAAGCGATTTTTTTAAAAATGATGGAGACAAATAATACCAAATAACAACAAAATTTTGAAACGATCGTTATGTCCACTATGTGTCCAATAAATCTATATTTTATTGCAGAGATGTATCACTGCTTGATTTTAGTTATAAAAAGTACCATCCGTTCGGTTTTTCAACTTTCTAAAAATAAGTGCGGCCCGCCAATGACTTGCAACCTCAATTTTGGCCCGCGAGCGACAAAAGGTTGCCGACCCCTGCACTAGACTAATTACGTTGGCATCAAAGGTCACAAATCTCAGGTTTTAAATCCCATACCCACCACCTCAACCAGGGTATAATAAATCGGATACGAAATGCTGAAAAAGAAAATACCAGTCCTTTCAAAAATAGTAGCTTTTCACATATAACGTCAGATAAGTCTTTCAGAAATGTGTCTTACAACCTTTGGCATTTCAAGGGAATTATAGGACAAGGACATCCAAAAAATGTTGAGAATGAATAAAACACAAACGGTGTTAGCAAATTACTGTACATCATTTCATAAACACCAACTGTGCTGTATTTATCCTTGACATAAATATACCTGGTGGCATTCATGAGCTATTCAAGAAGACAGTTAAAAAGGAATAACATTGAAGAGATAGGCTTTTTCAGTTGGGTAAACAAATTTTAAACATCAACCCACCTCAGTTGCATCATCTTCAAGCATCTTTTGAGCTTCCGAAATGACAAGAGTGCAGACTTCGCATTCTACTTCACCTTTGACATTTTGGTGTGCAATCTGCAAATAATATTAATTGATATACTGTCATGTTTTTCAACAATTTGGCCTAAGCAAAGCAAGTCCCATAAGTAAGACTATACAGTCAACGATAAATTACTTCCGACTCCTGACTTAAAACAATTATATTCGGAGTGCAAAACTATTGAAAACGTTTCAAATACATTTTTAGCTTTCGTTTAAAATTATTATACTACACCGAAATCAAGTGGAGTGAGATTGCAACTCAACATCAGGTTATGGAGAGGACTTTGAGGAGTTTTAAAAAAATATCGAGGAATTTTCAGAACAAAAAGAGGAACCGATTTTTTCAAGGTAATTCAAAATTAAAAAAATTTATAAAAATTGACGACTTTTTTAAATATTTTTTTGCAGGTGTAATGACCTAGGGGTGTGATTCACAAACAGGTTTTTATGGACACCCAGTCCAAATAATGATTTAGAGGGGTCCATGATACTGCATAAATAAAATGGGGTAAAAAAACAGAAACTATTCTGTCGTTATAAAATGGTATATCCTTACATATCCAGTGATCACCTGTTCTCTAGCTTGTTCAGAGACTGAGTGAGAGAGTGAATGCATTTACATTTCAACAAATTTCACAAAACATGAACAGCAATCATGATAGTTGAGCGGGAAATCAAAATGAAAACATACCTTCGCTACTGTAGTCTCACTATTGCAAAGTTTAATAAGAGCACAGATCTCATTTGGAGCTAGTTCTTGTACAAGCAAATCCAGAAGTGTAGGTGTATAAGTTTGCACAAAGTTTTTACATTGTGCTCTGTCTGATTCTGGTAGATCGGCACAAACTTTTTCAAATACTTCAATGAATTTTGCCTACAATGCAAAAGAATTTACATCGAGATTAAGAGAGGAAAATACATCAGAAGGGCTTGTGATTGGTTAGTTCTTTGAATGTACCGGATCTATTTTTTTGCTTTCATTAGTTCGCTTTTTTATTATTAAACATGTTAGAATCAAAAAAGGTGTTGATTGTCTGTAGGAAGGGGGCCACAAGTTTTTAAAGTATGAGAACCACTGGTATATAACATACATGCTTTCCTTTTTTGACAACAATTAAACGAGAATATCGGTCGGAAACCGAAGACTTATTGATTGAAACTGCGGTTTCGATTCATGACAACGCGTGAGTGACATCGCGTGTCCCCTCACTAATTAATTAATAACTCGCTAATTATACGACATAATTCATCCAAAATCAATAGGCTTCTGGTCCGAGATATGATGAATGTGCATGCAAAATTTAGGGCAGATTCTTGAGATATCTTGATATATCGCGTTCATCTAACAGACAAACAAACAGACAAATACCTATCAACATACTTACCGATCTTAAGATCGATAAGTAATTATGTAGGACATACATTTATGATACATTATACTGCCAAATTGGAACATTTAAAAAATTTAGGAGATCTGGTACAAGCGTGAGGTACATAAATAAACGTGGTTCTCAGTTATGTTATATGCTGTTGGAAAATATATAGAAAATATGAACAACCTTTGTAAGAAACGAGATTTGGCACAATTGAGAAGTATATAAACGAGAATATCGGTCGGTGACCGAAGACTTATTGAGCAAAAGTCAGGGATCCCCCAAAACAGAAACTGCGGTTTCGATTCACCCGCTCTTACTTCATAGCGACACCGTGTGTATTCAAACACAGCCTAGCGATATTTTGGTGCGGAATTCTGCAACCCCGAACCTGATGATAGAGGGACATGGACATTGCTTAAAGAATATTATAAGTAACGAGATACAATCTCGCGACGTGTATCCTTCGCTCTGACTCAATAGCGGGGAAAATTTCTCAGAGGAAACTTGCGCATCGCGACGATGTCAAATGGACAATAATACGATCTCGCGGCGTGTATCTTTCGCTCTGACTCATTAGCATGGAAAATTTCTCGAAGGAAACTTGCGCATCGTGACGACGTAGAAGTTAAAAGAGGGATATGGACAATGCTTAAAGATTAATCACGAGATACGATCTAGCGGTGTGTATCCTTCGCTATGACTCACTAGCGTGTAAAATTGCGCCTCGCACACACACACAGCGAGTCTCAAAAATCTCTCGATTTGCAAAAATCCAGATCTTTTCATCACTAATTAATTAATAACTCGCTAATTATACGACATAATTCATCGAAAAAAAAATAGATCCGAGCTATGATGAATGCACATGCAAAATTTGGAGCAGATTCAACCTTTCTTTCGTGAGATATCGCGTGCATCTAACAGAGAGACCGACAGACAAATACCTATCAACATACTTACCGATCTTAAGATCGATAAGTAATAAACGTGGCTGTCAGTTATGTTAAAAAATATATATATATAAAATGACGAACAACCTGTGTTGCATCTTCTGTAAGATAACTGTCAAGCTGTTTGACGACAACTTCACATAGTTCACATCCTGTATCTGACTTCAAGTTTTCCTGGAAAGATAAGCATAGAGTGAATGAAATAGGCTTGACAGTGAAAATTTGATTTCAGACTTTGAGTCAGGATTTCAGACTTTAAATGGTGATTAAAGCAGTCAGAATTTTACGAAAATACTCGAAAAAGAAACAAATTTACTGAGCTTTCTCAACAGTTACAAAAGAAGGCTTCCATATGCAAGAAGTTTTTGTTATCAAAATTCGATTTTTCTCAGGGTTTCGTAGTCGAAATGAGGAAACTCATTATTCTGTAAATACTCCAGATAATAACACTTTTACGCAAACCAGAAAAAAAGATTAAAACTTCAAATGATATTCATCCATAAGGCTTACCTCAATTTGTTTTTGAACCTCCTCTACTGGAAGACCACACAGCCCGATTAGAAAACATATTTTCTTAGGATCCGTAACTTCTTTCAGGATTAAATCAACAATTTCTTTGCCGTAATCATTAACAAATTCATCGCATTTGTCTTCGTACTTTTTTAAATACGAGCAAGCTACTCTGAGTTCTTTAAGTATACTCTCCTGAAATATTAATGGTAGGCATTGATATTTGTACTATGGGAGAGAAATGGTGATTAAATCACACTGAAAACTGCTCAATATCATCTCATAGCCAGCAGTGATGAGGAGGCTTGAATCATTGAATCAGCAATAGTTGAAGTAAAGTCGCTATTATCAGAGACTCAGAGTGACTTGAGTCATCAAGCGAAATGACTCTGGCTCATACTCAACTAACTGCCAGTGAGACTTAACTCACTGATTGACTCGACTCCTCTTTGAACTCAGATGATCCATGACTCAGGTCATCAAATGAAAGGACTCAGACTCGCACTCAACTACTGCCAGTGAGACTCAACTCAGTGATTAAATCCATCTTAAACTCAAGACTTTGATGATCCATCAAATGAAATTACTCTGACTCATACTCAAGTTACTCAACTAATTGCCCGTGAAATTTACCTAAGTGATCAAATCCACTTCAAACTCAGACTCGAGATTCAAATGACCGACGAATCAAAGTGACTTTGAGTCAGCAAATAAAATGACTCGGATTCATACTCAACTGCAGCCATTGAGACTTCACTATATAATGCACTCTACCTCGAACTGCGACCCAGCTCAAGACTCAGATGACCCATGACTCTAAGTTACTCAAGTCATCAAATAAAATCACTCGGACTCAACTAACTGCCAGTGTAACTTGACTGAGTTATCAACTCTGCGGACTCGGATTCGACTCAAGGGTCAGGTGACCCATGCCTAACTTCAACCTATAACCTGCTTTGAGACAGCTATAACTGGTTCATTTCTGATATTCACATGAAATGCTAGTGAATGAACTTTTTTAGTTCTAAAGAGGAATTGCTTATGATAAAGTAACATGAATGGTGGTGCATTCTTACCTCTGTCTGATTGACTGGAATGTTTTTGACCAAATATCCAACAACATCTGTACAAAGTAAACAAGTAATTCCTGATTCGACCTGAAAAGTAACACATGAGATAAACCGCACCTCTGATTAACCTGCGTTGGATTGCAGGCACGAATCATGTGGGGAATAATTATGCGCTGAAGCACCGGTTCTCAACCAATGGCCCACTGCTGGACCACAGAAACATTTGAGTGGGCCAAAATCTACTAAATTGCTATGGTCACTGCCAAATTCAGCTCCATTATGTCACCAAAGTTAAATTTTTACTGTAGCAGCAATGAAGGATGATGGTGCTTTTCATTTTAATTATTAAAGTGAAAGTGTTTATTTTTACAAAAAGAGTCTTTTGTTTTTGTTGTAGTTTTTCCCTTGCATGAGAAAGTTAGTGGACTATAGAATTTTTATGCATCGAAAATGGGCCACAAAAGAAAAAAAAGGGTTGTGCCAGGGGATTGCTGGACTCCTCGCCGCCAATGGGTCATTGGGTGGGTTCACGTAACCACAGGTCGGTTACGGCTTCCTCCGCCATCAAGTCCATGCATCTAAAACAAATAACTGACTAACTAATCCCATACCCGACATGAAATTGCTATGATTGAAAAATCAGAAAATTTTGTTTTCACCTTTTTCACAGAAGTACAAAGTTTGATAGCCTCGCATATTTCCTTGGGTGTTAATTTTTGTGTGATTAATTCTATTAATTCAGGAGTATATTGTTCAATAATCATTTTACATTCGGATTGATAGGATTCAGGTAGATCCGAACAAATTTTTTCCAATTCTTTTTCAATTTCTTCCTGCAGAATAAAAAATATATTATAATAGAGTTTCAATCAATCAAATTAGAGATGAAAGTTTTAAATATTTTCAACATGAAATGAATCTCAAATCTAGTTTTCTGAAATGAGAATGTACTCGTGAGCAGGTTGTATACCAAATGTATGTTACTTAGCAATCAATTACCTCTGTAGCATTGTCTTCAAGCTTGTTGAATAGTTCAGTTAGAGCTAATGTACATATTTCACACCCAGTGTTATATTTTACATTTTCCTGGAGAGAAAACAAGAATTTGAAATCCCTTATAACGTTATAACCAAGTTAAGTGAGTCTTTAAAAACTAACATCACAATACCATGGGGTAAACAAACTTATCTCCTGATGGCAATTTGAAAGTTTAAAAAAATAAAGTTAAATTTTTCTTTCTACTACACTAGTTTGCAGAAACATCACTTCAAGGAATACTAAATATTTTTTTCAAGTCCTTAATGCCGTCCCAATTTTGTATTAAAATCTCACAATTTTACGAATATTTGAAATAAAGCATCAATCTGCATCATATATGAAAAACCTCATCGAACCTAGAAATTTGTTTTACCTTTTTCACATAAGAAGTACAAAGTTTGATAGCCTCGCATATTTCCTTGGGTGTTAATTTTTGTGTGATCAATTCTATTAACTCCGGTGTGTATTGTTCGATAATCATTTTACATTCGGATTGATAGGATTCAGGTAGATCCGAACAAATTTTTTCCAATTCTTTTTCAATTTCTTCCTGCAGAATAGAAAATATATTATGGTAGAGTTTCAATCAATCAAAATAGAGATGAAAGTTTTAAATATTTTCAACATGAAATGAATCTCAAATCTAGTTTTCTGAAATGAAAATGTATTCGTGAGCAGGTTGTATACCAAATGTATGTTACTTAGCAATCAATTACCTCTGTAGCATTGTCTTCAAGCTTGTTGAATAGTTCAGTTAGAGCTAATGTACATATTTCACACCCAGTGTTATCTTTTACATTTTCCTGGAAAGAAAACAAGAATTTCAAATCACCCATACCTAAGAAGAAAGTCTTTAAAAACCAACATCACGATACCATGGGGTAAACAAATTTATCTTCTGATGCCAATTTGAGTTTAGAAAAATTTTCATAAAAATTCGAAAATGAATATTCTAGAACAGTAGTGTCTGAGATAGAGATGCTTAAACGACATAAATTCATATTTTAGTTGAGTCCGTCTTACTAAAGTGTCACTATTTTACTTTTTACATTTTCACTAAACCATGATATAAGCCAGCGATCGGCATCGTGCTTAGCGTTAGGAACGTGCATGCCATCGCACCTCTGATTACCCTCCACACGTTCAAAACTGGAGACAGAGTTATTGTGATTTTGAATAAGCTTCCAAGCCCTTGTTCATGTTGTTCTTGTTTTGTGGTGAAAAATCATGTTTCGCTCCAACTACAGGACCAATTACTTTCAAATATTCTCCATTACGACTATTTATTTTAAATACGTTCTAAGAAGGCTATTACCAATACCTTGTTTTTGAATAAAATTTACATCAAAATATGATTCAAGTTTATTTTTTTTTTCTACTACATTAGTTTGCAGAAATGTCACCTCAAAGCTTCCCTAATGTATTTACAATTTTGTATTGAAATCCAACAATTTTTCGAATATTTGAAATAAAGCCTCAATCTGCATCATATTTGAAAAAACTTGATTGAACCCTGAATTCTTTTTACCTTTTTCACAGAAGAAGTACAAAGTTTGATAGCCTCGCATATTTCCTTAGGTGTTAATTTTTGTGAGATGTATTCTATTATTTGAGGTGTGTATTGTTCGATAATCATTTTACATTCGGATTGATAGGAATCTGGTAGATCAGAACATAATTTTTCCAATTCTTTTTCAATTTCTTCCTGTAGAATAGAAGATAAAAAATGGTGATGATTTTTACCCCAAAGATATTTTTCTACTGGCTCCATTTTGAAGACTAATACGAACAGTGAAGATAACTTTACCTGACGATATTAGAACATTTGTTGGCAATTTAGAAAAGGAAGTCTGGCATTAATAAAGCAAGGAAATCTAAGTTTACAATAACAATGTAGAACATCAGCCATTTTAGACCATGAAACAGGAATTACCGACATGATACTAATTTCAACAAATTTTGAATTCCTATTTTAGTGTCTAATACTCATTTAGTTCATCAGAATCACATATATTTTCAGAAACGACTTCAAATCAATCTGATTCCATTTAATTTAAAATTCTGAAACCTTATCAATATTACTACCACATTAAAACAGACAAACAATATAGTTGGGCAAAAAAATAAAATTTTTGAAGTTCATAAAAACCAAACAATTACCGCAGTAGCATTGTCTTCAAGCTTGTTGAATACTTCTGTTAGAGCCAATGTACATACTTCACACTCAGTGTTATCTTTCACACTTTCCTGAAGAATAAATTGAAACTTAAATAACACATAATCATGTAAAGAAATCTTTGAAATTCAGAAGATCAATGTCACAATATGATAGATTGAACGTAACAAAATATTTATCTTCTAATGCCAATTCGAAGGTTGAAAATAAATATTGTAGAAAAGAAGTTTCTAAGATACGATTGACCAAATGCCAAGAATTCAGTCCTTAGTGAGTCAGTCATCACCTTTACGCAGGTCATCGCACCTTTGATTACTCTCAGCAGGTTCGAAGGTTTGAAAGAGCTGGAGACATAGTTTGGATATGCCGCAAAGCTAAAGACAGAGCTATCATAGTTTTAAATGAGCTCCCCAGCCCTTGCTCATGTTGTTCTTGTTTTGGGTGTAAAATATTGTCTCTTAAACTACTGGACCAACTACTTTTATATATTCTCCAGGAAGGATAATATTAACTTATCACAAAGACATAATTTTTGAAAAATTTCAAAGTAAAAAATGGTTTGTAGTTAACTTATTTGTTACTGCTACACTAATTTGCAGAAAAGGTCACTCTATAGCGTAGAAAATTTTTCCTCAAATTTTAATGTAGTCCGAATTTTGTATTGCAATCCCATTATTTAGCGAATATTTGGAATAAGCATTAATCTGCATCGCATTTCATCATATGAAAACCTTCATCGAACCTAGAATTTATTTTTACCTTTTTCACAGAAGAAGTACAAAGTTTAATTGCCTCGCATATTTGCTCAGGTGTTAATTTTTGTGAGATGTATTCTATTAATTCAGGTGTGTATTGTTCGATAATCATTTTACATTCGGATTGATAGGATTCAGGTAGATCAGCACAAATTTTTTCCAATTCTTTTTCAACTTCTTCCTGTAGAATAGAAAATAAAAAATGGTGATGATTTTACCCCAAAGATATGAAATTTATTTTTCCAATGGTTCCATTTTGAGGATTGATAGAACATTGAAAATAATCTTAACTGACGATATTAGAACATTCTGTGGTAATGTAGAAATGAGAATGGAAGTATAGCTCTAATAAAGATAGGGCACCTAGTTTACAACAACAATGTAGAACAGTGGAACGTGCCTTATTTCGGATATGAACATTTCTATACTATTTAAAGACTGCGATTCCATCCACAAATTTTCAATGTGTTTTTTGAATAAAACATACTTTCTCCTTGCTATCTGTTATTTGTAGCTTATTGTTAGCTGGTTATTTTCGAGGTGGGGCACGAGACTTGGTAAATATCAAAAAAGGGCGCAGCTTGAAAAGTTTGAGAACCACTTATAATAAGTTATAAAACAATAATCAGAATCGCATATACCATATTTCCTGACTAATCAGTCGCTTTTCTAGACCCATTTTTCGACCTGATTTTGGGGAGGGGGGAACTTCTTATTGGGCAGGAAAGCTTATTTTATTTTTCTGTGGTCCGCTTGTTTTCTTCTCAAACATGATTTGGGTTAACCTTATATTCGGTTTGATATATTATGTACACGATGACGCCAAAGGATCTGCCAATCATGATATTAAATCGACTTTGTACCGGCAGCAGTTATTTGTCATATTCTTTCTAAAAACTGCCTTGTAATCATAACTGGCTGGTGTCATGAAGCACTCCCTATTTACGCCTGCTCTTTATCGGTACTTAAAGAGAAAACACGGGCCACTGAGATAAAGTGATTTATAACCCTTGGGTTTTGCTTTCGACTGAAACGACACAGACAGGAAAACACAGCTGTGATCAACAAACCCATGGATGTACAGTATGGTACTTATCACACGATATTCAAAGCTTATTTTAACGTTCGGATTAATAGGTTGTTCAAATTGATTGTCGCTTTTTAACTTAAAATTGCCAACTTTAAATTGCCGCTTTAGTGTTATTAGGAATATTTAATTCTGTGAGTATGATTCTACCAAACAAACGTGATCTGGTTCTAACCATATAAAACTATAGGTTATTCAAAATGACCTTTTTAACCTAAAATTACCGCTTTATTGTTAAGAATCGTTAATTCTGTGATTTTGATGCTACCAAATAAACCTATCTGGTTCTAACCATATAAAATTATCAGTGCATATTAGTGTTTATATGACTAACAGAGAAGCAATTATTTTACCGGCCTTATTGGAGGATGATATGGAAAAACCCTCTTTTTTTAGTGCTAAAAAGAGACATCATCTTATTTGCCGGGTAGATTTATTAGCCGCGAAATACGGTATATCGCAGACAAATAATATAGATGAGCAGAAAATAAATAAACTTTTTTTTTGAAAAGTTGATAAACACCAAACAATTACCACAGTAGCATTTTCTTCAAGTACGTTGAATACTTCTGTTAGAGCCAATGTACATACTTCACACTCAGTGTTATCTTTTACATTTTCCTGCAAAAAAATTGAAACTTGAATCACACATAATCATGTAAAGAAATCTTTGGAATATCAGAAGATCCATGTCACAATACAAAAGACTGATTTTCTGAAGCTAGTTGAAAGGTAGGAAGATTTTGATAAAAATTCAAAAAGAAATAAAAATATTCTAAAAACGTGGTTTTTGATATAGGACTGACCAAATGCCAAGAAAGAATTCAGTCCTTAGTGAGTCAGTCCAACTATATGCAGGTCATTGCACCTCTGATTACCGTCAGCAGGTTTAAAGGTTTGAAAGAGCTGGAGCTATAGTTTGAATATACCGCAAAACTGGAGTCAGAGCTATCATAGTGTTAAATGAGCTCCCCAGCCCTTGCTTATGTTATTCCTGTTTTAGGGTGAAAAATCATTGTTTCTCTCAAACCAGGGTGGTCCAAGGTTGCAAGGTTAAAGGGCCGCGGTCGGTGAAAACCAAAAGTGATCAAAACATTGTGAGTTTACTCACTTTAAATATATTTAGGAATGAAAGTTTATCATTCTAAATGAGCTTTTCACGGAAGATATATAAAGCCTTTAGTTATTTTTAAATTGCTTCCCGAGGAATACTGTGGTATTTTGGCTATCTTTCCTCGGGTCGAACCACCCAGTCTTAAACTACTGAACCAATTACTAAGACTAATATCAGCATATTACAAATACATAATTTTTGAAAAAATTTCAACATAAAAGATGGTTTGTAGTTTGCAGAAACGTCACTGCATGGCATGAAATTTTTTTCCACAAATCCTAATGTAGTCTCAATTTTGTATTGAAATCCCTAATTTTATGAATATTTGAAATGAAGCATTAATTTGCATCACATTTCATCATATGAAAAACTTCATTGAACCTAGAAATTTGTTTTACCTTTATCACAGTAGATGTACAGAGTTTGATAGCCTCGCATATTTGCTCAGGTGTTAATTTTTGTGAGATGTATTCTATTAATTCAGGTGTGTATTGTTCGATAATCATTTTACATTCGGATTGATAGGATTCTGGTAGATCAGCACAAATTTTTTCCAATTCTTTTTCAATTTCTTCCTGTAGAATAGAAAATATGAAATGATGATGAGTTGTACCTCAAAAATTTGGACATAAATAAATATGTTTTGTTTGTCAAATTTCAAGCCAAGATTGGATTTTTCTAAATATGATTGTTTTTATATGATATTCTTATTTTTGATTAATTTTAATTTCCAATAATCTGAATTGATTTATTTTACAATCATTAATAAATATTTTCAAATTTTACCTCAGTGGTGGGTGTCTAAGGTTAAATAGATGTCCAAACGAATCGATAATTTTTATCCAGTCATAAAATCACACAGAATTTTAGCAAAAAAAATTTAAAAATTGTTGAACACTGATAATAATTTACCACAGTAGCATTTTCTTCAAGCACATTGAATAGTTCTGTCAGAGCTAATGTACATACTTCACACTCCGTGTTATCTTTCACATTTTCCTTAAAAAAATGATAATAAGATTTAAATCAAAACTTAAATTAGAATCACTGATAACCACATAAAGATCTTATAATTTCAACAAAACAAAGAAATGTAGCAAAATATTTTCATGCAGAAATTTATTACAGATTTAAACGCAAATTTTCTGTAAAAATCCTATAAAAATAAGAATATTCTAAAACAGTGGTTTCTAAGACACGTTTAAGGATTTAGTCTCTCAAGAGTTATTTTGAAAACCCAGCAAGGGCTCAAGATTTACCTACATTGTCTCACAATTTTATTATTTACATTTCAAATCACCATCAGGACTGAAGATTATTATAAGAATGAAAGACTGCTCGAAGGTTACACAAAATTTTTAAACTTTCTAACAAGGTTGATAACCCATGATTATCAAAATCCTCAAAAAAAACAAACAATATAGTATTTGAATCCTTTTGGCTGCAGTGTTTCCCCAAAAAATGATACATGGTCTTATTTCAATATTCTTTTAAAAATAACACTGGGGAATGTCTTTTACTTTCATTTATTAAAAACAATATTACAAAGTAATATAATATAATAACATAACACTGAGAAATGTCTTTTATTTTCAATTATTAAAAACAATATTACAAAGTAGAGAATCACGAGATTTTCAAATAACCAAAATAAGAAATAACACGTTTTTTTCGCGCCTTGACTAGGTTTTATTATAAAGGGAGGGCCTATATTAGAATCACTTTTAAAATTCAGGTTAGGTCTTATCATTGAGGAAACACAGTAATAGCTAATATGCTTGATCACATAATGAAACAAGAAAACAATGATTGAATATATGTCGAATGATTACGGTAATGTCGGCAAAATTCTAGATGTTAAATATTTGTAATATATATAAAGACGTATTCATGAATTGAAAAAATATATGTTGCAGTTATCGAAAAAAGGAACAAAAAAACACCATATAGCATAACAATATATTTGTTTACCTTTTTCACAGAAGAAGTACAAAGTTTAATAGCCTCGCATATTTCTTTGGGTGTTAATTTTTGTGAGATGTATTCTATTAATTCAGGTGTGTATTGTTCGATAATCATTTTACATTCAGATTGATAGGATTCTGGTAGATCAGAACAAATTTTTTCCAATTCCGTTTCAATTTGTTCCTGTACGATAAAAAATTAAAATATCATGTGTGTTTTTTTTTATATCAATTATCGGTAAATTCTTTTTGACAAGCAGGAAGTGAAATAATGTAAAATTATTGAAATTCTAAAATAAATTGAATTGAGTTAAATAAAATCAATTTTGAAATCTGGAATTTCTATCTCATATCATATTATATACCATAAGTCTCTTTGATGTGTTTACAGTACATGCGCCAAAGCACCTTGCTTTCATGAGTTACAGCATGTAGTGCTGCCAGACAGGGGGTTCAAAATCGGGATTGGAAATCACCGTGTCATGACTTACAAAACAGGTCCAAAGTTTTCGATAAGTAGACTCGGGAATAAAGAAAATAAGCCGAACTGCCTAAGCAGCCCTCAAGAATTTGGTTCTGAATATTGGCTAGTTAGCCAAAAAAACGTTCTATGAACATGAAAAAAGTTTAGAAGAACAAGTTTGTTCGTTACTCAGTAATAAATTACCACTGTAGAATTTTCTTCAAGTACGTTGAATAGTTCTGTCATGGCCAATGTACATACTTCACACTCAGTGTTATCTTTTACATTTTCCTAGAAAAACAAGAAAATGAAGAAATTTAGTAATATCACAATTTCGTGCATCCAATCACTCCAAATGTTAAGCCCAGGATTTACATTTTTCCCCGGGGGAGAGGAAAGTCGATTACACGACTTAATTGTATGGCGAACCACGCCCTCTCGTCCGGTTACCAGACCATGTCGGGTATGGAATTAGTAAGCCAATTATTTGTTTTCGGAAGCATGGGCTTGAGGGTGGAGAAAGCCGTAACAGGCCAGCCATTACGTAAACCACCCGTGGCGTCCTCTTGCATAATTATCCCTGAATGGGATTAAAACCTACGAACCCATGCAGGGGATATCAGAGATGCGGTGGCGAGCATATTTCTAATGCTAAGCACGATGGGCCAAATCGCCGAGCTTAACTATGCTTTAAGTCAAAGGTCTAAATCAAGGGTCCATCACTTAAATCAATCCCATGAAACCATACGATAAATTTTGATGTAAAAAATAAAGTTTTGGTGTCCTGATGCATGATGACTTTCAAAATTTTTATTTATAGGATCATTTCAGAATAAGAGCCATGTCTAACATAATGACTAAAAGCCTTTACTTATTTCTTGGAAACTACAAAAATAGTTACAAAACCCGCAAAATATGAGGTAAAATAAGGGCCCCTCAAGATTAATAAAAAAAAAAAATAAGAAAAATCAAGACTTTTCACATCTTTGAGTAGTGGGAATTTGAAATTTGTTAGTTATTTTAGTCTTGTTAGTTAAAGTTATATTGGTTAAAAACAAGAACAGGACTTTAGCAAAACAATCCATACACACAGCTCGTGTCCAATAACTTTTTTCCATAATACCCCTCTTGTATGAAAAATTAGTGAAATAACATCAAGTAAACTAACTTTTTCGGGTTCTTTCTCAGGCAACCTAAATCTTATTGCTTCTTTACACAGTCCAAGTTTGGCACAAATTTCAAGTGAATTCATTTCAGCCAAAATAAAATCAATGATACTGGCACCATGGACTTGCATAAACTCCATGCAATCTTGCTTGATGTCTTCACCATATAAATTACATATTTCCATCAGAGCGGATTCTATTGCGGCCTGTCAAAATATAAAAAATAATATTCAATAAAAAACTCGGATTCGGGAAACACTGATCTAAAGAGTTGAAAGCTCGAAAAATTTGAGAAGACATTGAAAAAGTAAATCTAAAATATTCCTTTAGCAAGTAAATAATTACTAAAAACATTAGGATTCATCAAAAAGTTTTTCCTCCTACATATGCAAAACATTTACTCATTCAATATATGACAAGAGTTGACCTCAAAACAATTCTTTTTAGTTTCGAATTACAAATTTTATAATTTCATTAGAGGGCAGAGTATAATTTTTTCGTGGATGTGAGTATGAATTTTATCGCAAATGAGAATTTCTGATGAATACAACGCTTTACTACGAAGGAGATATAATATGCGATATGACATATACTTTTCTGATATTGAATCATAGCTGAAAGCATACAATATGACTGGCTATCCTCACATTTGATACTATTCATATGCATAAAATATAAAATGTGATATATTTTACAAATGCAAACTAAAAGCAAAACGACCTCAGTTTTATCTTCTTGAACCATTTTTTCAACTTCTTCAACTAAGAATTTGCATGTTTGGCATTCGACATCTCCAGCAACCTGAAATGATGGTTAAAAAAAATTGCTTAATCAAAAAATAGGATTTTTTCAAATGCAATGCAAAAATAAGTTTAGGCTAAGTCAAACGACAAGCGTTTTTTAAAAATGGTACACAAATTTGCTTTCAGCAAGGCTGGTTGAAACATGTTTAATCGGAAACCTGGATCAGTTTGGCATTAGCATATTACACCCTAGATGAGGTGATGGATATGATGTTCAAATCTATGGTTAAATTTAATGTAACACACTTAGGAGTCAGGACTATCAAACCAACGGCTGATAGTTATTTCAAACCCAAAATTTAACATCCTATCACATTTTCGCATTAAATTTCTTAAACCAAAATACTTTCAAATTGCTGGCACAAGCAAAGTTGTAACTAGGACTGGGCATTTCGAATCGAATATTCGAATCGAATCGAATAGTAAATTATTCGAATCGGTTCAGAGCTAAATTTCGAATTGCCGCCATCTTGTTTTTATCTTTCCGCTAATGGCCGAGGTGAATTCCCCATTTTTCTTTTCATTGGAGTCATATATTTTCAACGAAATTCTAACATATGACTATTTTCTGTAGCGAGTTATTGATAAAACATGTTTGTTATTCTGTGTGAGCGCTCAGTAATCTATCTGGGTGATTTATTCTATGTCTTCGGTAATTCATGTGTTGAGAGGACCAATTACTATAATAAAATCGCTTACAATTATATATTTTCAAGTATTCGAGATTCGATTCGATTCGAAAAATATTATTCGATTCGATTCTGAAATCACAAGGTATTCGAAAACGCCCAGCCCTAGTTGTAACCCATATTTCCAGATGCAAAAAATTCAAAACTTTCATAATCTATAGATAATATTCACCTCTATTTTCTTTTCGATGGCAGGTTGAGCCTGAACAGAATCGCAAAGGTACAACGTGTCACAGATCACCTCTGGGTCCTGTGAATCGGAAAATGTAAAAAAATGCAAAATGCAAAAAACCAAAAGCAGTACAATGGGAATCGAGCCTATGGATCTACACTGGGGAACAGCAATGACCAATTGTCATGAATGACTCAAATATATGGACACACATGATTTGGTCCCTTACACTAATTTACGACTATTTAAACGAAGAGATTTGCCGAAGGGAACGAGTTATAACTGTACTATAATTTACTGTTTGACGAAACTCATCCGATTTTTAAGATGGATATTTTAATCTCTTAATTATTATTTAAAATTTAGGTATGGACTTCTGCGCTAATGACTTCACCTAACATTTGGTATTAAAAGCATTAGGTGTAAACCGTAAAGTGCATTGGTCAAATTTAGATATTTTCATCTGATTTAATTAGAACTCTACTTGGTTAATTATTTGCTTGATGAGTTTATAGACTACACTAAAATAGCAAATTAATAAAAAAAAAAAGTAAATCAAAACTCAAAAGTATAAACCGGTACACAGAACCAGACGGGCGTCATGTATTGTGACTTGACAAGAAGAAAAGTACAAGCTTATTCAACTAGTAAAAGTTATAAATCACACAGTTAGGCAACAGCAACAATGAGCAGAAAGCAACAATCAGTGCTTGATCATATGCTTGCTTTTATGCATGGTTAAAAAACGAACATTTTTTTGGTACTACCGAAGTATGTGAAACAAGATGGCAGACACCTGAACGTAGTATGTGTACCAGGTTAGGGTTAGGGCAGGCCATAATTTTATTCCAATTTTCCTTATTTTAGTTCTATTACCAGTTCCGGGACTAGCCAAGTGACTACCGCAGTATTTGTACCTGAAATTATGGCTCAACCCTAACCTGGTACTACACAGTCCCGTGTCCGCCATCTTGGTTCACATACTTTGGAATGCCCATTATTTTTTAGCAGAAATTAGGATATCACATATCAACATATTTTACATTACATATACCAAGCTTTCACACAAACACATTTCGAGCACACAAATGGCTGTTACTATTACTTACGTTGTTAGAAATTGTACTCCACAATAGTGGAAGATATTCCTTTATCAACGTACTGCACTGTATTGTAGATAAGTTTCGAGTAAGAAGTTTGTTGTTTAGGGTGAATTGAATTATTGATAAGTATTATAAATTTAATTATGGGGCAAATTAAAAGTGAATTACAAATCTTTTTTAAAATATGAAAAGTAGAAAACAATGTAAATTCGGAGTACCACTAGTAATAACTTGACATATTGGGAATTAAACTGGTTTATGTGTATTGCCAGAAAAGAAGGAACTGATTATACATAGGGAGTTTATTGAATCGATAGTTTGAAACCTTGACACAGGGTGTCATAAATCTCCTTTCTCATCTACCAGTGGCTGCTTGTGCGTGCACAGCTATATTTGTATAGTTATAAGTATACAGACAAGAAAAATCAAATTAATTTCAGCACAAAATTATATAAAACATAAATTGATATAGAATCATAATCAAACTTACATTATTTTGGATAGCGTCGATTATTTCTTTTGATACTTCATCAAACACTTTATCACACTGATCAAGAAAAATTATAAAAATTAAGTCGAATCATAATTACAATTATGAGACTAGAAACTATTTAGCAAAATTTCATGCTTGTCATGAGCCGAAATTCCAACCAATTCAGTGACAAAAGTTTATTCCAAATATTTAATATATTCTAACTCCAAGAGAAAGCTTAATTCATGGATCAGACAATTGAAATCTGCTTATTGTATAGCAAGCACAATGTTTCATGGGAGTTTAACATAAAAATTCAAGCCAAACAGATTAGAAGACAATATTTGGTACAAGAACAAAAAGTTTGAAAAGACATTTTTTGAAAAAACTTTTTCAATTCACTGGGTTTGAATATATTCAACTAGAAATAACCAAGTAACCAACGATATAACAAACTGTAATCTAATTAAAAAAAATCATTGAAATTTAATTGCAACACACACCTCTCCTTTCAAAAAAGATGGTACCTCATTGCATATGGCTTGTTTCACAGTTGGTAGCAGAGTATCCTTTTTGAATTACAAAGATTGAATAATTTGTATTAAAATATTGTAAAATATTCATTCAAAAACACAATCTTTAGCTTAAATCGAAGCAGAGAATCAGGACTTTATACACACTCAATATTGCACAATGATTTTGTAATTTTTATGCCATTTATTCAGTTATACCAATTTATTAAAATTCGGTCCAAGTTGAGTGCACTGGTCAGCTATAAGATTATTTAGTTGCTCCTGAAATTATTTAACATAATATAGATATTTGTATACCGGATAGTTAAAAGCTTACACGAAAAATAACTGAAAAAATTATTGATGTTGAGAAAAAAGTACAACTGGCTATTGTTTATTTTGCACAAAACAATTTTACGAATCGCATTGATTAAATGTGCGCATGTTATAAAACTATTCCTTATCGTAATTTAATGTTAAAAAATAAATTTTTTCAAACACAATGTGTTTCGTGAAACGATTGGATCCAATAAAAATAACGCCGAGAGAAGTATGACTTGCGCTATTATGAAACTTTTTTTTGTCGAGTCAATAACGTCAAATTTATTTTCCAACGAGTCAGGGTTTTTATTTATAGAAAACTATAGTCACTATATAAGATGAAATCATGTTCACTCCGTTTGATTAGATCATCATCTGTAATACTTACAATAATAGTCTTATTGTTGGCAATGATGTTTTGCCAATCTGCAGCAAATTTTTGACAATCCATGCACATATCTCCTCTCAAACTTTGCTGTAATAAGTGGATGGAAGATTGTTTAAAAATAACAAAGATTATGTGCAGTTGCAGTGCAGTGTTTTATTTTTACAAAATGTTTTTCAAAAGTTCAAATTGAATTAAAAATCTTCTACTCACTTTAGTTTGTTGACTGCACATCATGATGGCCTCACAAATTGTGTCAACATCCTAACAAAATGCAAGGTTTGAAATTAGTATTTGAAATCACATAATTTAAAAGGACTTTTTTGTTTTGAAAACTGGAAAAACTGGAAAAGACATTTGCTTTCTAATAAGAAATACCATGTTAAGGACAATGTAGTCAAAAAAGGCAAATTTGGCTAGCAGGGAAAAAGCACAAATATTGCCAGTAGCTCACTTCAGAAAAAAGTTCAAAGGTCGATTATGGTTCTAGAGTGAGCATGCCCATTCTCAATGTGTTTTCACATTGATTCGAATGGAAAGCCCAGAGACACTAGTCAAACACCCTACTAAAGCCTATAATAATATGTTGTGCATGATTTTTGAATTACTAGAGACTTGGATCGTAATTGGAACAAGTCTATGAAAAACGTGTAGGTGGATATTTATTTGAAACATTGTCTTAACCAGGGGTTGGCAAAGTTTCTGGACCAGGGGTTAAAAATTGTCCCCACGTAGACTGGTGGGCCACGTAAGTGTGACGTAGAGTTAATTTTATGAACAATATTTACCGTGTTACAAAAGCAAAAGTGGAAAACAATAAGCCTCATGCCAAAACTAAAATTAATCTTCAGTTTAGTTGTGGCAGCATCAGGTGGGCCGGATTGAATTACCGAACGAGCCCGATTTGGCCCACGGGCTGTAGTTTGCTCATGTCAGGTCTAAACTCATATATTATAAAAGGCACAGCAGAAATTATTAGCTGCAGGATTGACAATAATACTGATTTTCACAGTTTATTATTACCTAATTAAAATTCATCAGTGGGAATATTTTTGTTTATGAGATAAAATTTTATCTGTTGATAAATAATTTACCAGAAATTTATCTATATTGCATACAAAAATGATCTATTGAAACATAATAATGCTTGATGACTAAATACACAATACAAAGCACAAGGGGGGTTAAACAACATATGTACTTTCATTATTATTTTATTGAAAGCACGTGTGAGGAGTGTTTGGCTTTATCTGTTCATTTTATGCTTGTTGCATAATATATAATGAAATATATCAATATTTGTATAATAATGTGTTTTTTAATAATTTTTTTTAATTTCTTTTAAAGATCTTGCGAAAATAATTCAAAAAGGTTAGCAGTAAGTTGTGGTGACCATATAGTATAAGCTAAATAAAAGTTTATATTAATAAAAAAAAATTGTCAACAAATTTAGATATTCAAAATTATTTCTTCCAAGCTATGATTTTATGTCAAATGTTTCAAAATATGCAAGTATGTGAATCCCAGCTATTATCGAAGTAGCAATACAAATTCAATACAAATGAACGACTCTAGATCAATTGAAATTGATTAAACCACAACATTTGACACACAACTGACATTATCAGTAATACCAATAGCAATCTCTATAACTGGAGAAACGCCTTCGATAACTTTGGAACACTTCATCGAAATAAAAGGAAAATATTAAAGCAGAATTAAATGAAATTCAACTTACATAAGATTCGAATGCTTTTATAATGTCCTCGTATTTGTCTTCAACAAGACCTTTACACTGAGAAAAGTAAATATACAACAAATAAATGATATATCACAGGGGTGTGCAACCTGTGGCCCGTGAGCCAAATGCGGCAGGGAAAAATTATGCAGCCCGCAGAAAAGTGCCAATTTCGAATCATGTGCGGCCAGTTGGACGAATTTTTAATTTAGTTTATTCTGGTACGTGCAAGTCATTCCAATCGCTTTACGCTGCAAAACTTATACTTGAGACCAGTTTATATCTATGCTTATGACGTTACAATGTCCTAACAGCTAGCTTGTGCAAAGCGAACAACGCAGGTCACAAGATCAATAAAACCAAAATCATTGTGCCTGCAACTACTAGAAAGCCTATGCTGAAAACAAAGGTACGGCCCGGGGTTTTCACCCAGCTATTTGTATCTGGCCCTCCTGTATTGAAGGTTGCACACCCTGATATATCAGGCCGTACAAAATTTTCTTCAGATTACAGGTATTTGAGATCAATCAATCATTAAGACATATCCAGATGGACATGTATAAAAATGTAATTTTCTGCTTTGGATTATTTGGTAGTAATATGGTACATATCTTTTATGCTCAGCTTATTCACCACGCCAGTTTATTGGACAGAATATACGGTATATCCACAGTGAAGTTAGAAACCCTGGTATTGAACAAAAAACCAACATACTACTAATGCTAATTCTGATCCAAGTTGGTCACACTGTTGCTTGACAAGATCCACAAGTTTTTGCTGAAATAAAAAGGATAAATTTGATAATAAACTTTGCCACATGCAAGACTTTTTAAGTCGCCCATTGAAAGTTGTACTAGTAAACACACTGAATTTTGACTTGGGATTTTGACTGGTCCTAGATTAGCACTATTAAAAGTATGAAATTCAGACTTTTGACAGGGGAGGTTTGAAAATTTGGCTGCTACACCCAATATCAACCCCAATCCAGTCGAACTCTGACTCCAGACTCAAAAGCTCTGTCAACCTGAGTGAATATCTAGGGCAGGATGGTCCAGGGTTGTCGGCTCCGCGGGCCACAAAATTATTTTTGCATTGTTCGCGGGCCACAAAAGTGCCAAGAATAGGGAAACAGTGCAATACAAAACAAACACTTTTATTGTGCAAACATAGTTATCAGGCATAGCCATTCTAGGCTAATAGAATCCGCATTCATTTTTTAGTTTTCTCTGTTTTCTTAGATTCCTATATTGTTAGCATATATTCCCGACCAAAAAATTGGATAGCCAGATAACAATTCAGACTGCCAAGCACATCATTCAAATTTCAATTTCGCTAGTTGCCCCAGCTAGCCATACCACTATTTAATTCAGTGACATTAGTGATGACAATATGTCAAAAGATTTTTCTGATTAATTTTATGACGAACAACACAAAATGCGATTTTTTGATTACGTTACTCTCCGAATGTGACGCGGGCCACAGATAATGAAGCAGCGGGCCACACGTGGCCTGGGTTTGCACCACCCTGATCTAGGGTTTGTGCCTGTGTCAATCAATACATTTTTTTTCAATCAATAGCCTGCTCGTATATTACTAAACAAGATAGTTTATGTCCACATTAAATGTCAAACATAGGTATCATAGCTCACTGGTATACTCGAATGTAAAGAATTTACATCCACTGATTTAGTTCATAAATTCAAATTTACTGATTAATATGCTGATCAATATACTGATTCAAAATAAATGCTTACCACAAGAGTCTTATCATTCATGAGGGCATTTTGTAAATCTCCTATGAAATTCGTGCAATCCATACAATAGTCATCTCCTTTAATCTGTATAGTAAGGTAAATAGTGCTTTATTTTCTGATTATTTTTGTACATCAAATGTTTTGTACAAAAACTGGGTCTTCAAACTGAGGGCCCCCCCCCCCGTGGGTAATGAAAGGGCTCAATGGGGTTCGAGCTATATTCCAAGAACATTATTTAGGGATTGACAAGAAACATTTTGAACAGATGAGAAAAAACCAAAACAAAACCAAACGTAGATGAGCCATCAAGCGTGACAAAACTATTGTTACGTCACAAATTCACTTCTAGTTGTTAAAGATTCTATGTGTAAAGAACATGGTGATGAATGAGGGATTGCAAAACAATTTGCCGTGCCAAGTGGGTCCCGATGAAAAAAGTTTGAAAACTTTGCTCTAAAAGATTGATCTTAATTGATTATCATCAAAACATGGTTAGATTGAAGATTCACAAAATTGCAAAAATTTTCCAATGCCAAAATAATTCGCCATACTAAAAGACGAATTTTCATCCATAAATTCAAAATTGCTGATATTTGCAAAAACTGTGTGTAACGTAAGAACTCATTGATATTTTTCTCAAGTATTGTGAACTTTAAAATAAATTTTCCTAATCTAATACTATTTCAAACCTTTTCTTCGATCTTCAGAGCAGGTTGAATTTGTATAGCAGGTATGGTTGAAACTTCTTCTGATTCACAGAAGTCCACAGCTGAGCAGATTTCTTCTGGGTCCTGAATCCAAATTAAGTTAAGAAACAGCAGTAAGTAACCAATATTAAATCCTGACTATAAAAAGCAGGTTTAAATAACTCTGCTGGTGTAATTGGTACATTTTCGTACCAAGATGACACACAACCTGAACCCTAACCTGATACACATACTATGTTCAGGTTGTGCGCCATCTTGGTATGAATACTTCGGGAGCACCCATTTATGTACCCACTGCCAAACTTCTGTTTCCAGCAGGCACATATACAATAAGTATCTTCTATGTCTACAAATAACGGCCTATCAAGTCCAAGAGCTGCTTTGGGAATAATAAAACAACGCTAGAAATTGTTGTTGTTTCTGAGAAACCAGATAACTGATGTTTTTCTGCAAGTTTTGCAATGAAATTGTCATTACAGAAATAATAGGTTTTACAAAAAGTATTTCTAAAAATATTTGCTAGATATATCACAAGTTTTGCCACATAAAATTGAAAAATTTTGGGAAGGAATTAGAAACCTTGGGCTCAGACAATGTCAAATTTTATTTGAGGTAAAAGTGAATATGTGTATGCTACTTCAATACCAGATATGGACTGACTAGCAGCCACCCAATAGAAGTTCACCAAATTTCAATATGAAAATATCCTACCTATTTCTGGTTAATAGGTTTGGCATTCAATTTAATATTAACAAAAAAAACATAAAAAAATAATAGATTAATATTTTATAATTTGTCAGGTGGTCAATACTTACTGTACTGGATAATAAATCCCATAACTGAGGCAGATATTCTTTCACCAATGTATCGCACTGTGTTGGAAATATATTTTTCTTTGAAACTTGTCTCCACGTGTTAGTGGAGAATTCAAATTATAGTTTGAATTGAATTATAATTCCACACAGTGCACAATTGTTTTATTTAATCTCGAATTAATAATGAACGAAGGAATATATTTCGTTAAAAGTATTGAGCAGTGCAATAATATAAAATTAAAAGATTATTTTCAAGTTTCAGCCAGAGAAAACCTGTTCCAATCGAGCAGAAAGACATCCAATGACAAAAACGACAGTCTGATGCCAATTTAATTTTCAAAAAAAAAAGGTTTTGAAATGAAGTTATTTTCAAATCATTAATTCCCATATCGAATCGAATTAATATTTATTCAAATATAAAAGTATTCACCCAAAAACAGTTTAATGACAACTAGATATATTACATTCTTAACCATTAAATAAGCGTTGCAAATCAGAGGCAACGTTAATGGATGATCCAATCTATTTTTTCAAGCAATTTATTCCATTAAGCGTAACTTCAGTAAATGAATGCTATTCCCTAACATTAATGGTATTTGGAAAAATATCACTTGATCACTCATGGATATATCTGTGGCTGATACTTGACTATTATATATAAATTACTTACATTCTTTTTAATGTCTTCAATCAATTCTTTTGCAACTTCATCAAAAACATGGTCACACTGATAATTGGAGGAAAATTACAAAAACAAATTAATCACAATTCCAATTTTTAGACAAGATTAGAATTAGAACTTGTATTTGTTACACAAAAAATTAAGAAGAAAATTGAATCATAATGACATCTATTAACGAACTAGGAACATACAACAATATGAGAACACCTGAAATGTACCATATTTTACGGACTATAAGGCCGTAATATCATTTTTATATAAAAAACGATGACACAACTTTTGAGCTTGTGTGTCTAATGTATGGATCAGGTAATGCTTTATGCTTTATTGTCTACACTCAAAATCAGTACTGGTACTATTGTTTCATAAACAACCACAGTTTTAAGTCTTCTTTGAATAAAACACAATGGGCATAAAAATATTCAGTTTTTTTTTTTTGGTTAATGAGCTTTGAACGGTAACCCATTACTCCTTAAAAACTGCTGTGTCTTATAGTCTGGTGCGCCATATGGACAAAACAATCTAAGCAATTTATGGACGGTGCGCCATAATATTCGGTACACATAATATCATAATATATTTCAGTTTAAAAAAGTGGATCAAGATTTACAGTGGCAATTACAGTTGGACTTGAATTAAATTAAATAACGAAAGAAGAACCCCAACAGACAATTTCCTACAAATATTTATATTGAAGATGATTGAGTATAAATTACTAACACACCTCTTCACGTAACAGGAAAGAAACATTTTCACAAATTGTCTTCTTTAATTTCGGTAGATTATCGTCCTTATAAAAATGATTGCAACAAATTAATTACAACTTTTATTTGTTGAAAATAATTAAACAATTATACAAAATATTAAAATTATAATTATAAAATATCAAAACTTTCATCATGTGTCGCTTGCTCCACAAGAATTCAGATTAGACAATCAAAATTTATTGAGGGAATAACATTTTGGCTCTGCCATTGTAGATTTGGAGAAAATTGGCAAGCACTCCAACTTGAAGATGGAAGAATGAAATTTGAAATTATTTGAAAATTAACAGACAAATTAATAGGACACACACAAAACAAGAATTTGATTTTTCACACAATTCTACCAGTTTTGAAAATTCTGGTCCAAGTTGTTGGCTACATTGTTCAGATATTAAATTGTTGATCTCATTCTAGATGACAAATACATACAGCTTATCAATATTAAGTTAAACTCGAATTCACGTGGCACAAAAAGAAAACGAAGATCAAGGCCATATGTTACTCCAACAACATAGCACTTCCCTGTGTATCAATAGCTGCTTGTCTTAAACTTTGTTTGTAGCAGGGTTCCTGGAGATTCTGATTTGAATGTATTTGCCGTTTTTGATAATTTTTGAGTGGATTTAAATTAGAAAAGTGAATTTCTTTGCAACTGGATGCATTATGTGAGTTAACTATTTTCTTAGAAAGAAATTTAACTATCACAATCAAAGAAAAACAGCGATCGTTAACTCACAATGAAAGACTGGTTGTTAATAATGATATTTTGCCAATCGCTAAAGAAAGCTTGACAATCCGTGCACAGATCCCCACCAACTGCAGGCTGTAATAAAAAATTAATTAATATTATGACATATTGTAAGAGTGCTAAGCTTTAATTACTATTCCCAACATAGGATAAGAAAAATTTTACATATTTATCCCAGGGAAGAGAAAGTCGATAGAACGGCGGCTCAATCGTAGGGCGCACCAAGGCCTCTCGTCTGGTTACCAGTCCATGCCGCGTATGGGATTAGTTACCCAGTTATTTGTTTTATCGTAAGCATGAACTTGATAGTGGAGGAATCCATAACTGGCCGGTGGTTACATTAATCACCCTACAGCGGCGAGGAGTCCAGCAATCATAAACACATAAATATCTCCACATCGGATTCGAACCTGCGAATTCACGCAACAGTATTCAGAGCTGCAGTGGCAAGCATATTTCTAACGCTCATCGTGATGCGCCCCTTCGCAAAAAATGTCCCAATGCCTGGCACTATTTTAAGCAAGCTCAAACGTGAGCTATCTAAAGAGGGTAATTAGTGGTCTTGTAATGGAATGTTTGTTCCTGCGTGGAAACTATTAAGATGTTACCTTTGTTTTTTCTCCGCACATCATAATAGCCATGCAGATTGTGTCAGCATCCTGAATATCAATCATATTAAAGAAATAAGTAAAGAGCAAAAATTAATAATTAAAATTAATTAATATTCAATTGAATTGAAATTAATTATTAGCTTTGCCGACAATTTGGCTGTATGCGACATTCCCATAATAGTTAAAATACAAGAAAACATACAAAAATTTCCAAAGCTATTATTTAGATAACAAAAGTCAATTGTAGCTAATGTGCAATAATTGATTCAGAATTTAAAAAATGATTACTGGCTTCCTAAAAAAAAGTTCACACTATCAATGACAATAGAATGAAATTAAATCACACTATTTGTACCACAATACTTTGTTCATGTTCATGTTTGAAAGTGAAATAATGTTTGAAAGTTTTCCCATAATCAATGATTTATAAACATTTACGCCAATAATGAGTTATCTGCTTTTTATACGAATACCATAAAAGGTAGAAATGTAATCGTAATGATACAAATGTAATAAATGTAAAAATGATAGATTTATTTTATACAAAAATTGCTTATTACTTATTGCTCAAACAGGCTTTCAAATTAGAAAGCATACAAAATTTTCAAAATTAATTCTCTCAATTCTGATTTTTTTACTTCACACCACTTACATTACTGACAATAGCGTCTTGGATGATCGGAGATATATCATCAATTGCCTTTTTACACTTATAAAAAAGTATGATGAACATGTTAGTTTGAAAATTTTAAAATTTTACTTACAAGAGCGCTAAATGCTTTTAGCACTTGATCATAATTAGATTCAACCAGAGCTTTGCACTATTAAAAATAAGAGCAATTCATTCTAGTGTAAAAAACACACTTAAAAAGATTTTTCAATTTCATTTTGAGGATAGGAAAGGGGATAAAGACAGATTGGTACTCCTGAAGTATGCGCACCAAGATGTCGCACAACCTGAATGAGCTCAGGTTGTGCGCATACTTCAGAAGGTCAGACAGATTAATCAAATCCATGGCCTCTGTGCATGTTGGGTATGGGAATTTTGAGCAGTTATTTGTTTCACATGCATAGACTTGGTGCTGGGGGAAACCGTAATGGACCAGCCGTTATGTGACCCACCCCATGACAACGAGGAGTTCAGTAATCCTCCTGCATCAATTATACGCTACAGATTTCAAACCTCCATGATCATGTTCCTAATGTTTAGCATGATCATATTTTTTAATATATATGATTATATTATATTTAAATATACATTAGTACGCACATAAATATAGATGATACATATTTTAAAATGTGTAAAATATTGAAAAACGCATTTTTCAAGCATCATCTTGATAGTAAAATCGTGATTCTTTCATGAAAACCATACCTACGCAGCATAAAAAAGTGTCAACTGCAAGACTATACAACTAAGATAATTGTAGGATATTAGAAATTTGACTTCAAAAGTTTACAACTCTTTGGTCCTAATCATAACCCTTTCATATTTTCACTTGTTTTGACTAATTAGGATACACATTTTTACTGGTAAATGAAGTTTGCTGCATAACTTAATAAATTAAATTATTCGCTGTTCCTTATACTAGTGTCTAGTGCTGTACATAGACCATAAATATATAAAATATGATGGTATTTTCAAAATTATATATTAAAATTACTGTTTTAAGAGGGCTGATTGGACGTTCTTGGAAACACTTGGAAAAAAAAGCATGATATTAGCGTAAATAGATAACTCACAACATCTCCCAATTCAGGACCAAGTTGTTCGCATTCTTGTTTCACCAAGTCGACAAGTTCTTGCTGAAAAGAAAATATTGTTTATACATTTGGTCTTATTACACATCAGTACCAGTGCAGCTCAGTTGTTGTCGTTATAGTGGTGGAAAAAAATTGTAATTATCTGTAATTATTGAAATAATCAAATCTTCACTACTTGAATGTGGAAGAAGTCGCTAGAAGTCTAATATCGATTATTTATTTTAATCTCAAATTTTCTTGGGGTCCTATGAAACCCCCCATATATGTTTGTCAAAATTTTGAACGTTTTTTTTAATTCATGGACAGGTCCTTAATATGACAATTGGTAGAATTATTTCCATAATCTCCATAGTTGAGAATTGATCTCATGTTTTGCACAATTTTTCCTACATATTACATCAAAAACTAGATTATATAACTTGGATTTTGGCTGTAACATAAATAGTATAATTAGATGCAATGAATACGAAAAACAACATACAACAAGAGATTTGTTGTTCATAATGACTCCTTGAAGATCTGTGATGAAGTTTTTGCAGTCCATACACATATCACTTCCAACCTATCAGTAAAAAAAATAATATTATCATGAACTTATTCTGCAAACAGCATTGGAAAAATACAAATATTAAAATTTTTCTAAGCTAGTAGGTTCTGGACTGTTTGCATAAAGCAGGCCTCTTTAAACTGGGGGTTCCGACTCCCTGATGTGTTGCAAAATAACTCAATGGGGTGCGGTATGTTCAAGAACATTATTGAAGTATTGACTAGGGAAACATTTAAACAGATTCTGATTGACATGACGAAGCTGAACATTTTTTTTTTCATTTTTTTTTATTTTTATTTTTTTTTACACGCTTAAGTGGGCTGGAAAAATTTGCGACAAATTATAGCCCACCGGTAATTTATTTTTATTTTAATTCCAGAGAGTCCCAAAAAATTTGGGCGTGCCAAACGGGTCACAAAGAAAAAAATTTGGAAAACACTGGTTTAGGGCCTTGGTCGAAGTAAAAGTGAACATGTAGGCAACCTACAAAAAATTCATCATATACCAGTGTCAATATTCTACAAAGAGTTTATTCAAAATAAATTCGAAAAATGCATCAAATACAGTAATAATGCTTTTGATCTCAAAAACCGCATGGAATATGGTATTTCATGGTGGTCCAAGGTTGTCAGCATTTGGTGCCACAATATTATTTTTGTATTGCTCGCGGGCCACGTTAGTGAACAGAAAGATAGGTAAACACAAACAGTGCCATTTTTTATGGTTGATCAATCTTTCTGTGTCAACATTTAGTATTAGATTTCAGTCTCTTCATAACGAAGAAACATCGACATCTCAAACATTGACAAGATTCTCAAAGCACAAAATCCCACAACTTTGAAAAATGTGACACAATGATGACACCAAATGTGATTTTTTAATTGCCCACCAGTAAATGCGACATGGGCCACAGATAAAAACGCTACGGATACATGTGGCCCGAAGTTACTGTGGTTTTCAGAATAGTAAAGTCAAGCTCTACCTGAGGTTCACGTTCAGGCATGGATTGCATAATAACTTTTGTGATTCTCTTGGCAAATTTCCTCAAACTTTTTCCAGAAACCTATTTGAAAAAAACATGCATTACTAACATTTTTATATTATGTCTACATGACAACCCTAGTTGAAAAAAAAAAGTGAGGTGCACATCATCTTATTGCCTTGATAAAGTATAAATTTGAATAATAAGCTGTTAATACCAGTGTACTGAATCACTTGATTAATTGCAAAAGCAGTTCTGTTCACCAATATGCGTTTACGATTTTGCCATGTACACAACATACAGGTGTACCTGATAACTTCAATTGGTTAGAGTTTAATTTTCCTACCTTCTTATGTTCCTTTACTGCAGGCGGACTTGATACCTCTTTACCCTTGACCGATTCACAGAATAAAGCTGCAGAGCAGATTTCTTCTGGATCCTGAATTCAAATATTATAAACAGATAAATAATGATCACGCCTAGGAAGTCATTATTTCAAGTCATCATTATTTGTAAAACCTGTTTCTCATTAATAATGTCGTAAATTGATAGAACTTTACATACAACAAACCATACATTTCCTTAAAATAGAAGAAAGTCATGACAAACTAACTCATCAATAAACATTTCATTCATTAACATCTCGCTATGATTCGATTTGGAAATCAGTTCAAACTTAGATTCTTATCTGACTTGAGATGAACATAAAATTTTGGACATTTCACATGATTATTCTATAAAATGGGTGTTTTATATATGTAGACAAAAATTATCACAATGTAAAATTTCGGGATACCAAAATATACAAACTAGCAGAGCCTTGATTTTTTAATAGATATAGAACTAAGTCACCAAAAAGCTAATATGATAAGCCTAACTCACCGTACTGGAAATTAAATCCCATAACTGAGGCAGATATTCTTTCACCACTGTATCGCACTGTGATGAAAATTTTTTTAGGTTTGAGATTTGTGTTCATGTATTACTATTATTAACAGAATATTATTTTGTCATTTTTCATTTAAATGTAATGCAAAATTGGGCAAACAGTAATGACATGTTTACTATATTAATTACAAATTTTATTCAATAATACAATTGAGAAATTTTCATAATATCACACCATTAGTCTTAACTGACTGTTTAATTGCTAAACGACTATATAAGACAAATTATTGATGTTTTTCAAGCGAGGAACTGATTATTATTATTATATCTGAATTCCATTTTTCTTTTGAGTCAAGAAAAAATATTTCAAGTAGACTATAGACATCTGTGATTTTGACAGATCAAATTTTAAGCTGATAGTTGATTTATAATTCAATTGTTATGAACGATATATTACCAGTTTTGAAAACTCGGGTCCAAGCTGGGAGCATTGATCGGCTATCAAGTTGTTCAGTTCATTCTAAATATTAAATAGGAAATCGTTAATAGTTATGTTTTAAATGATTTAAAATAAAAATGTCAAGTCAGACCACATTTAGGGAGAGACTCGAAAGAATCCCAAACTAAGACTTCCAATTAGGAAAGAGTTCAACTGGACTCCTGATTCAAATCCCAAATTTGGGTAACAAAAAAGTTTAATTTGAATTCATTAACCTCAAAATTTCTGTCAAGACACCTGACTCTATTTAAACTAATATCTCTTTCAATATATTCTTCTTCAGATAAAGACAAAAATGTTATAGAATATAACAGTGCTGTCCAAATTTGAGATTTCTATAAAGCATGACAATTTAGCCAGGTATGATATAACAGATTTAAAATATTCAAACTGAATATATAATGCCATTTTAAAACTATCTTGGTGAAAAATTTGATGCCATATTATTCACAGTTAAAATTTTGATTATAGATCGAAGTCATCCAACTTTATAAAGTTTGATGAAACAAGCGCTCACTTCGAAAGCCACAAAAATTGGCACATCCCCCTGACTCGCACCCCTGGATCAAATGAAATTTCTTGATGTTTTATATTGTTTTAAAGAAATATCCATGTGCTAATAACTTCTCAGACTCCAATCTATGTTCCTTACAAACAAATTGCAACTCACAATTATAGACTGATTATTTGTGATGATATTTTGCCAATCACTGAAAAATGCTTGACAATCAGTACACAGATCTCCAGTAAGTTTTGGCTGTAACATAAAAAAATTGTTTAATTACATAATAACAGGTTATATTCTAGCTTTGAGTCTTAATTTATAGAAAGGATTTCCGAAAATCAAATATTTGAATCAATTTGAAAAAAATATTACAAATTTAATATTGTTTAAATGTTTGTTCATTAGAAACATCATCATTTTGAGCCAGCGAAGCCTCACAGTATGGCCAATCATGGCATTCACTTGGTTTTTGAAAACTCTTGAAAATATTAAACCAATGAAATCATTATATAGCTACACTTTCCTGCATTTCCAAATTCAAACTTATAGAATATAATATACGTTGTTCCAGATTCCAAAACATATATAAAGAATGTATTCGAAATAGTTGATATTCAGCTTTGGCCATACTCGTTTAAAGTGTACATTTACTCTAATGAAAGGACAGCAAAGTAATTATAAAAAATGTCAGACAAATGCTCCTAGTTAGCCAACCTATTAATGTATTCTAGTTAACTCTCAAATTATTTTATGAATTGTTATTCGCAAATGAGCATGTTACATATAAAGTGAAGTCAAATTTGAATATAATTATATTTATTACCTTTACAAATTCCCCACACATCATAATAGCATTGCAGATTGTGTCGGGATCCTATATATTAAAAAATATGAGTAACAGAAATAGCAAATAAAAGTGTGTTATTGATGGATAAATGGGCTTAGAAATTTGTTACCAATTAACTAATACTATATAGTACCATGCTGTATCAGGTAATACATAAAGAATGTAATGAGCTAATTTACCTAAATGAACAACAAGAAAAATTGTGAAAGAGTTACGATTTCGAAACCTCGTAAGAATATTTATATAGGGTTAACTGCAGGGAACCTTGTTTTTAACGCATCAAAAAACCCTCAGGTGGTTCAACTAAGCACCTATTACCATATCTACATGTACAACCCCCAGAAAACTTATTTGCTTTAATTCCTAAGATGAATTGAAAATTCTATCTATGTTGAATACAATTTACATACGTAATTATAGGTTTAGAAAGGAAAAAGTTTAAAATTGCTCATGTATATATATATATACTCTTCTTGTGATTAGGTACATAAAAACAGCCACAAAAGAACAGATATTTTATTAATGTACAGGGTTCCATGAAATACCTTTAGAAATTTAATTTTGTTATGAATTCGGTTCTCAATATATCTTAATCAGGTTTGTTGTTTTTTTAATCAGTAATTGTTTAATTATTTTTATTTCATTTAATACGTCTGTGAGGGCCAAAACAATATATGGTATCGATGAACTCCCGTTGCAATTTTAGAAAAATTCAAGGCTTTATATACACCCTATAGATTATAGCACACAAGCATTGCTTTTTTTTGTTGCACAGGTTCATGAGCCCAAAATCAATCATTTTCATAAAATTATTAAATTTGCATACTATATTTCCAGATCTGAACTTTAGTAAGATTATGATTGAAAATAATTAATATTTGTCACATTTTTTATAGAATTTCGTAAATTAATTCTCTCAATTCCGATTCTTTCACTACACACCACTTACATTACTGACAATAGCATCTTGGATTATCGGAGATATATCATCAACTGCCTTTTTACACTTAATATAAAAAAGAAGTAAAGTTGAATGGAATAAAATAATGATACTTACTATAGAATTAATAATTTTCAAGATTTCTTCATAGTTCTTATGAACCAGCTCTTTGCACTAATGGAAATATAGTAGAATTATATTTAGAACAAATAATTTAAAAAACAAGGAAAATTTTAGTTGATAGATACAGCATTATTTCTGATGAAACTTATTTATATCTTCAAAAAAGTAAAACTCCATTCATATTCATTTTTTCATGTCGCTTTCCAATCAAACTAAACAACGCACTGTACAAGCAGACTGTGCTATGTAGGGATTTACTTATTTTGGAAGGACAGGAATCTTCTCACTTAGGCGATAACTACCCCATTGATTACACCAGGGCTCTTCAAACTGGGGGGTCGCGAACCCCCACTGGGGCGAGCTCAATGAGGGTCGCTGTAAAATCTTCTTCGGCACTAGTTTATGTTAAAGATACATTCTTTTGTTTGAGAATATGCAAGTCGATTTTATTTTCTATATTTTCTGTATTATTAAGGTTTACTTTATTTATATTTTAGTTCCTAGGGGTCTCGAAAAAGTTTGGTCGTGCCAAGTTGGTCGCGATGCAAAAAAGTGGATTATACCCTGGGTGAGTTGGGTATGTGATTTGTGTGGTTTTGATCTGCATTTCAAATTCACTCAAAATAATTTTCTGATCAATAGATTTAAATTCAATTCTGGTAGACATCGATGGAATGCAAATAAAGAATCTTTATTCTGAAAAAAGATTGTCAAAAAATGTTTTTGAAATTAAACATTCTGGACAAATTCATTAATCTATCAATGTAAAGCAAGAAGAACAAGCGCAGCAAAATTGAAACACATACACGATCACTAATTTTCATAATAATTGTATAGACGAAATCATGAATATCGGAATTCCTTAATTCGCAAAAAAAGTATATATTTAATTATTTAGTAGCCTAATTGAGACTGTACTACACCAATTTCACTGTTCCTACCTTTTGCAAAGATAAGTTTTAAAATTTTAAAATCTACTCACAATATCACCCAATTCAGGTCCAAGTGATTCGCATTCTTGTTTTACCAAATCCACAAGTTCTTGCTAAAGTAATAAAAAGAACATTTCAATATACTGTTAAAAATAATCAGTAACCGAGCAATAAAATTAGCAGTAAAAAGACCATTCCAGGGGTTCAACATTTTAATTATAACAAACAAAAAAAGTATTTCTTGGTAGAAATTTTGCTCAAATAGGAATAATTGGTTAGAAATATTAAAATTATTATTTAATATTATTACTAAATTTCCATTTCTAGGTTGCATTTATCTTAACTGAAATATGAACAGTACTGTAACTGTTCGTTGAAAGTGATAAAATATATAATATTATTCCTTTTTCAAAATACATACAGACTCATATATTGTCTTGCACATAAGTTATTTCGGCGCTCCAGGAGTATGTGTACCAATATGGTACATCAAGTTGTGTAAAGGGACGGAAGCCTATGGGCGGGAGGTATATTCACTTGGCTAACACAAAACTAAAATATAGAAAATCGGAATAAAATTATGGCCTAACCCTAATGGTATTCATTTTTTAACATTTGAATACAGCCCTCTGCTAGAAACACAAGAGATTTCATAAACTTAAGCATCAAAGATTTACTCCACAACATACCACAAGTGATTTATTGTTCATGATGACTCCTTGAAGATCTGTGATGAAGTTTTTGCAGTCCATACACATATCACTTCCAACCTATAAAAATTGGAACAAATATTAAAAAATAAATCATTCATAAAGTTATGTGAATTAATAGCAGTTTTATATTACACTTAGAAGATAGTAGTATGAAATTAGATTAATGGTCAACATTCAATCAACATATTGAAAAAATAAAATATTAGAATTGAGAAGATGATAGATCTTATTCTGGTCCAGCACAGTGGTTTATAACTTTTCATGATCCGAGCCCATTCCAAAGACTCTCTAAAATATGAGCCAACATAAAAAAAATATTTTTTTTTTCAATGGGATTCCATAACTTATTTCAATCCCACATTTAATAAAATTAATCCAAATGAAGTAGAAGAATAAATGCACTATAGTCGATGAATGAAACAAATTACTGGTAATTTATTTTAAATTAATGTAGTCACTAGTCATTGCAAATGGTGCCCAGTGAAGGCACCATGATATGCTCCTGGCCCTGGTCTATCAGTTCGTCCATGCCAACTTCAGATGAAATAAAATCGAAATATAGAACAGAAAAAAAATTAATGGTTCCAAAAACAGTGGATTTTTCATCTAAGCAACTTACTTGCTCGGTGTAAATACTCATAAAAAATGAGACCTGTTTAGAGAAATAGGCTATGCAAATAAACAATTTCCTACTTGATGTTCACGCTTGGGCATTGATTGAAGAACAATTTTAGAAATTTTCTTTGCTAACTTCTTCAGATCTGGTTTCTGAGCAGGAATTTCCTTCTTGGGATCACAAAACTCGATTTCCGTGCATATTTTTCCCACATCCTAAAAAATCAAGGATTTTTTTACTTTTTTTGAAATATTCTGGATTTCAATACAACAATATTCTTATACATGAAAAAAACTAACCTAACAATCTCCAAACAATACTGTCAAATAGTCGTACCCATAGTGGATGATTAGTATCACTTGATATTCAGCATGTCTTTTTTATTTAGGTTTTAGGAAGTTTTGGACAATCATGTTTAAAGTTCAAATTTACTTTGAAATTTTGATCAAAATCATTAAGACCAAATTTTTGGGGAAAAAAACAGAAATTGTTGATTGAGTCAAATTTGTATACAGCTTTAAAAGTTCGTAATACACCTAATATTATGGCGATAATTGATAATTCGAAAATCAAAACATAAAACCTCATACTACAATACAAAGCACAATTAAAGCATCCCTATTGTTTACAAGGAGTAGGCCATCTCCAAGTACGAACTCACCGTCATTTCTAGCATTTTCCATAACTTAGGAAGATTCTCTTTCAACAAGCTTGCACACTGAGATGAAGTATTTGGAGTTGAAGTAATGTTTACCAGTGTATTTTTATAAAATTCCATAAACTGATTCAAAATTTGATCATTTGAAAATTTTATCAGAATTTACACTGATTGAAATTATTTTTGTTTCAGATGTTTGATTAAAAAGATTGCACTTTACAATTTACATTTTTGATTTTTTGGCCAGCGTAGGGATCTGAATATTTTTATATGATAATTTATATGATTTCATATTATAAACAAACTATATTTTATAAATACTACCACTCAGAGGAGGGGGTGTTTCCCAGCCTATGGGTCACCACGACCCAAAACTGGGTCACCTGATAATCTTGTTGGGTCGCTTGTTTTTCAACAAAATCTTCAAATCAAAGTTACTGACTTTATTTTTTTTTTCAAATTGAAGAAGTGCATTAAAGTGTGGTTTTATATTTTATATATGGGAAGTATCACAGCGTAAGAATTCGCCATAACTATTTTGCATATAGCAATGCCATGTTTTCAAAACTCGCTTTTCTCACTTTGAGGTGATTTCTGGGAAATCGAATGTTATGTGAAAATGGTAGAAAAATATTTATATTAGTCATAGAGTTTAACAAAATTTATTTTCAAAAATTTCTTGAATTGTTGATTTCTAGAAAAAAAGGTTGATAACCACTGACAAAGATTTTTTTACAAAGATATATACGATGCATTCACTCTTTGAAAGACCCTGCAAGAGCAAAAGCGATTAATAAGATTTGTGTTGGATAATAAATGCGGTCTTTATATATCTTTATATAAAAATACATCTGTTATTTATTTGATCGAACAAAAGTGATTTACATTATCAACCATTTTATTATAAAAGATCTATGTGAAATAATGAAAGTGATCTTCATATATCATAAAAATACATCTGTTATTTATTTAATTGTACAAAAATGTTTGACATTATTACCATTTCTATTTTAAAGTGTCAATCAGGCAGGATTCAATAAACATAAAATCACATGGGCAAATTAGATTCTCACGTTTTCTCATGTTTATATTGTAAACATAGTATGTTGCGACAGATGATTGCTTGTTTGTTCTATGCAATTGTGTTCATAGTCGTACCAGTGGATGATTTGATTAGTTACAAATGTTGAATGACCTTTGATACTTGTAAAAAATCAATATTGAACAATCCGCACACCTCCATTGCATAAATAAATAATTGCATCACCATCATACAATTTTCTATACCCTTTTTCAATTTTTTTTTAAACTTTTCAAAAGTTGGCCTCATGCTATATGAGTGAGTCAATGAAAAAGTACAGAGTGAATCAAAAAATCAGAACTCAAAAATTTCTCAAATAGCCTTCTATAATATATTCAACAGTTAAACTTATGTTTGTGTGTGATTGTACCCAAAAGTTTCTGGAATCTAGGACTCTTTTTGTCACCCAATATGTTGTATATATATACTAATTATAATTGATACTAATGAAACGAGAATATCGGTCAAGAGACCGAAGACTTATCGATCAAAAGTTTGGGGATCCCCCAAAACAGCGCTCTTACTCCATAGTGACACCTTGTGTCACATCACTAATTAATTAATAACTCGCTAATTATACGACATAATTCGCCCAAAATCAATAGGCTTCTGGTCCGAGATAAGATGAATGCACATGCAAAATCTGGAGCAGATTCAATCTCGCTTTTGTGAGATATCGCGTGCATCTAACAGACAAACATACAGACAGACAAATACCTATCAACATACTTACCGATTAAAATCGATAAGTAATGAAACCTTGAGTTTGTCTACCATAATCCCCCATGTCTAAGTAGTTTGTGAAATGACTATATCGACTTATGACTCCCATGCAGTAAATGTGAAATTTTTTTCCTAATTTGGTCATTAGATATATTTGGGTTGGGAATAAGTATATTTTTGAAAATGCATGATAGCTATTGTACTTCTGTGTTTCAAAAATACATGATTTGTTGACATCAAGTACAAAGATAATAAATTAAACAAATGACAAGGATACACCCAGTGATGGGATTCGGCATTCTATGAATGTGTCAACAACAGCAAATGGGTTATGTGCACAGTGCACTGCAGCTGAAGACTAGTGTTTTATTTGGTGTTTTGAAGTTTGGTATTAGATTTATGTAATGCGATTGTGTCATGTTAATATAGCTTTCATAGTGACCTACTTATCACTTGATCTCTCGTTATGTTCTTGTATTGTTATAGCGCTACAGGTTTGGCATGTTTTTAGATGAGGGAACTTGTTGTTAGTGGGTTCAATACAAATGAGAACCTGTTCCTTAAATTTTGAATCACATTACAGAATACAACCCATTTTGCAGATTACTTCACAGGTTTTGTGAAGTATTGATATGGAAGTATTATGTTCACATTTGAATAATATACATTTACCATTCATTTGAACTGAATAATATCAATTGCAGATAAAGCATATTTTACAAAATGCTGATTTCATGAAAAAAAGTCATTGCGTCCGATTCTATATGTGAAATCTTTTCTAAATTTTTTTTTATAAAAACACTCACTTCATCTTTGATTCGTTCAATGAATACTCTGATCACCATCGCAACATATCGAGCACACTGATTATAAAAAAAAATTAAAAATCAAATAATTAATTATCAATAAATTGCAGAAAAAATCAAATCTCGCGGATTGCCGATCTCATTCAACAATTAAATATGAAAGTTCGGCAGCAGTAATAAATAGAAAATTTAATTTCGTCCTGAAATTGGTAAATATAGAGGGTAACCATACCCAGCGTCGGAGCATTTAGCGCTATTAATTTTAAAAAAGACGAATTGGAAAAATAAGACATGGATCAAATAAACGCCAATTCCTTGAGAAAAGTTGTGATCATGATTTTACTAATAAGCACTATTTAAAATGGCAAAATATATCCATCTTTCTTAATAGTGAAATTTATAAATAATTTAAATAAATATTTAGCAATTTTTTATTTGAGATTCAAAATATTTTTCTTAGACAGTTTTGCCCATCACTCAAATATAAAATATGGATAGGTATACCAACAGGACCCTTACGGCTAACTCATTCATTTTCATATATATTTCATAGTTGCAATTATTGGAATTATTACCAGAAATCAAAATACCTGATCACGTAATTCCTCTGGTTTTTGCAAGCAATAAAATTTTGCGAGAGCATCAACAACTTGATCCTGTGATGAAATCAGAAAAATCAAAATGAAAGCAATTATGCTTTTTGATTAGGATATTATAATCAGTTTTATCAAGTCGAAGAAAAATTAAAACAAATGGTATTTGGCTGTGGCAATACAATTCTGCACAGTCCCTATTGGTTAATAAAGTATCAGACATCAAAATCCAAAGTGAAATTCTCAAAAAGAATATTAAAATGTATGATCAAATTTCCCACATCATTGTAAAACATTTTTATTTGAACAAAACATTGCTACAAAATCTACAAATATCCATCAATGTGTTACAAATTTAAAAGAAAAACCTTCAAATGACATGAGCAAACGAAATACCATATGACTTGAGTACCTAACTTTGCATTCGATGTTTAGTAAATGCATTAAGTCTATATTTTATTTAAACAAATATTTTAGTTGCAAAGTTAATTTGCAACAATGCTTTATGCATATTGGAGGTCTGTGGTTTTGTAACAATACGACCTTTACACAGTATTCGATTGTTTGCTGCAGATTGCAATACCCGTGTATACATACATCAGTGATTTGTTATTCAATATATACTGCAATGTGAATAAATAGACAATACCTGTGTCTACATACGTTAGTGATTTGTTATTTAACATATACTGTTGCAATATGAATAAATTGACTAAGTGCCGGTAAAAGATTGAATACTTGTAACAAACGAGTTTAAATACCTTTTCAGGTATAAAAAAAATGCAATTGAAAATTTGAAAATTATTTTACAAAAAACTTTGAAAACGGAGTACGAATCATCAGTTTAATAATCGTACCTTTTCAAGTAGGAAAAAATACGATTGAAAAAATTTAATAATTATTTTTAAAAAATTTTTACAATATTATTCAATCTGTGAATTGTGAACAATAAAAGACATTTTTAACTACCCCAGTTTCAGGTGGATGCAACTTAATAGCAGCATATTAATCGCCTCATACGAATTTAACATAAAACAAATTGAATATGGGAAAATGGGAATTTTCAAGAAAATTTTCTACCTGTTCGAACACATAATATTCCTCTTCTAAATTACGCAAAATTTATTTTAACACATTTTCTTCAATGTACTGAACGCAAAATCTAATATTTTAGTTTTATAATAAAGTTTTTATCTAAATGTATCAAGAAATTATTAGTATTTTAATAAATACAATCAGCATTTATACTAGTCATTAGTAATTAAGTTGTGCATAGTAGCAGCCGCCTACTATCTTGTCATCCGGTATTGTCTTTTTATTATTAATATTGACTCAATTATTATAGTACTAATTTCATATTGTAAGAAGTATTATTTCCTGAAATATGAATGACTCATGATTGAATGATATCAGGAAATATGGTTTGTAACTTTTGCCGTTTTCTTCCCAAATAAGAATGGAAAAAGGAGATGAATTTCGGGTGTCAGACATCGGCCGGAGATGACTTATATGTTTGTAAATCGAAAAAAAAATTTCATCAGAAAAATTTGTCTTTTCCAGTTTTTTTTAAAATAAATCATTCAAATTAAAAATAGAAAATCAATTGAAACAATTTTCTTTCAAGGCAACACTATATGGATAGTATGTAAAAAAAAATTATTAGCATCAAATACCGTAATTATAAATTTGTTGGCTTTTGTATAGATTCCCGAATTAAAATTAAGAATTGCATTGAATCACTCATTTCAATCTAAGTCAATTAAAATATTGGAATCAACGTAAATCAAGGTCATTTTTATTTGAATTATTTGACAACTACCATTTCCTTTATTCCGTCTCCCAAACTTGCACATTCTTGGATTATCATATTGTCTATTTTTTCCTGTTGTTTAAGTTATAGAAACAAACAATAAAAAATCGAGAAATTTCACTGTAAGTATTTTACAATTGCATGAAATGAATCGAGAGTATAGTATAGTAAAGGGTTCCTACCACGTCTTCCATATACATATTTATACAAGATACATAAGGATACACCTACACATACAGATATACTAGTATTCTTCCTTGTATTCAGAACAATCGTATTAAATTACATTACCACACTGTCGCGATATTGGCTAGATTGCACGAAGTGAAACTGATATGTAAAATGACTTTTAGGGGTAAGTACTATAATTTTAATGCATCACAATAGTTCACATTTACTTTTTAAGATTCGAATTGAAACAATTCACTTGATTCCGCAAACTATTGTTCTGGATTCTGAGCTAAATCTCGAACAATCAGCACTTGTATGGGATATTTTTAAACATTGCGCAATAGTTTTGTTTTTAAAAATTTTCATTAAAATTTATGAAACTTACGACAGCACTACTGTTTGATTTCAACATGTCTTGCCAATCTTTGAAAAACGTTTTGCAATCCGTGCACATATCTCCGACTCTCTGTAAGAAGAAAGGAATTAAAAAATGGATGACAAGAAAGATATCAAAGGAACACATTTCGATAAGAATTTAATGTTCGAGGTAATATTTAGATATGTACGTTTAACAAAAAAAAGCAACACAAGAATTTATCACTGAAATTTGCAAATTTTATAGTCAATGCATGATATGCTACTATGTTAAATATTCAAAGCTGAAACAAATTTCAAAAAAGAATTCTAGAAATTAGAATATTATGTAATGGGGTATGAATAATCATCAATGTAAAATGAAACTGTTATTAATCAGAATTTGATTTTGCATTATTTAACACGTAGGCAATCCCATGCCCACCACCTCATCCAGAGTGTAACGAAGCAAAAAAATCAGGTTCTTTCAAAATAAAGTAGCCCCTTACACATGCTTATGCAGAGCCTTGTCTGGAGCGAACAATGACTACTTTATTATTTTAATATTATCACTCAAGTAGCTTGGATGAATAATTCATGAGATTCAATAAAAATGATATTTTTTACACATTATTCCACAAACCTTCTGGTTGAATTGATCACACATCATTATCGTTTTGCAGACAGACATTGGATCCTGGAACGCAAATGAAAATGAAATTATAGTCATGTGAGCACCATGAAATTATATGCAATTTACAAAATTACCACCAATAAGATCAAAACACAAATAAACATTATTCAAAATGGTCATTCCAAACTTGAATAGAACTTTTAAAACAATTTTATTCAAGTCATGGTATTATTGAAAAGATAATTACAGTTTTGCTAATAATAAATAATGTATAAACAAAGTGACTATTTAGAAACTGTAGACCCGCCCACATTCAAGAAGTTACCATTTTGTAATTTCGCTTATTAACACAAATTTTGATTTCGAATATTCTAATCAGGGCAAAATTCATGGCATTTTTACAAATTTCTCAAGATAAACAAAATTTAATAAAAAAAAATATATCTTCCTGCATTTTTGAAAATAACTCTTCAAATACCATTTTTTCAAATTTTGTTACACCAAATATTTCCAATTAATCCACGAATGAGTGTGATTTTAAAAATGAATGAATTAAAATCGAAACTTTCGAAAATTATAGTGAAATCATCATAATTTTCCTAGTAATAAAAATATTGATCATGCACCAGTCAACCACAACTAGAAGAAGAAAAAATTAAAGCATCTTAAATTAAAGCGTCAAAACGAAAATAACAAAAAATACAAAAAAAAGAAAATAATATTTTATCTATTTAAAATCGAATTATTGGCGAGATATCTTAAGATTACATAAACGTTCTTAGCAATTCGTATTTTAAATCTGACAATTATCTAAATTAAAAATCGAAAAAATCAAAGTGGATCACTTGACAAAATATTATATTTGTCATATATAAATCAGTGTGATTTTTAAATGTGATTTTTGTTTAGAAATCCAGTTCTTACGAGCATAGAAACTTGTTTCAGTATTTTAGGAAAATAGTTGTCGACCACTCCCTCACACTGAAAATAAAAATAAAACAATTTGAAATAAGAAAGAAAAAATGGAAGCTGATAATGCTGACATAAACATTCACACAAGATGAGAAATACATCTCATGCTTTGTGACTCATTTTACATGAAACAAACATCCTAAAACAATATCAGCACATTTTTGTGTGCTGTAACATTTCGCAGATTAAAAAATAACAATATGTAATGCTCAAATATATGGAAGACGCAAATTGTCGAGTCGTCAGGTTGTTCGTCATTCTTTAAACACAATGTCGCCAAGAAATGTTACAAAAAACCAAATAATTATGTTGGTTAAATAGACAAGATATGTTCGTTACCAATAATTTTGTAGTATATTTACATTTTTTGCATGCATTTTGTCCCAAGCAATAGTTTTGAATTTCATGTTAGGGTCTTATTCGCAATATTTTACTCAGAATGTAAATAACTAAGTTGAGGCAAAATAAAAAAGAGACCTATGTGTGAATGTCTGATTGTGTTAACTGTGAAGCCTTTCTTAGATCAAAGGAGTAAAACATAAAAAAAAATTAAAAGTTTAGACAATTTCAAGAATGAGTCACAAAATTTGCATGCTTATGTCAGCAGTGCCAGCTTCTCCTATAATAAACTCACATCAGCATTGTTTTTGTGTTTCATCATTACATTATAAATGACCATATCAACATTCTGCTCGCACTGTCATTGGAAAAAACGATAATTGTAAAAAATCACATATAATACAGTAATACAGAGAGCTAATCAGTCCAAATGTGTTCATGGAATACTTAAATAATATCAAACATCCAAATTTCCTTTTCCATCGGTCATATACACTTGATGGAACACTGATAGTGAACAGATTAAACCTCACAGGCAACAAAATACGACAGCTGAAAACTTTTCTTGAAGAGACAATGTCCGATGGAATATCTTAACTCGTTCTATTCACAATATGACACAATTAATCGAATATTATACACGGAAGTGTTAGATTCTCTTGTTAATCAGTGTTTACTATAATTTCTAATAGTCTCTGCATTTTAGTGAGTGCCCATAACTTCGCTCATAGATCAATTTTCTTATTTTTAGGCGAGTGCTCGAATGACATTCACATTGTTGCATTACAATCACAACAACGCAAGATCTGGGAAAATGTACGCTGAGTTTCAATTGGCACGCACTTATTTTCCTCTTGTAGTTACTTTCTTTGTCAAAGGATATTAAAAAAAGCAACACACAAAAACTCGACTGACATCCAAGTACCCTGGAAATCTTCTCGTGAACCCCTGGGGGTTCGCTAACCCCAGGTTGAGAACCCCTGATCTAAGGTGTGCAAAATATGAATTTTTGATATACAATAATATTTTATATGAATTGATTTAATTCACTTACCAGTTCACCAATTCCAGCACCAAGAGTTTTGCATTCAGTCTTCAACATTGTCATCCAGTCATTCTATATGTAATAAAAAAAGAACAGAACATAGAGATGAATTAAGGTATTGTATTGTGATAATAGATAATATTTAGATATACAATTTGAGTGCTGTTGAGGTACACGAGTTCAAAAATAATAAATATATATGGTGTTTGAATGGTCTAGTTACAATTTCAATTTTGGTATGAAGTTAGTTACTGGACTTAACCAGGTTTGTTTAATTTCAATCGGCATTTATTCAATTTTTTTTTACTTTATTTAATATGATCCGTGGGGGCCAACAAACTATATGTGATGTCACTAAATTCCCTTGATACTTTAAATAGTGTTATGGAGATATTGAGAACACCCTGTATATATATATATAATGAGACAGAGAAGCTCCAATATTTAATTTTATAGCAGTAGTAAAGTTTATTTTCACTTATATATTAATAACATAAGATAGGAGACTTCATTTTAAATAGACAAAGAGTACAAATAGAATAGTCTATTTAAGAAGAAATTTATATATTGTATAATCAGTCGTTAGTTTCGTTTGAAAAAAGCTTGAGAAATGAGAACAGAGCCCCAAGCATTAATTTCATCATAAGAAATTATAGAAAAATATATTTCAGTTTCTGGAAAAAAATTGGCTTACCAATACTCAAACACAATATTTGAGTCATATATATATATATACGTATCAGATTATGGATAGTGCATCATACAACAATATGCAGATTGTAAATTTGTAATATATAGCATCAGGAAATGATAGTGTGAATCATATCAAAATGCAGAAACTGTTTTTAAATGTAATTTACATATCAGAATTTTAAACAGAAATAGTTTGATTTGGCATTTTTATAGCAAGGATAGCATAAGGAATTTTTACATTCTCAGCTATTATGCCAGAATGTGTCTTGCCGTATTCTATCTTGGTTATTGATTGAAAAAGGCATTTTTGACAGTAAAATAAAAATCAAGAGAGAAACATGGACATATAGTTGCAAAATTGAAATTTAAAAATATTCAAAAGTCGCATGGAAGAAAAAATGCAATACATTTTTGGCAAATGAAAATAATGATAAACGATAGTCACATGTGCCGGTATGGTTTTTGAAAAGTCACTTAATCAATTAATTCCTAATAAGTAAATCCGGTGATATTTAATATTTTTATCCATGGACTTACCACAATTTTCTTATTGTTGAGTGCAACGTTTTGAAAGTCTTTTATAAACGCTTCACAATCCATGCACGAATCTGAATTGACCTGGAAATGAATATCATGTGATTATAGGTAATATGAACTCGATAGTATAAAACAAGCATGATCAATAGGTTCAACGACACCAAAATGGTAACCTTAGGTTATGACCTGTAGTAACCTCACGATTTGGAGAGAGTTTAAGACATCTCAGAAAGAAATGTTTGGTGTTGTATCACAATCTAAGAATGTTTAATATTTTGTACTGATATTTCAATTATTTTCTTTAGTAATCAAAAAGGTATAAAAATGTCTGATATATAACATTAAACCAATTTTATGTTAAATATCATATTTGAAAACAGATTAAAAAAACCTACCGGTTTAAACGGCGCTGCTATTGGAAATTTGTTGTCAGTCAGTGCTTCCTGAATATAAAATGAAAGATCGTAAATCAGATGATTCAAGAGTCTTGCTGCACACTAATGCAAATATATTTCTGTGATTTTTCGACCAAGGTCAGACTTCCTCAGACATACGATCAAAACTTCTTCACTAACTTCATTGTAGTTGCCCAAAAATTCCAATCACTATTAGAAAGCCATATATCCATATCCTGTCCATATATCTGAAGAAGTCTAACCTTGGTATTATATTTATTAAAGTAATATTTGTATTAGTGTCCACCAGGACTGTTGAATCACTCAGAATAACAGTAACTGCAACGTTGTACTTCAAATTGTACTCGACATCAAAGAAATAGCTTTATTCTGACAATGTTCCAATTGCACAAAAGGCATCTAAATACTAAAATAACATAAATTATACCTGAAGCATCTCTGGTAGTTTATCCATCATTCCTGTCAGATGTTCTTCTATGTCGACTAACGTACATAACTTAATGGCAGTGCATACTGCACTGGGGTCCTATGTAAAAAGAAGTAAATTTAAATAATTCCAATTTTTCAAAATGAACACATAATCAAAGATTGATATTTATTCAATTTTAAAATGCACTAATATTTTATTTTTTGATCGTTTGCTATAAATTAGCATTGATTAAATAAGTTAATCAAAAAAATAGCGTATATCAGATACTATTAATAATATTTCCAATTTTATATTTTAAATCATAATTGACACTAGACGAGAGATACTGATTACGACATTTCAAAATTGATTACCTGTAACGAAACATAAAAAATGAAATAGAGATGTGCATTTCATTTACTCAAAATTTGCAAGATTTGAAACATTTTGAACTTTAATGAAATATTAAAATATTAGCAAAATCAGCTATCAAATAAACAGACATCAGAATTGATAGAATTTTTAATAATTGCCAAAAAAAGGCAAGTGAAAATTTTTCCATCCCGAAAAATTATAAATTTATGTATGCGGAATTTATCAACGAACAGTGACTTATTTCAATAAAATTTAATAATGCTATTGTTTGACTGTGAACTTGTTCCACAACATAGAATAATTAGGAACGAAAAACTCCATAAAGTGCAATAATAATAATAACCATACCAATGCTGTAAGTATTTGATCATAGATGGTATCGAAATCTTCATCAACTAATTGGGTGCACTGAAAAAAAGATATATAAATAAGTATACGATCATACCCTATTTTCGACATATAAGTTTTCAATTTTCAAACTCAGGTGAACCACAAACGAAATTACATTACAAGAAATTACAAACATAAAGGCATAGAAAACTATTGGTACCGGTAATTGAATTAGTTATATTTAGTTCTAATCAACCATTACCCGATGTCAATTAATAAAAAACCTTTCTGGGAAGCACTAATAAAAACCTAATGATATGTTATATCAATATATATCGAATTATTAATTGCGAAAGGATAAACAATTTTCACATAATTTCACATAATTTTTACTACTATTAAAAACGGTAAGAAGTGCCTCAAAAATCCTTCAAATTCATCCTCACTATCACTGTCGGACGCTTTAATGCGATCAGAGGTATGAGCGTATAAGCCGACCCCTTAGTTTGACAACTTTATTTGAGTTTTAAATGCGGCTTATATGCAAGGATATGCGATGAATAAAATCATAAGATAAGTTGTCTATAGCAGAGTTTCCCAAACTTTTTGGGTTGCGGACCCCCAGTTGTGGATAATATTTTTTACGGTCCCCCATCCTATACCAATTTATGTGCGTGACCAAGGAAGAAGGATAATGTTCCATTTGGGCTTAGAACACAACAACACAAACGACATTAATGTGATGGATCAATTTCTGACAAGCAAACTTGTAGGCCCAACTCTACGACAACGAACTAATTCAATTGTGTATACTTGGATAGTCTCTCACAATTAACTTAACTGGGTTTCACGCCTCTTTCTTGTATCAACGGGGCTCAAATGACCATGGCAAAGTATTTGCAATTGCGTTAATTTACGACTTTATCTCGTTATGAATGTCTAACTAACAGTGGATATACGTAGAATGTTTATATTTCAGACTCTCAATATCGCTGCGGACCCCCTGTGTAGTCGTCACGGACCCCAAGAGGTCCGCGGACCCCAGTTTGGGAAACCCTATAGCATTTTCTTTCAAATGACATGCATACAATATATTGGAATAAATACTAACCGCGTCTTCAAATGCAGATAGAGGTATTTCCGTGCAAAATTCTTCCAAATCTTTCTTGACCAAAGCTTTTGAAGTCTGTTTCTTCATCCAGTCTTGTAATTTTCCGATTTCAATTTTACACATATCACAATACACATTATCCTTGGTTGGTCCTGACCATACTGGCCCACAAGCAGATAAGGCATTGCACTTCTTTGCGGTAGAAATATCCCGACAGGCGTTTTGAGAATCAATAGTGCAAAGTGTGTCTTCAGGAACTGATTTTGGAATTTTTTCATCAATTCTTGTCTGCAAATTAAGCAAAGAAGAAAGTATGAAATAAGTATTATCAATGTGTGAGTATAGTATAACAGCGAGCGAGAATATTACGATCGACAAATATTCACATTCGAAAAGGTCGGAAACCATGATATTTTCGTTTATTAGAAAAAAAAACATAAAAATCGCTTTTCTCCGCAACTAATGGACCAAAACTTACAAATTTGTAGTACTTGTTGAAACAAGTAACCAAGATGCTATTAATTTTATTTTCAAATTTTCTGAAAGTACTACAAAATCTTGATATTTTCCATAGGCATAACTCAAAGAAACATCGCCACATTGCATTCGGTACACCTTAATATAACATATATAATTGGATGAAATTCTTTTAGCTATAGGCTGAAATTTTGTGTTGGCTATATTGGTCATTTGACCTTCCTATACATATATCTGAGCAATGCTCTCTTGTTTAGATATGAACACCCACAACAAAAATCAATATGAAATTATATATGTATTATCTTCAATTAGACAAAATGCTAAGATTCAAGGTGTTCATCATGAAAGTTTACTATCAAATTGGTAGCAGACACTCACCAAAGATAGATCAGGTAATGCATTTCCCTCAATTTTAGATTGACAAATAAAGAGGGCACGGCAAACAGCTTTTGGATCCTGTAAAATGGAAAATAGTTGAAAATTAAATAATTTGACTTAGTAAAATGTGGATTACGTACCTTAACTGTATTCACTAAATTCAAAAGCATATTTGGAAATTTTTCAAAATGTATTTAAATTTTTAGTTCAATTAACCTAAAAATTATAGTATCACAATAACAATAACATTATCTTCAAATACCAATAGATTAAAATATATAATAAATGCATTTGAAAATTTTTATTATTCAACTTTGATTTTATGGTAATTCTAATTCAATCCATTCCGGCAAGGGATAGAGCTTTCATCTGTTTGAAAAAACTACCAACCCTTAATATCTTAATATAAACAGAATGTGGTTAACTTACCAGCATTTTAACAATGTCGTCGTAAATTTCCTCAAAGTTTTTAATAACTGTTGTTTGGCACTAAAATAGAAATGTATTGAAACTAAGAATAAATGTTAAAATGTTGCGTAAATATTAAACATATTCAGTGGCCATAAATTATATAAAATTTAACACTGAGCATACTATGAATTTTCAACAGGAAAGTAGGATGCAACGCCCCAGTTTTGGCCCAAAAATGTTGAAATCACGGGTAAGACATCTTGAACCATGGCTATCTGGTGCTCTGGTTACTTGGGCCGGAGACTCAAAACTCAATATGAAAAATTATGCACAAAAGACAGTTTATTTACAACAGCTAGTCCGATGGCTAAGCTAACGTTTATGTAATAATAAGCACGATCGGGGTCCCTATGACGTTATTTTCATCGATATTTTTTTTCAATGGGAATTTATATCTATAAAAACTATATTTGTAATTTCAGCAGACACAAGTGAGCCGGATGAAACAGTTTGATCGGCCAGATGCGGCCCGCCGGATGTAATTTTTCCACCCCTGTTCTAAAGCACTGTTGCCTCTACCATAAGAGACTGCTTGTCCAGAGCCTTTGGGAAAGAATGAAAACAAAACTATGTTTGAGATATTATAATTCCAATTTTTGCCTCTCGCAAAGAAATTGTTAATCATGTGAAAAACGTATCATATTATTTGGGAAAACAGGAAAAATCTGACACATCTTTAGTCGAAACTCAAAACAATTTTAAAATTGCATTATATAAATCATACTAGCTCAGTTATGGTATCTATTATTTAAGATCTGTTCACCTTGTAGCTGAATTGTTTCCAAGGCAACAACTTGCAAAGCGCTAACAAATCTTTCTGAACAAATTCCCGAGTAGAATTGGCATCAATAAACTTTTGTAAATTGCCAACATCTTCCAAACACATATCACAAAACTTGGTATTCTGAACTGGACGACTCCAGATCTCTGCTTTACAATAATTTGTAGCTTTGCAGCTCGCTGCTGTGGTGTAATCGAGACATGCATTGTTGCCATTCAAATTACAGGTCGCTTTTCTCATGTCCTGTGTAATAAACAGTAATAGTTAATAAGAAAAATCACAGTTCCCCAAACTGGACAAGGCAGCCATGAGCGATTCTATGGGGGTCGTGAGCAAAGGCCCTCACCAAGGTCAAGGTCAAGTTTATTTTACCAATCAGTAAAAAATATCACAAATACGAGAAAATGATAATTACACAGTTTTACTGGGGAAGGGAAGCCGCGAGGAATCAAAGCTGGTTATCGAATAGCCTAGGTTTTAAAAATCTAATTCAAAAAGTTCGGAATTCTAGGTACCAACAGGAGATACCTTTCTTAATGATAACATTAATTTTAAGTAAAATGACTGTGATTTGTTTGATTTACGGACCGTAATGGGCCATTCCAAGCAAAAGTTGAATTCCATCAATTTTTTAAAAAGTGTAGTGAAAGTAATTTTTTTTATTTCTGATATCAAAAGACATTGGAATTTTATTGGACTGCATTCATTTCATCGAACAATTTAAAATTTCACCCTGGTTTTTGATGGTTTTTGAAAAATGGCCTGAAATGTAGACATTTTGGTATAATTGACATATTTTGTGATGATTCCTGACACAAAGTGTTTGATTGTGTGGTACAGTTATTTCATATGGAATTGACGAACTGGATTTAAGTTAATAAAGTTTGAATGTTTGCAGTGCTGTAGGACATTTCTTCACCCATTTAATGATTTATTACCAGAATTTTAAGAGATGATAGAGGCCGCTATTTCGAAGTGGAAAAATGACCAGTAGTGTCACACCCTGTAGTGTCACATACAATATGCACATTATTGGCATGGATTTACAGTGTTACATTAAGTAACTTGAGCAACACATAGAGGGGTAGTTCAGCTACTGCACCAGAAAATATTATGGGCTCCTACTGTACCATCGCAAAAATTTACAGCCAACACAACGTACTGTTAGTGCATGGTGGATTTGCCATCCTGTAGTGTCACGCTATATTTTACTATATTTTTTTATCTACTAAGTAAGTCTTGGGTGTAACTTTTGTGCAATTTTTTACATATTCAATAAAGCAATTGATTGGACAATGAAACAAAACATGTAGCTGAAAATGTGAAAATATATTGCATCCAACAACTTGCAAAATTTCTGGAATTGTCCTGTAGTGTCACTTGTAATAGCCCTAATACATAATATAGCTTTATATTTGCCCCACAAGAAAGGATCACGATAAAATAAAGTACTATGAAAAAAGGGAAGGAAATCTCACATCAACATTGATAGAATTGCAGAATTTCATTCCAGTGCACAACGTCCCTGGATCCTATAATAAATAAAAAAAAATGTTAATAACAGCAAAGTAGAAAATTTTACAACTAAACGAGGCCTAGGACAAAACAAATATATAATACCAAAAAAGTACATTTAATATAATTAAATAATACTCAAGTTTCCTCAGAAAATTATAACTCAAATATCAAAAAGATTCTAATGAGAAAATACCAAAGAAAAACACTCACCAGCATGGCAATAATGTCATCATAAATCATGTCGAAACCTTCAGCAATAAGTGTATGGCACTGAAATATAATAAAAATGTTACTTAATATGTAAGATAATTCATTTTGAAATCAGGACTAGGGAATAAAAAATGAGGACACATGAGACAAACACACAGGATAGAATTTTAAGAAAGTTACTCAACTTCAAAACAGGTTAGGTTTTGGTATGCGACATAAAAGTACTACAGAGGCAATTTCACCTTGTTCTACAGTACTACCCTTAATTAACCTGACTTTTACACCAAAAAGGAGTACATAATCACTTACTTCACTGATAAAAAGCAATCTGTTTGCGCTTTCTATATTTACCATAATATTACATATCAAAATAATTATTTTGCTGGTACACATGCATAAGAAGATAACGCACTAACTTAAAAATATTAACGAAACTTAGTGTTGGGTGACACTAAAATATAAAAATATCCAACTTGGAAAAAAATTATTTTCTAACCGCTAATTTTAAAAGCTAAGCTGGGTAAATAGGCGAATGAAAACCCCAACTAAAAAGATAATTTGGGTAGCATTTATTGAAATTCGATAAAATATAATAATATAAAAATGGAAAAAAGACGTCACCTCGTCTTTGACAGCCTGGAATGGAATTTTGTCACAAAACATGAGAATATCTTTCTTAATTTCATCTTTAGTTTTTTCACTTTTCACCCAATTTTGTAGCTTTGCAATTTCCTTTTTGCATTCTTCACATATATCATCATCTTTTGTTGGGGCACTCCAAAAAGCTTTGCAATTTTCCAATACTCCAAATGCTTTTGCAGTTGTGTAATCCTTGCATTTTGTAACCAATGAAAGAAAAATGACAGGTCCAGGCATCCAAGGTGCTACTTTGGCATAATGTTCTTCTTCAAGCTTTTTCTGAAATAAGATGAACAAATGATAGTCATCATACTTCACGATATCTAGAGAATTTTACTAATGCTTTACTGATGAATGAAATCGAGTTATATTAAAATGTCGAAACTCAAAAGCGAAACTCGAGTATTATCATATAAAGATGTAATATACATAAAAATTCTAAAATTCAGTACTCCCGTAGTGGGTGTACCAGGTTAGGGTTAGGCCATAATTTTATTCTGATTTTCCTTATTTTAGTTCTATTACGAGCAGGGCTGTCCAAGTGAACCGAATATTCAAAATCGAATCGCGAATTATTCGAATCGTTTTTTTTCGGCTAATTTGGAAATCGCTAAAATGAGGTACATAAAGCGGAAAAAAGCGTCCCAAACACCTCTGCTTGTCATGGGTTTTTCAAGGGCAAGTGAAACATATTTCTCTCGCCTTCATTTTCCGATAAAAAGATGTCTCTCCTAATGTCCGGAGGCAGGTAATTATCCATTTCATGCATGGCCATAGCTGGAAGGTTATTATCGATAAGACGTTTTTGAGAGAGTACACAATGGGAAAAAGGCAATTTAGTTCCTGGAGAAAATGCTAGTTCTATAAATAGAATCGATTTGAAGCTGCTGAGTCAGTAATCATAGGAAAATGGCACAGGTAACTTGAAGCTGAAACACATTCTGGGTGAATCCTTATGATGGCAATACCTGCTTTCACTGGAATTTGTAATATCTTATGATATCAATACTTTGTTTGAATGTCTATTACTAAGAAAAATAATTGCACTCTTGCATTTTAATGGCTGTTGTACAGTAACAATACCATCATCAAATAATAATGTCATCCCTAGCTCCGAATTCGAGACCTTTTTTAAATGCAATTTAGAATTTCTTGGGCAACAGTTTTATTTATAGCCATTATTAGTGGTTGTTAATCATTTTGCTGAAAATTACACAAAAAACTTCCAAAGTTAACACTAATGATAATGGGATTAAAATAGCACCTACAGGCTTTGCATGCCTTATTAAAATTGAATTCATCAGAATTGAGTAAATAAAGTATTGAGAGTATGTGCAATTTTAAACTCTTAACTCTCGACAGTTTTTGATAACCCCAATTTTGAAGACCTCTATAAATTTTTTGACAAGTTAATGGTAGCAGTAATCTCCTTTTAAAACTATGAAAACATGATTATGCAAAATATCAGCAGTAATTTAGATGTAACTGCACATACGTTATCACAATATCGAAGAGAGAGTTTTTATTGTATAAATAGAGACAAATTTAGGATTGCGCAATAATATTCGATTATTCAGTTCGATTCGAGAAAAATATTCGATTCGAATCAAAAAAATATTCGATTTTGGACAGCCCTAATTACAAGTTCGGGGACTGTCTGTGTTAGCCAAGTGAATATTCCCACTGCCTATAGGCTTCCGTCCCTTTACACAACTTGATGTAAAGTAGACAAACAAAATTAGTTACCTCAGTATTGGTACACTCACTTCTGTAGCGCCTGAAATTCTACTGGGTGAATATTTCAAATTTTGAACATATCTCCTCAGAATAAATATTTTAAACAGAAATACTGAAGAAGAAATCATGTATGCAGATTTCACAAAAAATTGCAAATTTTGAAGTCAGAGACTCATTTTGCCTAAAAGTATTCAATTCAAATATTGAAAAACATCAAAAAATTTTTTACATGAAATACTTTGGACACCTATGTTTCCTATTAAATAAGTTCTATTTGTATAATAAAACTTGGCTCAAAAAACAGCTGAATATATATATGTCTATGTCTATGAAATTTGTCAATTTTCATACCATCAAAATATTTGCTGCCGCTACTTTAATTTCCGATGGTGTTTCTCTCATCTCCGATCCGGCAATCGTCTGCTGGCACAATCGAAGTGCCCTACAGATGGTATTTGGATCCTATAACAATAAAAAAGACTGAAATATCTCTAAAGTCGAATATTAAACAACACATTTGTATAAAAAAAATGGACTGAAATTACAGCTATCAGATATACTCGACCCAAATCGCAAATAGAATTTTATTTACAATTTTTGGAATCAATTGTACTCTTTCGGAAAATTCCAAATATGCTGTGGGACCAATGGCTTTCTTAGGTCAAAAATCCTAAACTGAGGCCATGGTTGGAATAATGCCCAACAACTACGGCAGAGTATAATGAGAATTAACAACAAATGTAGGATATGCAGAAGCACAAAAATACCAATCAATCTGGACTTAGTAATTCAACGTATATAAATTTGTGACATTATTGCATTGTTATGTGTAAACTCAAAAATTAAAAATCAAATTGTGGTTCCAATCGAACTTTTTATCGAATAACCTTGAAGAAACTGATTTATCAAATGGATCAAAATTTTCACCACATTTCACAAAATTTAAATTAAGAAAACATGCCCAGATCGACTGTTTTCATAATAACACATTAAAAAAATTCCCATGTAATGATCTACCTTAAAAATTATTTACCATAGGTTTTTCTAATGGCAAACGTCAAATAGAATCTTATTCTTACCAGTTTATCGACAATGTCTTGATAAATTTCATCAAAGTGTGACTTGATAAGACTTTTACACTGAAAAAAATAAATAAAACATATTAAGTATGAATGAAAGTATTGTTTCATGAATAAGATATACTGAAATAAATAATGATTTGAGGATACATAATGAAAATGACATTGGTTCTGTTATATCTGTATTAGTATTGTCTCATTGAGAATAATAACGACATAATAAGTAATTATTAAACTATGTGTGAGCTATGCACTAAACCCACTCTAAACAAAAACATAAAAATGGGTCCAAACCCCCATTTTTTTCGGTACTCCCATAGTATGTGTACCAGGTTAAGGTTAGGCCATAATTTTATTCTGATTTTCCGTATTTCAGTTCGATTACGAGTTCGGGGACTGTTTGTGTTAGCCAAGTGAATAAAACCCCTGTCCATAGGCTTCCGTCCCTTTGCACAACTTGATGTAAAGTAGGCGAACAAAATTAGTGACCTCCATACAGCACTGAAACTTCTATCGAAAAAGCGGCACATTTCATTTGTTACCCTGAGAGAATGTTACTACATTGCTACATAACTCTGAACTATATAATAAATTTCTGACATTGACTGATGTTGAAATCATTAATAAATACTAATTATAAAAAAGCCGCAAAAATTTTCATAAATCTGATGTAACCACCTAGTTAGCATTTGTTTATTCAAATCTTACCTCAGTCCTACCAGTTTCATACGGACATAAATCACACAAAGCATTCAGGTCGTTTCGAACAAATTCCCGAGTTGATTTTGAATCAACAAATGTTTGTATGGTTTTAATATCATTCAAACATTTTTGACATGTTTTAGATGGGTCGGTAGCTCGTCCCCATATTTCTGCTTTGCAATAGTTTGATGTTTGACATTTTGCCGCAGTAGAATAATCTCTGCATGCGTTTTCGCCATCCAGCTTACATCGATTGATGTCCAGGACAGCACCTTGTGCCGCTGGATAAAACAGAAATGTGAAATTAATAGCCGAAAACAACAAGAATTCTATGTTAAAGCTTTTCCTTAATAAATTCCTCTTAATAAAATATACTTCTGCTTAGCTCTTCCCCTAGTACAGCTCCAAATGCTGTAATGCACCAGTGGTCAGGTGGTAGTGGCACCAGTCTGCCAGTAGTCAAATTAATAAGATAGGATTTTGATATACCAAATGAGCTAATTCATACAACTCCCTAGTGAATTATAAAAGCAAATGGGAAAAACTCATATTAAATTGCCTACATTATATTTTCGAGCACAAACTTTGATGAGGATATCAAATTAATATTTTTCTTTGTTGCTCATTTCGAGAAATTAGAAATTCCAAAATACAGAAGTGTAAAGATAATATCATAAACAAGCGAAAAATGATAGTAAGGAAGTTTCTTGGGATGAAATTATATTGTCTAATTATCAGCACCTGAATCTTATTTCAGGGGTTAAAAGATTGGGTAAGATAGAAAAACATATCACAAACAACACCATAAAATACAAATAAAATAAACAGAACATATCTAACCTGCAATTAGCAGAACAACAACACAAATGACCCTCATGGCCTTTATATCAGTGAAGTAATACTTTGAAATAAGGATTTGGTATAGTTTATAATCATAAATCAAAAACGAATTAACTGAAAATGGACTGACAATTAGAATTTGAAGCGGGCTACTGAATGTCAGAATGTGGTAGTATTTTAAGATCCTACAAAGTAACCAGACTGGATTCCATGGCAGATGCACGCCCGAGGGCGCTAGCGCTCCACAAAAATGCACGCGAGCGAATTCAATTTTGCACGCCGAAAATTTGCAATTGCTCACCAATGTAAATCGGTTTAAATAGTTTTTAAATCAATAATCTAGTAATATAAAGATGCCAAAAAATTATAACTTTACAATTGTCGACTAATACTTGCTTGCAAGATTTGGCCTGATCGAAAAATGCGAAGCAAAAATCACCATATCGTGTTGAATGATAGGAATCCCGTGAGAAAAATCGCCTCCTCACCGACGCTGGCCAGTTATGGCTCTGATTCAGCGTATTTTTAATACAATAATTTTACACGGATGTACTGAACAGTACCGGTATCTAAAGTCGCACAAACACTCTCAAAATTAGTGACAAAATATAGAAATGATGTTTTGGGGGTCAAAGGTCAAACGTCCATTTTTGCTATGATCCAACTTATTTTTACGCGGATGTATTGAGAGGTATCTTAGGTCGAAATCAGTTTAGCGGGCGCAGTTGTTTTGCACGCCGTGAACTATAATTGCACGCCAGAAATTCTTATTTGCACGCGGGAATTTCTGATTGCACGCCCGATTTCTCGTTCGAAAAGGCCATGAAATCCAGACTGGCAAAGTAAGTGGTAATTTCACACTAGTGCCTGGTATATCCAGATATCAGGATATAACTGTATAAAAAGACCAGGTCAATCAGTCAATGAACTTTCACATACTGACATAGCCGCATACCGTCCATGATACAGACAGGTGTGGGCTGGCTAGTAACCCTATTCAACTAGATGGGCGGGTTGCTATTGCGCTCTGACAACTGCACTTTCGATGTTTCTATAATTTAAAACTGTACACAAAAAAGCTCTTTGAAGAGTTGGAAACGGCTATCCCAGTCCCGCATGTGAGCAGAACAAATGAACTGATCCTGACTGTTTACAAAATTGAGAACGCTCACATGACGATCACTTTTTGTTTTGCTCTTGAGCGTTTTTGTGTTTCTCGTGCGCCAACTGGGGGCTTGCTAAGTGACGGGAGTAAATCGGTAATTTGGAAAGGTTGATTTCAGTTTTCCTATTTATCTCAGAGAAGATCAATATATTTTGAAAAAGATCAGAAGTGGTGGGTGTCAAACATACTGTTTATAGCTAAACCTTGGACACATTAATCTGCAAATTGGGTAATAACTGAAACAAATAACTGGTAAACTATTCGCCTAACTGACATGAACTGACGACCGGACGACAGGCGTGGCATGGCATGTCTCTCTCTCATGTCTCTATCTCATAGCCATTCTTCTCCCCAAAGATAAATATGATAATCCTATCCCCAATCCTAATCCCAGCGTTTCTCAAACAAGGGTCCACAAAAACTGTACATTTTTGTTATTTGCAAGTTAACTTAAAAAAGACAATAGGCTACCTAGTAATGGGTACATTTTTATTATTACTGTAATAAATATAATGATTCAGGAATCATCATCGTCTTACTTTTCCAAAACTAACAAAGATACATTGTAGTTTAAAAGAAAAACGTCTATGAATCCGGTCAGACGTTAAAAAAGATGCGCCTACTTACATAAGTAGGTTAATAGACAGGAAGTATACTTTATTTGTCATCAGGAATAAGAGAATATAAATTCAATTCAATTCGTTTATTACTCCAGACCACTGCAGTTCATATAAAAACAACACAAACAAATAAACATGAGCAAAAACAAAAATAACACAATAAATAGGCTACATAAAATACCTGATACGACAATCAGATTCACAGTAGATCTCAAAAAAGAGTAATACAGTAATGGGGCCGAAAGTGAAGTATAGAATCCAAGATAGCCCGTCGCAAACAGAATCTGGGAATCAAATAATGATTGTTATAGGATGTTATTGAATTTCCTGCATCTCGTCATTAACAACCACTGATTTTTTCTATGGGGTGCTCCGAAAGAGGGAATGTTACCAGATACCATCGCCATCGCCCGATTCCCATTGCTACAACAATAGTAACATAAAAGAATGTGCTCTCATTCTAAATGTGGCTCGGCGCGCTTTGTGTCTGTCATCTAATGAATGCTCTGTTTGGATTTGTAAGAAATAAGAACGGAACACGTAGGTCAGTGATTCCCAAACTTTTTCGATAAATTCCTTTTTTTGCTGTTCTGGATCTCTTTATTCCTAACTCGCTAAACATAAGATTTTGTTCCCTTTTGTTGTTCAATCTCTAATTTTTCATTAGATACTGTTATGCACAACTCGCACTCTGGCTCTTGAACAAATTGAATAGTTTATAATTTGTAGATGAACAACTACACCAAACACAAAGTAAAATGTCTACTCTAAATCAGCCAATTCTCGCTCATGGGTGGAATTCCTTTCCGGTTGGGAAACGTCGACATAGGGCAACCAACGGCGAACCTACTACAATATTACCATCCCAATACTAAATCTGCGTTTCTAACCTTGGGGTTGGGGGTCGTCATTTGCCACGTTTTGCCGGCTTTACTTCCCCGGTATAAATATGCATATTTATCTTAAATTTTGCATTTAGTAATTTTGTTCGTGTTTTTGCTATTTTTATACTTTGCAACAAAAGATTTACATGAAAAGTTCCATAAGTTTATGGACGTTTTTTTTTGAGTCAACGAAACCACCGAATTGATTATTTATAATAACTAATATCCAAAAACTAGCTTGAAGATATCAAATAAAAGGTTATTGTTTCGGTGATAAAATGAAGGAAATTTTTCGTCTCTTTCAGTTTATAAGGGATGATGCATTTCAGCCAGAAGTCAAAATATTCGATGCAGTTTTTCACACGAGTTGGGCAACATATATATATATGGTATAGTTTTGCATTTTCCAGGTAATAAAGGCTCAAGCACTAAGTGCTCAAGTGAGTGACCTTGTCCCTATCAAACTATAATCAAAAGTTCGTTCTCTATTGTGATACGGGAACACTTTGCAAATCCCAAGAGATGCGTGATTGCTTAAGCCAGCCGTATACCACAGCTGTTTGATGACGTTGAGTACCACGTGTCAAATTTAACTTTGCTGCTAACAAACCTGAGTTAGTGATCTCCAATTCTAAAAATAAACCCAATAATAGCTGTTCATTACCTAGTAATGAGCATCGATGCATTTATTGTGCTTGTGTGTTATTAAAGAGTATGTAACAGACAACCGGAGCGCAGAAAACACGTCACATAATTACAGGGGCCAATGAATTAAAATTTGGAAAATTATCTTAGAGACGAGTTTAGAGAAGACGCTGCACTCGACTTTTCTAAAATGATTTGTTGAACCAATAAATAACACTTATTTGCTTCACAAAATATATATGCATTTGCCTCACATATAAATGTTCGATAAAATGAAACACTTGCTCGGGCGTCCGAGTGACTCGCCTAGGTGGATAAGGCGGTCACCAAGGCACCAATTTTAAAACCACCGAATGCACATTAGCCGATGTAAGTTGATGTCGAAAAAATATTATGTGCCATAAACATTTCTACCTTGCCTACATATCTATGCATATCATATAAACTCTCGTTATGAACATTTTAGGGTGCATAGACAAATTTCCGCCGAGACGGTAAACTGTGTAGCGAGCGTAGTTTCTGACAATTCTTTTGGACGCTAGTGGGACTACTTTTGCGTCATTGCAGTATAATATTAAATTATACCCCACTTTATTTCAAGATTCAGTCGCCTGTGCATAGAATATAAACTTATCGAAAGTATGATTTTTTTTTTTTGTTAAAATAAAACACAAGTACTAAATAGTCAACAATTGAAACAACATCATGAAATATAACCTCACTTCTTAACTTCTAAAATTTTTTCATATTTATGATTAAATGTGATTAATCCAACCTGTAGTGATAATGCAAATAGACAGATTTAAATATGACGACAGTGCTGGCCACGCACCTCTATTCAAAGAATAAAACCAAAAGGAGATATGATGCCATATTAATTACCATTAGTCTCAGATTAACATTTGCATCTTGAATTGTGCTGACCTAATAACGTCATGACGTAAGAACCCAATCTGGTAATACAAACCACAGATCCTTTGTGACATCGACGTTCAAATTCAAGGTGTGACGAAAATCAAATCAATGAAAATTGATCATGTAATATCCTCATGTAGATTGTAGAACTGTTAAAACTAGCAATTAAAGTACATAACATCTTAAGGTAAGCTGCATTAATTGGGCGGAATAAAAATCAAGGTATTTCGTATGTATAGACTGGAATACTGCGTCTATGTCTATACGTATATATTTTGAAATAAAATTTTTGCCATGTGGTAGTCACCGTAGTGGTTTATAGACTGGTCGTTCTCGTCCGATTCAACATTGCTGCTTATGTATATGGGGGGCCAATTCACATTAATTTGGTTGTTTTTGTCGTTTTACGCAAGATAAGATAATCATATTTGAAGATATCCAGATGTCTCTAATTACCTCAAGATAATATTCATCGTGTCTGAACAACATGCATGCGTGAAATAGTTGTAAGCGCGCACCACAGACTATTTTAGTCTGAACGTTTCGAGGCTCTCGGTGTGTAATAACTTGGGTAGGCTATACGCTAACCCAGTTTTACAAACCATGGTATCTCCTTACGTACTACTATTTGTAATTGCTTGTCTGTAACCTTGTTCAAAAAATACGAATTAGCCACAAGAAAACTTATAGGCAATAAGTTTCGTTTCAACTCGAATTTCCAGGGTTAAAGTGTCATATTAATTTATACTACTTCCCCTGAGAATAGACGTACTCGGTTACCAAACACACACTTGCGTAGCGGTTTTGCTGCATAAAATTGACAAAGACCGATACTTCAGGTTGAGGTAACGATTCAAAGAACGTTAAATCATGCATCAATGATTTTGATAGAGGAGAATGATTAATGAAGATCAGTAGTTACCAGGATGACAGGAAAGCTCGCTCGCGATATATATATATATAAAAGCGCAGAAAAGGCTATTGGAAATGTTATTATTGTCAATGTTAAATATGATGTTTCTATTATTTATCCATTATAAATAAGTCAATCAAATTTTCGGAACATGCGATAGATAGTAAGTTTGGTGTATATGAATATAAATTACGCGTAGATTATTGCGTATCCTGAGTAATGTTCTTGCTAAAAGGCAAGTAAAATTAGGGCCAGATCAACTCTATTATTATAGGGAACTATAACATACTCATCCTTGAAAATGTTTTCGAAATGGGTATATGCATACTTTGAACATAAGTTGAACAGGGAAATCCTTGAATATTATTAGTGTTTTGGAATTGATATGAAATATGTTTTGATTTGAAGGTAGTGAGGTCTTGACAGGGTAACAATATTATCATTAATACGTAATAATGGACTACTATTATGAAGACGACTCGGACGAGCGTTCGACTACATCCACACAAATCAGCCAAACTGGCGAAAACTATTCTTATGACAGCCAACGATCAGTTCCAAAGTCACCAAGGTAAGAAGATCAACTCAAAGCATCATAGCTGATATAGCCATACAAACTGTATTGTGTTATTTTTTAATATATATATATTATAGATTTCAAGCCCTTGGAAATTCAAGCAGGCGCAGTAGCGGGAATATCTCAAATTCTTATCACCCATCACCATATGGATGGCAGCCTCCGAACATGAGCAGACAACAAAGCAATACAAGCGAATTAGAATCTCTTCCCAGGTAATGAGTTCTTGTTAGTGTCATCATACCGTAACTAGAAACTACATTGTGGTATTAGAATACCCTTGTTATCAGAAATATTTGATACAAAGTTGGAAAAAAGTACCTAATGATTATAGGCGACTAAGGCTTGAAATTGCCATTATGGTTTGGGTTTGACAATTATCCCTGATTAATGTGCCACAACCATAGAGAGGTGGTGGTCTGCATGTGTGACCCCCAGAACCAGTGAATGAACCAAGATCTCTAAGCTATGATGACAAATTGTGTGGATCGACTCAATTTTAAAACTCTATCGCTGGGACATTCCAACCCACAAAAATTATTATTACAAAAAAGTAAGAAATGTAGAAAAGCATGCAATATTTATTAATTCAAATGAATCCTTTCTGTAGTCATAGTGTAGTTTAATTTCTGTGTTTTCCCCAGAACTTTCGAACTTTTGAGAATAACAGTTTGAGTATTTTGCTCGACAATAGAGATAAGTCGTGAAATTCTTATTCGATATATCATGACCCCATTACCAAATATAAAACATTATTGATAAATGAAATTCGTTGCTGTTTAGATAAGTTAGAATAGAGGTATATCGGTATTTTTTTAGAAAACAAAGGCATTATTAGGGCTTAAACTTTGTAAATTAGTTTGAAGTAGCGTATTTTGTTTTAGGTTAAAGGATTGAGAGATTTCATATTTATGCAAATTTATTCATTCGACTGTATTTAATTTTTGACCCTTTTAGAATGTAAATATATATTTGGAACCAGAAACCTGATTAAAAAATTGAACGAATATAATATTAAACTGTTTTAATTTTATTCTGGAACAAGCCTTCAAATTTTGAAAACGACTTGAATGAATAAAAGTTCAAAATGTCAAGGCTTGAGGCTCCTATAGGCTTCGGTCTACCTTGCCGAATGGTAAACCCGGGCCTAATTGCCAGTATATATATCTGTTTGCAGCGATTTCGGAACAGAATTTTCAGACGGATTCATGTATGTTGACCCAGGTGAGTGTTATGATTCAATTGTGCAATAACTGCTCTTGAAACCAAGGACCCCATAAATAAAATCTGAAATAAGTAATATTAGGAATAAATAATCGAATTGAAGATGTTTCTCCCCTTTGAGGAAGGAGTCGCACGCGTGTCATAATTTTGGTCCAAACTGCCGCTGCCATCGGATGACTTATACGTGTTGACATATTATACGAACGTTTGTATAGTTAATTGAAGTTCAATGGTAATTACGCTACACATGCAAAAGGTCTTGTCACTCCATTACTCATACACCAGAACAGAATTGGTGCTGCATTTCGCACTTTTACTGAAATTAACGTTGTTTTAATTACTTTTAACTCGATTCGTCTTTGCTGATTCAATTAAACTATTACTAGAATGAAATTGGACGGTCATCGGTAGTCATTGTCACCTTTTTGGAACATCAATGCTTCGCGTTAACTAGCCTTGGCTTTTAAATAGCCAAGATTTGTAGATCGTCTTCATTATATAGAATGGATTCATTGAAACAGTTGGAGGTATTCAGCCAGTGCTAAAGCAATATGATACATATTACATGAAGTGTTTATATTTCAGCGTATAGTATAGACTAGAAATGTGAAAAATAGTATTTACTTCACCGCATTCGTTAAACTTTATTGTAACTGCCTTTTCATAATGTGGCAACATAGAATCATATATTGGAACCGGTAACTTGAATTATCCACAGTGAATTTCATTATTGTACCTAAGCTTGTCTCGGTCGAGATTATGGTAGTATCTTTTGAGCCATATGTTCTATATTTAGATGACAGGCGCAGGCAACAGTAACCGCAGTCCAGGAGCAATCGATAATCTATCATCGCGTAATTTGGTTGTTAGTCCATGATTCATTATATTCGTAATGATTGTTGATTTGATGGTATGTGTTTTAGCGAGGCTCAAACCCTCCTTCGTGCTTGACCCATGAAAGGCAATGCTCAATTGACATACGGTAACGTAACACAAAGCGCTCAACAACAATTTCTGCTCTATCAGGACTAATAGTGAGACTGCGTAGAATCGATGTATATCATTTCTGTGAATAGCGAATTTAAATTGAATCAACACCTGTCGACATACCATTTTGATGCCAAGGCTATAAACGATTTGTGATTCAACAAACAACAAAAGTAGATGAAAACAATCCTTTGTTCCACGTTATGAATGAAATATTGGAGAAAACAACATAATTCATATGATATATTTGCAGCAAACTTTATCTCCTATTTCTATGCAAAAAAAAAACGGGGAATACCGTTGAAATTGCTGTTAAAATGAATGAATACACACAAGTTGCCATCTGACGTTGTAATATTTGATCTATAATATGATCACGCATGGGCCGTCATATACCGAAAAATAATTCGGAATATTTAGTGTTTATAGTTTAAATACTTGAAGGCAGACACAGCTGCTATAAACCCTAAGTTTTCTCTTGGGAGCAATTATTAGTGGCTTCCGAAATGACGGTGCATTGATGCTTCATTTTGTATTCCGAGTTAAAAAATGATTATTGGGAAACATAATGTAGGAAAATGAGTTATTTCTGACTTGGAAAAGGGTTTAAAGTCGGTTCTTATTAAATTCAATTAATCAGAATATTTTAGCTTTATTAGGGTCAAGGGTCAGTGTAGCATTTTTTGTAAATCTTGAGTGAGATGCATTTGGCGCTGATAGGTTATTCCTATTCCACTTTCGAGATTTCACATTGCAGCGTATATGCCGCTCATATCGCTCATATTTATCTTAGGTTATAGATACGTTGCAATTTATATATATATACTAGTTTGATATATGATGCTGAAATAGAGATTCATGAATGAAAACAAATAAACTAAATGTGAGAATGGAGCAAACTTTAACTGATAGAGATGTTTACGCCAAATGAAGCCGAAAAAGGCATTTTAAGTCATTTTATCGCCACTATAAAATTTGTGTCTCGTTGCATCACTGATCAAAATAGTATAAGTATTCCAATCTCCTTTAATTGGTTCCGAGATTGTGTTTAATTTAATATACAATCAATGCGATAAGCAGTAGAAATTTTTTTAAATTCTCATAACTGATCATATTGCATTTCAGACCTGGCCTATAGTAAAGTAGAAGAGACTGTCCCAGGAAACTTAGATAATAAAGGAGTAAAAGCAAAAGACGTTTGTCGACAAATATCCAAGTTGCTCAGAGACAAAGATTCCCCTTCAAGGGGATCTCGGATGTTCCAGAAAAGACGAAAAAGAGCGCATAAGTTCACTACTGTGGGATACGGAACACAACCGCCTGACGAAAACAAGGCACAGGTATGCAAGACTAATCTATAAATATTTAATCGCACCTGAGCAGCTCAATCCCTATATTTGACGTTACCATTTATACCTAAACAGAAAAATCACTATTTAATATAGAGGAGAAATACTTGAATATTTGGACACCAACCTCAATAAAATGGCCACCGCAGCAAAACATTAACATCAAACTCAATAAGAACAATGTAGTAAAAAAATCCACAGGATCACTTTATATTCAATAAAATGAGACACTCAACACCATTATCAATATTCAATGTAGTACAAACATTGTTATACCAATTCTTATTTTCTTAGGTAGTGTATAACGACGATACTTCATCATCTGAAGAACTATCAAGATTAGATTATACAACAGACGACGAAGAGATAGCAGCGTATGATAAACCAGGCGTGCACAACGTACTGACGTCAAGCACACACTTAAATCCTTCAGACCAGGTAAGCTGAAACCCCTTTTAAATTTTAGTTAGACCTAACAAATAGTAATTACCAATCCAAAAATTTTCCACGTCGGCGTAATTAATAGGGCAAGGGTGTATAAACTACAGGACGTAGACGCTCGCATAAGCTAACCAGTGCTCACTCCCGCTTCTGGATCCGAACTAGGCCAGTTACAATCAACCATTGGTATCTAACGATATCTAACGAAAAAGCTCTCCAGACTCACTCTGTTTTCGAAGTTATCCCAGTTATAAAAGCGCGAGATTTCATCTATCTCAGTCGGTTGCTTTGGTGGAAGAATTGATAGTAAGCCAAGCACGTCAGTGAATCGGAGACAAATATGGCAAAGTAGAGTTGAGAAAAAAGTAAGAATTTGTGTCTCCCAACAAAATACGTAAAATAGCACAGGTTAAATATTGAGTTGTGGGGGTGGGGTGGGGGGCATTCCCCCCAAACCTAATGTAGTTTCATATGATCTGCCTTCTTGCCATCTTCTATCTATTTATCTTTTATTCGACTTCAATTTTTCATACAGCTTATTCAAAAGCAATTACGAAATCTAGCTATGGACGCCAGTGGAATGCGTGGAAAGGGTGCAAAAATATTTGCTAAGCGACAACAGCGCATGGAAAATTACGTCATCACGGATGAGAATAGAAAGCAAGTTCGAAACCGAAGTGCATCAACCGATAGAGAGCTTCCGCCTAGAGCACCAAGAGATTATTCCCAGGGAAGCTACGTCAGACCAGGTTCTTCTATTGCAATTACCCCCAAACCAATGTACAATAAAGTGCCTGTCAACTTTAATCGTGGCCAATCGGGGTATTCTACAGATGTAGAAGATGATTATAGAAGTTTTTCTAAACCCCAGGTAAACTATTTTAGTGACTGCGAGGGTATAGCTCCTGAAAGACAAAGCCGGTCAAGACGCACCCGACCGATTAACCGCAGAGCATGGGAAGACGATAATCGCCAGGAGAGTGATTATTCATTGAATAATGTATACACTGCTCAATCTATGAATAACAGCATTCAAAGGCCACCAAATCCAGGCTATGTCAGCGGCGGAGAAGAATCTCAATCAAGGTCGCCATTCAGAAGAGTGCTTCCCCCTGGAAGATCCCCACTTATGTCTCCCAGTAGGGGAAGTCGAGAGTCATCTTTGACTAGAAATTGCAGCCTCTCGCCCGCAAGACCGGAGCTTTCAGTCGAAGAATCTTCTACACCAAGAAGAAATTGGTCACGTGTGACATTCAATCCAAGAAAAATTACAAGCCAGCCCGTCCCAACACCATCATCAGGTATATCGAATAGGCTGAGATTGTCTTTTATAAAATATGTGTTGCACAATAATGCGCGAATCAATGACCATTTTAATATCATTTCTATAATAAATATTGCTTCCTGTGCAAATTTTTAAAAAGTAATCTTGCCCCCTCAATGAACGTCTGGATTGTGATTTTTCTCGGAGTTCTCAAATCTACAAATTATAAGGTTATTTTATGCTGAATACTGTTTGTAATGATAAGCTAAAAAGCAGTGTATTTTATAAGTATAAATATTCTTCTCATTAGCGTTTCTGATTCTAGAGACGGCTAAATGTATTTTAATTCTTCGTATATTGTAGATTATGTCATATTAGCGTTAAATATTTTTTGACATTCAGAATTCATAATTATATTTTATATTCATTTTCAGTTGTCGACTATCCGTGTAATCGTACTCACGCTGCACAAAGTAAGCCTCTAATTGCTAAAAATCTTGTTTCGAGAGCACCGTCTAACTCTCCACAAAGGCAACATCCTACTCAGACCGCAACATATAGCAGACCACCAATGCCAAAGACTACTCCACAAGCTGCACTCCCCATACCTCAGCCTCCTAAAGTACCAATGCAACAACAACCCAGAGTAAGCCAGAAACCGTTGGCTGCAAATCCGAACAACGCAACTGCGTCTTCTAGTAAAAATAACTTGGATCTGACTGCATACAAGCCAAGTTCAGCAGTTTCGTTGCTCGAAAAACCAATGGCCCGTAAAATCAAAACAACGGCGCATTTGACGCCAAATAAATTTGCTGATGATGTGCCTCCTAGTGACAACGATTTTATAGGAAATACAGAAATAAATTTATCAGATATTGTCTCTTCGATTAAAAATGAAATGCCCGAAGCATCAGAAAATAATCCCGAAAAGGATTCATTCGAGGAACAAGACAATGCTGCGCCAACTAATGGGGTAAAAGAAGAAGATAATGTTAGAGGGAGTTCCCCCGCCAGCGTGTTGTCGTATGTGAGCTCTAACTCGAATTCATCAACGTTCACATCAATGCTTCCTTCTAGATGTTTGACGCCACCTGCTCGCCCTTTCACGCCAAATGGATCCAGATCTGTCAAAATTGTTTCAAAATACTCTACATTGGAAAAACCTGCTTCTATTGTCACTCATAACACCGTTTCTGTTGATACTGTGACAACAGAAGCGCCGATCAAGGCACCACTTGTGTCCAGCTCTTTTGCGAAACAAAAAGAGGATCAGCCACCTAAAGGGGATAAAATATCTGCCTGCATGAAGGTTCTGGATCCATCAAAAATGTTATTTAAACCAAAGCCACCCGTGCAATACCAACCCTCCCCTACATTGAATGCTATACTTCAAAGCGAAAGCGAAAAGTCGTACGGGAATATGAAAACACCTCCAATGTCATACGAGTACCCATGCAAGAAAGTGACGTAAGAATAAAATATTTTACAAGTCATCTGTTTTAAATTACATCGCTATGAAATTTTAAAGTAGTTTTGTAAACGTATAGTATCTCGATTTAAACAATATCACGTAGACATGAGCGTGAAATGTAAATATTATTTTTATTTCAGTGAAGTTGAATCGCCTCTGCCCGTTCCAAAACCAGCAACGAAACAACAGTCGGCATATTCTTACCACCCTCCCCCGTCGCCGTCAACAAAAAAACGGTATTCACCTCCTGGTCAAGAAGCTCTACCCCTTGGAATGATCGCGGAAGGTTTGTAACAGCATAATATCTTAGATATTTTGTTTCTTCTTCCCGTGTACAATCTATATATATACAAGAGGCTGATCAACTCTTTTCTACTATTAAGTTACCATATTTCGAACGGTGTGCAATTTGTTTCAGGTTTACTCGGAACAAGGTTTCATGCCCGTAGTTATAATTTCCCTTTTCAACTTACTAAACCCCTTACTCCACTTTACTTGGAAGAGTGGGCTATGATATTAGTAATGTCATTTTTTATTAATAAGGACAACATCCGTCCTTTCAGACACCGCAGTACAGTCAACTTGAACACCACGTACTGCAAAATAAAAAATAAGCCGTTAATCCTAAAGCATCTTTTTATTTAATATTGAATTTATTTAAACGGCTGATTTATGTGGCAAAAAAAACTACAGTCACTTTCACAGCTCATATAATACTCCCACTGTCTGTAACTTGGCGTAACGGTCATGCAATGAGCTGTATGTAATCTTTCTGAGCTGATACTATTTTGTTTTATGCAGGAATGAAAGGGAAGGGTGCAAAAATGTTTGAAAAGCAGTTGAAACGCATGCAACAATACACCAAAGAAACAACGCATGACGATTTTCCGGAGCTGTCAAGTCCACAGCCAAACGAATCTGCAAATTCTCCGACACCCAGTGGCCGTTTTACGTACCAACCTTTACGAATGGCGGGATTTTCACCAACAGGAAAAAAACTGGAGCCCGGAAAAGAAGTTAAAAATGGTATGAGAGATGTCATGGGTGAATTCAAAAATGGTTCAAAACCAGGCAAGGCGGTACGTATCTTTCTATCACATAACTCATCATATCAACCCAGTCAAAAGTTATCATGACTGTATTTTTTAATCATCCAGAAACGCCCAAGTGAAACAAAAAAGAAAGGAAGAGATCCGTTATATTATCAACAGCAGTTATTTTACCGACCACCATCTGCGGATGACTTTGTCGAACCACCCCCAGAAGTTATGGAGTCTCAATCTGATGCATCATCAGTTACGTCATCTAAAACAAATACCTCATCGCTATCATCGTTCAACACAGATCGGACTTCTACTGATGCGCTTCTCACGCCACAGCAGCACGACAATACCACCTTATCATCTCCAACTGCTTCTACGTCGTCATTGAGTGGTAACATACGTTCAACAAATTCCTCCTCTTCAATTTCATCACAAAAGTCAGTTGGACCAAAAACAGCGCCAAAACCTTCAAGGGCCCTTATAACACGTCAACTGTCAAAGCCTAACAGTCCTCCGCCATCCGATCTAGTAGTGTCAACTTCTCCTACGCCAGAAATACAGACGTTTATACCTACGTCACCTGCAAAAACTGATGAAGATAGTGCTTTCGTTTTCCAAGGAACTGAAGGTAACTTGATTTATTCCAAACTATCAAAATTGATTTTGGTTTTTTTTTAAACGAGTGTGCTAGGGTTAGGATTTGCACGCTGGTGAGGAAATGTTTTCGCCAATGGTTGAAGATCTCGCCTTACTATTTTCTCCCATTGGTGGTAATGGTATAGCGACACCTGGGCCCGAGTCGCGTCGACCGTTGATTGGCTCTCATAGCGACACCTAGGTCCGGGTCGCGTCGAATATTGATTGGTCGATTGATGTGTTGACGCGTTTCGATTTTGGGGGCGTTTATTAGATTGCCACTCGACCAACCAACGATCGACGCGAGCCGGACCTAGGTGTTGCTATAACGGTATAAACTTCACCAGAAACTTTTTTATGAAGTGCAGTAGATATACTGGTGGAATTTACGAGTAATAAACTGATCAATTTCAGAAAAAGACCTGAAATGCATTGAAAATCTGATTGAAAGAATGCCGGACGATCATCGATGCGACGGTAGTATCGTGGATGAAACTAGATCAAGACGACGAGTCTTGTCAATTGATCAAACAAATGGACATTCTAACGACACGGAACAATCACTTGGCTATGCCCCTGAGTTCCAGCCACCATCTTATGACGATGTAATATCATCTGCAGGGGAACCAGAAGTGAAAAGATCTGGTGGATTCGCAGTATCAAAGCCCAAATTTAACATAAAGAAAAGCGGTGTCCCGGTACAAATGTGGAAACCAGGACAATGAGACAAAAAAAGACTAACCTGTTACAATGGTTTTGCCAAAGTAAAATGTGAAGATTTGAAAACTTTGAGCAGAAATATAGCAATTACCACTTTGTATTTTACTGTGTGAATTTGCAATTCGTTGTCTTTTCACAAACTAACGGGCGAGCTTATGCATGCAAATTTCTTTACAAACTTGCTTAATATTTGCTTGAAATAGATTTCACTGCAAAAATTATTTTACTGCAACTTTTATTTTGTTCTAAGATAATCCTATTATCACTTCAAAGTGTTTTGTATTATTGCGGAAATGTAATCCTAAAATAAAAGATTGTTTTAAGTTTAAGGTTTGCGTTTGACCATAATGGGTAATGGGTAATACTGTCGAAAAGTTAAACAAATGTACTTGTATTCATGTTACACCATTTTTCTAACCTTAATTTGCTTTATCATTTTCCTTTTAAACTTATATTTCTCCCCAAGTTAAGTAACATTTTACTGGTATCAAGTGCATTATCTCTGTATTCTTTCTCTGTACGTTTTTAATACTTTTGCCTGGTAAAATTACCTTTAATTTATATAACTGTCAATAGTAATTGTTACAACAAAATTACGTTGAATCATCTCAAAAATCATTTCAAACCATGTTGCTTTTAAATTGTCAATCCATGACTTTTTGGTATAACATAGCGAGCATTTACAGCAGAAGACTGATTTTTTGTGTGATTAGGATTATTTTATAATACAAATGTCGTGAGAAGTACGGTAGCTTTTTGTACTCCTTTGTCGAACTTGGAGATATGATATTTCCATAATTTTTTGATTTTGCTACATTTATAAGCATAGTCATTTTCATAACTTTTGTAAAAAATATGAACTTGTAATTATCTATTTATTTGCATGATCAAACATGATGAAAATTTGTAACACAAGCTTTTGAAATGAGGTCAGATTGGGGATGCTGAATTAGGAATTGTAACGAATGAAGAAGCATTGATTTCTGTCTCGCACCGCGTTGCCGGAAAACCGATATCACAAACGATACGGCAAACGCATATTCAACTCATACACATCCGTATAGTAGAGCTTCATATTTCATGACATGAGAATAAGTTCATTTCGACTCCATACTCGAATAATACACGATAAAATAATTGATAAAAAAGAATAAACAAAACTGATTGCAGAATCGGGAGAGCAAACAAAACCTTTTGGTAAGGTTCAAAACGTATAGATTTTAGATTGAAGGGTGTTGTCAAAATAAGTGATACGTGTTTGCTCACCCAAAAGTATCAAAATAATTAAAATATGTAAATCCTCACACATACATACAATCGCGGAGACATAATAAATTAGAAGAGAACGAAAAAGAAACATAATATATATATATTACTCAGAAAAAATATACAAATAAATAAAAATTTTTGCCACTATTAGGATTGCCCACTCATGTGTTAGTGTAATCTCAAGAAGAAAATGAAATATCTGTTATAACGTGATAAACTTTACGCAACTGACATCAACGACAAATTATAATATTGTTTTAATATCTTAGAGCAGTGGTTCTCAAACTTTTTAAGACGCGCCATTTTTTTTAGAATATGTCAAGTCTCTCGTCCTACCTCAAAAATAACTAGCTAACAATAAGGAACAAATAACAGATAGTAAGGCAAAAGTGTGTTATATCCAAAAAACATGTTGAAAATACGTGGGTGGAACGTTAATATCTAAAATAAAGAATTGTGAATATCCGCAATAAGGCGGGCAAGATCAAATCTAACAAATATTTTTATTCTTGATTAGCTTCACGCTCCCTCAAAAAATGGTCTACGCCTCCGTTGTGGGCGCGCCCCATCGTTTGAGAACCACAGTCTTAGAAGTAAAATGATGTTGTCCTCTCAAACTTAAAGGGCGTTGACTTATTACATAAAATACTACGGGAGTCAATTGGCTAGTCCCCGAACTCGTAATAGAACTAAATGAGGAAAATTGGAATAAAATTATGGCCTAACTAACCCTAACCTGGTTAGTTAGACACCTACTACGTTCCGGTGTCCGCCATCTTGGTTCGCTTACTACAGGAGTACCTAAAAGGTAATCCATTCATTGACACAACAAATTACTGTTACCATCACATTACCATTATCACATTCATGAGTTCATTAAATTTAGGTTGAATTTATGAAATTGCCACTGTTACGTAAATTGTGTTTGTAAAGCTTAAGCTTGTTGGGTGGGATTAAGATGTAGGTGCGATCACAATCATTACACAAAACAAAATCATAGTTATGCCAAAGCATAGTTATGATATTTAGTAATCACGGAGTTTTCTAGGAGGTGCAACAGGTGAAGTTAATAAAAGCACTCTCTATTTCGTTTTTATAAAACAAAATTACTAATGTTGGAAAATCATAAGGCTTTAGTGATAATAGTAAGATTTTCCTTTTTTTTCAAATTACTAATATTAAACGAAGTCAAAGCCCCAAGCTATTTCTCAAGGACTAACCGTTTTTTTTATATAATTCATCTCATTTTTAGGACATTTTCGTGCATTGATAGTTAGTATATGAGCTATTCAATATTCACTGATTATTTATGGTATCATAAAGTATCTTATCGTATTGTGTGGTATCGTAAAGTATCGTGCAGCGATCATGTTGTACCGTGATCGTATGTTGGAAGCTGATAATAAAGACATTGTCTCGTTATGGCAGTGGTTCCAAACCACCGTGCCGCGGCACATCAGGGTGCCACGGAATGATTAATTATTGGTGTGCCGCGAAGAGATTTCATTTTTGAATTTATTTCAAGTGATTCCAATTTCCAAAAGACAGTTAAAAGTTAATATATCGACTAACAGACGTGCATTTTGATTCAAAACTTAGAAAGAACATGAGAGTAAACTCCCTACCTATGTGAGCTAGGGTTTTCTTACCTAAACAATATTAAGATAAAAATGTGAAAGATCAAAAAACACAGAAGAAGAGTTAAGAGCATGTCTCTCTCACATTCGTCCACAAATTGAAGCAGTAGTAAAGAAGCACCAGGCACAACAGTCGCACTGACATTCACCATTACTATTCTATACCTGTTACTATTAACAGGGTATGTTGTATTTACATGAATAATCCCGTATCTGATCTTCTTTGGTTTTTATTATTTTATGGCAATATGAGTAGAAAATGTTCATAATTTGTGATAGGTGTGAATGTTTAAAGAGCCCAGTGCCGCAATATAAAAAGCGAACCACTACGTTAAGTTAGGGTTTCTGAAAAAGTTTTTGGGAGATTGGTAGAAGTCTCTACCGTTGCTATTCGTCGTCGTTTAACGACAGACGATAAGCTGTCGTCTACCAGACAAGCCGACAAAAAACAGTCAATTTATATAACTTTCTTACCGCTAAAAACCCTCCACAACTCACTAAATTGTTTTGAAATTTTATATACAATTGCCCTATTTGGCGTCTTTGACTTTGGCTTCACTGCATTTCCTTTGTACAGGAAGATACAGATCGATATCGAATATACTGATGTCAACTACGAGCGGAGGAGTAGACCTACTTTGTCTTCAATATGAGAGCCCAGTGCAAAAATTGCCAAATTATGCGGACTGAGCTGTAGATTATTACCAAGTAGGCTACTATTCCAGTATGGTTAAGATTGTGTTTTCGAAATAGCAAAATGATAGTATTTCTACTACTAAGTTAATTTGGTAGATGGTTGTATTATCTGCGCTCTGTGATATAACAATTACCCACAAGCAATTCTATATATCGCCTTACCTTACTGAAGAATTGTTTTCCGTAATTAAGCTTTTTTTCCATTTTGTAGTGCTAAGTTTAAATAAAGTATCAAAGTAGGCTACATAATGTCAACCTTTACTATCGCTTTAGTTCGTCATGGAGAAAGCTCTTGGTACAAAGAATCTCGGTTTTGTGGATGGGTAGACGATCCTCTGACCGAAAATGGTAGACAGAATGCTATGGGAGCTGGGAAAGCATTGAAAAAAGCGGGCCTAACAGTTGACTTGGCGTATACTTCTGTTCTGCAACGAAGTCGTGAATCAGCTGCTTTGGCATTAGAAGTTCTAAGTCAGGGGTCAGAGGTCCCGATAAAATCATCGTGGAGACTGAATGAACGTCATTACGGAGAACTCACAGGTCAAAGTCCTAATGAGTTAGAGAAAAAACATGGCTACGACAACGTCATACTATGGAGACGAGGTTACGATGCCAAAATTCCTTTTATGGATGAAAATCATCCATTTTACGACCAAATTACGAATGATAAGAAATATGCAGATGTACCGAAGGACCAAATGCCCTTTGCGGAAAATCTGAAACAAACTTTCGAAAGAACAATTCCTTACTGGGAAGAAGAAATCGTGCCCCAAATCAAGGCCGGAAAAAAGATTCTAATATATGCGCATTGTAACAGTTTGAGATCCATTGTCCAACATATCGATAATTTGCCAGATAACGAAATTGTCAAATTAAACATACCTCCTGGAATACCATTCGTTTATGAGTTTGACGAAGCTATGAAACCGGTAGTTTCAATGAAGTTCCTAGATGACGAAGATAAAGTGAAAAATATGATGGCTTCTTTGGCCGCTAGAGGGACAAAGGGAGGACAGCTAATGCCACGATTTGGTTAGGAGACCTTGCACAAAGATTACAGAAACTTAATGTTGTTTGTAAGATGAAATTTGAAGATGCCACTATTCTATATTCAGAGTACTGTATTATTCGAGTGTTTGTGACGTTTTTTGTCCTCGTTATCTCTATCTATAACGGCTATCTTTACCTATAACAGCTATCTCATTTTGTGTTTTATTCACTCGACTCCTCGATTCACTCTTGGTGTCAAATCTTGTCAGGTATTAAATCTATATCAAATAAAGAAACTACTTTTGCTTGGTATAGTTGAGGGTGGTTAATCAGCTTTATCGAATATGGGTTTTGCTGAAGCAACAAAATTCTGCTTAATTCTGTATACCAGAGGAGGCCAACACGTCGATCGCGTCTGATGTTGAGTGTATTTAATTGAAATACCACCAAAATTTGCCTCGAGTCAGAAGAATACAGTACTACTTTACATGCGCAAAAAACAATATACACATTACACACAGTATTTGAGTCTGGGCAAGCCCGATAAAGCATATTATTACGTGACAAATGTAAGTTTTTCCGCAGTTAAAGTTTTAAAAATGAGGTGTCGAATATCGCGTGTCTACTATAGTCTAGACTGACAAACGATCCTACAATAACTTCCGCAGTATGCGAAAGTTATTGTTTCCGCAGTATGCGAAAGTTATTGTTTCACTCCAAGAGTAGTGTGATAAATTTTATTCGCAATGGTAGCAGTGGCAGCAAAATGCTCAATTTGTTCTAATTCTAAGCAAGCAAGAAAATTGTAAATTAGATAGGCTACTGAAGTTTGGGCAGTCATGTAATATTCATTCAATATTTATTTTTCGCTGTTTGGATAATACTTGGCAAGGTTGAAGAATTTTCAACGCTTACGAATTAAAATTAGGCACGCCCTTGAATTGTATGATTCAAATAAATGAATGAAACATTCACTCCGGGTACAATTAAATATTCAAACTAGATAGCGATCGACCGCCGACTTATCGATCTTGCGGTTTCGATTTCTTTGATCTGACTCAATAGCGACACCGCGTGTCCCATCACTAATTAATTAATAACTCGCTAAATACACGACATAATTCATCCAAAACCAATACGCTCCTGGTCCGAGATATGATGAATGCACAAAATTTGTAGTAGATACAACCTTGCTTTCGTGAGATATCGCGTAACATACGAAAGTGAAACAAACAAAATATCTATTAGCATACTTACCGATCGGGATCGATAAGTAACAACTTAAATGGAACACAAAAACTACAAATTTTGTGTCGATTTTGAATAATAATGTGCTCACAAAGCCTTGTTATTGGCAGCGGTGGAATTTTTTGTATGGGTGTTTGCAGTTATCTGCACATTCAGTGTCCATTCGTTTTTGTGAAAAACCTTATTACCGATCAGTCGATCGCGGTCGAAAGCAGGTTGGCCATCCCTGGTATATTTCAATATATCTATCTGTATTCGATTGTACAATATACGGACATTTTGCATTATAATACATTGTGTGCTCATTGACTTCTGAGGAGTCAGTTGGAGTTACACTCTATCAAACGTGTGTTAAATAAAACGGGAGTGCAGACACACAGTTAGGGCCAACTTTCCCCTATAGTGGTTCTGATTTTCGCGCGTATTACAAATACAATAAAAGGTGGAATTACCACGAAAATTACCACACTTTCAGGAGGTTACTTTTCACGTCATTCATGGTCTTTGAAGGATTGAACAAAATCAATTTGCATTTTTGTATAATCAATCAATCATCATTTTATCTGTCAACACGATATCATGAGTAAATATCAAAATCAATAACTGACTTAAATTGTGTGACAAGAGTCACGAAAGACTTCAAAAGGTCCTCAAGCAGCGACACCTACAGCGCTGACTAAAGTTGACGAGTATATAAAGTTAGCACATGCAGATACTTCTGAGATCTCCATAAAAAAAAAAAACTGACTCGAAGCATCTAGCGCCCATCAACAGTCCAAACCTAAAATATTGTCAAAATAATAGAAAACGAACCAACAGCCCACTTTAAAATATTTTTAAATCGAAGAACTATTTTAGAAAATAGGAAAATCACCGAATATGTAATAAAAATGTTTTACAAAAACAGAATGTCTTGGTTGTGTGTACATATATTTTCAAATGTGCGCGATAGATTACATAAGATGCAGAATAAATAGCTGTGAGTGTGTATTTAATCATACATTGTGGAATGATGCAGGTCAAAATCATCGGCCATTCATATACTTTTCTCTGTCATATTAACTTGCAAAAGATGATGTTCGGCAATATGGCTAGTACTATACTAGAACTTGAAGAGACTTAGAATGGAAAATCGGTAAATGATTATAGCTTATTTCATGAATTCGAAAAGAGTCCCATGGGAAAATGGTTAACCTACTCATACATATTAAAACTTTTGTTTAACCAGTTTGTTGTTCCCTCGACAAGCGGTAGAAATGATTGTTATCTCCTTTTAGAAATGATATGAATTCATTCTGATCACGAATCAAAACGGCGCTTCTGATCGAAACTTCAAAATAATCTTTAATTTTGACATCCGGTCCACTATGAACATTTGATTGTAACGCGAACGGCGGTGCCTTCGAATACATATTTGTTGCCTGATCTGTGTTAAACGGGTTAACCAACCAGTCGTAGGCGTCTAATTTTGGCTCCAGCTAAGAGCACCGCCAGGCCGTGGCAGCTGTTGTATAGCGGCGTCGAATACATCTCTTCTTGAGGTCTGGTGGCTAAGACGGAACGAAAATCTAATCTCTAAAATAGGGGGCGGAACACTTTTTTCGGTAGTGGAGCTTAGTCTCCATCTTGGAGAATAACGCATTTTATATTCTGTTCATTATTTAAACCTGTTAGCGTTGATGCCGGTCCCAGTATAGTTACCAAGATGAAAATTGAAACGAAACTTCAGAAACCATATAGAAGAGTTCCGAGACCAATTGAGAAGTTCACCCCGTCAAAAGTTGTTTCCAAGCCTCCTGCGCCACCAGCTGTGTCCCACAAACCAGGAAGTAAGGTGTATTTGTACGTCTATGACAGCGAGCCAGAAACTCCAGCTTCAGCACCACAGTATTACAGGTAAGATATTATGCTGTGATAAGTCATATTAAAGACGTCTGCATTTGTCATTCTTGTTTAGTATGAGAAACAAGTCCGAGATTTTGGCAGCATATATTTTAAACTATTAGTCAAGATTGCTGTGTTTGGGATGAACCTGAGACTTGGTCGTTATTAATATGAATATATAGATATAATAGTCCTGTCGTTTGCATAAGGGCTGCGAAGTCATATTCGTTGTCTAGTTCATTCCATCATGTAACTGCACTTAGCTAAAATTTTGTGAAAAGAAGTTGCGGATAATCCATTATAAAAATATATATATTAAACACGCAAACGTATAGTTGTCCAGATTTTTGTATACCTAGGAATCCACATTTCACAAGACAGACATCAGAGGGATCAGTTCAGTATCCATACGCAAACGAAAAGAAGCAAAGGCAAGAAACTGATGCACAACACCCCTCACCTCCTATTGCACAAAACCGGACAGGGAGACAAAGAGTGAGAGATCAAGGAAAAAAGAGTGACAAGGGATACAAAGTGCTAGCCGAAGTGGTAAGAAATTATTTGGAGTAAAAAAATCATAGTTATTAGATTTTATCACCAATTACATTTATTCGAATACTATTTATTTTGTATTATTTTTCATGTCCACTTTTCGCAATTCAATCTACTTAAAGTAATATGGTTTCTAATATTTAAAGCAGTTACCACAATAAAATGTATCAAAATAGTAAAATCGCAGCGATTATTCGAGCCATAGTTAAGTCATGACTTACAACCGGGTCCCGAATCCAAGACCAGCCTATTTACGTCATATCACGTATTTCTCGTATAACCATCTGTTCAAACGTAACTGCGTTGTCGTTCACCTTTCAGACGCCTCACTTGAGGTCCAGTTCACGCGGAGGACGTATGTTCGTAAAACAAAGACAGAGAATGGAGCAATATACTAAGGAGAGTCAAAATACTAGAAATGATGAAAATAATCCTTACGCAGCAGAACATAATGATTTTGTCGATCAAGGAGCTAGTGACGGGTGGGCAACGCCTTGGAATATGGCAAACAAATCACCAACAGCTGTAAAATACATCACAGCAAAAAGGTTAGCCGGACCTATGAACAAAACGTCGAGGCGCGCTCTGAGAGACCCACTGGGTTTTCTACCAAAGCCACCAGATTTTTGGCGAGCAAAGGTGGAGCAAAATTTTCCTAATGGTCCCAAAGTAGCACCACCAATTCGTCCAAGAAGTCGACAGTGGCACAATCCTGGTTATGGGGAAATGAACGGCTACTCGCTTCATCGTCCGGACTCTGCTCCTCCAGATGATTCCCCTTCCCTACACGACGATCAATACTACAATCCTAATAATATTTATGACGAATACGATAATGGATATCTCTCCGAATATGATGTGCCCAGAAGGCCCGCATCAGTATCTCTTCCGGGGGCTACAATTCATTTCAATGCTAAGCAGTATTACGCAGCCCCGCATCGTCGTCAAGGGCTAAGAAAAGGATGGAACACCTATACTACTACGCCTCATGTCGAAAGGGATTTCAATGCAAGACCTAAAGGATGGAACCGATATTACTAGAATTCACGCATTTTAAACAAACGGATACATAAAAACGATGTTTTCATTGCTTCATTGGCCTTTGGCTACATAGAACCATGATAGTCAATATAGAATCTATATTTTTACAAAAATTATAATAATCGAGAATAGGAGAATCAGTGAGTGTATGAGAACATTTATGCGACCGCATATGAATGTTTGAGATGATCAACTATGTTTTAGAATTTCAGAATTGTTTACCAAATTATATCTTTTTTGTTCTGAATTCCGTTATGTGTGTATTGTCTAAGGTGGCTTATATTTTGTAGCTATTGGGGATAAAGTCAGAAACTTTGCAATTGTGGCGAAATGGCAGCGATCGTAATGCTATTTTTATTCGTGAAAAAGTCTTGTTCGATTTCAAGTCTGACTTGGCAAAATTTTGCTGAAGCGACGAATTATAGGAAAGAATTTGGTTAACATTGAAGTAATTCGTGAGAGCATCGTTGTTGTACTCTCATGTGAGGTTATATTTTGATGGTCTTGGAATGCGTAAACACAGTTTTTAATATTGGGTCTGAGGGACATGCTGTCACTGAAGCAATAAATCAAATTTTTTTTAAGTATTTTTCAGATCACACCTTACGTTCTCATAACTGCTATTGGCGCACCAGACAAATACCTGTGTACAATAACCAAATTCCTGCGTCATATATTACAGTTAGCCTACTGATTTCTAGATCTCTGGACATTTCTGTTTGAATATATGCGCAAATCGACATGCTTGTTTTTCTTCGCAATATAAGCTAATCAACAATTAAGTGACTAAAAAAACAGAAAACCAGTCGCCAAGACACTTTTTTACTCAAACATATTTTCAGGCATGATTGCAGAACATTAATTCGGCTTCGTTGTGATGTGTCGTATATCTATGTATGAATCAAATAACTCAGTGATCATTTTGTTGCGAGGAATTCCAATTTAGTTAAGGTAACCAAAAATGACTCGGAAAAGCTGGAATAGACTGCCAATAAATCTCAAAACTCCATACGAAGTGTAAAACTTATCTAACGAAATAAGAGTAGCACACGTGTCTTCCAAATAAAACAAACAAAACCATAAATTATAATACCCGATTTGTATTAAATAAATCAACCATAATAATACTTCAAGTATATATGTTAACCTAATGACCGTAGTTAAACTATACAATAATAATCGCTGTAAATGGACTTGGATCGGTGGCTGGTCTCTCTATCTAAAGTCTTTTCTATCAAGTCGGTATATTGATTCTAAAATAGCCATAATTTCACAAATCCGAGACAACTCATCCACATTCACGAAGGTTTGAGTTGTAATGAATATAACGAATGTATATGACGCCAGTGGTTCAAAGCGCATTAAAAAGTTGCATCTCTTTACCGTGACGATATTTGTAAAATACCCGCGTATTCCACTTGTACAAATCACGGATACTTTCATACATGGAATATTGCTATCATATTTGGACTGACGCTGCAGTCAACGTACTAGACTTCATAGGCTGCATTCAAAGGAGATTTTTAAATATGATAGGCTTCCAATTATCAATATAAAAAACAATTATTGACAGGTCGCATGTTATCATTATTATCGTACGATAGTTTTCGTAATATAGCGTATAAATATAAACAGTGTTAACATATATGATCCATTCGACACAGGCAGCGTTTAATAAGATATATATGTTGAATATTTTGCCGGTGACAAGGACCTCATACATATTTATTTAAAATTTTGTTTTATTTATTCCTTCCTAACCAATCTTTTGGTGATTTTCAACCTTTTTTTGTTTTTTTGCGGAACACCAAACGAAAAATTCTGATTTTGTGTATACTATCCGAATAACTAATCATCCCGATCAGTAGCGTATGAATGAAATTACAACAATCGCTCATGACTAGAGTTGTAGAAAGACGTAAGAAAATTCAAATTCGTGACTACAGAAAACAAAAGTACGCTGAAATACCAATGAGAGTTATTTAAAACTGGTTGTTCGTAGCGTTAATTGCAATGCAATATTAATATGATATATGAGCTTGTTTAGATGAGCACCAATCCTATATTTCTGCTGGGATTTATGGAAAGCAAACACGTCGTTCATCTACAACGGTTGTCGGTTTTTATCTGCATGATATATTGTGCAGTGTGCATTATGAATAACGTTGATAAACTTACTTGAAATAGCTTACTCAAATGAGATTCTGGTATTTTAGAGGTCGCGTTTTTGATGGACGTTATTGTTTCCCCGAGCATCGATTTGTTTATACGTATTGATGACCAATCAGCAATAAGTTAAAATTGAAATTTAGGCGGTGCTTAGACTTATTGGCTCGATTTAATGTGACATTTGTCAGTTTTATTAGTGGCCCTAAAATTTAGACAAAAAATAAAATAACTCTTTCGCGCGTGAAAATTTGACACAGGTTCTCACAGGTCGAAAATCAACTGCGTATGGAAGGTGACCGTACATTTGAACCCATGTGTATATCCGAGGGTTCAATCAATATGCGGGTGCTAAAACCCATGGGTTAGGTTGGTATGGGTACAAATATCCGTTAAACCAGAAAAAATTCCTTAGGTGCAATTGTCGTGGGTTCAAATGTACGTAGGTTCAAATTTAATGAAACCCGTATGGAACCATGCCGGTAGAATACGCTAGGGCACCAGTGCTCCTCAACCGGGTATACTGTATACCCAAGTGTATAGAGGACTTGCACGGGTCACGTGACTTTGTTACTGGACGGCAATAAAACAAAAACGTTCATTTGGCTCCTGTCAGTTGCAAGTCGGATTATACGTTTCCGTTTTTTTGGCTGTTGAAAATGGTTATTTCGTACACCAGTGGTCATGCAAAAAATAACCAGAATTCAATTGAATTCGCCATCTAGAAATACGCTCGCCACCGCATCTCTGATCACCCTGGTAGTTTCACAGGTTTCAATCCCAGAGAGGATTGCAGCTCTACTCCCACTGAGTCCCACCGAGGCGATTCGTAGAGTATACGACTGATAAAAGGTATACGAAGGGTATACAACTGATAATGGGTATACGAAGGGTGTACAGCCTAAATCAGGAATTGTAGGCTCTAATATAATAAATTATAAAATATTCAATCAGAGACAACAATGCAAACGCGACGCACATGAAATATAAAATGTCATTCACGCAATGAACCGACTTGAGCACATTGTTACATCACAAATTATGTAGATAATGCAGGTCGATTGATCTGCGGAAAGACAATGAATTACACGATGTTCTATGGGAAGTCGTATATTTTGTGAATACGATTAAGAAAAGTTCAAAACAAACGAGAATTTTCTTGAAACTGTGTGAAGAAAAAGCTTTCAAAGAACTTCTTTTACATTCATAAGTACGATGGCTGTCCCGAGGAAAAGTTCTTTTCCGTGTGTTTGAACTTCGCAATTAGGGGCGTATTACACTGAAAAGGGAGACCAAAAAGCCACCAAGTTTGGTAATATATATTGGGTTGCAAAATTAGCGTACATGGCGTCGATTTTTGATCGTTTTAATCAAGTGACTGTCAGTCTTGAAGGGAAAGGAGGTGATATATTTCGATCAACTAGCGAAATCAATGCTCTGCAGATGAAAATTCAACTCTGGAAAAACAATGCCTCTTCACGAAACTTTATTCACTTTCCTTTTTTAAATCAATCATTGCAAGAGTCTGGGTGGGAGTTTGAAGACGTTTCAACGATAAATACCATGTCTACCCTAATTGTTGGTCATTTGAACGTACTGGGTGATAAATGGGCTTTGTACTTTCCCTAAGATAATAACAGACGCCTGGAAGAAAACTCGTGGATAATGCAGCCATTTACTAGTGAACCAACAGAAGACGAAGAATTGTTGGAACTCCGTGAGGATTTAAATCAAAAAATTTTATTCCGCGAAATGGATTACTTGGGAGTTTTGGGTTTCTCTTTTTAAATTTGCCGATCACAAAAATCTGGCAGAAAAGGCCGTTGCTCTTCTGGTACAGATGCCTACGACTTATTTGTGTGAAGAAGGGGTTTCCAGTCTTGTTGAAATCAAGCCGAAAAAGCGAAACTCAATACTTGATATTGATTCACTAATGCGGGGAGCAATTGAAAAGGAACTAAAACCCTGTTATGAACGAATTGCCGAAACTATAGTATACAAGAACAAAGAAGCCACTGGAACTAAATTAACATTGTCTTTACTTTTTTTACACATTTGGATGTTAAATTAATTGCATCTGTGAGTAAAAACTAAAAGAAGCATTCATAATGACTCGCCCCGCCACCTAGATTTTAGTTTTTTTCAATATGTGTCTAACATTTAATGTTCATTTTAGCTTGAAATAAACATTGGCATTTGTAAGGTATACGAAGTTCTCGAAAAACTGTAAAAGGTATACCACGGTAAAAAAGGTTGAAGAACACTGCGCTGGGCTGTGGCTTAGTAACGAGTTCGCAAAATCTTGGAGGACAGCCGTTGAGGTCACACTTAACGGGACTTTTTTTCTGACGCAGTTCTATTTGATAGGCCTATACACAGTTTAGCCTAAAACGATTGTTCGAAAGATCTTTATTCTCGAATGTTGACTAATATGGTATGGGCAAAATAGCAGTCAAATAGAAATCCGGTAAAATACAGTGCTATCTCACAGGAGGGACTAATATTAACTATATCAAACAAGGAAAACATAAACATTAGTTATAAATGCAGACCAGGCCTAAATAATGTTCTCTTCGAACCCCCCGATTGGCGAGATACAAATTTAAAACATTCTACCTCCAAGCGGCTCACGTCGAAAGAGATCGAGCCAACGCCAAAATGGTCAGGCTTCAATGCCCAAGTAACAATTGCCAGTTTGGTGACAAGCAAAATACTGAGAGCGATCACTGTCTAGAACAGTGGTTCTCAAACTTTTTAAGCCGTGCCCCCATTTTCGACTTTGTCAAGTCTCGCGCCCAACTTCGAAAATAACTAGCTAACAATAAGCAATGGTAAACATGCATGAAGTTGAACCCTCAGACATGCTAAGGTCAATCAAGGTACAAGCACAAAAGCTCTCGGCAATCTCTAACTAAACAATAAAGAAATATAAAAATATCCAAAATGAGGCGAGCAAGATCAAATCTAATAAATATTTTTATTTTTAACTAGCTTCACTCCCCTTCGAAGAATTGTCTACGCCCTCCTACTTGTGTGGCGGGCCTCGCCGTTTGAAAACCACTGGTCTAGAATCATGGTCTCTACAACATTAAAAAAATACAAAAGAAATAGCTTTATGGCGACAAATGCCATCTTTTGGGTATCGATAGGCTCACCATACGTCCCGCTTTAGGTGGGACAGTCCCGCTTTTTAGCGTCTTGTTCCGCCGTCCCGACAAGTCAGCCAAAAGTCACGCTTTGACGTTCAGCCATCCAGCATATTACACGAACATGTTCTCGTTACTGTTGTTGCTGTGTAGCGCAACGCTAGCCTACTTACTGAAGGTGAAAGAGTTATTTTGTTTGTTTCGTTGTTTCCCGCTAACATTGTTAGCGAACGTATCACATGTAAAATCAATTCTAATCGAAGACTCTCGAAGACAATATGGTCAATGAAGACAGCCAGGATGGCTTTAAATGTAGGCCTATTTAGTAAAATCGGAAACTGTAAAGTTACAAGATCACAGCTAAGGGGTCGTGTCTTTGGAGGCGTCCTGCTTTGAAGTCAAAAAAAATATGGTAACCCTACGTATCGAGACTGCAGTGATTTCCCTACACCCCCCCCCCCCCTATAGGGGGTGAACACCCCCCCTAAAATTTCAAACACCCCCCCTAATTTGAGGTGCGATTTCACACTGTATTTCCTAAATCAAGTATAATTGTATTCAAATATAACGACTATGGCATATTTATCAGTGTAGATGAGGGGTTCTAAACCGCAGTCTGCGGGCCAATTACGGCCGGCGTGACGATTTAAATGGCCCGCCGAACTTGAGTGAAATATTTTAACCCTTCATGTGGTACCTTTTGAGTTTTAGATACCGTCTATTGTTACATCATTATCACAGTTTAAGCACGTTTATTTCGTAACAATTGAATTATACCGGTATCTTATGTATACGTATGGGTATTAGGATTACACATTGCAGTATTTTAGATATCAGCCGTATATTAGGAAAGCTTAAAGATGTCACAAAACGAAACCTAGGCACTGAAAACAGACGTTTTTTATATGAATGCAGTGGCGTAGCCAGCCCAAAATTTTGGGGGGGGCCAAATTTGAAAATTTTAGAAATTATATTGGGTTTAAAACACCCGTTCTTCAAGCGCAAAACAACAACAACAAGCAAACTGATTCAATTACTCAGCTGGATTTTTGTGAATACAAAATCCATTTATAAACAATTTTTTATTTGAAACAACAAATATTAACAACGCAATTTGAATAAGTAAAATACATCGCCCCGATTAAAAGTCCATCCTTCGCTTCCCGCCAACTATGCTCGACACAACTCGATTAATTTTCTTCTCGGTGACCATTTCACGGTGACAGTGAAGCACACACAAATCAGAAAGGCGATTGGACGTCATTGATGAGCGCAGCCATGTCTTTACCCGTTTCATGCATGAGAAAGACCGCTCAGCCTCAACGGTGGTTGCTGGTAGCGTCATAACGATCTGTATTTCGGTGTACACGCTTGGATAATCTCGAGCGCTCAGAAGAAGCCCCTCCAAACATTCGTCGTTAACGTCGGAACATAAAGAAGTTCTCCACAGTCTCACTTCATTCTGGAGGTTATCCAATAAATACAGACGCTCTACCTCATTCACGTGAACTGGTTTGTTCGGTGGAAGAATTGATAGCAATGAAAAAAATGATGGGTTGTCAATGAAGCGTTCCCGAATAGAGCAGCTCAAGCCGTCGGCGTATGGGAGATATACGGAACGCTTAAAATACTGGGATGCTGAATCAGCACAGACATTGTCGCGATAAACTTGTACTTCGACTACTCTGGGTATTGTCAACTCTTTCAAGCCAGCTATTTCACATGCTTCTTTGTAAATATTCAATGCGATTTCAGGGTCATTGCGTTCTTCAGCGATAACGCTCTGGAGAGAGGATGTGAGGTTCTTTACTGACGGCACACTGACTCCGACCGCCTGAAGTGCTCGCGCTAGTGGCTCCATTAGTGCCGAATATCGACCAATCAAACATACGGCGTAGATAACCGACGACTTTTCTAGAGCAGATTTCAGAGAAAAAGCCTTCGCCCGCGTCTCACTGTTAGCATCTCTCGCCAAAGAATCAAGAGCCTCAAGTACTCGTTTGAAGTTGCATTTGAAGATTCGGATGCTCTTGTACTTCTCAGACCATCTGGTGGGGCAGAACAAAGGGATGTTAATTCCTAAACCCGCGCGCCTTTTAGGGCTCTTCCTGAAAAAACGAATAGTCTCACGAATGATATCACAGGTGCTTCTGATGATTGCAACTTTACTTTGGTCATTTATGACCAAATTCAAACAATGAGAAGCGCAGTGCACAAATATTGCGCGCGGGTATTTATCACGAATGCGTTTTTGCACACCGCTGACGTGACCTGCCATTGTCGTTGCACCATCATAGCCTTGCCCCACAAGTTTTTGCAAATCCACTCCTATACCAGAGAGGTGGGTCAAAATATTTGAGGAAATTGATTCGGCAGAAACAGAATCCATTTCCACTAATCCTGTGAAGCGCTCGCACACTTCACCACCTTTCACATACCTCAAAACGATGCTTAGTTGTTCTTTCCCAGAAATATCACATGATTCGTCGGCTATTCCGGACACGAACGATTTATTAGCCTCCATAACGATATCTTGCACTATCATGTTGCTTGCTACCTTGAGAATTTCATTTTGTATCATCGGGCTTGTATACTTAGCGTTTCCGGCCATTCGAGCGAAATGCCTTTGCAAATCTTCATCCCCTGCGTCGATACGAAATAGAAGAAGGTTCACAAAATTTCCACTATCCCCGGAATGTCCGCGCAAGGGTATGTTACCCGAAGCACAGAACATGACAGTCTTGACAATGGAAGTCATTATTCGTCTGTTTTCTTTTGTTTGCGTAGCATATTGGGCCTCCATGTTTGCACGCACATTTTGACCAGTTTCCATGCTTTTGACAAAATTTTTCGCAGCTATATTTGATTCTCGGTGGTAATTTGTGTCTCGGTGTGCTACAGCCTTTTCCATAAATTTTTTGTAGTCAATGCATGGTCTTGTAACAAAGGCAGTGTCCCTGAGAGTTCCATGCTTCAAACGTGCTTGCATGACTATACATATCTTACACAAACCACCCCCATCAGAGAGTTGGGTGTAAACTAACCAACTGCAAAATCTGTTATCGTCAAGCCATTTTTTGAGAAATTTACGACTTTGTCTAACCGTATCCAGAATCGTCACGTTTTTCGGACCATCCGAAGTTAGAAGCCTGTATCTCTCTACATCGGTAAGCTGTGTATGTTTCTTAAGAATAAATCCAAGATCGTTTGTTTTCCCTTCGTTGATTATTAGTTCATCTTCGGGAATAGAAGTGGTAGACGTAACTGACGTAACCGATGCATCCACATCCTATTGATGTATTTGAGGAAAGCGAGTCTTTATTTCGCTGAAAAAAAAACGAATTTCGCCTGTTTAAATTTAGCCATCGAAGTAATTTGGTCATCAAAATCCAAGCGTTTCGAATAAAAATCCGACGAGAACAAATCAAGACCGAGTAACTGACCGAAAGCTTGCGAAACAGTCTTTCCCATACTGCTCATAAGAGCGAACGGTCAAGTCTTTGTGACGTAACAATGACAATCAGCAAACGTGACGAGACAAGATGCCACAAAACTGGTGGATTAGGAATGGAATTCTTGAAGGGGCATGGCCCCTCTGCCCCCCCCCCCCCCCCCCCCACTGGCTACGCCTATGTTAATGAATGACAGCGTTTTTATTTCTTTATTGAAAAGAATCAAACTTCAGCGATTTGTCTTCTTACCAAAAAATATTTCAGTTCTGAAGGAATACAACATTATGATCAGTTGACGCGCGTATTTCAAAATTTAATTCATTGCCTAATTCATACAAAAGTCAAACAAACATGTTCAAAAAAAAAAGTGAAATGTGTAACAAAACAAGCCATAAGTAGCCATTCATACAATGCCAGATGAGCAAGTAACTTCATTAGTCACTATCAGTTGCAAATTACTTGTTGAAACGTAGTAGTATATATTTACGGTTGAAAGCCGTGCTTGTTTTCTATTTCCCGGTAATTCTATCAGCTAAATATTATAATTATTGATTTCATTACATAACAAACTGCGATGCTAGGTGTATCTAAAATCAAGCTTAGAGCCTATTTTGGTGCCTATTTCTCAAAATTTTCACAGGGCGCTTGAGCGCGCCCTGAACCCCAGCCGTGACGTCCAGCACTTTTCCTTGCTCTCCTTTTATGGCCCTACAATTTTATTCTGCTGTGGATTTTGGCTCGCCGTCAACCAACTTGGCGGGCCCCTCATGTACATCGTTTCTTAAATACATACCATTTTTTTAGGAATACAAATAGCCTAGTTTTATCTCTAATAGCAAATTATTCACCACCCCCTAAATTTCGAAAGCACCCCCTCTAAAAAGAAAAGCTGGGGAACATACTGATCGAGAGTCTTGAAGTCTGTACCGAATAACTTTGTTTATTTTTATTGTTGCAATGCTTGTTTTCTGGTCTATGAAAAAATAAATCTGTTCGAAATTGATCAGCCGATCAGTTACGGATGACAGAGTTTTCCCACACCAAATACGTCACCCAACGACAACGCTTTAGTAGAAGGATCCAAATGACTATTTCGTGTACAATTAGAATTTACATATTTATCCCGTGTAGAGGAAAGACGGCTTAATCTTATGGTTAACAATGGCCTCACGTCCGATTGCAGGTCCATGTCTGGTATTATATGGGATAAGTTACCAATTATACGTTTTCTGATGCATAAACTCGATGGTGTAGGAAGCAGCGAAGAGTCCAGCAATCCTCTCGCTTAGCACGACGCGCCATACTGCCGAGCCAGTTATCTTAGAGTGGAGATACTTAATAAAACTACATGTACAGATCTGACAAGGAATCAGTATGTCGAAAGAAACAAGTTTTTATCTGCCCCCTTAAGTCGGTAACAATAAGAATCACAAAATATACTTTCTAATTTTCTTATCTTCATTTGTAATCGATCAGAATGGAAACATTGCTGAGCATAATAACAATAAGTAGGATAACCATAGAAATAAGAAGAAAACAAAAAATAATAAAAAGAAAACATAAAAAACAGTAGTTTAGCAAACGCAAAATTGTCGTCAGTTTCTGTTGAGCACGAAATGTAATTAAGACGTTACAAAACGTACTTATCCACACACATTACCAACGCTCAGTCTATGATGACGTCATCACATCTCCCAGTCGAGAGTTGATAAAAAAATCTTTTCTTTTATTCAGACCGAAGAACGAGTGTAAACTACCTTACAGACTAGGCCGAATATGATCTTTCAAAAGTAAAATAAGCAGCAAAAACGTCATGGTTTTTAAAGGATATAACATACAAATTCTTTATAGTTAAATAAGTTACAAACGCTCGAACCAGCATGGCCAGGGTAGAACGGATAATATGTTATAAGTAATAAATTATATATCAAAAACTCGTCCTCTATAACTTTCAGAATGAAAAACGTCAGACTGACTCGATGCTCATTCGATCAAAATATTAGTGTGATGAAATAGAAATATTGTACTGATTAAAATAACCTCCTTTACTAATGAATTATCACTTTATTTAGTAGAAGTGAAAAATAGATTTAATTCATTAACTATAGGAGGAACAGTTTGAGAGAAACCAAGCATAATATTATTTGATGTCTATAGAATCTAGATTTCATTTTTGATTGAGTTTGTAACAAAACAAAGATATATAGTCTAATAAAATGGTAGGAAAACAATGAACACTACTTCAGGAATCGGTATATGGAAATGAAATCATTAGATAGGTATATTTTTCAGTGTTTGCAATATAATATATGGTCTATGGTGTGAAGTTAATTTAACTCCGAAATTGGCGGTTACAAATTTCTTTAACAAAGTTTTGGGCAGTAGAGAGAAAATATTTCTGATGTGATTTCATTTGAACAATTCATCTGAAATATAGAAAACAGACCAACACTCATATCATAAACAGGGCAGTCGTAAACGAAAATTGATGTAAAATTAAAAAAAAAAATTGGTAAATTCATGGAATTTCACAGCGAAGATAAAATCGATTAGAGAACGAACGAAAAAGCAAAAAATAGCAATGTAATTTTTAAGTAATAAAATTAGAACATTTTCATAGTTTTTTATATAGTAAATCATTCAACGTCCGCACAGAAAAGACTATGCTGGTGGAAAATATAATATCACACTTGTGACGTCTGCTCCTTAGTCTCTCTCATATCTGAAAAGTAAAAGAAGTTATAAATAAACAGAGCCCTAATACCCAGTAAGAGTTGGAAATTTAGTTTTTAAAGAAAGTCTGATATGAAAAGTGTTAAATTTGGAATAATCAAATCAGTTTTATACAATAATTCCTTTGAATTGGGTATTTTTCTGTAAAAGGAATTATAAAATTTTTTCACAGAATTTCAATATTAACAAAAAGTTCCGACATACAATATAATCTCTAAAATGTTCTTATTTGACAATGAACAATGGTGATTCAACCTGAACAGCTTATAAAATTTACCTTGATAGTTTTGGTAACTCGGTAAATTGGAATTAGATGGTGAAAAAGATGACTGCAGTGAAATATGATTCATAGCTTCATTATAAGATGGTAAAGTTCTTCCAGAAGTGAATGACGATTCTAAATTGATGGCAAATTGATTAAAACTGTATCAAACATGAATGAAACAAAATGTTTTGTCGTCGAGAACAGTTCAGTTTGAAAAAAAAAGCAAACGATAAGTGAAAAAAGTCAGTAATACTTCCTCGGGGTAGATATTGAAATCACATACATTAATTAGTAGTTTTGGGCTAGCAGCTCTGCAGTTTAGAATTTTTTCTTTCTATTCGAAAAACTTCATTATAAACTACCGAACCATTAAGAATTTTATTAGCTGCGAAAAGCTAATAATTTTACAAAACATATTTGAATTTGGATTTCACTTTTAGGATAGCTGTTTCAATTTCAATCAAAACACAAACTTTCTAGCGAGTTACTGGCAATATATAAAATATATAAGGATAAAAAAATCCTACCTGAATGAAAAGATGTATCTTTCCTTATCATATTACTCTGTGTCATGTTCGGAACTACGCCATTCGATTGCACAAGAGGTTTTGATCGTGTTGTTTGTGGAACATCGCTAGAATTAAGATTCGGTCCATTCACCATTGTTTTAACAACTAATTGAGGATGTGTCTCACTCAGAGATATTTTCATCATAGCCATTGGTGTTGTGGGTGAGTTTGGTGGTGATGATAATGGTGATAACGTACTGCTACTGAGACGAAGTTGTCGTGTGGCACCATAACTGAAAAGTGAAAAATATTCCAATGAATGACCTAAGCTGTAAGAAAGTAACTAAAAAGAGGAAATGGATAACTAAAAATTCCATATTTCTTTGTGCTAATTACAAGAAACATTCGGAATAGAAAGGTAAATCTAATCTCTTTAATCACACGGCATCATGGTTTGTTGGTCAACTACATTGATCATTGGTCACGACCGATTTCGTCTGATGCCCTTTTACTTCCGAAAAAATTATCGTGACAGCTTTCGTTATCAATCTTTGTCAAAAACATAGTTGAAAAATTATTGCATGCATTGAAAAATGGGTACTCCTGAAGTATGCGCACCAAGATGTCGCACAACCTGAACCCTAACCTGGTACACAACCTGAGTTAAGGTTGTGCGCCACCTAGGTGCGCATACTTCAGGAGGTCCAAAAAATGTTATGAACTGCAAGAGTTTATTTGATACTCCTATTGCCACATACCAACTGTGCTAATTTTTTTAATATCAGTGCAGCAACAGTAGTTAACATACAATGATTGGAAGTAACAGCCTGTAGTCACCAAGATATAGCACGCCAAAATTTTACAAAAATCTGGTATCCCTCCGTGCCAGAATGTTATAGCCAAAACTGTTATCCAAACCATCATGCAATGCCGACATAGTCAAGCCAAGGTTCTAACCCTGACACGGGCATACTACGGCCCGCGGGCCAAGTCCGGTCCGCTGGGTAATTCAATCTGGCCTGCCTGATACTGCCACAACCAAACTAAAACCAAATTTTGATGTTTTAGCTAAAAATAGCTCAAGGGATTTGTTGAGATTGCAATTAAATTTAGTTTCAGCACGAGGCATATTGTTTTCCACTTTTGCTTTTGTAACACTGTTAATATTATTCATGAAATGTAACTTTTTACGTCACACTCACATGACCCGCCAGTTTAGGTGGGCAAAACTTTTTGGCCCCTGAAACCTTGCCAACCCCTGTTCTAACCTCTAGGTGAGAGATCTTAAAGTAATTGACGCATTGTAAGAATATGAAAAATACCTCGAGTTTCTTTGGGGAGGAAGTGGAGGAGGCGGCTTCTTTCTTTTCTGTACAGTCTGTGTTGGGGGAGGTTGATCTTTAGATGGCGTTGATGTATTGCTTTTACCACCGATAGATGAATCGTTTGATGCATTTATAGTTGATGAAGAACTGCTTGTCCAAACTGAAATATATGGAATAGCATCATTAATATGGATTCTTATTTAAAAAAAATTTACGTATTTTATATTCATCTCTGTAACAGCACATCTTGTACAATTTCTGAATTGTACTATTAAAAATTATGTGATATAGGGTATAAGTCCTGTTGCAATCGAAATTTTGTTAGAAAGTCAGTTCTCAATATATCCTAACCAGATTAGTATTATTTTAATCAGTGTTGATTCAGGCATTACCTATCCAATTTATTATACCCCGGTGAATAAACCAAGCACTGGACCCACCCTGGGTGAATTGGTGGTCAATTGTCCTTGTTTGGAGGAATAAGGCATGGAAACCTCATATACCAACTCTTAGATAAAGACGTTACACTTGAAGAAAATTTCAGTCAAATTTGGGAAAGAATAATAACAGAACTGTTATGACGAACCTTGCATTGCTTGTTGATTATTTTCTTTGTCTAAATCAGTGACGGCCCACTCGCTTGATTTTCTGCGAACGGGTGGATTGGCAGAAGAATTATGTAATTTTGGTGTTGAGTTAATAGAAACATTGCTCAAAGAATTCCGACTTGTCTGTAATGATTGTGGTGTTTCATTAGGAGAATCTCTGTAATATCCACCTTTTAGACGAGGACTATCCACATAACTATCTATCGGGCTCGGATACATTTGACCATTATCTATACTTTTCAATGAAGTGTTTTGAGTATTCGAGTCTGCGAATTCATACCCACTCGAATGCAGACTTATATCGCTTGAACTTCGTGTGTGGGCTATTACATGCTTCTCGGAAATGTCATTCATATGATTTTGGTGTCTGTAATTATAACGTGGGTCAACCCTGTAATGCATTTCGGGTGCATCAGGTGTTCCACTCAACGGAGGCGGAAGCGGCAAGCTAGAAAATTCCGGTAGACCGTGAAATGCTTGTGGACTACTAGTTTTGTAATGAGCCCCCGCATGCTGGTTAATATAAGGACTTCCATGTTTTGGACAGTGGAACGGACCGGAAACGTTATCTTCTTCGGACATTCTGATATTGTCTCTGTTGGGATACATGCCTTGGTCGGGACGTGCTCTGACGAATGTTCTTGGATCAGGATTGCCAAAATCAGACATGTACATATTTTCACCATCTCTTCGAAACGGAACTTTGCTACGCATATCAGGTGGTAAAGCATTCTGTTTAGGTGATGAAGTTCTGCCAGGAGAAGTGAACTCGAAACCTCTTTTGATAGCGGCTGAGTTGGGTTGTTCTTGTATAGAACGAGAAGCAGGGCATTTACATCCGGGTTTCGTACATACATTTCCTGAACATGGATAATTTGAATACTCCGAAGGAAAATTTCCTTTCATTCCTGAATTTCGTATTGATGGATCCGAGCTATCCAAACTCAACTGATGCATCATGGGAAGGTTTGACGAGACTGGAGTACCTGGGGTGCTTGAACTGTCATGGTACCCAGGAGGTAGACCCCCGAATGATGCTGAATGCCTCTCGCACAGTGGGACTTGGTTGCGACCATTTCGAGACTGATAATACACAGAGCTACTAGCGCTGTCGAAACTTTTATTTAATCTCGGTTTTTGTTGTTGCAACTCGAGAAGTAATTTTTCTTCTAAAATTGCTTCGGGTGTTTTTGCATCACAACTTCGTGAAGGCCCCATACGAAAATTCAGTGTTGATGGCGGATTTGGACGCTCTTGTAGTCTCAATCGCTCATAGTATTGTTGTATTTCAGCTCCTGTTCCAGAAACAGCTCTTTTCTTCGGTGAATATTGCATTGTTCCGTCGACAGAATCCCCACCCCCACCTTTGAATTCTCTCGACAAAGGAGAGTTCGGAATTGTTTTCTGTGACTGGTTTCTTGGAAATTCGCTGCGGTTAAGACCAACAGAAGACATGTTGTCAGCAGAAGTTTGCGATGACCAGCCCAAAGGCGGCATCGCAACTCCTGGTGGCATCATGGCTTCTATCGGCCAGGGATCTTTATCTCTCATTAGCGGGGCATCCCCCCAACCCCTAGATCCAGATAAAAAAGTCTGTTTAATGTCATCTGTACCCTCGTTTTCGGTTTGTGAAGTAGTGACCCTAGGAGGGGTAGCTCCCGGTCCACCTGGAACAATTCTTTGAGTAGTAGCGCTTACACAACCGTCGGCTCCTTCCGACAATCTGCTATTCCCCTTAGATGCATCATCTTGCTTATGTTGCATGTTACGTAAATGTCGTCGCATCACTGGACTTTGACTATTACCCTCACCCTGTATATGTTGAAGTGATTGCTGACTGGCAAACCCTTCGCTGGATAAAAGACTGACTGTGCTTCGGTGCGCAGGTCTTTGAAATATTTCACCGGGGTCGGAGTTCAAAAAACGTGTAGAATCGGCAGAGAGTGACCCCATACTGACCACACCACTATCCATACTCGGAGATCTCGGTAGTTGAGGATTAAATTGATTTGGTAAAATCAAATGATGTTGGCTCGCTGCTGCTCGTACGGAGAGTGAGGGCGATGATGAAGATCCAGTCATTTTTCGTTCCGAACTACCCGGTGGAATAAGTCTTTCTGACTTCACTGTTGTAACAGAAAGAGCACCGAATGATCCACTTCGACCTTGCATGATAACTGGACGATCAGAAACCGGTCGACCTGTAAAATAAAAGTTAACTATAAAGGATATATCACAGCTTCAAATTACTGCCATTTGAAGTTCCAAAAGGCATTTTGATAATATCAATGCTACACAGTATACACGAGCAGTAATAACAAAAATTATATTCTTAGGGCAAACAAGCTATAAAATTGAATTCAAAATAACACAGTAAAATGCTGTATATAACAATTGATACTTAAGTTGATATGGTTACAAATTTTCGTAAAATTTTCATGATCAAATGAATAAAATCAAAAAAATTTTTCCCAATGATGGTTACTTATAATTAACTTAATAATCATCTTATACCAAATTAATATTTGTAAATGTGCCCATAAATGCATGTACTTTGAGAGTTCTAGATAAATTGGAACATAATATAACAAATCATATCCAACTATAACAAAACAAATTAGCCATATTTCATATTTAAAAATGGCCTTATTAGATTAAGCTGACTTGTACCATGTCAATATAAATTTGATTGAAAAGAGGTTTGGCAAAAAATAGACAGTTTTTTCTGCTGTTTATTTTTGAGTGAATTTCCTTTCGAGTACATTCTTGAGACTTTTCTCAGAGCAACTATTATTGAATGAACAGAATGAACTAAAAATCATTCTAACAATAATAAGTTATCGCTGTATACACCAATTATGATTATAAAATTATGAATGCTACATGCAAAATGAATTATTATAATGAGAAAGTACTGCACACCATGCTAAAATAACAGACTAACAGTCCTTCATCCCCAAAATTTCTCCATCAAAAAGTTCCACTCATGAAAAATCCCTTCCATAAAATATTTTAGACAATTTAGTTTGATTTTCTGTAGATTTCATACTTTTCAAAGTTGTTTTGAAATGTTCTAGAGCAGTGGTTCTCAAACGGCGAGTCGCAGACAATTTTTTTAGGGGCGCGAAGCTAATTAAAAATAAAAATATGTTAGATGTGATCTTGCTCTTTTTATTTTAGATATTTAAGTGTGGCGCGAGACTTGACAAATTCTAAAAAGGGGACGCGGCCCAAAAAGTTTGAGAACTACTGTTCTAGAGGGATTTTTCATGGGTGAAATTCTCCTTACACCAGAATAACATACCATGGCCTGTTGATTTAATTGTGTCAGCAGATGAACTTGAACTTGACCTAACTGGGCTGTTACGAAATGTCGAATGATGAGACTTTGAGTGTGTTCCTCTAGATGCCATGATGTGATTCGGTGATGAGCGAGGACTGAGTGAGTGACTCGAGGAAGATGATGAAAGACCGGGAGCATTGAGTGAAGTGGATGAAATCCCCAAGCTTGAGGAACTCGCTATACTCGATCTAGCACTCGATGAGTTTGAGTGAGAAGCGAGTGCAGGTGGGTGAGAAAGATGTTTAGATTGAATCGATGCTCGAGAGACGGAAGAAGATAAATCATGTCGTCCTGCGATTAGAAAATCAAAATTCATGATCTTTACAAAATCATGAATTTCTATAAGGAAGAGACCAAATAAAATAATGGTATCATTATTTAGTATGGAGCACCCGAAGAATAATGGAATCATGCAAAAATTAAATTATAAAAATGACATGAATTAAAAATTAAAATGAATTACTAAACTGGAAATTTGAAAAGCACCAAGCTTGATTATAATGAAATATCACCCAAATTTATGACTACTTTATTCAAAATATGGCCATAGATGAAACAGCTTAAAAGTGTGGCCTGTCCACTATTTGTGACTTGCAACCTTTATTTGATTTGAAGTAGCAATGATAAAATTGAAAATAAGAAAAGCAAATTATCAAAAAAATAATTCACCAGTTAATAATGACAAATGAATATATTATATCAAAATCTTCAATAGTAGTACCTTTATTGTTGTTTCGATTTGAATTTTCGTGAGCCACACTGTGTCCACTGTCGCTGCTGCTTATACTTCCCTGAAATGATAAAACAAACTCATTTTATTTCCACTTACAAAACTACATGATAAGAAGACATGTGCATTTCATGAGCAAATTACAACTGGTCAGTTTCTTTGGTCAGTTGGTAGGATCAATTTCGCTGGTCAGTCGGCCAGTCAATTTTGTTGGTCAGTCGAACAAAAGAACAAATTACATTTTACATATGAGATGGACCAACCCTCTTATAATATACTAGTATGTCTCTTGTCAATATAATCATTACAAAGAGCTTTTTAAGTAATAAAAAGCCAGTTTCAGGCAAAGCATACTGGTTATGATTCTAGTCGAAAAATGCAGTATGGCAACACAATGGACGTTTCCCTGACCCTTGATCCCAGAAAATTACTTCCTATACTAAATTTTTGATACTTATTTCGAGAGTGTTGGCGCTTATAAACTGGTTTACCTGTTTGAAACCATCATTTTTATTGAAACTATTCAACAACGTGCCGCTTATAGGTACACATAGCTAATTTTGGCCTAGTCTATCGCAGCATTTGCGAGACTAATTTCTGATTACCGCAACTAAACTAAAGCTCTTCGGTAGACATAATGACAATTAAGGTATTCAGTTTACAACTATTTTCAATATCTGTCTGAGCTACAGAACTGTCTGAGCGGCGGCGAAAATTGCGATTGTTACATCATCGATGAGTTATCGTTACAGAAATAAACAAGAACATTCACGGCATGCTTTACTAACCTTAGATCTTGTCACATCTCTGTCTCTTCTAGGAGACAAATACGGTGAAGTGGCAGGTGAAAGTTCACGACTGCTGGCAGAGCCGCTACGTCTTTGTTCCAGCGAGCCGCGCTTGCTACTTCCAGATGAACCACCATCCCCGCTCTCTTCGGAAAGTGCAAGTAATTTTCTGATAGCTTGAGGTGATGTTGTGCCTAACGAAATACTAACTGGTGATATTTGCCACTAATTTTTGAAGAAAGTTGTACAAGAAAGAAGAGATGTGCATAAGAGAGATCCTCTTACTAGTGTAAATAGCTTGTTGAGTATAGTTTCGAAGCTCAACAAATCCAGATTAGCTTTTATTACTAAATTTTCAAATTATTATCAAATAAATTGTCAATTAAATATAATAAAATTTTCACTACCAATTTCTCTATCAACTACCAATAATTAACCTATTTTTTAAAAACTTTTTATTCTGGGATTCTATTATCCTAATTTTGTCATAAATTCCAGCACGCTACCGACTGTATTACGGAGAGAGATATGGGCTAATATAATAGTGGAACAGTAATTTCAATGGAAATGTGTTTCATTTTGTTACAAAATTTATGATTACTTAGATCCGAGTTTTTTTTCAAATATGAAGACAAAAACTGAATTGTTAGTGAAACTTGCGTCATCTGTAGCTAAAATTTCGGTAACCTCGTAGTGTGTGTACCAGGTTAGAGTTAGGCCACAATTTTATTCAGAGTTTCCCTATTTTGGTTCAATTACGAGTTCGGGACTGTCAGTGTTAGTCATGTGAATATACCCCATGCCCATAGGTTTCACACAACTTGATATAAAGTAGGCGAACAAAATTAGTAACCTCCATATTGGTACACACACTTCTGGAGCGTCAAAATTTCTACCCACATGTAACTCTACTCGAAAAAGAGTTTGCTTTGCTTAGAGCAAACTCGCATACCAAAAGCACATAGCCATTGTGGATCAATCGAAATGCTTAAAATCATGACCATTTAAGCCAATTCTGTAAAAATGACTATTCCTATAAGAACATCCCTAAACTTAACATGAAAACTACCTAATACTAATCATTTCTATTTAATAACGAAGCAGAAAAAGATTTCAGAAAAAAAATGTATTGTGAAAAGATTTGTATACACTGTCAGGCACAGAGTAGAGAAAACGAAGCCTTCATGCAGTGGAATAAATATTCAGAACAAAAAAGATGGAAAAGAGAAAGATACTGTTATAAAAATTCAGTAAATTGTAAGATGAACTTGAGCGTCATGATAAAAGTAATGAAACAAGTATGAGCGAGAAATAGTAAAGATAAATATTATATAAGAAAATGGTAATATAACGAAACACAGTTTATAAAACAAGATTGTGAAATAGCATGAAGTGAAGTAAGAAGACAAACAAAAAGTTGAATGATATTCCTGTAGTATGTGTACCAGGTTAGGGTTAGGCCATGATTTTATTCCAATTTTCCTTATTTTAGTTCTATTACGAGTTCGAAGACTGTCTGTGTTAGCCAAGTGAATAGGTTTCAGTCCCTTTACACATCTTGATGTAAAATAGGCGAACCAAATTAGTTAACTCCATATTGGCACACATACATCTGGAGCGCTGATTGAAGATAGGTAATAAAAAGGATCAAACAGTTGATATGTCTTTTCATTCCAAAAAGCAGGTCATTGTCATCAACTTCTATTACCAATTTGTGATTCAATGCAAAAATCTTCGTTCAGTAGCTGGGGATGCTAAAACCTTCTTCGGAATCAAGGATCCACTTTTGACCACAGAATTTGACTTTATTTTTGCGGAATTACGAGGAATCGTGTTTGTGCTATACTCTGATTTTCTTTGTACAGCGAGGATTAATTCAAAGTGTTTCTTATGTCGCGTCGAAGCAACTCCATCTTTGACATTTTCGACAATATTTATTTCTGGTGATAGATGATTACCATTAGCAATACAATCATTTCTAGTGGTGCCATCAGGCATTCTAAATGTCTTTTGTAATTTAATTTTCAATTCCTGTGGGTCAAGATGGGACTGCTGTGAAGGGCGGAATAAAGTTTGAGGGCGATGAGCAAATACATAATTATTATTACACTCATCATTGTCCTTAGTTTTATACGAGAGCAGCGTAGGTGCAGAATTGACTTTCTCTTGTAAAGATGTTGAACGTCTGATTGCCAATTTCGCGGAGGTTTTGATTTGTAATCCAGAATATGTTGTCAATTCTTTAGACTTTGGAATTTTGGGGCGTACCCTTGGCGATGGGGTCGGGATGGTAGATAATTGCCTTGATGACGTTGACTTTGTGCTTGTGATGCTATCCGATCTCGATAAACTTCTAACTGGCGTTTGTGGCGGTGACCTAATTTCTGGGCATGGGACTGGGATAAGTCTAGATTTTCTGGTCAATGTACCATTAGGTGTATCAGGCGAGGGTATTCCAGTTTTCAATTTCCGATTTAAAGTACTTTTGTATGGACGTGACAAGATATTTTTATGCGATGTATCACATGATTTTTGTTCAACGGAAGCTGTATTTTGTGGACTTTCAGGTTGCAGGACGTTTTCATTCCGAAGACATTTCTTGCAAACACCCTTTGACAAACGTGCTTTGGTCGGAGTTCGCAGTGATTTAACATCACTGGGTTTTATATTAGCAACTTTATCGCCGTTGTCGACTGTGCAGCCATATGGTAAAGGTGGTAACTTGGTTCTATTGTTAGCGTTTCCAACAGCAGTTTTCGTTTTCACATGGTTTGGCGATAGACTTTCTTTGTCTGTTTTAACATTTTTAGCTTCATGTTTCTTACGTTTTTCAACTGCTTTGTTCGTTTCTATCTTAATGATTTCTGAATTTGGTCGATTTTGAGAATTTTTCTTGTCTATTTTTACTTCAGTTAGGCTTCTTGATTTCTTCAGCTGGTTTTCTTCAAGTAAAGAGGGTTTAGATTTTGAACGAGGTAATAGTAGCCTGGATAACGATCTAGACTTTTCCTTTGTTTTGTTTGATTTGTCTCTGCCAACTTTAGGTGACTTTGGAATAGCACTCTTCTTTTCATTCTTTGCGACAGAATTACCATTGCAATTTTTATCCACCAAAGTATCCATTTTTTGTGTCTTTTTCAACTTTTGATTCTTTGGCTCTTTGGTAGGTTTCGTGGTAATGGTCTCTGGAGTTTTAAGCTGCCTTTTTGGAGAAGATATCTTAGATTCACAATTTGTTTTTGAAATAGAATCAGAAACTATTTTTGGTGGATGATCCACTTCAATTTCTGGATGCGGGGCAAGCGACAAATGATTTATATTCGGCATAAAGGAGAGAGACTTTCTTTTTATTCTTGATAAATGCCTGCTGCGTTTCGCACGTCCGAGCTGTCGTATTTGTGACAAATCTTGTATCGACAATTGCATTTCACCATCGAGTGATCTAGTTTCATGTTCAAGAATGGGTATGTCCGAAAAGATGGGGAAGCAGTCATCATTAGCGAGTTTCCCTAAATCACAAGTCGACGCAGATCTTGATTCTGTGTTTAATTGCAGAGGAGTAATACGTTTGTTATTGCCGACTGTTGCCAGAAGCGACCAGTTTGAACCGGATAAAGTTTGCAAAGATTGATAACTGTTAGTAAGAAGGAGTGAAGATTCTGAAGTATTATCAGTTGATTTAGTTGTATCATCTGAAGTTGGAGATGGTTGTGAAGATTTCTTCGTTTTAGAAGGAGAATAATAGGTATTGAGAAGAGAAGAGAAAGACTTAGATCGACTTCGAATACCTTAGAAAAAAGGCAAGAAAGAAAGAATCAAAAAGTAGAAAGACAAAGCAAACAATTGAAAAAACAGATAGGAAAGGGAACGTGGAATAAGTAGATGAATAAAAGAACGGTGAAGAAAGTATAGTGGAAAATCCAAAATTAAATCGCACATCACAAAAAAAGGCTGAAAACTATCCTACAGGTTGTAAGTCTTCAATGAAAATTATGGGAGAAAAGCAGGGCAGTCCTACAGTTAGTTCTTTGTGCAAGAGATCTGCTAATTCACAATCGTCTCTAAAACCATAACATTTTTGATAGCAGAAACCAACTTACCAAATTTTGGAAAAGACGAGACTGGATTCTTCTTGCGAGCATTCTGTTGTGTAATCATTCCAGGAACAACTGGAATCTGTGGTTCTGAATTGTTGCGACCTTGCGAACGTTTTGCTGCATTTGCCGACAATCCTTGTCCGCCAGGTAATGTCTTTGATGACCTTGAAGGGGAATCTGCTGATCCAGCATTTCGTCTCTTTGTTTGAGCAGATGACACTGAAATTTAAAAGTAGATTTAAAATAATATATAAAAAATTGCGGTTTTTAAATTGGAGAAAGATGAATTATTTTAACAAATAACCAAGAAAATATTGATCAATTATGAAGTAGAACAATATGTGTTCTTAATCGGCATTTGAATGGCATTCTCCTTATTGGGTTGTCAAATATACAGACTGTTCGATTTTGCATTGCTACACAAGAGGGCCAACCAAGACGGTTTTCAATAAAATGTGTCACTGGTATAAGTTTGCAAATAAGTCGCAATTTGGCGCAAAGCAACCTTCTCGTTACTATCAGCTTTGAAAATTCATACAAAATTTGTTACTCCATTTGTTTTTTTCTTACCAGAAGATGGTTCGACTTGTTTTGACATCTCCATCAATTTGTCTTCATCTTTTTCTATGTCGAGTTGTTGCATGTATTGTTTCACTCTCCTTGCATTGACGGCATCTTCATACATCCTGTGAAGGAAACATTTTGAATTTAAAAAAAAAATAAAATACAATATTTTGTTCAAGAAAGATATGTATCAACAAGTTTAAAAATGAATGATGAAAACAGATAGATGTTTACTAAAAAGAATCAAAAAATTCACTCACTTTCTCGCATTATTGAATGATGACCTACGACCTTTTCTCGTTAATGTGTGATAAATATTTGATGACGGTCTATCTGCTTCATGATTGTGTGCACTGTCATAAAAAACAAAGATTTAGATATCGCTAATGCAAGCATTGATTCTAATAAATAGTTGTCTTCAAAACTTACATTGCACTGGAAATAATCTGAGACGAATCAGCGGAACAAAGTCGACATACGTTCCGTACTTCACGTCCTATCATTCTCATTTTTTCAAAATTGACCAGATCATCAACTTTTGTATCATTTCCTAAAAAAAACAACAGAAAATAGTTTATTAAATTGAATATAGTAACCCATAAAAGCACTATAAATCCGAAACAAAATGCTTAAGCGCACGGTGGCACAGTTGTCTGAAACTTGAGATGTGCAAAAGGCGCTCAAACATGGATATTATACAATAACAGATTATGTTGATAAATTTCTTTGTTGAACATAACACAATATAGAATATATTCATTATTTCATATTCCAAATAAATATTTTAGAAGAAAAATAAATATTTCCGATTCATAAAATCTTTTTTAATGGAAAAATAATGTTACTTTTTTACTTCTGTTTTTTTTTTTTCAAATTGAAAATAAATACTTTTAGCCAAAAATTTTTAACCATAATCTACTAACAACTTTGTTTCAACATTGAAAAGCTTAATAAAAAAAATAAGAGTTGATAACTCACCCAAATGCAAGAACGTTAAATCTTTCTTAACGACAGGGATATATGGTAATGCAGGTGGTTGTGCTGCTAGTTCATTCAATAATGTTCGATATTTTGACATATTTCGTGACGGATCCATAAGAGATTGTAAATCATCAAATGTTCTTTGTACTTTAGCTGGAACTTTTTCCCACGAAGCTTTCATACGTGATACAGCTCTATATCCGAGCCCACTGAATGGAAAACATATGATAGTAAATAAGTTTTGTTAATGTAAGCTGATATAGTGAAGTTTATCAAGTTTCTAAAGAAATTTCAAATGGTTCAAGTGAATCAAATTTGAAAAAATGCAATAGTAAGAGATTTGATATTCACATGGGAAAAGAAATAATCTGTTAAGCTGACATAGTGATATGGCCAGCTGTAGCCTGTAAGCCAAAGGAACATTCCCATTGAATGGTCATGGCGGAAGTAATTTATGAACCAAGTTTTTAGGGAAATACCACAATAACAACAATCCCCTCAATGTGCCAACGTCTGGCAATACTAAAGCATTTGATGGGAAAAGTTATATTGCAGCGTTCCCAGCCCTGGAGAAATCTTGTAGTTTTTGGGAGGCAAATAATAAAATACGCAAATTGCGCAAGAGCCAGATTGCGACATGCTTGTAGTCGTAACTCATAACAATTGCTAATGATCCATTAAAGATTCAACAACAAACAGAGTTGATATACATAATAACTAATAAGTGAAGGTGGAATAAAGAGGTCTGAGCAAAAAATGAGCAAAGAGAGGAATTTAGCGTGAAAATGTTGAGAACCACTGTTCTATTGCCAAATCCTAGATACATTCTGAAATTTCAGAACTGCATAATTATATATTTCTATACACCGACTATGACTCTGTGATAGAACATGATGAGATACCTTATGATTGCAAAAGTTGAGTTGAGATTTTTCAACGCTTTACAATGATGAGCAATCTTTGTAAAATGTTTTAACATTTTTGATCTTCTTAATAAATTTGGTTCCAAACAAAGAGTTGATACGACCCAGAACAATTCCCGATTCACAAGATCTAAATAAACATTGACGTTATGTTCATATAATGGATCAAAAAATATATATCGGTACTAAGCACCAATGAAAGCAATACTAGCAAAAAAGGGTGCTCCAGAAGTATGTGTACCAATATGGAGGTAACTAATTTTGTTCGCCTACTTTACATTAAGTTCTGTAAAGGGACTGAAACCTATGAGCAGGGGTTATATCAACTTGGCTAACACAGACAGTCCCCGAACTCGTAATAGAACTAAAATAGGGAAAATTGGAATACCTAACCCTAACCTGGTACACATACTGGAGTGCTGGGTCTTGTAGAAAGCCAAATACAATCAATATAGAAAATCCATTTAAAAATTTTGTGATAATAAGTGGAATTTTATAGCAAATCACATCTATTCTCTTTTATAGAAATGGGTATAAATAACTCAAATTGTAACAAACTAAAAGTGGACAAAAGACATTACCTTCAAAAGACTTGAAGTTTGTCAAACTTTCCTCATTCAAATGAAACAAATCATCAATGAAATCGGTTTGTTCCACAGTCTTGAAACGTTCATAATCTTGAAGTGTTAAATGAAGAGCAACCTGGCGTGAAAAGGTCATAGGTCAAAAACAAGGAAAACAGAAAGAAATGAGAAAATTAGATCATTAACAGTAATAAAAATATGACAGAAATGCGTGAAAAATGTTACAATTGAACAGAAGTAAAATTTTTGGCGCTTCCGAAGTATGTGCACCAAGATGGCGCACAACCTGAACCCTAACCTGTTACACATATTATGTTCAGGTTGTGCGTCATCTTGATGCACATACTTCTGGAGGTCCAAATTTTTTGCTAATTTTTCAATTTATAATAAATATGCAAATAAGGTTACCTCAAAGCAATTCAAATCGAGGAAAGTATAATTTGCTTCTTTCAAAAGTTCAGGAATGTTTTCATCTGGAAGTAACTGTTCACTTTCCATGTTATTTTTCAAATAGTATCTGAATCAAGAAAAGAGATTTTAAGTAATATTGAATGGTCGAGTAATACATTATGATTGACAATAACTAAACATAAATTCAAAAACTAACAAAACAATATAAATGTCTCTTTGAAAGTTATATTCTTTTTGCCACATACTGGACCACAATAAAAACAAATGCAATATCGAAACAGACAAGGCTCAATAATTTATATGCCCATGCGATGATTAATATGCACTTTTGTATTAGATTCCATAAAATTTGTAATAAATCATCACGCTATTTACAAATTTAACAAAATTCCACCCCAAAAATTATTATTATAATAAAATGTGTGGATATTCAAACCAGAACACTCAAAAATTTTTTTTTTCAAAAACAGATCTTTCCTTAAAACTATACCCAATAAGAAATTATTGTTGAAGAATCTACAAAGCATAACATACCTTGCACTTAATGGTATTTCTGATAATTTCGACCAAGTATCTGGTAGTTTTGATTGTTTAACGAATGTTTCATTTTGAACTGTTACCTGTAAAGAAAAGTGGAATAATTATTTGCGTCTGTCATTTTTATATTCAAATAAAGACTACTTTAAGATGTTTAGAAAAGAACAGCAGATGTTCTTCTCTATTCATATCATTCATTCAAAAGTGCGTGTATTTAAGAAAATAAATTAAATATAAATCATTCATAAAAAATAATGAATCAGTAAATGAGTAATACGTAAAAAATAATCTTTCCACAATAAAATAGTATAAAATACCAAATAATTAATTATTAAACCAGACAATCAACCAGTAGGAAGAATCTTATTAGTGCACATTGGATGAATAAAATATCAACCGCTTACATAATGAGACAATTTGCTACGAAAAGTCACAATGCCATTGTTTTGATAACATCGGGTAACCATATGCAAGACCTTAAACGCATTTCAGTTTTTTATTTCGTTAATATTTGTTTAACTATTTTCAAACCTAGCTATATTATGATCATTTTTCTTAGTGGAGTAACTTATTAATCGAAAGTAAGTTATTGGATAAAAGCATTGGTGCTGGTAATTGGATTAAACCTGTATACTTACTCGACAGAGTGAATAATTTTTTGAACTATCGGCTGCAATTCCAAATTCTTTACAAGCCGCTCTCACAGCTTCTTCTGCTGTTGTATCTTGATTTACAAAAACAAATCTGTACGTCTGATCAGCTCTGAATACTTTGATGACATCTTCAGGAACTTCTGTAATTTTGGGAAAATAATGATTAACAAATTAAATATAGAAATAGACAATTTTTTTCATGTCCAACTATTCGAGAATAAGTGGGAAATATTCAAATGTGTCCATGAAACATGAATATTTTTTGAATTAGCATTGTCATCTTTGTACAAGAAAAAAATCACCTTCAATCATCTACGACCTTTAGGAATATTCTATTGAAGTTTCATTTATATTATTATCATGAATATTATCTTATTCATCTGGGGGGAAACAAATCTGATAAGACGATATACAGTGGACCATAAACATATAAATCTGATAAACATATAAAATCTCTCCTGGAGCATCGTCTTGGATTAGATAAAGGCCCTGAACAACTAGTGAACTAGTGAACTAGTGAATAGGTAATCTGCGTAATGATCACCTCGCACATAATCATCCTGATATTCATACAAACATGGGTACGGCAATAGGTGCACAAATCAAAAAGATAATCTTGCTCCTGACAAAATTCTTGGAAATTTTCAAACTCTATAATTCTATAATAATCTATCATCGAAACCAACACTTATTCTGTAGACAAACTCTTCTCATTTATTAAAAAATCAATATACCTGTACAATAATCAATGAAAAAAAAGTAAAAATAAAAACATCCTGTTTTGTCACCTGCCAGTGACGGATTCTCCGCTCCAACATAACACCCAGGATCAAGTAAATCTGGATTGCTTGAACTGTGTGCAGCAGCCTGCCTAAATGACCGTGGTCCATCTACAGTGGCGGCAGAACCAGGCTGATATTTTGTGTTTTTCAATGCCGACAAAAATGAATCATCCTTGGCGACAGCATCCGTTTCGCTACTGTATTTTGGAAGTAATGTGAAGATGTAGGTTTGTTTTACAATGTGTTTTTGTTATATTAAATCAATGTAATAATGTATTGTTGGTATGTATTTGAATGTTAATAACAGATTTGAGTTTTTTTTTAAATTTTATCAAAGTATTGATGAACGGGTATGATAATGAAGAATTCAAGATGAAGAGGGATGAAATGGGAGAAAATAGGAAATATAATACAAAGATAAGATGTCGTGAAATGATAGAGGAACAGCGTTCATGTAATTTCAGTAGTAGATTGAAAATGATATTTTAGAAAAGACGGAGATTTGAGAATTGTTGAAGATGCATGAAAAAGTCATGCCATTGCATTAATGGATTTTAATATGAACATATGCATGTGTGTTAATAATTTTATAAATGTTGTGATGAGAAGCATTCAATAATATTGTGAAATGTGGGATAGAATAGAAAGGATGTGTGAAAAAAGATTAGAAAAATTTATTAGTTAAAATTCCGATTATAATAAATACAATTTCAAAATATTAATTATTATATTTATATAGACCAAAATTATCACCAAATAGAAATTTCTTTACAAATACATTGTGATATCATAAATGAAACTGACTGCTTAGGATTTTTTTCTTCTTTTCTAATCAATGAAGGTATATCAATATTAGTAATTTACAAAATTTAGGGACAAATTGTAATAAATATATAACATTTCAATGAATTTTTTTTCCAATTTACAATATAAATCAATCAACTATTTTTAGGAAAAAATCCAATTTCTACCACTATGACAGTACTAAACTAACATGAATGGTAGAACCTGGTATGATACTACAATTTTGCATTTTGAAATTTTCGACATTCATGTTAGTTGTATACTTTTATCTACAAATTAAATAATATTAAATATAGCTAGTGCAGTGAGCCACCCATGCAAATCAAAATGAGGCATAAGTGAAATAAAAATGATAATTTGAATTTAGACGGTAATGAAATCATATATATAAATGTGATAGTGATTTTCATGCATTTGAATAAAAACAGAAGTGCAATTACATATGATTGTGAAATGAATGTATATTTTTTACAAATAAAATGAAAATAAGAGACATGCATTTGGGTTTAGGTTAATACTAAAATATGTCATGAATCTCCGAGACATTACCGTTGATTGAGTTAGCTATTTTGCGATAAAGTTAGTGCTCGCAAGCTACTGTGATTAGTATATGCTGTGAGAAAATGATGGTTACCCAATTAAACAAAGATACAAAAGAGTTTCTATGAATTATGTGTCTAACATTCATTTATTTTTGAGAAAAAAGGGGTAATATATTTATATACTTTAACAAATGTGTATATTTTGTAATCTATTTTTTGTAAAGATTTGTAAATTTATATTTTGAATTACTGAAACACCAAATGGTTAATAGATTTCAATGTTTATTTCTACCTGTGAGGTTATATATTTATCAAAAACCATAGTTAACTAAGACGGATATTTTGAATTACTGAAACACCAAATGGATAATAGATTTCAGTGTTTATTTCTACCTGTGAGGTTATATATTTACCAAAAACCATAGTTAACTAAGACAGATATTTTGAATTACTGAAACACCAAATGGATAATAGATTTCAATGTTCATTTCTACCTGTGAGGTTATATATTTATCAAAAACCATAGTTAACTAAGACGGTTAGATCTTTCAAAATAGGGATTTGATTTAATTTTGATACTTCGATATTGTGCTTTGTTACATATACCAGATTGACCCTGACTGCAAATTAACAAATTCGGAACAAATGTGAATGTTTTAGGAATGACGTACATCATTATGAAACAATGGACAACGTAAATGAACGAAACTGATCAGAACGGAAATGCAAATTTTAATAACGGAAACAAAATAAACTGATTTTTTTGAATGCCACAATTCACAACGTTTAACCATTCTTATCTTACATCATTCCACCGTGCTGATCGAGATATTCTCGAAACGATGGATCTCTTTTTGTTTGAAACATCTTACTTCGTACTCTATTCACTTTATTCAAGGCTCGCCTGCCAAGCGTGCCAGCTCCTGAATTGTTTTATATGGTTATGGTGAGTTAATAATACATTTGACTAAGCAATAACAAAAACTGGCGTTTTGTGAAAATAATGGTGAATAAGATTCAATAACAAAAAATACATCTTGCTAAGTTGGCTTGAATGAATATCTAAATTATTTTGATTTGGAAATTTCAGTTGAAAAATGAAATAGAGTTTTCTGTGAAATTTCTCTTTTTTAGGTTTGAATTTGAATATAGACACTACAAAACTCTGTGGATTATAAACAAATTCTTAAGGCAAAAAACATGACTCAAATATCAACTCAAAAAAATGGCAAAACCCTTGAAAAAAGTGTTGTGTGTATTTAAGTATAATGCATATATATATATAGAACTCAAGCGTATCAAATGATGATACATCTTGTAATTTGTTACAAGCCGTGCCATAGTAGTGTATGTTAAAAGCAAGAGCAATTACTAAAACTGTTTTTGTGCCAAGCGACTCACTCTATGTAAAGTTTGGGTAAGACAGAAAACTTTTGCATCAGTCTTTTCTTTTTATCAGAAAAACTTCCATATCCTAGATAGAAGTTTTTTTTATCAGATTAATGTAACTAAATTGTCAAAAAAATGGAATTTCAAATTCGAAAACAACTAACACTTTGAAGACATCGTCCTGACAAACATGTTTGTTCGGAGCGAAAAACATGAATGAGCGCCGGATAAAAAATATAAACCAGGTCAGATATAGTCATCATATTTTCCTATGATATGTTGGAACATTTTTCTATCTTAGTGGGCATCGTTATCATAATGTAATTTGGGTACAAAATGGGTTACTTCAAGCAAAAAAAAATTTAACAATAAAATAGCAGGTATCAAATCTTTTAATTTTGAAAGCATAATCATATTCTAAACCTTTCTACTAGCAGGAGATCGACAATATTAAATAAATACACTACCCTGATATTTTCTATCTACACCAACTAATACCACTATGATTTGCAATTTATTTGGTTTCCGATTTTGTTTTCTACGGACTTACAACTTCCGATAATTTACGAGAGGTAAAACAGGCATCCTGGTTATAGCAAGGCTCAATTTTCGCATTCTTGTGACTGCGACCGTTCCAATATTTCCTATCGATGCTATATTCAAATAGAAATCGATTTATTTAATCATTATCAAATGACTGTAACTGCAATAAAAAATGTTTTAGGTTTATGTAGTCGAAAAAACAATAACTTCAACAAACCTTTCTTAGTTTTTCCATCGAATGCTTCGGCTTCAGATGTTATAGATGGCATTCGAGATGCTTTCGTAGGTTGCATTGTTGAAATCTGTGCAATCACCGGTGTGTTTTCATGTTTCCCTTTTTTCGCTTTTTCTCTCTTCTTTTGGGGATTTTTAATGTCTGCCATCATTTCTTTGAAGGCTAATAGAAAAATATGTTGATTAGTACAGAACCTCGTTCGTAGTGAAAGGTGGATAAAATGATGTATAAATATATTTTATTAAATAAATTTGATTCCATTATTAAATATTTATATCTTTAATTCTTGCATTGTGTTAATATCTTTTCATACATCGGACATAGACACTTTAATGGGAGGAAATAAGAAAAGATGCTGTTTCCAAATTACTATCTCACTGCAACATCACATAGTTTTTTGCTTGTGTTAGACCAAAAAAATTAAAAAAAAAAAGCTACATACCAAATAAATTAGTTTTTACAGTAAGAGTTAAATCTGTGTTTTTCCGTAATATTGCGTTTGCTCTCTCCATGTTGAGTTTTTCAAAATTTTGTCCATTCACATTGAGAAGTTGGTCACCTGAAAAATTTATTAAATCATTCAACTCACAAAACATCGAAAACAAAACAATCGACGAGACAAACTTAAAGAAATAAAACACCAACCTCTTTTTAAACCTTTTTCTTCTGCGACTGAGTTAGCGGTGACTTTTAATATATAAATAGGATAACCATCTGTACCTCCTGTTATGCTGAAACCAAGATCTTCTTCATTTGATGATCGTGACTAAAAAAAGGAATCAAATTTCATGTTGGTGTTTAGATATTAAATGGCCACCTTTAATACATCATTTAATTTAGAATAGCTATCAGATACCATTATCCTCTAGATTTGAAAAAAAAATGATGTATTCCAAATATTCAATGCATGTAAGATGCTAGATGCTACAACGTGTGAACGTGTGTGCTGAATGTTTCCTAGACTCAAATGAGATAGTTTTGCGAAATTTGATGTTCTTGTTGAAATTTTTTATTATGAAAAAAATCGATTCTCTGCAACAACTAGAACGACCAACTTCAAATTTTCAGTTCTCAAAGATGAAAGATTTTACGTTATTACCTACTTAGGCCTCCCCTTGGGGGTCCAACGAACGAGTTTAAAAAAGAAAAAAAAAAGTTTAAAATATTTACCAGTGTTATGATTTTGGATTTTGCTTTAGTTGAGCAAGCAATATTGAACAATTTACATTGTCCTGTTTTATTGCACGTTTGTAATTTTTCTTCAAATTTTTCAAGTAAGTTCATCATGTGTCGATCGCGTTCAAAGTCGTTAAAATGATTGTTGACCCAGAGTAATATTACTCTTGTCACCTGGAATTGAGATAAATAATATTTTAGAGTGTGTTAAAGAATTAAATAAGAGAGACAATAATCAGATGATAGATTGAAATTTTAAAATAACTTCAGCTTGACTAAACTGATGTAAAGTATGTTGTATATCACGTTGAAAATAGCTTATAAAAAAATGATAATTTAACTGGATGATGAAACAGGATTGTATTTTAAGCAAGTATTTTTCCCGAAGTACAATCAAAATTGTATTTCAGACTAATGGCAATAACTGCAAACTTTGTCAGAGAAAAATATATCCGCACCAGCACTTTATATTTAAACAATTTAACCAAAAGACTTCTCAACTCAAAATACAGTGCTATCATATTATGTTTTTAGCATAAAGCAAGGCAAAAATATTTTATTGTTTTTATCAGATGTTATGACGGCCACAATGATCAAAAAGTTTGAGGTATACAAAATATATTGTTATTATGTAACTATCATACAATTAGAGAGCGCATGTCTTTGAATTCAGTGCTCAGAAAATAATAGGAGTTTAAAATATGATAAGCAAAATCGACTCAGGATACAAAAGATTAATAGTATGCTTGTATTCCATTGTTCTTATTAATTAATTAAAATAAACTTTGATTCTGTACCTTGGCCTGAAATTCTTCTCTGTCAAACCATTCTAATAACTGATTACAAATTTTTATTGGTTCGTTAGAAAAAGCTCTGTATGTAAGGAGGTAGTCTTCTGCATAAGTGGTATCGATTGAATTTTCTTCTAACAAATGAGCACGTAATGTTTCTGGAGTTCCCTGCAAAAACAAACAACAGTTAATAGAGGTAGATTGACAAATGACATCATGGTAAGAAATCATTCTTTTAATACATATATTCCTATTAGCTCATGTTTCATGATTTCTATAATAAAATTTTGGATTTTTAAAAATTGAAACTCAAAATATTTTTAATTTCTGAGACTTAAAAATAATTGAAAATTACTATATTTGCTGTGGATTTTTTCATCAAACCCCTTTTTTTGAATATCACCACATTCACCATTTGCAAAACTCGTTTAAACAAAACTTCATGGACAACTTTAAATGTAATCCCGTAGAAATGTACCCCAAATCAATTACATGCTCTATTAGCATCCCATAATAAAATAATTTCAAAATAAACAAAACCTCATTCAAATAGGATCGTATAGTCGAAACACCCATCAACAAGAGCAAAAGATTGTGAAACATAATGTAAATAAATAGAAAATGTTTGCAGTAGGCAAAAATAAACCATCATGAACAAAATAGCCATTAGGAACAGCTGTTGTTTAGGATTATATTTCAGTTAACTATATCATAGATGACGTACCCTGATGACAATATGACCTTTCCTTCCACCTTCGATTTCACGTTTTTCTTTGACCATTTCTACTACGCCATCTTCTCCCATAATATTTTCCATATTCTCTTTGCCTTGGTGGAGAACATTGCAATAGTCTTCTTGTGCTATACAGAGGAACTAGAAAAATAATAAAAATATTTTTATGGTCTTCATTTTCGCTGTGAAAAAACATCAGAATGACTACTGGAATCTATTAGAAATCTTCCATCTATGAAGAAATATTGACACAAGGTATTCCAAATGATAAAAAAAAGTGGGAAATTCTTGAACAGCATTGTTAGTGCAATTGGTGTATATAATATATATAATACCTGGCAATCGTCGACCATAGTGTACATTGTACCCTTGTGATATTGGGTCTGCATGCTGGGTGTAACCCCAAAACTTTCGCCCATATATAATAATGTATCATTATTTTCATCACTATCAGGATATACGATTTGAACTTGTCCATTGATGATGACAGACCATGAATCAAGCTGAAAATAAAAGAAAATTAAGATCATGAATTTTCAATAAAATGGAAATTAATGGGTAATGATATATGAATAAATGGAGGTGTTCTCATTGTTTGCAGTTGGGGGGATAGTTGTTACTAGGATATGAGATAACTAAAATATTTCTGGTTCAATATAATATAGTATGTTAAATTCAAAGATTCTAGTATTGCTGCACCAAAATATTTAATAACATACTAAGAAAATGGTATATTTTATTGTTTAGTTAAATTGATGTTTCGAATAAAAAATTTTCTTTGACTACAGGACCAATTGCTTTGCAATTTTTAGTGGTTGAAGATTGTATTTTTAGATATTTCAAAATTTCTGTAAGCTCTATGGATTCATTTTTCACTTCAAAGTTTTGTGTGATGACGTCATCAAAATCGAATATTGTACAATGTAGGCTACATCATGCGGCCGTTTAGCGATTGAATTCAAGCGATTTCAGCGAACTCATGGTTGGTGAAGTCTGGGTTTTCTTTGATAAGGTAGACTACCGTTACCAGTACTGTAAAAGATTTATTACTATTTCATTTTGACCTTCCTGTACTTATATTTGAGCAATACTCTCTCATTTTCTGCCTACAACATGGGTCTTTATAAAAATAGTCAACGGAGGTTAAATTATTATATAATAAACAGAACCCAGACTTGGTCTCATAAAAATGATATATGAACTTACAGCTTCATTGTCTTTCAATAATTCAGTACCGGCTTTGTCGACATGTGCAAAGACCATAACTTTACATAACTCTCTTCTTGTTGGTTCTGTCATATTTGAGAATGCTTGCAAACTCCGTGTGAATTCCAGAAGGACATCTGAAAGTGAAAAAGCGAGCAATTTATTGCTAAGCTAAAACTTACAACGACATCTAATTTGGTTCAATAAGAGTTGATGATTGATACATAAACTCAATGTCTTAGTGACAAAGTAACATCTACTGTATTTGGAGTTGAAAATGAACAAAGCATTTCATTCATGAACATTTCATCGCCAGATATGAAAAAACTGGGTAATCAAATATTTTTGTTTGAGAATCTGGCATTTGAAGAAATACTGAGTGCCAATAACTTCCACCCCGTTAATAAACACAGGAATAGGAGTTGCGGGTGCGTCATATGTATATAGACAGAAATTGATGCTGAACCCATGCTACAGGAAATGTGTAGGCTATATATTTGGCCTGGTAATGCATAAAAGTTTGCCTACCACTCATCCAACTCTACTAACCTTGTAGGTCTTATTATTTCAGTGGGTAATTCACTATTAGTACGGTTATCAAATTTAATGCTTTCAAATTTTTTTCCTTGCATTTTGTATATACATACCATGGTCATCCTCATTTCGTTCTGATATATCCTTCTTTAAAACATCTGTTACAAGATCCTTGATGACGAAAGAAGAAGATGAATGGAGTGAGATGCTATCCTCCTGCTCCTCCAAAAAATCTTCATCATCTTGTTCAGGATCATCTTGGCTTCTGGAATCTTCTTGATTTATATAATATTCCCGAGAATCCTTACTAATGTCTGAAGTATTGTCTGTTTGTACTTGTCCATTAGCCATTGTTCCACTGGACTTTCGTGAGACGTTTTGCTTGGGAGAACTCTGATTACACGAGAAAAAAAAAAGGATCGATCGGAATTTAACAGTACATGCAAAGGACCGAAAAATGTGAAAAATTTAATTGTTTTGTGTGTGAATAAGAATGCAAAAAATTGAAATGATTACCAGTATATGAAATTCACAATTACTGATATAAGTGGAAAATTATATTTTGTATGCACTATTGCAATAAATTTTTTTATTTTTATTGGTGAAATTAGCCATCATTATAATAATAATTGAAATAGAAATTACTAATTACAACTACAAGACCACTAAGTACAATAAATAAGGAAACATCTGCATCTAACTGTAATTTGAAAAATCAAATCCCAACCCATTAATACCAAATCAGGAATAGGGATGCTTATTAATGTTCCCAATTGTCATTTGAATAGCCTTACCCACAATAAGCTGTTGTGCAATACGATCCTGCATTAACAAAACAACATACTAAAAGTTGGTAAATAACTTTTCTGCAGAGATAGCTAATGCCCTAAATATGGAGAATGTTTAAATAAGTCATACAAATACTCTTCATATCATGAAACAAATATACATAGATATTGGGTAAATAATAAATATAGGGTGTACCATATAACATAATATTATGCAAACATGTATATTAACTACGAGGTCAAAAAGGCGTCTTCGAGTCGATGTCAAATATGTACATCGCGATGATAATACATTCGCATATCTGAGAGTGGGTTACTTAGAAATTGCTGTTTACTGAGCAAACGCCATAGAAAGACTTAGCTTAATTGTAAGTTATCAGTATCCCATGCCATGCGTAACTGTGACATACCGGTGAATAAAAAAGTTGCAATTTTGAAATCTTAAGTTAAAAATCTTTGTAAAAATTGTGTATTTATCTTACAAAAGTGTGTAACAAACCTAAAAGTTGCAATTTTGAAATCTTAAGTTAAAAATCTTTGTAAAAATTGTGTATTTATCTCACAAAAGTGCGTAACAAACCTCAACTGATGAGCTATTCGCTTCAGCAACACTGTCCAATGTACTTTTTGAACTTGTACTGTGATTTCGTAAATCCGGTACACGTACTGTGTGTAAAGGTGGATGCATTTCAGGGTAGTCAATCTATAACACAAAAGAAGAGAAACCCTGTTACTTAAGTTGGTAATTTGGTAAAATACACCATATATAACAACATAAACAAGTAGGTAAATCTGGAGATATGAATAAATAGTCAAACCCACAAGATGGCAAAGGGCAAGTACTACCATGAACGTCAAGTACTTTGATATTTCAAAAAAAATGAATTGAATATTTGAACGCAATCAAAATTTCATATATTCCATATCGTAAATTTTTAAAAAATTGAAAACAATTCCATTTGAAAACTTGACTTTCGCATAAATAAATTAATTAACTATAAATTTACATAAATGTATAATACGTAACTTGTTATATATATATATATATATGTAATGCTTGATAGTGAAATACAGTTAGGTTAATTTCATTATGCAAATTAATATGTTAACCCGATGTAGAACATATCCAATTTCCATATTGAAAAATATTATTTTAGAATGTATCGGTATAATAGATTATTCGGTTTTGGCCAAGCCAGATTTCAAGGTTAAAAATTATTTGTTACATTAAAATCAACCTATGACGATAGGGAGGTGATAAGAAATCTCAAATTCAGATCTCCACATAATTTCGTACTTTACATGTTCAATTATGAGCGAGTAAATGCCTTTAGGCTAGATTTTCACGTTGCTTCAACTAAATGTAGGCTAAATCACAGGCCTTCCTTTGTAATTAATGAACGACTAATAGAAATTATAATAGTATGCTTTCCCAACCACAGTATATTTGAGAGTTGCCAATTTAAAAACCTTCAGTAAAGGTGTGAGGAGTGTTTCATAAAAACTATTCCTAACAATTTAGATAAGTAGGTAATATATTTTAGATGCCCTAAAATAAATTTTAGAGTAAAAGCCATAAACTCATTATACAACATTTATTTCTTCAAAGTAGTTCACTATGTGATTAAATTTTTAAGAGAGAGATGCCGGTGACAAAAACACAATGCTATTATAAAATAACTTTTTTTATATTCAACTATAAAATGTAACTTATAATGTATGCAACATAAGATCTTGAGTGAGAAATGACAAACCAAAAAAAATTCTGGCCTTTTAAACTAAAGTAGTACCTTACCCAGCAGTGGCTGATTGTTTTATTCAGAGCAAAAGGCACATAATATGTTACTGTTACATAAAATGATTCTGAATTTAAATGTTTAGTTTTTCAATCGTGACAATGTAATATTGAAAATTAAATTGAAACTAATCACAATTTCACTTAAAAAGGGTCAGTTTCAATATTGAATACCATGTGGAACAATATTGAATTTCGTTTTCACAAATTCTCAAAAATTTCTGATCTATTTGACTGGGAATAAAAAAAGGCGAATAACGGTTATTGACAACAAAAAGTTGGAATTACACCCCCAATGGGCAGTGTTTTTCAAAACACTTTACCGAACTTGCAAACAATAATGGAAATTACACAATAAAGTGCTGGACAGTGGTCAAAAGAATGTGGAGCACTATTTGAGTATTGATTTAATAGACCAGCCTAAAGACTCTCAGAAAGCTCTGAGTACTTTTTACCTCAAACCACATTCCATGCCAAAATGACAATTTATAAAAAAAAAGAATGCAAAAAACTGATTGACAAAAAGGAATAATTTTGATGTTACCCATATTTGGAAATATTATACAATAAACATTTGCTAATAGTCGAATTATAAGCAAAACAAAAACAATGCTTCATTATGAGCAATAGATACAGGAAAGTCCACTCATATGAGGAAATGACAATTATACATAGGCCTACATCATATTTTAACTCAAATAAAGATTTTTCTTCTAATAATTCCTATCGTATTTCACGAGCAACTTATTTATTCTCCAATTTGTAAAAATTCCAAAAATTCATAAAAAAAAAACTCATACAATTTGTTAAATTTATTTTGTCTAAGTCAAAGAATTTGTGAACAATAATAATACAAATTTACAGTAACTATTAAAAAAATTCGTTATAACATATTTTTTAAATTATTTCTAAATTGAAATAATGACATATTATGGTTTTGAAACTATCAAATTACAGGAGTAAGAACACTTTATACAATGTCAAGGAAAGCAGTGAAAAGACTGTCTTAAATAGCATATTCCCTTTTAAAACAATTTAAAAAACGATATAAATTTTACAATAGTTTTAGAAAAATATGAATAGTTTTACTCACTGCAATCATTTCAGATGGTTCAAGAACAAGGCATTGGCAACCTCTTGATGTAGTTCCAGGTATACGTTTACCAAAACTGTTTAAAAACAAAACATACATAAGTTATGGCAACACAAGTATAAGAGATAAAGACTTATAAAAACAGGAAATATGAACATGTGGTAGTGGTGGGTGTAAAATTGACTGTACAATGTTTTCAAAGCAATGCAAACACCTTTACATACGCGAAAGAACTAACGACTTAACTTGGTTAACTAGTCAACTTGGTTAACATGATCTGATCTAAAGAATTATCTCATTGAACTTTTGGTATTCACCTATAAGAAACTGCCAACTACAAAAATCTGCTGAGGTAATTAGATAATGCCTGTTGAGACATCCACAGTGCTAAATATACTACAGAACTTTCTCTCAAATACAGAACCCAGCCTGTTACCTTGCTGAAACTACTTTCTCACAACTGATATTACAAAACCACAACGATATTATTATTCATATTATATCATATAGAGATAAATAAAACTAAACCCAAATATTTGAAATCCTAGGTGACATCTTTGTAGATAAATATAAAATATTGATATGTTTGTATAGCATATATTGAACAATAGTTTGACAACTGAACATAAAAAGACGTTAAATATAATATATTCGGACCTCCTGAAGTATGCGCACCAAGATGGCGCACAACCTGAATTCAGGTTGTGTACCAGGTTGGGGTTCAGGTTGTTCGACATCTTGGTGTGCATACTTCAGGAGTACCAAATATTCAATCAACTCCAATTAATATTTGTACGTTGCTGCTTCAAGAATCTACAATCTACTTTGGCCAAACAATTTCCTAGCAACCAGTTCATCCAAGTTCATTACCATCGGCTGATATTCACATCATAAATTTATTATTGGGCTATTAATATTTTTATAAATTCCTTATTTCCCAGAAAATTTTAACAAATCCAGTTAATTATAAACCCTTTCAGTTTATTTTGTGAATTGTGAAAGGTTATTTAGAAGTCAAGAAAGCATATAGTACAAAACCCGGCGCTTCAGAAGTGTGTGTACCAATATGGAGGTAAATAATTTCGTTCGCCTACTTTACATCAAGTTGTGTAGAGGGTCTGAAACCTATGGGCAGGGGGGATATTCACTTGGCAAACACAGAGAGTCCCCGAACTCGTAATAGAACTAAACAAGTTCTATTACTAACGCTAAATTGGTACACACACTACGGGAATACCCAAAAACCTGATACAAACTATATCATTATACTTTACTACTCGAAAAACTACCAACTCGCAAATAGGCACCACTGCCTATAGTTATTATCTCGACATTTATTGTTTCAATATTATTACCTACTACAATATTGCGGACAAGCATAGCTAACAGAACAGTTCAGACTGTGTAACGCAGCGTCAATATATATGAACGATAAATTGTCTCGGAATTTTGTAGTCATATCTTATCGCGCAGATGTAAAGTAAACAACAATAACAGACGTGTGATTTTAACGCACCGTTTCCGTAAAATAACTTAACCAGTCAGAGTCAGCCATTCACATATTCAGTAGTTCGTACCAATCAAAAGTACTCCCGCCTGATGTGTCGTCTGCAGAAAAGATTAATCTACAATCCATACCAGGCAATCGTAATATACTCTCTCGGCACGTGATCCATGGTTGAGCGAACACGGTTAAGATCAAAATACATATTACCACCAAATATCCAATAATACAAACACATTGCGAACAACATAACCATAGAGAGTAACTTCTATATTATATGGATGTGAAAGAAATAATTGTATTGGGGAATATTTCCCAGGCCTAAGCTATTATTCGGATTGCTAAAAGTTGTAAGCGATACCTAGTCTAGCACACCGTGCGACATCAACACACAAAACTGCCGAAATTGGAAGTGCATACATTTTCCGTATCACTGAATTGAACAAATAACGGATCACGATCAGATAAGCAACATAGCCTTACACGGACCTAGGGCCCGTTTCCATTCTAGCGACAGGTATGAAACAACTACAATATTCCCAAACCAAATATCGTTACTTGTATCAAATACCAATATGGAGGTAACTAATTTTGTTCGCCTACTTCACATCAAGTTGTGTACAGAGACTGATTGCCATGGGAATATGGGTATATTCACTTGGCTATCACAGACATTCCCCGAACTCGTAATAAAACTAAAATTAAGGAAAATCGGAATAAAATTATGCCCTAACCCTAACCTGGTACAAATACTACGGAAATGTACCTCAAGTTGTATATGTAGGTAGATTGTAATCTTTGTGCACCGGAATTGAATTTTCAAGGAGACAAATGTCTTGGATTCTATCCAGACAACATTTTGAAAAAAGTTATATATAAATCAAAACTGAAATATTCGATTTGAAATGTGTTTATTTCCTGTCTGGGGGCCATTACAAGGTAATACACAAAATAATTGACAATACACATGCCAAAGAGTAAGCCATTTGTACTGAGCCCAAAATTGTAAATTTCAAAGTGTAAACGGAGAAAAAAGTGACAGAGCGTTACCACGATCACGATCGTTACGAAAACAAGCGGAAACTGCGGCCGATATATAACATCATCAGTGAGCGAGCGGTCTAGACGTCTATCAGCTTAATCCAAAACTGCCGAGTCCAGAATAATGTTACAATCCTGTTAGAAATTTAAACCCAAAATCGTAAACCCAAAATAACAACAAAAAAGTTATATAGCATATTCCAAGGTAGGTAATTCAATCGAACTGACGAAATATTATACATACCCCAAGCACGAAACATGGATAGACGTGCATGTTGTGTTGGAAAAACATGTTTGGCCAAGGGTATTCAGTGATGTTAGCAAAGTGGAAAATCACAAAAATAATCATTTTTCTCATAGTGACGGCCGTTCTGATAAATCACACAAGGGGCCTCAACGGTACAGCAAGAATGTTATAACTTACAGTGATAAATCATATTTTTTCATTTAGTATTAGCGCAATTTATCTCAAAGAAATTAATCACCATTAGGGAAAGTATTCTACGCTCGATCGTATTTGGTAAACCTAAATCGAAATACTAGAATTTAGGGATATGATGAACGACCAAGCATACGACAGAGGAAAAATCGTCAGAAAATAGAGGAAAGCTTTCATCTTTCGGGTATCGAGCGGGGGCGTCGGTATGAGCATGTTATTACATGATGATTTATACTTGCTGGTCTTCTACGGTCAATAATAAAATAAATCGTAATATGATGTCACGTGACCTATTTAGTCATAAAATTAATCAAAATATCGCTCTACGTATATATCTACAAGTTATACAATTGCGGATCACCAATATGGAACAGTTCCAAGGCGCAGATAATTATAAAGTTGAACGACGAATAATTAATAGTCTTGTCCCGCCCAGACAAACAAAAAATAATTAAACAAAATAATCGAAGTAGGTACCTATGGTAACAAAATGAATGTCCAGACTTATTGATAAACAATTTTCGATTCCGGTATTTGCAAATAACACAAGTAACTAACTTCTAAATCTAACTATACGATTTCAACCACCATGGTATTGTACACTTCCAAACATGAGCATATTTTCAAGTATATCCAGAACAAATCCATTAGCTTCCGTCGGCATCGAGTAATCAACGTTGGCAAATATCATGGCAAACCAAAAACTACTTACATATAAGATATTCACAATACCGTTTCTACCATCTCCAACAACATAGAAACATTGGAGCTTCCTTTCTACCATCCCACTAAAAACATTTGTGCTTGCGAATATTAAAATTGCGTGTTTTTCTCGCATTAGATCAGGAGCACTTACTGTAATATGGCATGATTGCAATTGGGAAACATAAAACATGGCCATATTGCCATGTCATGCAATGAAAGTGAAATCAACAACCGTTTTTCGTAGAACTACTGCAAAATGTATTTCTCATAAACCACACTACTATACAAACTATCAATGATAGACTTGGAACTATTACTTGGCATGCTTACTGATTTACATCGTAAGGTATATTATATTTTGATGACGGTGACATGCTACATAAATCACATGTCTCTAGGGCCTAGGGCTTGCAAAATATATAAATTAAACGCTAGCTTAGATGAAATAACTTTTTACAAGCGACTTATTCGTGATACATGTTTGAAGCGCATTATATCCCTCGATGGTGGAAATTGGTCATATTACGGTAATATAGGAGATGTTCTAAAAAGCAATTATTGTGCAACATTTTACGGTGGTAGGCATTGCTATCGTAATGATGTTTCAAATAACATTCATGACTGGCGCTGCAATTACAATATCCAGAACGTTCTAAATTATCTTTTGTCCTTCTGAATATTTCCGACATAAGTTTTACAAATATCTAAGAATTTAGCTTTTGGAAATATGGCCAACATGGGATACTCTAACACAGGGCTACTTACTCGACTATTTTTTACCGACGATCCGCATACAAAACTTTCTTTCTTTCCAGAAATTATATTTCGGCACCCTTAAACGCGCACTTCCTCGGCCGACTAATGATTATTAGCTAATCAAGATTGTTTTGTATGGTGTTCTAGTTATTTTCATATATATTTAAATCCATAAACGGGATTTTATAAAAGGAAACTTCAAAAGTGCGGCTAATAATTCAAAATAAAGAATTAGACGCGGTCCGAATCGAATACCCGAAAGGTCCGGATTTGGACCGCGGTCCGCCAGTTGAGTAGCCCTGTCTAACAAACCACAGCGAGCAAAGTGAAATACGTTGTGATTTTGTATTATGTTAGTCACATACCGGCACATAGTACAACTGAGATTTGTTTCAAGAATATATATAAATATACTAATTCAAGGAGATGCAAAACACAGTTACAACTTGACGACAAACGATAAGACGAAAACTTTAATCTTATGAGCTTGTGAAAACGATTCCAAGGCCTGACAAGCTTCTGTAATTGAACTATACGGTGAATTCAGATAAATATTGAAATATGTTTCATGCTAAGATATCGCCAATTATCGCATACCAATTGAAAGACGTGGCAAAAAATGTGACAGAGA